TTCCTTGTTTTTCTCCCCAGGGGGGTTGGTTGTGTCTGCTAATGCATTGTCAACTTCGTCGAAATCGTAATCATCTTCGATAAGCAAAAACTTTTTCTTTCTTATATTTTTTAGGCTTCAGTGACTTTTTCTGCTTCTTTTTTATATCTTCAGCCAATAACTCAGTTTTGTCCGTATTCAAAGCTGGCAGCTGGCGGTGGGGGAGAGATGTGCAACCAAAGCAAGACTTTCTTGCTCGGAGGAAAAACAATACCATGAGCAAAAGAAGAGCCTAAGGTCCACAGGGACATCAAGAGGTACTTGCCCTTTCGGGAAACAAAAGACTTCACCAAACATGCTGGCATCTTTGCCCCTGTCCTTGCCCCCTCCCAGTCCCACTTCCGTTCTTAGCAAACCCCGAACATCTGTGGGCAGAGAGCACCCTCCTTCCGAATGCGGCATTCGCCTGCGGAGAGAACCGGACCCAACAAAAATAGACGCGAGCGGCTGTGCGATGGGCACACAGCCGTGCCGCTTGACGTGAAGAAGACGAGCCGGACGGAAAGAGGAGAAGAGAGGAGACAGAACAAGGCAGGAGAAGAAGGTGTGACTGGTTGTCAGCGGTGGAGCTTCCACAGCAGGAAATACACGGCGGCCACAGATGTAGCGCATTGGTGAGCCGGCTTTCGTAGACGGCGGGGAGAGAAGCCGTGGGAAGAGAGAAGCACGGAGATGGAACGGGCAGGGCGCTGCGGTGTTCTCCGTTTGACGTAATGCAAGGTTCGGCAATGGCCTCGTTGCACTGCACTTCGCTGCACAACAGTGTCCGGGCAGAACCCCCCGGGCAGAACCCCCCGTCCTGCCCGTCCTCCTCCCTCCTGCATCCTCCTCCCCTCTTCCCCACTCTGTGATTTCCCCATGTAAACCGGTGAGGGCAGACGAGTGACAGACAGAAAAGGCTGTCTGTGCGCTTCTTTACGCCACGTAAAGGCACCCTTTTTATGTCCCGGGCCTTCGCAGGGCTCCTCATGTCATGACTTTATGACAGCGACCTGTCACCTTCCTCCGCTAGCTGCAACGGCACGACCTTTTGCAGGCCCTGCAGACAGCTATTTAAAGGAAATGCATCGGCCCTTCCGTGCTCTTCTCGTGAGACACAGCCGTTAAGCGGCCATTGTTTACGTTTTTTTTTGTTGACACCAACATTTTCACATATAGCTCTTCGGCAACCGCACAGACATATCTTGAGGACGCTTTAGGTTTTATTCTAACCTGTTTTTCCACTTCCTGCCTGCCTATTGTTCGATTGCTCGTCTGCACGACTGTTCGTTTGTTCTACCATTAGCTTGCTCTGACCCCCATCGGAAGCAAATTTTTCATTTCCTCGATACCCAAAACTGGAAAAGAAAGTGGTGTCACGTCTAGTTCTGACTGATATATAACAGTACTCAATTCAGTGTCATATTTTTCAGATCTTTGCTGTACCCTGTGACCTCCGCTCTTGTCTCGACCTGCTTTGACTCGATTCGACCTGACTTTGCTCGACCAATACACACCAACAGTGCGACCCTAGTTTCACGATGAGTGCAATCACAAATTTGATCAAGATGGAGACCGACAATGCCGCCGACGGAACAGGCATTGTCAAGTTGGTGGACCTCACTAAGAAACTATTACATTTGGATAGTGCCAAGAAAATTCCAACCTCTTTGATCAACTATGTTCAAGGCCAGCAACAGTCCCAATTCGGCTCTTACCCAGACCACAAGGACGTTGCCCCAAGTGCCGTCTTTTTGGCGATCTTCGTTCTCATTGCCATTGCGCACGGAAGTTTGTTCACAATCAACTACATGAGAGGTCACAAGTTCTGGCTATCATTTGCCTTCTGTTTTTACGCCACGTTGAGATGGTTGGGCTTCGCCTTGAGAATTGTCTGGGCCAAGGACATTTTGAGGTTGCACGTTGGAATTGCATCCGAAGTGTTGCTTGTTTTGCCAATCGTCTTTCTTGCCTCGTTCAACCTCGTTTTAGCACAGAGAATCTTCACATGGAGACATCCTGTGTTTGGTAACAACAACTACTTCTGGTATCTCATGATTGCGCTCTACTCTGTTGTCATTGCAGTCGTCATTATGACCATCGTTGCAGGTGTTGTTCCGTATCTCTACTTCCTCTCCAGATCTCACTATGACATGTGCCGTAACGTTGTCAAAGTTACCTCCATCTTGATTACCCTCTACTCGTTGCTCTCCCTTGCCTTTGTTCTCTTCACATACCTTCTTCCAGTCAGCAAGGCTAACAGAGAGGCTTTGGTTTATCAGCCTTTCTGGATCAAGTCCTTCTCCCCATTCTATTTCCCTAAGAAGAATGCGGCCCAAGAGGGTGAAACAGTATTCCTCGAAAGATACAGAAATGACCCAAGAACTCCAAAGAGAACCATTGTTGGTGGTGGTATGGATATCATTGATAACGAAGATAAGACCGAAGTGGAAGAGTTGAGGGAATATGAAGCTGTTGGTGAACAGAAGTTCTCTTTGAAGCATAACATCTCCATCTGTATCATCCTCATCACATCTATCTTTGTGTTTATCGGCTCTTTATTCAGATGCATTGCTTGTTTCATGGACATGGTATTCCTAAACCAGAGTTGGATCTATGACCCAGTTGTCATGTATGTTTTGTGGGGGGCCCTCGAAACTATCTGTAATGTGCTTTACTTAGTCGGAAGAGTCGACTTGAGATTTTACAGACCAGATAGATTATCCAAGAAGCAGAGAGAGTTGTACACATCCAACTTCCCAGCTACAAACGATGCCAAAGATTTTGGTGAGTCAACTAACCTTTCAAGTCGTCAAAGCTCAGACACCAGAGTCTGATCAATTGATTAATCAAACTCACAGGTGGTCATAGTCCAGTTCTTTTGAACTGAAGAGATCTTTTCTTTTACCATGTCCAGACATGCTTACTAATCATGTTATCCAGCTTAATTAATACTCCTAATCTTAATACCTTTCATAACTCCTAATATTTTAATTTAATGTTCTTATATGATCCATCAAACTTCACTCACGTTTAATGTTTTTTTCATACATTTTTGTATTATCCTTTTTTTAATAAGACTACACTAGTGTTGAAAATGGGGGTATCTTAACGCTATACCCATAAAATTCAATATTAACTTTGAGCTTTAACCGGAGGATGAATTGCATTCTCAGCTTTTTCCTGGTAAGACTTAACTCCGCGGACCGGAGATGTCACTCGGTCACTACTGCAAGACTGCAAGTGCAGCTAGAATCCTCCTCCATAATTTACAGCACTTTCCCACAACCAGTCCATTCAAGGATATGTAGTTCAAGACTAGTCTAGCTTTCTGTCTCAGTTTCTGAATGTGACTGTAGAATTTCGTGCAGTCGCAGCATCGTCCCTGTTATATTCTCCGTTTCGGAGTAGTGGCAAAAATTCGGAGAGACTCAGTGCGATCGACGTCAATTACAAGTATAAATCGGGCCAGATGGGCATAACCTTAACCATTAATTGGGACTCTGACTACTCAATAAAATAGATAGAGAGTGGTGCTGAAGTAATCGTTGATGTTGAGTGTATGGGTCTGGAAGTCTGATGACCACTTTTCATTGCTTAGTCAAAGCGATGCAACTCCGGCCAAAGTTGAATAAATTAGAAGTCTTAACTCTAGAGAATGAATCAGGGGTTGCTGAAAGTACTAGTAGCATGTAAACTTTGAAAGTAGCTGCAAAATTTATAAAAACACAGAATTAAAGTATATAAGCCTTAGGTTTTATGAAAGTTCGTCTTCAGCAATGAAGTAAAGTTACTTGTTGTACTCGGCCGCAAACTCTTTTTTAAAATAGTCTGCGAGTTTATGCTTACCATAAACAGAACCTTGATTTTTAATAAAATTTGTGATTCCATTATGATAAGTTTCTGAAAATATGGTGAGTAATGGCATAACATTTTCTTCTGGCATACCCGCACTTACAAGAGCCTTCGATGCATCAGCATCAGATAAATGCACCCATTTGACAGGAATGTGGATTGCATCCATCAACAACTTTTCGACCTGCTCTCCGCTTGCAAAATCGCCTTCAACATTAATGATTTTGAACATGTCATTACCTGGACTGAATAGCAAACCTGAGCAAACTTCAGCTACATCAATTGGGTGAACATACGATTCGACTTGCTCTTTTGGTGTATTAGAGTAGATTGCACCATCCTTTTTAATTGAGTCAATGTTCCGCAAAAAGTTGGCAAAATAATCAGATGGACGGACAAGATAAACGCTATCTAAACCGGCTAATTTGTTTTTTAGAATGAGCTCATTTTCGGAATGGAATCCGACTTCAGGAATATCCGAGCCAATTCCACTGAGGTAGACCACATGTTTGACACCGGCTTTCAAAACTGCATCACAAACTTTGTTACACTGTGCAATCATTGTTTTCAACGCGTTCTTTTCAAACAAGTTAGCAGGAATCAAGATAAAGACTGAAGTTGCTTTGTCAAACGTTTTGGTTAAAAATTCGACATCATCGACAGAGCCGACAGCAGCCTTGGCACCGTCAGATTCAATAGCGTCAACATTCTTCTGCGATCTAGTTATAACTGTAACATCGGCTCCTTTTGAAACCAACAGCTTGGAAAGTGGATTTGCAATGTTACCTCTCGAACCTAATAAAACAATCTTCATGCTTGGCTGTGCGAAAAAAGGCAATAATTTGGTTATTGATCCAATCTTCAAGCTTGGTACTGATCTTAGCAAACCAAAATGCAACAGCTCAAATGCTCCCGTAAAAGCTCTACCTTGGCTTTCTTTTATAGTGGGATTGAAACTTCAATGGAACTCTGTGCATAGCTTTCCCCATGCAATGCCCTATATCCGCGGAGTTAATTTTTATTTGATTAATAATCAAGTACCCAAGTACTCTTGCAATTCACAAACCGCAAACATGGATCAAGAATGCTCACATCTGCCAATAACTCGTTGCATACTTCAAGTATCCCATATTACTATTTCCTGCGCAGTGTTTGTTCTTTTGCTTGTAGCTTTTGAAAATGCCCGGAATTGAGAAAAAAGCCTTACAAAAAGATTGAAACCAGCAAAAAAGCAAAACTTATATCGTTTAATCAAATGATTTTTAATTTAGTTTATTTATCTGAAAAAATGCTGTATTAATATTTGTACAAACCAGATTCTTTTTTCTTTTGAAACCCGGATGGTAGCAGATGTAATTCTCCAAATATACTCATGTCACATTTTTTTCAAAAGCTCGTACATCTAGAAATGGTCTAAGCAGTACTCTTTATTGAAAATAAATAATATTCAAGCATGTTATAAAATTGCAGTTTCCTAAGCAGTACCAGCTTTTAGTGCCCCAATAGCAAGCTAATGTAATATTGCGTAGGAAGGACTTCACAGGTACAAACCTCAACGTTGTCGTCATCACGTGATCGCGCCAACTTAGGACCATGAATGGGAACGGCTGATATATGCCACCTTCTGATAACTTTAAGCCTTACTACGCAACGAACTTATAGCTGTGACAACTCATTATACAGCTCGAGATTATTGTTGCTCGAAACTCAGGTTGATATATTGGCAAGGAAAACATATGTCAGAGGCACAACTTTTTATTTCAACTTTCAATTGTGGAAAGAAGACTCCAACAAATGCCGAATTCACTAAGCACCTAAACGAGAAATTACCGGAAGAGGCTTCTGATCTCTATGTATTTGGATTCCAGGAAGTGACATCCATTCTAGATGCAACCGATGAGAATGTTGTAAATAAAAAGTTAATATGGATTGCTGATAATTTGATAACCTGTTTAGAAAACAGATACGAGATGCAGTCTTTTGCTGTGGTCTCGATTGCTCATTTTGGGGCTGTCGGCCTCATCATCGTATCACCATTTATCTCCAAGATCCACAAAATTTACAAGTCAAGGGGGTACCCCGTTGGAACTTTCTGTACTAACCTCAAGGGGGGAGTTGGTGTTAGATTGACATATGAATCGGCGGAGTTCACTTTTGTGTGTATGCATCTCAACGCTGGAGAAAAGGTACAACACATGCTCCGAAGAAATCAGGATCTATACAATGTTTTCAGCAAACTGATCTTTGATGATGGATGGTGTGTGCTAAAGCCAGATGCACATTGCTTCATATTTGGAGATCTTAATTATCGTGCAACAGGAGCCTTTGGGCTAGTTCCGAAAGGACTCGATTTTGATGAGACGGAGAACAGAGAAGGGACAGAAAATTGTGATCCAGCTTTTATTTTCAAGAAAGATGAATTGTCTCTTTTGCAAAAAGGCGGCTTGATTTTGCAAGATTTTGAAGAGCCTGCTATTTGTTTTAAACCAAGCTACAAGTTTCATATTGGAACAAAAAACTACCACAGGAACAGAATTCCTTCCTACTGTGACCGGATCTTGTATCTCGGATACCCTGAATCTTCCAAAACACCGAAATACAAAGCAGTTGCGTATGATACTATTACCGAATGTCTCTTTTCTGACCATCTTCCTGTTTACATGATTGTCAATGTGAGCCTCACAGCTCCGGAAAGAATCATCAACGATGCTGGATATTTGATTGATAGAACCACTCAGCTAAATGAGTTTAGCAAGAGCTACAAGGCTGTGGGATATAGTCGTTACATATTGAGAGTGTCTTCTTTCACCACATCTATGCTCGGCACACTGCTGTACCTCTCGACTACAAACAGAGGCAGAATGGTAAGCTTGGCGTTTGCAATTCTGGTATATACCCTTTTAAAATGGAAAGAACTTTTATAGGATGCTAAAAAGTAGTAAAAAAGATCAAGTTTTAGAAATTTGATGTTGAAAAGAATACAAACATGATACTGATTTTATAAACCGCTCATCTTCCGTGCTAAGCTGAATGAAGGAAAGTGCTGAAGAAAAAACAGAACTAAGGCAGTTATTTAGAGCCGTATTTTGTCTTTCCCAAATCAAAAGGCAAGTATCTATATTTGATCATGTGCTGGATCTGTCTTCTCATAGTCACCATGAAAAGGATGATGAAGTAGACGACGAGGATCGGCCAAAAGACAGGAATATCAAACACAGAAAACAACGAGCAAAAGAGGGCGACAACGGTAGACACCGTTGTCTTCAACCAGAACCTAAACTCAGGCAACCTTCTGATAAATGGCTTGAACTCCTCGTCGTTCTCGTCCATCTTCCCTGTGCCGGCCTCGACAGAGTCGTTTTGGATGTCTTGCTCAATGGATGGATCGATCTTTGGGGTCAAGAATCTTAAGAACATGTTCAATAGAAAGATGGCCCACGCATAACAAACAATGTACCACCCTTCAACAACCAGAATACGTGCCATGAAGATTATGATGATCACATATGTCGCAATCCATCTGGCAATAATGTGTGGTGTAATGTAGTCTAGGAACTTACGGTACGTTACTTCCGCCCGGTGCCTGTACACGTCAAACTGGGAAGATGACGTCTGGTCTTCTTCAAAATCCATTGTTGGTGATGAGTAGCTTTATCAATAAGCCTTTCACTTGTTGCCTCAGCCCGAACTAGCCATACTCCTTCATATTCAACTGATCTGCTGTAGTCAACAAAAATTGGCGTGTCATTCCCCCACGCGGTTCGCAACATGTTTTTTGACAGTTGAATATTTGCAAGCCTTGACCTTCCGCTTCTTGCTTTCTACCCTTCATTGGCTAAAACTGGGAGCCAGAGAAGGAGCCATTGAGTTCCTTCACCCTACTTGTGATGATATACACTCCATTTTCCGAAGTGTATGCTGGCTCTTGCTACTCAGCAGTATCGACACAGACCGTAATGAGCCCGCTTCAAATATACAACGAATCCCGGTACGGAACGCTCAATAATCTCGACTATCGAAACGATATAGGGGTTTTTCCTAGAGAAACACATTCTGCCTCTGTGAACACACTTTCTTTGGATGGCATTTACAACAGGTTTTTGTTGTCTGGCTCGTCTGATTCCTCAATCAAGCTCTGGGACTTGCAGTCGATGACGGTAGACGAAGTCAGCGGCCAAAGGAGATTCAAGCCCTCTGTAACGTTGCCAAGGAAAAGCGTGCACTCTTTTGGGGTTACCAAAGTCAAGTGGTGGCCTGATAATGGCATGTGGCTTTCGTCTTCTTACGACTTCAAGCTGAATCTCTACGACTCGAACACAATGGATGTGGCCCACTCGTTCAAACTAGGATCCAGAATCTTGGACTTTGACTTCCACCCTCTCGGTGATATCTCAACTGTAGCATGTTGCTTGGACGGCGGTGTCGGTGGCTTGAAACTTGTGGACCTACGTACTTTGTCCGACACACAGAACTTGGGGGGCGGAGGAAAGATGATGGGAGGAGTTGGCTACATGTCAAGCTGTTGCTGGTCCCCAGCAAGCCCTTACCTTTGTATCGGCGGCGGAGTAGAAGGATCATGTTATGGGTGGGATATCCGAAGCTCTAATAAGTTTTTGCTTGAGCTCGACGTGAACCTCACTGCGGCCAGCTACAAGAAGAAACAGTCGAATAAGCGCAAACGGGACCTCAAACTCAAATGCAAAGCCCACCATGGCGCTATAAACTCTGCTCAGTTCAACGCTTCCGGCACAGAATTGATAACTTTAGGCAACGATGAGAAGCTCCGAATATGGGATATGTGCTCTTTCCGGAAACCGGTCAACAAGGCCCTAAACTTCGGGCCTTTGATCAGAAATAAAACGAAGCAGCACATCGAGCTGTGCCTCAGTCCTGCTGCGGAAACGGAAGTCTCATTTCTCTGGGTGCCATCAGATAGCGGCGAAGTCTTAGTGTACCGGGTAGAGGATGGAAGCTTAGTTGCACGACTAAACAAGGCCTCGGATAGGCTAGGCCAAAATCGATCTTACTCCGTTGTGTGCACGGGCCACAACAGGGTCCGGTATTTTTCCGGATGCAAGGACGGAAGCATCAGTGTCTGGGGACATGATGACTTGAAGCAAAAACAACAATCTGACATCCCGGTACCTTTTGACAACGGTGTCGACCTCGTTGAACCAGAGTAAACCAGCTGTACAATAGTAACTTGGAGAAGTATGATATTTATATATATATGTATATTAACTGGGATGAAATAACGAACACGAAAACGAAAATGCGCCTAAATTTTTTTCCACCCTATGAAGCTTGTTGTCAAAAAGGTGCATTTTCTTTAATCTGCACCCTTCTTTGTGTAACAGCAACTATCCTGCCCTCACACTTTTGCAAGCGGACAGCTATAGCGGCATCCACGACCCAGCAGAGATGTTCAAGCTACAGGTCCTGATCATCCCACAGAGTTCTCTCTCCACTGTGGAAAGCTCCAGTTGCGGCACTGCTAACACCGGCAGTGATAATGCAGGAGACGCCGACGATATCGACGGAAACAACCTTAACAACTCGAAGAGCAACAACGGTGGGAAAAACTCGATTTTCAGAACCTATTCTTCCTCTCCAGGCCCAGGCTCTGAAAGAGCGCTGAATGCAATCAGTACTCCAATCCCCGCTAGCCAGTTCAATCTTCATAGATTGCAAAGCTACAACCCTAACTCTAGTTTTGCCGCGTATCCGACCTCTTTTGTGTCGTTACCGTCCCATCAGACACAAAATGTAAGGACAAAGAAGTTTTTGCATATAACATACTCCAGTAATCGGCTTGAAACCATTGCTCAAGAGATCAGTCAAAGATTTCTCAAGCTTTATCCTAATGAAGAGCCTTTGCACATTTTGAATATCCAAGATTACGAAGAATGCGACTTAGATCCAGATTATACAGCAGAAATGGTATTTGACAACAATAACATATGCCGCGTGATAGTTGCTAACGAGTTCAACGAATCAGACGATGCCATCATCAACAGCAACGGAAAGCGCTACCTAGCTGGTGATCTCAATAGTGTCATGAAGAAAGTTAGAAAGCCTAAAACTTTAAAGCACAGCATTGAGAGTACGTCTCTGGCGAACACGTCCATTTGGTCTTTCGACGAAGAATCCCGATTCTCAAAGCCTCAACACTCTTCTGCTAGCCGCAGCTCACATTCATATCATTCGATGAATAAACCCATAGGCATGAAAGAAGACGCCAATGCATCCCATATGGGCCCAAATATCTCATTGGCTATTCCAGAAGTAGACGACACAGTTATTCATCCACACAAAAGTGAGCATCTGAAAATTGCTTCTCCCATAGTAGCAACTGGATCACCAACTAGAATTACCTCAGGTATGTTGAATGCTAAGTCTCAACCTGACTTGTCCAAAGTTGATTACGAGGATTTAAACGGCTCCATGTATGTTGAACAAGAGGAAAAAAGAGCCAGTGTTTCTACGAAGGAAGATGCGATGAGGAATAGGCTCACTAAAACACCTGCTACCGCCCCTGTTTCTGAAGCTATTGCAGATTCGTCCTTGATAGTCAATGCCGATCTATCAAGTTCCTCTCTGAATGTTTCACCCGAAAATGTTGCGATAGAACTGAAGACCCCAGAGTCAAATAAAACTAGTTTGTTATCCATGACAAACAAACGCTCTTCTGTCAGCGGCTCTGCTACCAAGAAAACCAATAAAAAGCAGAAGACCCAACAAGTGTCCAATACTTCCAGCCCTTCAACCAATGCACAGAAATCACCAGCACGCCTTGACCAACCAAATTCTGGTAACCAAGAGAATGGCTCTAAGTTGGCTCCGCTGAGCGAAACGAGGGCCGTGCCTACGCCCGCTAGTAATGCCGCTATTCAAGTGAGTATTCCTGATGGTAAAACCTTTGAAGTGACAGATAAAGAAGACGCAGTTAAAGAAAAGGCTGCCAAGGAGAAGGGGGAAAAGACAGAAATTGCAAAGGCAGCTAAAGAGAAGGCAGCGAAAGAGAAAGCAGAGAAGGCTGAGAAGGCAAAGATAGCGAAAGAGAAAGCAGCAAAGGACAGGGCCGAGAAAGCTGAGAAAGCGAAGGCAGCTAAGGAGAAGGCAGCCAAGGAGAAAGCTGAGAAAGCTGAAAGAGTAAAAGCTGAGAAGGAAAAAGCAGCTAAAGAAAAAGCTGAGAAAGCTGAGAAAGTAAAAGCTGAAAAAGAAAAGATAGCAAAGGAGAAGGCTGAAAAAGCAAAAGCAGCTAAAGAGAAAGCTGAGAAGGAGAAAGCTGAGAAAGAGAAAGCTGAAAAAGAGAAAGCTGAGAAAGAGAAAGCTAAAAAAGAGAAAGCTGAGAAGGAGAAAGCTGAGAAGGAGAAAGCTGAGAAGGAGAAGGCTGAGAAGGAGAAGGCTGAGAAGGAGAAGGCTGAGAAGGAGAAGGCTGAGAAGGAGAAGACCGCCAACGAAAAGGCCGCCAAAGAAAAGGCCGCCAAAGAAAAGGCCGCCAAAGAAAAGGCCGCTAAAGAAAAGGCCGCTAAAGAGAAAGTTGCTAAAGAGAAAGCTGAAAAGGAGAAGGCTGAGAAGGAGAAGGCTGAGAAGGAGAAGGCTGAGAAGGAGAAGGCTGAGAAGGAGAAGGCTGAGAAGGAGAAGGCTGAGAAGGAGAAAGCTGAGAAGGAGAAAGCTGAGAAGGAGAAAGCTGAGAAGGAAAAAGCAGCTAAAGAAAAAGCTGAGAAAGAGAAAGCTGAGAAAGAGAAAGCTGAGAAAATAAAATTGGCCAAAGAGAAGGAACAGTCTGGTGAGAATAGCTCTAACATAAAATTACAGGTGACATCCGACAAACCACCCAAAAGATCGAGGAGAGTTTCCAGAAATAATGATGTCATTGTAATTGATGGTACACCTGAAGCAGATAAAGGAGCAAGGATCCTAAAAAAACCGTCAAATGCGGTTGCTGCTGATGTTGATAGTGATAACATTCTTACTGATACTGAAGATGATGAGGACATAAGCAAAATCAGAATTCTAACTAGAAATGATACTCCAGAGGATGAGAAGTTGAGCCACCCTGCAAAGGCAATCAAGGTTACAAAACTTTCTGTAAGTGCGGCTAAACCAAGAATACCTAACATTTCTTTAGCATCCGATATCAATGAAATGTCCATAAACACTTCCAATGGTCTGAAAGCCAGTGGAGGGTCAACTCCATTCAACATTTCGGAAGATTCCGCCACCGCATCTAGTGAAGGATCTCCTGCAAATAAGAAAAGAAATATCAAAAAACAGGAGGAGAGCTCTCCAGGAGAAATTATTTCCAAAATCATTATGAAAGAAAATGCAAAGATCATTAATGGTGCAGCTAGGCACGACGAGATCAGTGGAGATATTGACATGTCTAATATTCTTCCCCAAAAGAACAGAGTTGCTAAGCCAGTTTCCGCAAAGAGTACTAAGAATGCTACAGGTAAAACGTCGTCAGACACAGATTCCTCATCGGGTACCAGCTCAGGTTCAGGTTCAAGTTCGAAATCCAGTTCGGAGTCTTCATCTGGTTCAGATTCATCTGACGAGTCATCAGATGATGAAAGTTCTAGGCCAAAAATTGTTCCGGCACCAAAGATAGCAATGAAAGCTTCTAATTTGAGTCAGGGAAAACGGGAGCCTTCAAAAAAGACAGCTTCTATAACTAATAACGTTAATTCACCAGAAATTTTGACTCCTAGTCCTCCAAAACCAGCACCATATGTTAAACCAGCACCATATGTTAAACCACCAACATTAGCTAAAGCACAAAGTTCCACGATTGCTGAATTGTCTAAACGTTCATCATTACCAAGATTATCTGCTTTCCTGGATAAAAAACTTCCTGAAGTCAGAATGCAAAAGAATCAATCCTCAAAAACTGTGACTACCAAAACAAAATCATCCGATTCCGATTCCACAGGCTCTTCTGATGATTCAAGTTCTTCTTCGTCATCAGACTCCGATAGTGATTCAGACACGGCATCTGATTCATCTGATTCAGATTCAGAGGATGGAGATGCAGTAAAAGCAAAATTCATAAATGCAAGAACTGCAAATCAATTTGTTTCTACCAAAAAGTCCAAAACTAAAACCAAGAAAAACAAAGGATTTAGTGCCTTGATGAAAGACTCGAAGAAGTAAACTATCAACAGTATGTATTTTTATTTAATTTTTATTTTCAATTCTCCTAGCTTAATAATTAAACACATTATAACAATCTCATAAAAAGGAATTAGCAATGAATGCTCCTCACATATTATACCCGATGTTGATCTTCCACAAAATCCAAAGCTCTCTCTGCGTCAATATCACTGACAGTACTAACTTTATTGTTGAACATAACACCGTAGAATTTGTCACTTACTTTCAACATTTCAGGTCTAAATGTTGTGCATATAAATTGTGCATTACGAGACAGATTATGAATCAGGTTAGCCACGGCAGTTCTATATTGGGCGTCTAAATTTGAGTCAACCTCATCAAATAAATAAAATGGTGCTGGGTCACAACTTTGGATGGCTAGAATCAAAGCTAAAGCACATAAAGACTTTTGACCACCAGAGAGTTGTTCTAATCTCAATTGCTCGTTTTTCTTGGAATTGAAGGAGACGGATATAGATATTCCAATAAAGGACTCGATTGATTTTTCGTTGTCATTTGAATCGGCATCTTCGATCTCGTTTGCAGAATTACCATTTCGCTCTTCATTAGTATCTGGATATTGAGATAATGAAATAGTGTTTGCATTTTGCTCTAAGTTTTTCTTCTGAATGATTAGTCTACCCTTACCAGCAGGTACAAGTTTCTCAAAAATTTTGGAGAATCCAACAGAAACTTCCCTAAACGTTCTTATTATTGCTTCATTTTTCCGATTTTGAAGAACTTTTATCAAATGCTCAATTGAGGATTTGGCTTCGCTTAATTCTGAGATACGTTCTTTCAATGAATCTCTTTGTTTTGCAAACTTGACAAATTGTTCCATTGCCTTTTTGTTGACATGATTATATGCCTTTAGTTGTTCGTTGATTTGAGTGAGCTTTTTAGACAAAGACGTCGCAGACTGACCCGCATAGATAGTTAGTGTTTCTTCGGGGAGAACACCTAACTCACCAATATTTCTTTCTAATTCTTGTTTTCTGTTTCTCAACCTAACTTTTTTTACTAAATTCTTATCCGTAGATTTACCGTAATCCTCAAATTGCTTAACAAATGATTCCTGAGCACTGTTAAGCTTCTCAATCTGAGTATTTGTTGATTCTATGCTTTCTTTTATATCAGATACATCAATTGTCAATTGGTTTTCAATATCTTTTAGCTCTGCCTTTCTTTTTTGTAGCTTCTGCAATCTAGATTTCAAATCTGCCAAAATATAATCTGTGTCTTTTTCCATACTATCCATACTCTCAAGCTCAGAATTGAGTTGGTTATAACGTGGGACTAAATTATCAGCTATAGTAGTGGATAGAGATGATATCTTCAATTCAACGGGATTCATTTCTTCGGTCAAACTCTGCAGATTTTGCTCCAATAACGGTAATTCTTCATAAAATTCCCTCAACAAATCTTCATCCTCCATCGAGAAGGAATCTTGAGAAAACGATGTTTCCAGCTCATCATTATAATTATTGATCTTTTGTTCAATAACTTGCACTGAGGTTTGGATAGCACTTAATTTTTGCTCAATTGTAGAAATGTCTTGTCGATATTTTGCTATTGAGTTATTTACTTTTGACAATCTAGCCGCAAGCTCACTTTTCTCACTTAGTTTCACATTCAGAGAATCTTTCAGAGTTGAAGTTTTTTGGTAGTTTGCAGTGATGACAAAATCTTTGGAGTTGATTTCTTCTTTTGCTGTTTTCAATTCCTCTTTTAAAGAGTAAATTTCAGCTTTGCAAGACCTCAAACTCTTCAGATAGTCCACCCTTGAAACTTTAGTGTCTCTAAAACCTCCTGTTAGAACACCTTTGTTATCACACCTATCACCATCGAGAGTGACTGCGTTGACACTGTATATATCAGACAACTCATAACCTTTTTGAATTGAGATGCAAACGACAGTTCTACCAAATATTTGCTTGACAGCTGGTGCCAAAAATTCGTCGTAAGCTATTTTTTTGATGAGTGGAACTGATTCACTACCGGCCGGAAATTTGAATTCCTCGTTCTTTAATCGATTCAAAGGTATGAAGGTTGCTCTGCAGTTTCTCTCTTTCTTTAGCTCTTCAATTAAGATACTTGCTGTTTGATCATTATTGACTACAATATGGAAAAGAGAGTTACCGCCAACAACGTCAACAGCAGTTTTATATTTTTCAGATACATCAATCAATTCACCAAGATATCCATAAACACCGGACTCAATAGTTGGACCCAGACGTTTTGCAATAGCTTTAACAGTTTCAAGCGCATTCAAAGTCATTCGATCTACACCACCTCTGAGGGATTGTTCGATAGTTGCTAAATTCTCTTCCTTAGCTAAGATGATATTGTTCAACTTACTTTCTTTTCTCCACAACAAACTACGGTCATCAACCAAGTTTCTTGCTTCAGAATTCAGCTCTGCGATCTGTCCTCTGATTTTGGCTAGTTCATCGTTTAAGTTGGTGTTTTCCTCGATTTTCAGTTTTTCATCAATTGCGTTCCGTAGTATCATTTTCCTGTTTGATAAGGCAGTTTCAAGTTCTTTGAGTCCTTCTTCTTTCCTCAGTTGGGAATCCTTGAGCGATACGATCTCTTTCTTCAAATATCTGTCTCTTTCTCTTTTGGAAGAAAACCTTGAAGTTTGATTTTTTTTGGAGATGATGGACATTTGTTTCTGACGCAGATCATTTATCTTTTTTTTGAGTTCGACTTCACTTTCCCTTTGCAATTTCAGAGTTTTCCTGGTGGCTTCGAGCTGTTGCTGCTTTTCCTCTATTTCGACTTTTAGGGCTCTCAATCTCTCAGAGGAGGAAGAACCCGAATGTAGAGTATCTAAGGAGATCTGTGCATCCTGTAGTTGGATGTTCATGTTCGAGATCTGCTGCAAAACTTCTTGGTTTTCTCTGTGGTTAATTTCAAGATCAATTTCCAACAGCTTCTTCTTTGAACTTAGGTTGTTCAAGTCCAAAGACAATTGTGATATCTGCGTTTCTCTTTCTTCAAGTTCCGTTATCAATGCTTCAGTTTCATGGGCCGATGTTGAGTAATTATCATCTATTGCCTCAATCTGATCACTCAAAGCCTTCATTTCTCTATCGTAAATGTTGAATTCCAACATTTTCTTTTTACTCATTAGCTTTTCGAAGGATTTCAAATCTTCTCTTTCGATGTCTAATTCATCTAATCTTTTTTCGATATCTGTCAACATTTCCTTGATCTGGTCCTGCTTTTGTCCAGTGATCGCCATTTCCTTCAAGGAGTCTTTCAACTTGTTTTCAAAAACTTTGGCACCGGCAACGTCTCGCAATAGCTCTAGTCTCTCTGAATCCTTTGCGTTCGTGAGCGCCATGACTCTACCCTGTGGGACGATGTAGTACGGATTTGACTTGGAAAACCCAGAGGCTTCTAGCAGGTTCATTATATCTGCCTTTGTAGCACTTTTATAGTCTAACGTGTAGTCATCCTTCCTCATACCGATGGTACGTCTGATGGAAACCTCATCTTTTGCTACTGGGATCCGGCGGTCTGTATTATCGAAGACAATTTCTACAAAGGCAGACATGATATTGACAGAGCTCTCGTGGATCAATGACTGTCGTTCCTCACGACTCATGTTGTTGTATGCGTCGCTCAAAACGAATCTGATGGCTGCAAAGAAGTTGGACTTACCAGAACCATTTCTTCCAATCACAACGTTGTAGTGGGGAGAGAAGTCCTCGATGACAGTTTCATTCTTGTAGGTTTTGAAGCCTCTGATAATCACCCGCTTAATGTACATTTATCTTTTTGCTTTGTTATAAGTGTAACTTGGAGAGCCTGCAGAGCAGCTCTTTTGGTGTTATCGCAAGCAGAGACGGTGATGGCAGAAGTAAATAGATACGCGTCAGGAAAGTGCTGAGCATTCCAGAAACAGCTCCGCCCTGTGAGGATTTCGCGTTAGCCGTGGAGAAAAAAATTGTCTGATCTACTATCTTCAAATGGAAGGAGGATAACACGAGAGGGGAGTTCTGTACAAGAGAGGCAGGCGTGCGGTAGGTTTGATTACTATAACGATCTCTGATCTTGTTATACATTCAAGCGCCCTTGTAGTAGGACGTTGGGTAAAATGGCATTTTGGAGACTTCGGCATCTCTCAACTTGCCTCTGATCTCGACCTTGACCTTGGTTCCGGTCTTGTTGTATGGCTTGTCGAGGAAAACCTGGGCAACGTTGCCGCCGCAGCTTGGGGAAGGCGAGCCCGAGCAAACGGTACCGATCTGCTTGGAAGGCTCCTCGGCGGAGAAGATCTTGTTGCCGTGTCTTGGGGAAGGCCCCTTGGAAACCAGGCCGACTCTTTTGAAGGAGACGGACTTGGGGTTGTTGATCTGGCTGATGATTCTGTCTGCGCCGTTGAAGGTGGCGCCCTCGGGAGATCTTCTGGACTTGGAGACGAGCCAGTTGAGGGAGGCCTCGATCGGGGAGACGTCGTCGTTCAACTCGTGGCCGTAGAGACACATGCCGGCCTCCAATCTGAGGGAGTCTCTGGCGGCCAAGCCGATAGGCTTGACGATTTCGTCGTACTCGAGAAGCGCGTTGAAGAAGTCGACGCCGACCTTGCTGTCCGGGATGGAGATCTCGAAGCCGTCCTCGCCCGTGTAGCCGCCCCTGGCGATGTGGAACTTGGCGTCGGTGCCGAAGCCCTGGAGGTCGATGAACCGCGAGTTGCCGAAGTACAAGTCGTCGAGCGGGGTGTTGGTGAACTTGGCGACAACCTGCTGCGCCTTCGGGCCCTGGATGGCGAGAAGCGTGCCCTCGAAGTTCTCGTGCTTGATCTGCTGAGCCTGGTCGAACTTGGCGAGCTCCTCCTTGAGGAAGGCCGTGTCCTTGTCTCTGCAGCCGGCGTTCGTGACCACGTAGTACGAGTCGTCGCCGTGCTTCGTGACGATCGTGTCGTCCACCACGCCGCCCGTCTTGTTGAGCAGCACGCTCAAGTGGCTTTGGAACGGCTTCAACACGCTGAAGTCCGTGGGACAGATCTGCTGCAGGAAGCGGGTTGTGTTGGGCCCGGAGATGCGGTGCTGCAGCATGTGCGACACGTCGAACACCCCGCAGTGCGTTCTCGTCCAGTTGTGCGACTGGATGTGTGTCTGGCCCTTGTACAGCACGGGCATCGAGTACCCGGCGAACGGAACCATTGTGGCGCCGAGCTTCACGTGGGCGTCGTACAACGGCGTCTTGAGCAGCTTCTCGGCGGACTCGGTGGAGTACGCTCTCGAGGCGGTTCTGCTGGCGGTTCTGCTGGCGGTTCTGAGCATTCTGTGCACGCTGGTGTCTCGAGTTCTTGCTGGCTGTTCTCCCTTCTTATCGCCGACCCGCCTTCTCCCTGCCCCCTGTCTGGCCTGCCCAGGAAAGAGGACTTCTCCTGGTTTATATACCCTCCGGGGAGGGCTGTTGCCGAAACATGCAGCCTGGCCGGAGTCACCTGTCCGCCCGGGCCCAAGTCGCTCCTGCTGACTCCGTCCCCAGCCCACGGGCCAAGTCACAGCCGTCGATCGTCCCCGTTTTCCCGGAAAAACTCGCCAACGGCTGCCCGAATCCGACGGGGGGAAAAACATTTACTCTTTTGGCCCCAGAAACCTTTGCTTTGAGCCCTGGCTTGCTCCTCTGGTGAACCGCTGCACCTGTTGTCCTTGCTGCCCCGTGCCTGCCCCGTTTCCCCCTCCTCTTTGCACCTCGCTGGTGCACAGCCCCTGGTGGCGGCGCCCGTTGCGGCGTCTTTGTAGGTCTTCAGCCCTTCTGCATGGCCATGGCGGAACCGTGGTGATGTGTGACCATCGTCTGCGGCCAGGGGGGTGCTGGGGCGGAGGCAGGGTGTTCGGGGTCGGCATTGTGGTCGATGTGTAGAGTTCTGCCGTGTGGCAGCGGAGCGTAGGGTAGGGTAGGGTAGGGTAGGAGAGGGTGGGAAAGGGTAGGAGGCCCCACGTGAGCCGCTGGCGCCGTGCCAGGTTCGGGCCGAGGACCGTGCGTGCCAGCGACACACGCACTCCAGCCGACAGCGACACAGATATGCACACGCAGACGGCGCAGAGTCTGCTGCTGGTGCACCGCCGAACAGAAGCAGGAGCAGGAGCAGGAGCAGGAGCAGGAGCAGGAGCAGGAGCAGGAGCAGGAGCCCAAACACAAACACGCCAACTAGCTGTGCCCTTCTCCCGTCCTCCCCCCCAAGCCCCGGTGCACATACGCCCCCGTCGAGATGCAGTCGAACACAGACAGCAACAGCCATAGCAACCGTCCGCGTAAGGAGACGAGCAACAGCAGTATGCCCGACGAGTCGTCCCGTGATCCGGTCCCGGGCAGCGGAAACGATGTTAGCAGCAACGACGAGGCTCTAGAGAATGACAACGAAGGGCCCCAGGCGTTCGTCCAGCGAAAACGGGCCAGATCAACCAAGGCATGCATCTCGTGCCACAACAGAAAGGTCAAGTGTGACGTCGCCAACAAGTCCAGCAACAGCAAGTGCACAAACTGCCTTTACTCGGGCTCCGAGTGTGTCATCTACGTGAGGAAGAAGAGAAGCGCCAACAAGAAGAGAGCCCTTTCCATGCCGCCCTTGGACGAGGAGGTCCTCCTCATGCACTCTGCCCACCCGGCCTCTAGACCGCCAGAGAAGGACGGCGTCATGCCCCAGACATCCTCCTCCGGCGTGCCGTCGAAGCTATCCAACCTCGTCTCGAGCGGCGATCCTGCCCAGGACAACAGCAAGGACCCCGCAGGTACTAACGGCGCCGCCAGCAACAAAGACTCTTCCAAAACTAAAGCAAACGACGTCAGCATCCTAAGCTCCAACTTGAACGACTTGGACTCTTGCAATGAGCGCAAGCCGTCGTCCAACATCCCGAATTTCGCCCTGTCCTTCCTCAAGCCCTCCGGCCACGTCGAATACCCACACATCAGCGCCATCAAACTTGACCCAAACGTGGTCTTGAAGGAAAACATGCACGAGTTGATGAAAACCGAGTTTGGGATCAACGAAAACAAAAATCACTTCATGAAGGAAATTCTAGACTCGGCGCTATCTAAAATCACCGAGAGCTACAAGAGAACATACTCCTTGAGCCAGTCGGATTACCAGATCTTGAATGAGTTGGGATGCTTCACGATCCCAGACGAAGAAACTTGCTGGCGGTTCATTGACAACTTCTTCGAATACATCAACCCGCAGCTCCCGATCATCGATAAAACAAATTTCTACGAAACATACACAGACTTGAGAAACCCGCCGTCCTTGTTGTTGTTGAACTCCGTCTTATTTGTCGGCGCATGGCACACCAACTCCGAGTCCGAGAACCCAGAGGAGCAGTTTGAAAGTGTGAGGATCGCCCAGATTTTCCTCAAACGTGCAAGGTTCTTATACGAATACTCCATCGAGTGTGAGCCCATTGCTTTAATCCAATCCCTCCTCTGCTTCTGTTTCAACAATGAAAACATGTCCAACATTGCCAAAAACGACTATTACTGGATCCACACAGCAGTAGGTGTCGCCTACGCTTACAACTTACACCAAAAACCTGCCTCGAGTTTGACTCCCTACAAAAGGAAAATGTACAAAAGGCTATACTGGATCCTCTTCTTTAAAGATCGAATTACGGCCTTTGGATACTCTAGGCCTAGTGCCATCAACGTCACCGATTGCGATCAAGAAATGTTGACCTTTTCTGACCTGTCAAATAGTGGTATGACCCATTTAGAACAAATCTACCTCATCAACTTAGTGAAGTTTGGTAAGCTACTCGACAAGATTGGAGCCATCCAGCACGAAATCACCAAGCTATACACAAACAAACGTCCTGTGTTACATCTCATGAAAAAATGTGATTTGATCATGATAAAGTTTTTACAAAATCTACCAAAAGAATTGAAATTCAAGTTTAACGATAAATCAACCCATTCCTTTCTTTCCTTGATGTCACTATCCCAATACTATACCCTTTTGATTGTCATCCATAGAGCAAATATTCTTAGACACTCTGCGGATGTCTACCCTTCATGGGCAATCACCTTCCAAGCCGTTCAAATGATCAAACTATTGAGTGACTGCCTAGTGGCGAAAAACTTAATCAAAAAGGTTGCTTTGCTTTCTCACAATACTTTGACCTCACCAGCAATCATTATGCTTTATCATTTGCTCAACGAAGATGAAAAAATATCCAAGATAGCAAACGAGTTTTTCCTCAGAATATTGGGTATTTGGAGAGCAACATATAGAAAGTTCCCTGTTGTTTACCCAATGATGTGTATCTTTGGATACATCTACAATTCCGAAGAGCATTTGAAAGAAATCGTCAAATCAGTGGCTCCAAAGTATAACTCTGCAGGAAATAGTCCTGGAAATATTGCCAAGGCTGATGTTTCTCAAGAACCCAACAAGGCTCCTCTCAAACTTCCAGATTTATCGTTTATCGTTAACCCAGGTTTTAGAATTCACAATATGGTGGATCCATTCAATCTAAACTCAGACCCTAACGCCTCAAAATTTGAAGACCTTGGTGTTAATTTCGATAAGTTGTTTTCCGAAAGCGTTTTCGCAAAAGGTGAAACGTTGGTACCTAAGCTAGATTTAGAATCTATTTCTCGAAAATCTAAACTACGACCCCAACCTCAAAACCAGATGTCTCCAAATGCTGAGATGAGCGCCGATAAAGATGCCAAAGTTGATGATATCAAGATAAAAACGGAAACAATTTTTTCAAATCCGGATACGCCGTCGACAAAATCAGAAATCAATTCTGAAAGTGTAAGTTCTCGGGCACCAATGTCGACTAATAACAATGCAAGCGATTTCAATAGCACGAGCATGCCAACATCGACTGCTCCACTCTCTGCACTAGATTACAGTTTGCAAAGTGATGATTATGCTCCGCAAACCAATCACAATTCTGATTCTTTTTCTGATCTAAACAATTTGATGATGTCGAACTCAATGCTGAATCTAGATGACAACCAAGGTTATGAATCGAAAATGCAAACCTCAAATATTGATATTCCTATTAGTTTGTGGATGATGAAGGCTAATTGGAAACCTAAGTTCAATGTGAATTTGGAGGAAACATCTGATGATCTTGAGAAGAGTGATAAATGTAGCGCCCCAGACAGCCAACTTAGAGACAACGATTATGAATCAGAAAAAGTAGGCAAAGTTGAAAATTTTTATGGTGATGTCTATCAAATTATGGGTGGGGCATACAACGAATTACGAGAAGATGACAATTCTGAAGGTGGAAGTGTAATGAACTCCAATAATGACACATTATACCCGAGTATGTGGAACCAAAGCAACAATTCAAAGCTAGATGACACTAGATATCAGTTGCCCAATTTTGATCGGTTTTCGCATGTCAACATGCCTCCCAGCGAGTCGGCCGATACATTACACAAGTATCGATATAACTTGAATCGTCACTCTGATTCCACTCTGTTATCTTCGACAGTACCTAATATTCAATCAAACACTCAAGCTCAGACTTTTCAGCACCAACCGACTGATCATACCATGCCCCAACCTCATAATTTTACTGGAGGTGCACAAAGCAATGTGCCACCAGAGCCAGATATTATATCAAAAATTTCAAATACACAAGGTCTACATTTGCCGGTGCAACCTGGAGCCCCTCCACTCAAACTGGCTCCTCAATCCTTTTTATTGAACAATTTGCAGCAACAACCTTTGGCACAACGCCCACTCTCACAGCAACAACATAATGATTACTATCAAGAGCAGAGCTATAGAGATGAAGCGATGAAGAGACACCAGTCTTTACAAAGTCAACAACCTAATAAACGCTTTTCTCAGGAAAACATGTTTGCTATACAAGATTATGGAAAATCCGTGAACAACTACAACACCTTAATACCGCAACAACAGCCACTCCATCCGCAGCAGCTGTCATCCCAGCAACAACCAACTATTCAATCACAGTCACAGGCCCCCGCTCACCACTCACTTTATCTACCCCATAATTCACAACTTCAGTACCAACCTCAACACCAAAATCAGCCTCAGCACTTGCAACAACCACAACATCGGCAGAATTCACCGCTTTACAACCTCCAGCAGCAGCAGCCACATCCCCAACATTTGCAACATCAGCAGCAGCACATTCAACAATATCAACCACCACCCACGCAACCTCCCCAGCTCAGTCAACACCAACATCCACAACACTTAGGTCAACATGCACCACTTCAGCATCAACCACAGCAACCACAACAACCACAGCGATCAGAACAATCACAACAACCACAGCAGCAGCAACAGCAGCAGCAACCTCAATCACAGCCATAGTGGTAGCCATGTTTTGGAAACTTTTAAACAATTGTACAACTGGAACATTCTCCCATATCTTTTCTAAAAGCTTAATACTTTTTAGTGTCATGTAATTTTATAAACCTGTAGTATAATACATAAAACTCAATTTTTAAAGCTATGATCTACATTTCGTGTTAACGAGCATAAAAATGATGGAATCAAAAACCGCAAATCTAGTGACAACTGAGAAGGAATCTTTCTTTAAAAACAATGAAAATAAGCAGAAGTGCTTTTACAAATGCAACTTAGACGGGAAATGAGATGTCGAGTAATTACCGCAACCTGATTTTTGCATCGAAAGTCCGCTTATTGGACATATAAAAAACAAACCAAAGCATTGCAGCTGCAGAGAATGTAAAAAAGATAACTTCGGGAAAGTACTTTAAGCCTGCACCGTCTGCAGGTTCGCCGTCTGTGGCGCCAAAGTTTTCTGCAATATAGCCCATGAGGGCAGGAACGATAGCTGCACCTGTGCCACCGAACCCAGCGATTAGAGAAATGCCGTGTAATGCATATCTTTTAGGAAGCGTTTTCAGAGCAATAATGATTGTGGTCCCAAATAATGGCCCCACGAACCAAGCTGCAACACATATTGAAATCGTTTGCAAAAGAACAGAAAACTCGCATATCCAGAAACTCAAACAACCTCCAGCAACAACAAAGCAGTATATGACAATGGCATGAATCTCACTGTCCTGAAAATAACGACCCGTAAAGAATCCCATAACTCCCCTACCCAAAGTCATAAAAAGCCAGAAAGTGGAAGTGATAACTGAGGACTTTTCTTCTGTCAGCTTCTGGATTCTAAATAAATAGTTATTAAGCCACACACCAACACTTAACTCGCTTCCAACATATGCAAATAGAGCAACTGAATAGAATATTATGTATTTGTTAGCCAACGTTTCACGAATGGTTGGCTCTGATTGGTCTTCCAAACCGAGTTCTCCTAAGAACTCACTATCCTCTGAATTATTTTTCCTCTCCAATGAGGCAACGTATCTATACTTTGCACTTGTTTCATTTTTGAAAAAAAAGTAGGCTAGTAGAAAGTTGACAAAGGCAGTACCGAACAAAAAAATATAATAATGATTCCAAGCCATACCGTGTTGTATTAGATATATAGAGAAAACGGGAGTAATCAAACATCCCATACCGTACATGGAATGCATTATTCCGAGAAGTTCATTGGAGTAGTCTAAGCTGCCGACAAAATAGTTCAAGCAGCAATCAAAAGTACCATTGCACCATCCAATGAATACCGAGCAGATGGGTAAGAGAAAAAATGGAGCCTTGAAGAAGAAGAATGTTGACGTAACACACATGATCAAGCACGATGAGTAGAAGAGTTTGTGTATCCCATATTTCCCCATCATATAGTTGTTGAATATACTTGAAGGGATATAGCCACAGAACTGTGCAAAAAAGAGGTAGGAAATCTTCACTCTGTCGATATGGTACTCCGCCAAAAAGTATTCTAATAACGATCCGACAACCTGATCTGTCAATCCAATCAGAAACAAAGCACCCATTGAGGCAGCAAGTTGGAACTTGAGTTTGGGGTTTTTGAAAATGTTTTTGTTCTCTAAAATGACTAACTCGTTCTCAAACCGTACAACTTCTCCCGATCCAAAATACCCAGTCTCATCTGGCTCCTCAATATCCATGTTGAACTCATTCAGCGTGCTTCGGTCAAAAGATGAGCTGGTCTTTGGAGAGGCCGAGATACTGTGGTGCAACTCCACTAAATGCTCATCGCTATCGTGCAATTGTCTCTGAGTTTCTGTCACTGCCTCTGAACTTTTTTGAACTTGCAACATTGGGTTGACCTCTACTGAACTGTTCAATGTAAATATCCAGAACTGATGGGAAGGACACAAAAGAAACAAATTACGAGCGGTGAAAGAATTTAGAAATAGGTGTAATTACGGATATCTTTCTGGCTCTCAATAAGAAAAAGTTTTTTTATTTTTAACTTATCCGATCTCGATTTTCTCATTTTCTTCGCTTTTATCTACTCTTCCATTCATCTCCGGGATATCCTGAGTCACCTCGTCTCCGGCGCTAAACCCTTTCGGGCAGCCTGCTTGCACTTTTGCACCAGTAATTGCTGGCTCTATATTACACTATTGTACATTCTACACAAAATTTGGGGTTCCCGTTGTGGCTTTCGGGCGTAAACCAGACGAATGCCACCCTATCGGAAGGCGATATCCGCCTCTTGCCGTTCTGCCGTAGACGTTCTCACCTCTTCCCAAAAGGGTAATTTAATCGCTACCGTATCGATAGCTGGGCGGAGGCTTGGTAGTTGACGAGCCTATCAGTTGTTGAGACCACGTATCGAGCTTTGGAGGAGGCGAACCACCCCGCTGTACGACTGTTGTACCAACTCTTTAAGAACTAGCATTCGCATGTCTTCAGAGATGGCGCCCTGTGGGCCCTCGGAACTTTTGGCCGAGCGCACGGATATCCCTCTCGTAGCAGGTAGATGCGCCAAGTCCATTGGCTTTGGCTCGAGCTTGTCGACGAAAGCGGAGGGAAATCCGAAAAATCGACCCGAGGATATGTCTTTAGCATGGTACGCTCGGTTCCTCCAGAGGAAGTTGCATATATCCATGACATACGAGTTGTGCAACTCTTTGACTGCTTTCAAAAGTGCGTAGTTGTTTTGCGACACACTGTTTTCGATTTGCCTTAACCCAAACTCAGCGAAGTACTGCTTACAAAATAGAACATGCTGAAGAAGCAGATTGATATTAAACAAATCGTTGGAAAAGAAGATCATTGCGGTGAAGTCAGAGTGTAGCACTAGTTGCGTAATGTCGATAGAAGAGTAAGGCATGCTCTGAACTAAGGGTAGAAGGAGTAGAACTTCATTGTGGAGCGGAGAATTGTTATAGTCCAAATTCCGCAGTATCAAAGTGAAAAGCTTATTAAATTCATCTGGGCTGTCCATCCAGTTTGAAGCCAAAAGCACGAGTCCTCTCATCATCCTGACGTTGTTAAGTTTGAGGGTCATCCCCAACAATCGATCTAGAACGTCTTCATATCTTGCAAAATCTGGCTCCAGAAACTGTATGAAGTCGCTCACGCATAAGATTTGCATCATTTCATCTTGTGATCCGGTAAAGTCGACCTCGATGCGGCCTAAGAGCACGTCTTTTACGCACGACAAAAGTATATGCTTGGGATGCAATGCACAGAAGTTTGCCAGACCCTTGAAAATCCAATGCAGCCCCGACGTCAGCGACACAACTCCTTCATCAGTTTTCATTATCTCCGTTATTGCTCTATTCAAGGCTTCAAAATTGGAATTGACTAGGACAGTGAGTATGGGAGCGTAGAATATAAATAAAGGGTCACTGTACTCGGTGGGCAGATCGGGTGCAAAGTTGGGGGCTTCTAAGGTTTTCAATTCGAGTGCCGATAGAAACTTCAAAACAGCTATCGCTGTCAAATCATAGGGCTTAACGTCTATACTTAGTTCTTCCGCTAATAGTCTCGGAGAGTAAAGGTGATATAAGGAGGCATTTTTTAGCACACTTGCCATACTTTCATCTTCTAAATACTTGCGCTTTTTCAAAACGTTACTTGCTAGATTGGAATCAAAGGATTGATTGAGGTTGGATAACAATTGAATGTAAAATTTGACGTTGCTTTGGAAAATTTCAATTTCATCCCAGTCTTTATTGGCCGACCTTTTCATTTCTATTAGCTGAACTATTTGTGAAAGTTCCTTTTTTCCAAACACATCTTTTGGAATTTTAGCATCTGATAATACTAGTAAATACTTGGAGAATATCAAATCAAATGAGTAACCTCTATTTGTAGAGCTCAAATATGCTGCAAAACTCAACAACAATGGAAGTGAGTTGGACTTATCAAGTTCGTAGAATTCAAGTACAGAGTTAAGTTTTTTCGCAGTATAGAAATATCGTTTGTCGTACAAAGGATCGATTTCAGGTGATAAACTCAAAAAGTATATCAAGAAAAGCCCTATATTCAACCGCAAATATCCTATGGATAATAAATCATACAGCCAGTTGAGCAATCGTAGAAACTTTTTTTCCCATCGAATATTCACAAAATTCCGGAGAAGAAAAGAAGATAGCTTTGTTTGAATTGCTTTTGAAAGTATGACAGTCGTTGACTTTTTGTTGTAGTAGCTCGGGACCTTGAATACTGAAACAATTTTGAGAACACAATCGAAATCAAGAAGGTCCCGACAATAAAGCAACGTCAGAAGCTTATTCTTTTGCACGCTTTTGAATTCTGAATGAGGATCAATGACGATATCCAACAGGAGAGTAAATTCTTCTAGGGAAAGTCCATATTTCGGAACGACGGCATGAAGTTGATTGTAATATTTGTCAAATTTTAAATTGTCCTCTGCGACTTTCACCAGGTTACTGGTTGCAGATGCAATAAAGTCGTGATATTTCTGATCGTGTTCATCCATGCCAGATGGAAAATCCCTTTTGTGGAGAAAAGACGTGCCAAGAACGAAGATGCTGATGTTGACGTTTTCATCATGTTTTGAAGATCTACAAACACGGTTAAAACATTTTGCATCATAACTTACGTAATCGCATAACAAGTCTTTTATATTTGTTAACTAAATGACAGGAATTTGAGTCTATATATTATATATTAATCGTCAGGGGTTGTATGTATAAGAATTAATTAGTATTTTGATTAGTTGCCCTTAGTTGAGGTAGATGCATACTTGAGAAAGTTACCTGCCACATCAAAGGAGCCAAGTTGGCAAATATCGTTCATTAGTTGGACCGATCTACGGCTGATTATGGTCTCCACTTTGTTCTCGTTATCGTAAAAGTTCTTGAGTTCGATGTTCTTTGCGTTGGCTCTGAGAAATTTCTGCTCCAAATCCTTGTATGTGTAAGGATCGATCCTTAAAATGTTATTTTTCTCCTCCGCACTGAGCTTGCTGAATCCACCATCATCCATGACTGTATTTCCTGCCAGAATTTCATCAATTTCCCCTTGGCAAAACTTGATAATATCCACGCGTTTTTTCCATTCTGGATAAATCACTTGTTGAAGAAATCGGATACATGGTGACTCGTTTTCGTTTTCCGATCTAGAAAATTTGAAAATCGAAGTTTTATTCACTTCATTGCGGTTCAGGATACTGTTCAAATCCGATCTTAGGTTGTCATCTGTCGCAGCTCGGGAAAGTAATAAGAAGTTCTGCAAGCTTTTTGAATTTTCTAGGCATACTTTTCTAGAGAGGTTTGGCTTAGGTGGTAGTGATTTTACAAAATCGATGTCGAGTCTGCTGGTCATCTTGTCGGAATCCGAGCCCTCGTTCTTTCCGCTGCTTGAAGAATACATCTGAACAACTGGTGTATGCTACAAATCTGTTTTGGTGTGAAACTGTAGCGTGACGCTTGAGTTTACGGCTCGTCAACACGGAAACATCGCCAGCCTCTCCGTCTGCAATCTGTAGATTGAGGGCAAACGCATACTTATCGGGTGACGGAAAAATAAACGGTGTATTACGTAAGCATGCAAGATTTCTCACTTACAAGCCGGCCTTTGCGCCTCGAGGTTGGAACGAGCTGGGTGGTGGACATTTGAGGTTGGGGAGTAGAAAAGAGAAAGAGTCGAAACCTGAGAGGAATGGGCCTGGTTTGTTTAGCCAAAACACGACAAAGCAGAATTACAGCCACTAAGAACACGATGTCTGACATAGGAGGTTCGCAACTGACGGTACAGCAGCTAAGGGTTCTTGGAAATGAAAAGTTCCGTGCCCTGAACTACGGTGCAGCCCTAATGCACTACACGCAGGCTATCGATCAGGATCCAAGCAGTTTTGCTATCTACTACAACAGAGCCATAACGCTAGTGAAAATGGACGCTATGAAGGAGGCTAAGGAGGATCTTCTGAGATCGCTTGAGATCAATCCAGAATATATACCAAGTTTGTGCCAATTGGGATTCATTTATCTTTATGAAGGGAACACCCCTGATTCTCTGGAGACCTATGTGAAAGTGGTCAAACTCAACCAGGAACTACCCCACCAACTCAACCGTTTCAAGGCGCAGTTGAAAGAGGCAATGAGGTTGGCCGAGTCGAGATGCAAACAGCAGGAATACCCACAAGATTTCATAGATTCAATAATCACACCAGATATTAGAGAGAGTCTCGATTCATACCCGAATCTACCGACCCACATGATTGAATCGGGCATACCTCCTGTTGCGTTTGGAAATGTTCCAATATCCCATCAGTTTGAGAATGCTTCTGCTGTGATTGCGAGAGCAAGCATTCCTATACCCGTGACGGGAATTCGTGCGGCGACTACTACAGCTACTAATAACAGCAACAATGCCACCACCGCTAACGATGCCACCATCAGTGGCAATGCAAACAACAATACTGCCAATGAAAATATCGCCAATGTACTGAATATTCCTGGATTGCTGAATGCGCTCAATACACCGGGCGTCAGTGCCTCTGTCAGTATTGGTGGCCCCCAAAGCTCCGAGGAGCTAATGAATGCTTTGGGTAACTTTACAAACACACAACTCAGCACAGAGGCTCCTACTGGCAATAACCCAGTTACTGGTGCATCCAGTGGGCCTTCAACACCGAACTTGAGCACGAGCGCTAGTGCTACAACAAGCACTACTCCAACTATCATCCATGCTCCTGTTTCACGTACAACTTCTGGTCTGCCAACCGAGGTACTACAGAGACATAGAGAGGCTCATCAGGCCGCATTAAACAGAGCCGCTGAATTGAGGCGTCAAAGAGAACAGTACCTGGGAAGCTCTACCACAGAACAGACTCCGGCTGAAAACCTTGCGACAGACTCAAATGTTGATTCGAATGTCAACAGCAATGACAATATAAGCGCTACGAACAGCACCAACTCTACCGCTACAGCAACGACAGGTTCTGACTTTGCTCGCCAATTTGCAAGCACTATTGCTTCACAACTCACCAATGCCGCCGTGCAAAATGCATCACAAAGTGGTACCAGTGCTACACCTAACTCTGGTGCAATTCAAAGTCTGGCGCAAAACCTAACAAGTATTGCCTCCGGTGTTCTGGGTAGCTTATCGAGTGGAAACAATTTTGTCAGCATGGTGAGTAATGGCAATGGCAGTGGCAATGGCAGTGGCAGCAGGAACAGTAGTGGCAATAACGGGTCTTCGAGTGAAAGTCCGTTGGATGCAGATCTAGACATGGATTTGGACTGAAAAGCTTGTCCGCGGAGAAATACGAAGGCAAATTTGAAGATCGCCAATTTTTTTTTCAAAGCTATTGCATCATATGATAGTTGATGGGCTATAATATATACATATATAAAATACTGATGTAATTTGGTAAAAGAAAGTCGATTGATTCGTCATAGATACACGTCATGTCAGTGAAAGAACCGTATTTGTATTGTGGAATTTGCTTTCAAAAGAGTAACGAGCGAACCCAATATCTCACCTCATGTGCCCATGTTATTTGCCAAGAACACATTAACTTGAGTAAGAGCTAAACCGTTCATTTTCGTAAACTTAAACAGGAGTAGAAACTAACTAACATTTGTAGACAATAAGATATGTCCTAAATGTCAGGTGCATGACATATCAATTGTTAAGCTTGAGAAGGGTAACATACCCGAATCAGTAAAGGAGATAATTGAGCCGAATCACGAGCAGTTGAATAATATCCAGTTTGCAAGCAAATTTCAGTATCTACAGCTGGTTGGATTGATTGAGCATCATGAATTGCAGGTTAGCGTGTTGAAGGAGAAGAACAGCCGGTTAAAAAATTTGCTAAGAAAGTCACGAGTTGAGTTAGATAAATGTAACGAATATCAGAACGAGATTAGTAGATTGAAAGAGGAGAACAAAAGAATGAGCTTGAAGCTACAGATTGGCGACAGTACTACGAGTAAAGATATGATATCAAATGAGGACGAGATCAACGAGATTACAGTGGAAGAATATGTCACGAGCAGCAGAGGCAGAAGTCGCCCGAGAGATACCGCCAAAGAAAGCGGGAGAGAAGTTAGGGATTCTGAGGATTTTTTGAGCAAGATGAAGAGGTTTAACCAGCTGAAAAGTGCAGAAGAGACCAGCAGAGCTAACAAGGCGCCTGTAATCGATGTTATCTCGCAGGGTCGAAGAAGTCGCCCGATGAACGATCTGAGCAGTTTGAACATACAGGCCGAAAGCACGACCATCAGGAAGAAGGACAGATCGAAGTCGATGCAGCTGATTCCCAGCAAAGGGCGGAGTTTCTTCCAGGGAGATATTTCGAAGATGCTCTCGCCCATGGCAACTAGTACGGCGGGTGATTTCAGCAGCGTTGGCGACATCGATGGCCACGGAGGAGACACCAGCACTGTGAGAAGAGATTGGGCCACGAGGCGACAGACATACGGCAGAGGCGTCAGTAGCAACAGCAACAGCAACAGCAGCGGCAACAGCAGCGGCAGCGGCAGCGGCAGGGGGAAAAGCGGTCAAAGCGGCAGCATCATCGGTGCCGAAAGCAACCTTCGTGTGAAGAAACTGTTCATGTTCAAGCCCCCTAGCCGCAGCATCAGCAGTCGGGGCGGATTCAGGGTTGGCGGCCAGGGGTGCATAGGGGTGCTTCGGAGCCAGGGTGAGTTGTTCAAGAGGTAGCAGGAGAGGAAAAAAAAAGCGTACGAGAACGAGCACAACGGTGGGGCGTGGAAATTGGCCCATTGCTATGGAGGAGTTGGGGAACAGCAGAAGATCGATCTTCTTTTCGTATTTATAGTGGTCTTTATAATTTTATTTATGATAATAATAAGAAGTAAATAGAGTAATAATGGGGGGAAAAGAAGAAAGAGATGAACTAGTAATAATAATAATAGTAATAATAATAGGGATAGTTCGGGGACAACCAGAAGTGTGCACGAGCTGCGATCTCAGCGAAACCGTGCCAGAGAAACCGGAGGTTGCCGTCTAGCCCAGGCGGGAGCTAGTCCCCCCGTCTGGTGTCTGTGCAGCTGTCCGGCAAATTTTTCCCAGCTGTCCGGCACACTGCTTACCAGACACCGGCTCTCTTCTGTTGGACGGTGACGGCGAAAAATGGAATACCGCCGCCCAAGATCCAGAAAATGAGGTGTGGGATGGCGTATGGGACCTTTCTGTTCTTGACCTTGAAAGGCAAGTTGTTGTATGCACCCTCTGGGAAGTGAGGACCGGACAGCTTCTTGGTGGAGGCGGAGAATTGTCTGACGGCTTGTCTTTGGAAGGCTCTGGCTAACATGGCTGTGTGCGGTGTGTCTGTATCTGTTCTTAGCGTATCAGAAAATTACGGACCCGTGTTGCCCCGTCCAGCTTGCCCCATCCAGAGCCTTGTCAACACTGTTGGCGAAGAAATGCTCAGCAGAGTCTCTCTCTCCCTCTGCGCAGCTGCTGCCTAGCACAGACGGCCGCGGAGGGGCACACAGCAAGCGCTGCGTGGCGCATGCCGTGGCGGTGCACCCATGGAGAGCCCCGGTGGTGTGAGCAGACGGGCCCCCGCTTACCTAAGCGCGAGAGCGAGAGGGCCTGTTTTGGCGACGTGTTGCGAAAAGCGGGCGTTCTCATTGGCGGAGCTGGCGGGTGTACGGGTGGAATGGGTGCGCAGTCTGGCGGGTGGTGAGAGAAAGAGGCAGCGATAGTCAGACGGGCAGGCAGGCAGGCAGGCAGGCAGCGGTGAGGGCATGTCGGTTTACAGCATTTTTTTTGCTTGTTTGCACAAACAGTGACGAGCCAGAAGAGAACGGGGAAGTGTCTGACAGTCCGGCTTGGGAGTCTCCACACAACAGCACAGACACACAGACACACACGCAACATGGCTATCGCTCCAATCACAGGTTTCATGAAGAGACGGATCATCGTCGACATCTCTATGGGTATGTAGCCAACGCGGCGGCTGGTCTGTCCCAGCAGGCGACAGACAAGCCAGAGACAGGGATCGATCCTGCAGACAGCGGAGCCCCGCATTTGTGCCCCGAGCGGAGAAACACAGCAGGTGGAAAGGGGCAACGCAGCAGGGGGAGGGAAAACGGGGCAACGCAAGACGACACAGGACAGGCGGCTCATCGGTTTCCCACAGCGGCAGCATTTGCATGGGCTGGTTCCCACCGTACACGAATACTAACATCTTTTGACACGCCCGTGTTTTCATATTTCTACAGGTTTCGCCATCGGTGCCGTCATGGGCGCTTTCTGGTGGAGGCAACACAAGCAGATGATTGCCACCAGAGAAAACTACTACGCCACCTTGGCTGAAAAGAAGAAGATCGAGGACGCCGCATGAGCATGCCGCCGGCGGCCGTCCCGTCGTGCGTGCGCCGCCACCCCAGTCTGATATCTCAAAACACTTTCTTCAGTTCTTCTTATTCTTTCACTAGATGTTTTTATCTTTCTTTCTCAAACAGTAAATAAAATGCAATAAAACTCTACTATTATTTTGCCCTCCCCTCCCTACACGGCGGCGGCGGCGTTCTTGTCGTTGTCTTGTCGTTGTCCTGCCGTGACATGTTTTCGCTGTCCTTACCGGCCCCGCGCACGTGACAGGCACATCGGCGACCCGTATCGGTCTATCTTGCCTCCTTCACGTAGCTTGCCGTCTTCCACGGCCACACCGGCCCTGCCTCCTGCTCAATCGGCCTCTCCCCACCGACCAAGTAATGCTCACTCCGCTGGATGACCTCGTGTCCATCTTCTCCTCAGTATCCACGTACCAGACAGGCAAAAACACCCTTGTGCTGGACCGTGGCGTCTCCAGCCAGTTGAACTTTCTAACAGAGAACCACTTCTCCCGCTTCTCGTCGCAGGCAAACATCGACAAGATCCTGTGGTACGACGCCGACACAATCAGCGAGCAGATCCAGAACACCATCGACCCGACCTCCCCGCATGCCGCCACGTCCCTCGTGTTCCTCTTCAACCTACACTCCAAGGAAAACTTCCTTAAGTTGGACTCTTTTGCTTCCTGCTTGAGAGATACAATCCTCCCCCTGAACGCAAACTTCAACGTCCATCTCATAGTCGCCCACCCTTCTCTAGACAAATCCGTCGAAAAATACCTCTCGACAATTGGCGTATTAGGAGACTTAACATCCTTGCAACTTTGGAACTCCCTCCTTTACTTTGAAATCTCTCCCGACATTTACTCCCTAGAGTCCGGCCCAGATGCCGCATTCTCCCAGTTGTTCCTCGACAATTCGCCATTACCGCTCGAGCTTCTTGCTAAACTACTGCTTGACTTGTACATTTCCTCGGATTACAAGCTCAGAATAACAAACATCTATCTCAAAGGTGAAAAGTCCCACCAGTTCTGGAAAATCTACGAACGAATACTAGATTCCCACTTACAAACCCTTTCAGACAACCAGAGAAAAATTATTGACGATATTGACGAGACTATTTTCATGGACTTACACTCCTTTTATAATAACGCAGTTGACTTCATATGTTTAGATCGCTCAAATGATATAGTCAGCTTGTTGTTAACACAATTGTCTTACTCTGGACTATGCAATGAGATATTCAACCCCTCAACCCAGCTGGAAATGATTCAGTTCAAACCCTCCGACTCAGATGAAGTGATGAAATTCAAACTCGACGATTCTTCTGATGACATATACCCCCAAATAAAGTATTTGAATTTCAGCCACGTAGGCCCGGTACTCAACCACAGGGCGAAACAACTACAATTAGAGTTTGATAGAAGGAAGAAGCTGAAAGACTTGGATGAAATGAAATCTTTTGTCAATGAGTTGAACAGTTTGAAAAACATGCAATCTTGGGTACAGAAGCATACAAATTTGGCAGGGTTCATAATCCACTCTTTCAAGAAAGATGCGCTAGATCTTACATCAGGCGTACCACTCTTGGACGATCTTAGTATCGAACCCTTTGAAAGCAGAAATCTGGGTAATCTTTCACTTGATTCCTATTATGCCCAACTAATTGAGCTTCAACAAGATATAGTGTCAAATCAGATCAACACCGCACAGATACTTGCAAGAATCTCTGACCTGTTGATCAACTTCAACTCATCATTGAGCGACGCCACTAAATTGGTAGTACTAACTTCGATTGTGAAGAATGGGATAAAAGAATCTGATTTCCAAACCCTTCATCTCGAGATGGTAAATAAATTTGGAACACTCCAAGTCACTCCTATCTTACTCAACCTCCAAAAATTGAAAATTTTGCAAATCAAAAATAACAACCAGCAGTTAGCATTTTGGTCTTTCTCGGATAACTCGTTATTACCTTCTAAATCGCAAAGCATTTTGAACTTTGCATCATTGTCCAAATCCTTAAATTTGCTGCCCCTTCATGGTGATGAAGACAGGTCTGATGGTCTCTTTAACGATCTAGCAGGTAGATACACAGACGCAGATTTTGGATATCCGGGGTATGTTCCTGTTTTTGCAAGACTAATCCAGTCAATTTACGATCGTTCTTTTTTGAATCCACCCAACTCGGCAGTTGAAAATCGAAAACCCACACAACAGCAGATTGACTCTAGAAGGGCAATAAAATACGGATGGAGTAATGTCGACTTAGACCAGCTCAGTGGGCCAACAAAACAAGAGTTCCTTGTTCCTGAATCTAAAAGGAAACTGTTCAATGCTATAATACCACCAAAAATTTCCGAGCTCAAGGTTAGCAATAGTCAACCAAATGCTAAACTAAGCGCACATTTTAGTACCGTAGTGATCTGTGCAGTAGGTGGGATTACAGGCAGCGAATTGGCAGCTATAAAATACGTATTAAGTTCAAATTCCTTCACCAAAAATAAAAGAATAATTATTCTAACCACAGGAATGATAAATGGAACCCAGTTCATTAACTCAATGTCAAACCCAGCTTGACTTAACTAGAGCTATGTATATTTTCTATAGTATCCACTACGAACTTTCTCTTCGTAGTCAATAAGTAAAGCAACTAGCCCACCAAAGCAGCTTTTTAGTCCATCGCTAACACTTTCCTTCTTGCACTTCCTGAACGCCATTTCCCGAGGTAGGTTGCTACTGTATCCAAATCCAAATTTTTCAACAACTGTGTTATCAGCTAGTGAGAGCTTTACAGTTGTTCGAATCATAACATTACACTTGACCTGCTCCCCTTCTTCTGAACTAATAACTTCATATTTCTCGAGTTTACTCTCTCCGACCTGGCTCATCCAATTACTAACTCCGTAAACCCTGTTTGCAAGATCGATGAGTCTATGCAATCCCAATCCAAGCTCCAAATCATTTCCTTCTTTTATTCCTTCAACATTTTCTAATCCAGATTCTTCCGTTTTTCGGCGCCGCCCATTGAAAGCTTTCTTCCCTCGAAATATTCTTTCCCCAACTTCCCTCTCCACACTACGAAAAAATCGATTTGTCCGTTGCACTGACCAGTTAGAGGCAAGCTTTGCTCGTACACATCCCAAACTTCGTTGAACCTCCTCAATTTCCCATCCATTAATGTTTGGAAACCATTCAGTAATACTGTCTTCAACCTTTGACAACTCTGCAATTAATCTCTCTGTTTCCGATTTGTCATATTCTCCTCTTCCCTGGTAGTCTTCAAGTAGTGTAGGTTCATCTATTGTTGTTAATTCAACTGGTAGCTCAACAATGTGCTTGTACATTAGCTTGAATATAGCAGTATACTGACAAATCGGAGGCAAACATCCTACCCTTATTTACTATAGAAAAAGATCAACATAAAATCATAGTGATTCATGTCGCTCTCGCGTTTGTTTTCTTTTCTAACTCTTTTTCCAAATTGAAATTCAAATACATAATAATGCTCTATTTACATGATGTATACAGGTTTACTCTGAAACAACAGCCTCAAAAACTTCTTCATATGGCGGTTCAATACCACAAAATTCTTTAAACTGCTGGATACCTTGGTTAACCAACATCTCTCTACCAGGGATGACTGCCCACTTGTATTCATCAGCTGCTAAACGCATGAGAGGAGTGACCAATGGCTTGTATGCGGCTTCAAGAAAAAGTCCCCCTGTTGGAGGTCTCTTAGCCAATAAAGCTTCAATTTTGGAAATGAATGCTTCATCAAAGTCAACATTTGCCGGAACGGTTGAAACGATCAGGTCAAGCTCCTTGACCATTGAAATTTCATCCAGGTTTTCCAAAACGGTAATATTGTACTCTTCTGGGAAAGAACTCTTTATTTCTTTCAACTTTTCGGGAGTTCTGTTCAGCATGTATATATTTTCACAACCCAACTGTTTGAATGCATATACCGCGGCTCTGGAAGTACCGCCTCCTCCAATAATTAAAGCATTTTGCGTCTTGGTGGTAATTCCATGTCTTCTGAAAGACTCGGTAATTCCTATCCAGTCGGTATTTGTAGCATAGTACTTGTTTTCACCTATAGGGTAGAACGTATTGATTGCACCAATAACTTTAGCGGAGTCACTCAATTCTGTAGCATATTTGATCATATCTAACTTCAATGGAATAGTGATTGCACATCCGCCGAAATTATCATCCTTGACAATCTCATTGTAAACTTTACTCGCGTCACCAGTCTCAAAGCGGTTGAAACTATGGGGTAAGCCAAGAGCATCATAACCCGCTTGATGTAGAACAGGAGATCTTGAATGGGAGATAGGGGTTCCAACGACGTAAAATTTTTTCGGTTGCAACTCACCAATCAAGGTTAAAGATTCATTGATTTGTTGAATACTTAATTGACCCGGTGCGGCAGAGTTAGGAAGTAGGAGATGAGTAACTGGGGTAAGTAACGGATTGACAATTCTAGATAACTGGCCAAGTCTACGCATGTTTATTGCAATCAACGGCTTGTTCTTGTGTTGATGTCTGAAGTTTTCTAATAGGAAATTGTCACTGAAATCTAGTGCAGTGCCAACAAATTTCACAATATCGACTTTGGAGCTGACTGCGAACTGATACTTGTTTTCCCATTCAGCATTGTCCCACTTGAACACACCTGAAAAATCATGGTGAGAGCCAATTACTTTGGTAAATCCTCTTTTGGAAATCAAAGTGGCAAATAATCCTTCTGGTAATGATAATTCCATGTCAACATATGCAACACCCATTTTGAAAGCAAGGCTGGTCAAATCTGCGATCGTGTCAAAATCATCATCGGGGAAAGCACCACCTTGTGATTTGGTTCTAACAGTGAAGATGATCGGAACTGCAGTGTGATTTCTCAGCAAACCAATCTGTTCAGCCACAAAACCTAGATCATATGACTTCAAAAGATCCACACGTAATTCGACGGCATCACAGCCGGTAGTGATCTTGGTAATGTTTTCAAGAGCATCGCTAGCTTTCAAATCTGGGTATGTCAAACAAACAAAGTATGACCTTTTGGTAGGAATTTCAGCTGGATTACCTATAATTTCACTGACAAATGAGCTCATCGTATTTTTCAAACGAGTGAGCTCTTCATCGTTGCTGCAATGTGGCATAAAAAAGAAGTTACTCGAGCAAATTTCATACCATGGTTTTCTTCTTTTCCATACTTCTAAGATTTCTTCACCATAGGCAGGTCTATTGGTATCTTTTTCCTTCAAAAAGTTTATCATTTCCATGACATCTCTATGCAAATGTAAAACAATACCCCCTTTCTTTTTGTAGTCAATTAAAAGATCTCTTGCTTGGGGTATTTCAACTATTCCACCACCTGTAGATATAACGTGGTTGTTTGGATATTTCTTCAATATTTCCTTAATAGTTTCAAGTTCCTTTTCTCTAAACTTTTCCCATGAATTTTGCTCAACAAATTCTTTGATAGTTCTGTTGACCTTCTTTTCAAAGTACTGGTCGACATCCAAGATTGAGAACCCAGTTGTAGATGAAATCACGTCAGACATTGTACTTTTTCCGGCAGCCCTCATACCAACTAAGATTATACTTTTACTCCCATTTTTTGAAGGTGTTGAATTTTTTGCGTTAGAATTTGCATATGAAGCCGGCTCGTAACCATCCAGTTTAGCGTTGAGTTGGGTGTGTAAGATATCCCACCAGCCTGGCCAAGTTTTTGAGGTACAGTGTCTTTCTTGAATTATAACTGGACCATCTTGAACAAGACCAGCTAGTAGAGAGAAGCTCATGGCAACTCTATGATCATCATAACTAAAAACTCCTGGCTCTTCAGGCGCTTTTAACTTTTTGTAATCGATACCATGAACAACGATACCGTCGTCTAGCTCAGTTGCGACAACACCGAATTTTGCAAGCTGAACCCTCATTGCTTCAATTCGATTACACTCCTTCACTCTTTGATTTGCAATACCAGTAATTGAAGTGTAGTTTTCAGGATCATTAGCAATTGCAGCTACAACAGTTGCAGTCAAAAATGCATCTGTCATAGGTTCCATATCCACATGCTTCAGAGGTTTCAACGTGCCAACCTCAGGTCCTTGTACCGTTGTACTAGTTTCAGATTGTGTAACAAAGCAGCCCATTGGCTTTAAAACATCAACAGCAAAACGTGCATCACCTTGTAATGAGCCAGATCCAATGTTCGGGATTGTACATTTTGATCCCGTCATTGCCGCAAAAGCCAATGGATAAGTTGCGGAAGAAGCATCAGACTCAATAACATATTCAGGTGGGTTAACATAGTGGCCGGTTGGAATCTCATAAGTGTACTCTTCAGTTTTAGACTTGACAACGTTAACCCCAAACGCAGCCATCATTCTGATTGTCATGTCAATATATAGTTGTGAGATTGGCTTACCCCCAACCAAGGCCAAAGTAACAGGATTTTGAGCGTAAGGAGCAGCCAAAAGAATAGAAGAAACATATTGAGATGAAACCGTGGCTCCCAATTCAATTCTACCGCCCTTTAGGCCCTTACCACACTTAACAATGATAGGCAGCGAACCTTCTTTGTTCAAGCACTTAATGTCTGAACCATTCTCCCTTAGCGCATCAATTAGAGGCCCGTTAGGTCTTTCTTGCATTCTTTTATTTCCAGTAAGGGAAATGGTGTCTAAGTCTCCACGTACATCAACTAAGCATGCAATAGTTGTCAAAAATCTTGATGCTGTACCAGCATTACCCAAGTAAATCTCTTCATCAGTTGTGACTAATTTCCCTCCATTCCCATTCAAAACAACAGTTTCCCCATTATCTTCCCAAGAAATTTCCGCCCCCTTGAGAGCTGAAACTGCAGCAAGCATGTGCTGTGTGTCATCTGAATGAAGCAAATTCTTCAATCTACATTCTCCTTTACCAAGAGCTGCCAAAATCAAAGCCCTGTTAGAAATTGATTTAGAACCTGGAGGAGTCACGACAATTTCTTTTTGGCTTGTAGAGAAGGGATAAACTTTGATATCCTCAGTCAAAATGACTCTCAAGTCGGAATCATCAACATAAGAAGCAGATGGTTCATAGCATTCACCAATTTTTTTTAGCAAAACGACCTTCTTCTTAGCACCATCATTTTTCTTATCAATTGCCATTTTCTTCAATAGCACATCCACTGGACATACCTTTCCATTAGCTCTGCTTTGAACAACCTTATCATGAAGAGAAATAGGTAAACCGTAGCCCTCGAAGCATTTCTTCAATCTCGACACAGCTACTGGAGGTAAAATACCCAAGTACCTACTCAACTCTGCTTCTTTGATTGATCCGATGGCAACACACTCACCATGCAACACCTGTGGCGTCAAAATTGCTTCATATGCATGACCTATTGAGTGTCCGAAATTAAGCAAATTTCTTAATCCTCCTTCTCTTTCATCTAAGGTGACAACTTCAGCCTTAACTTTTATGGATTCTAGAACTAGCTTGAAAATGTGATCTAGGATTGGAGACAAGTCAACAGCACCATCTTTGCCTCTGTTATTTATCACCTGCAAAAATAATTCTGTGTATGACTCTAATCTATCAAACTCCTTCTCATTCCATATGGCAGCGGTTTTAATGACTTCAGCCATACCGTTGATGAATTCTCTCACTGGCAAAGTGGCAAGGAAGGCTATATCGACCAAGACATATTGGGGTTGCCAGAATGCCCCAATGAAATTTTTTCCCAATGGAGTGTCAATGGCAGTTTTACCACCGATTGATGAATCAACCATAGCCAATAATGTGGTAGGAATCTGAACAACTCTGACACCTCTCATAAAAGTAGCAGCAACATAACCAATCATATCACCAATGATACCACCACCCATGGCCACAATAACGGTATCTCTGGTACATCCTTGGGATAGAAGGTAATCTTCAACAGCCGCCTTTGTGACTCTGTTTTTATTTGCTTCACCGGGTGAAATGACATAAGTCAAGAGTCTTGAATTGGGTCTGACTTTAGCGATTGTTTTGAGAAATGCAGCCTTGTAAGTATCTAGGTGGCCGCATTTTTCTAAGTTGGTATCTGTGACAATTACATATGTCGAAGATTTCAAAGTGCCGACAATCTCCTGACAAATTTTGTCTTGAATTTTGTAGCCCACATGGATTGTGTCAGATCCGAGGATCGTAACCTTCTCAACGTGATTCTCCTTAACCATAACCGCTTGCAGATCAAAGTACCAACAGCTTCTATTGCACTTGATCAGATGTTAAACTAAACTTCAGAAGGAAGGAATATGATCATCAGTCGAATACAGCAACAAACTTGCACCATGTTGGGCCAACCATGTCACTGTCTGCCCATGCTCCGTCGCCGGGACCCTCATCGGGACGTATTACTCATTGCTCGCGCACCGCCACGCTACGCTCATCAATGGAACTCGCACCGCCACATCGCCTTTGCGTATACCGATTTTGACCTTTCCTACAAAAATCTTTTACAAACTAACAACACTTTATACACTATTTCCCGTTATTGAGGCTTTCGCCTGACAAGGTCTTCAAGCTTGTCAACAACCAAGGAGTTCAAGTGGTCAAAGTAGGCTTCTATGTCATTAATGGCCCGAACCTTCTCGTTCTCGTAGTCTTCTCCACTTTCACCAACCCTGGTTAGTTTTTGAATGTTTTCGAAAATAGAATAGCTGGCATCCATGTACTCCTGGATTGAGTTTTTGGAATCAAAGCTCAATGTTTCGTTGGTGGACTCAATGTCTGAACTGGCGAGATGTAGTGCCGGCGCAATTGTATATCTATACATGCTGTTCATCTTTTTGCTCAAAAGCGAACACACTTCTTCCAAGCAGGTGTTTTTATGTTGTAGCTCATAGATGAGATTTCTCATGATTTCATAGTTTTGTTCCGAATACGCAGAAAAATTCCCAAATTTAGGTGCATAGCTATCGTCGGAAATGCCAAGCTCTTTAATTTTTGACAATGCATCTAACTGAAACTTAGTGCTTTCAAATGCTTCAGTGGCAGCCTCCAAGTTTTGTCCCGAGATGATATTTTCTTGCAAGCAGGCTTCATATTTCGCCTTCACTTTATCGAAGTCTCTTTGAATGTCAAGCACTAGTGTTTCATAATTGTTTATAGTCTGCTGCTGTACTGTTATACAACTGCTGAGTGCCATCGTTTGTTCAATCAATTTCTCATTCTGCTCCTTGAGAATTGCTTTCTGCCTAGGCGCTTTTCTCCTGCTCCGGGGAGTTTTAGGTGATGAGCTCTCCAAAGGTTTTGAGACAGTTTTATCCATTTCAATAGAGGTAAAAGTGTCTTTAGGAATGTGAATCGGTGAGTTTTTAGTCTCGAGTCTCTCTGTGTTACTGCGTAATGGTTTCTCACGTAAAGTCCGCAATTTGTCATTACAAAGGTTTGCTTGAGAGCCATCCGTTGTCAAATTCCCATTATCTTCTGAGTTGGCGTTATTGTCCACTTTGGGATAGTCTGAATACCATTTGCAATTATCCTTGGTTTCCAAGGGCTCCTCTTCTTCTTCGGTGGCGCTTCCGTTACTCTGTAAGTTGAAGGCTTTTGAATCCTTTTCATGTGTGTGGGCGAACATAGAAAGTAGTAAGTTTCCCTTGTTGTCGTTGGGCGAGTCAACCTCATAAAGTGGAGCTTCATCTTCTACAATTACATCGCCAAATTTGACTGTTTTCTTGGAATCATCATCCTCCCGAAACATGTTATCCGAGAACACCCTGTAGAGAATTTCTTCAGAAGAACAAGCTGAACCAATGGTTGCAGAAAAGTCAGATTGACCAGAAAACCCATTACTAAGATTTTCATACGTAGCTACACTATTCATTTTTAGCAATGTTGATTATTAGCAAGTTGTTGTTTGCCACCCCGTGATACCAGATTCTTGTTTAGCAGTAGAGGGTGCAAATATTATTTGGCGATTTCGAAAATGGGGCATTTTTCTTGAGGAGGCTGAGAGCGATCTTTGCAGATACATCTGTTCGAGCCTATTTGACTTTCTCAAAAAGCACCATCAACTAAACAAAACTGGAGCAATTCTAATGGGTATAAAAGCAGCCCAGAATAGTTAAATTAATAAGGTATACAAACGTGTTTGTGAACACCCACGAAGGTATTTGGCTTGCTGTTTACATGGTTTACATAACACTTTAGCACTCTAAATGTCTTTGCTAGATTCTTGCATCGTTACTTAAAAGAAACATCTTGGAAAGCTTTTCGTTCCACTCATTATCCCAGCGCCTTTGGCTTTCTAAAAGAGCCCCCTCTTTTATTTTAATGTAGGATGGTTTGTCATTGAAAAAGATGTTGTAAATTTTGTCTGCCATTTCTTTGCCATCTTTGTTTCTTTGCATTGTCATGCCATTCACACCATCTTTCACAAGTTCACTGATTGCAGGATAGTTCATGCTCAAAACAGGCACACCAGAGCCAAACAAATCTACAATCTTCATAGGAAGATCAAGACCGGAAGATGAGTAATGCAAAGATATTCCGAGATCCGCAATCTTCAAGATATTTGGGTACTCTGTGATAGGAAGCCAAACAGACCTGATTTTAATATGTTCCCAATTATGAGATTTTATTGAATGCAAAAATTGTGGCTGCATAGGTCCTTTTCCTGTGACTATCATTATAATCTTCAATTTTGATTTCTGCAAAAGCATCGTCTTCTCTAGTTCCACCAAGGCATCCACAAGGACAGTAAAATCCTCGTCTGGAGTAAATGATGTAGAAGTGATGAGGATTCTATCGGTGACCTGATTGTAACCGAGTTCAGAGAACAAAGCTAAATTCTTGTTTACAATCTTTTGTAGAGATTGTTGAGAGTTTAAAGGCTCAAAAATGCTACTCGGACGATCGTAGAGAGTGACGATCTTGTCTTCATTAAGTTCAAACTGCTTGATCAAATATTTTTTCAGAGCTGCAGTGACTGTCAGGTTCAAGTCTGCAAAGTAAGTGCTGCAAAGTTTTTCATACAGTTTCATTAGCCTAACCACCGGGTGGTTCTCATTTTGATACTTCATATTCAAAATGCTCCAATTCAAATTGTGCCAGTCAATCACAATTTTGACATTTGGCACCCAGTATCTCTTAAGCACCCCAAGAATGAAGAGCACAGGAAGTGACGGTGGGTTCTGTATTAGAACAAACCGTGTACTATCATCCAAAACATCTTTCAGCAATGTTGTCAGTTCCACAATCTGCGAAATCACTTTGCAGATGGCAAACATAAGGTAAGGTAACTTTTTCGTATTTTTTATGACAGGAATATCATAGATCGAGATATCTGGCGATGAGAGGAACTCGGGAAGATCACTTTCGAGGTAGCCACAAAGATTTACCTGATAACCTAGCTTTTGGAAACTCCTGGCATGGTATGCCATTCTCGGAGAGTGTCCCAAGTCACCAAGAACCACAATCACAACTTCATTTACGTCTGAAGTGATCTTCTGTGACTTTCTGCGCTTATAGATCCGTTGTATGTACAAAATTCGCCCGTACAGGATGTAGAGTAGCGGAAGAGATAACCAAAGGGCAATCAAGGACCACGCGTAGAGGGGGAACTTGAAATGATCCTTGGGAAACCCCACATATTTTATCCATTGTGACATTAGAAGCAAAATTTTCAATGCACGTTCCGGCAGTTGTGGGGATGTTTGCCCAACGGATCAGATCGTAACAGGATTAATGCAGACGTGTCAACCTACTGCACTCGGAACATGTTTGGAGTTCAGGACAGAGAAGAAAAGATTATTGACGGGTCGATAGTCGCAACTTTCCTTTTTCGGATGGAAATGAAGGTGAAGCCTTTTGTGTATCGTGGCCAGCTACAGTTGTTGCCCGACCCATGATAGGCATTTGGCGACTACATAGCTGCGGTGTTAGAGTCAACGGCTGAGTGTTAAGTACGTGTCTGGAAGGTCATCTGTCTTCCTGGTCATGGAAAAAGACAAAACAGCTTTGCAACGTAAATCAGAATGAGCGTAAAAAGCTACAGAACACAGGAAATCCTTTTTGCAGAGTCCCATCTGATATAGCATGAAACGTAGTGATCACGTTCGCATGGAAGAGTGAAAATCGAACGTCCCTTAGATCCCAGCCCTGCCCTAGAAAAGGCAAAGTGAGAAAATATACATACCAGGAGTGGTCGACATTAAAAGGCCAAACCCACCAACTCGAGAACCGAACTCGACACCCGTGTCCGCCAGGCCCAAACCCGAAATTCCGGGCATCACCTGGAATAATTAACACTATTCCAGATGGGTGTGTGGCCGAGAGGTTAAGGCGTCAGGATCAGAACCTGATTTTCTTAGGATTTCCTGGGTTCGAACCCCAGCACACTCATCCCTCCTTATTTTTTGCTACCCCTGTGACATGCAGGACCACATAGAAAGGCCCCGTTGCCCGTTGTATGTGCATAAAATCCCCCCGAAGGTCTAAAAGCTCTAGACTGGATGGACCGCAGTCGGACTAGATCACGAACACAAAAATCGCTGAGCACGCTCTGCCCGATGTAAGGCTGGGGACATGCCCCGAAAAGGCGGCGGTGTAACTTTTTCGCGCTCCGCGGTTCCTCTCCCCATACTAGAGCGCAGCGCGGAGCGGAGCGGAGGGGGGCACGTCAGTGCCCTGTCACGGGGCGAGCAATTACATCACGGCTGCGTGGGGCTTCGGAGTAAATCGTTCTCCCCGCCCTGTTCCCCGCCATCATCCACCGTCCCTGTCTCCTCGAACACCGCTTTCTGCTTGCCCCGTGCCAGGACAAGATAGCCCGAGGCTGCTGGGAGGCGCCCCTATATAACGTGGTTGTTCTACCCCAGTTTTGTTGGGTATCGGATAGGGAACGTAGTCTGGAACAGGGGCCTGTAGGAACACAACAAGTCTTCTCCCAAGTTAGTACCAGTCGTACAAACATACAAAAAAACACAATGCAGAGGCTTACGCAAATCGGGAACCATCTTTCCTCGGGATCTGCCAAGAACCCGACACCTCCCAAGAGCGACGATGATGTCGTCATTGTTGGGGCGTACCGTACCGCGTTGACGAAGGCCGGTCGGGGGTCGTTCAAGGACATCAACTCAGACGAGATCCTCTACAAGCTTCTTGTGGAGTTCTTCAAGAAGGTGCACATTGACCCTGCCATCATTGGTGACGTGGCAGTAGGCAATGTGTTGAACCCGGGGGCCGGGGTGAACGAGCACCGAGCTGCGGCCATTGCTTCGGGGATCCCTGCCAGCGTTCCGTTCATTGCACTCAACAGGCAGTGCTCCTCGGGACTCATGGCAGTGAACGACATTGCAAACAAGATCCTTACGGGCCAGATCGAGTGTGGTTTGGCGTGCGGGGCGGAGAGCATGTCGAAGAACTATGGGCCGCAGGCTGCGCCAAAAATCTCCCGCATTGTCCAGCAGGCTTCTTCTGATGCTAAGAACTGCTTGTTACCCATGGGCAATACGAGTGAGAATGTGAATGAGCGTTTCCATGTCGGCAGGCGGGAGCAGGACGAGTTTGCTGCGCGGTCCTACCAGAAGGCCGAGAACGCGGTCTCCTCGGGCGCCTTCCAGGACGAAATCTTGCCGATAGAGGTAGAAATCGAGGCGGAGGACGACGATGGGGAGGGAGACGACGACAAGCCTCCTGCAAAGAAAACCATAATAGTTTCCCAGGACGAAGGACCCCGGAAGAACGTGACGGTAGAGTCGTTGCAGAAGATCCGGCCGGCGTTCAAGAAGGACGGCGCGTCGCATGCGGGCAACTCCTCGCAGGTGTCAGACGGCGCTGCTGCCATTTTGTTGATGAGCAGACGCCTTGCCAAGAAGACGGGTGCGCACATTCTTGGCAGATACATTGCCACTGCCAACGTGGGCGTGCCACCGGATGTGATGGGAATTGGTCCGGCAGTGGCAATACCACGGTTGCTTGAGAACTGCGGGGTGTCTGTCGACGAAGTGGCTGTTTTTGAAATCAACGAAGCATTTGCCGGCCAGGCGCTATACTCGATCCGCTCCAACAACATCGACCTTGCCCGCGTGAACCCGAAAGGTGGTGCCATCGCTCTCGGCCACCCGCTCGGCTGTACCGGGGCTAGACAGGTGTGCACCTTGTTGCGTGAACTCAAGGCCGGGGAGTACGGGGTAGTGAGTATGTGCATCGGAGGTGGTCAGGGGGCTGCCAGCTTGTTTCTTAAGGAGTGAGGCCAAACGAAGTAGGAAGAAGCGAAGTAGAGGAAGCTCCGGATCCAGTATGCACCCAGCGTGCTGGAACAGCTCATCTCCCGCTGCCGGCGTCTTTAAATGAATTTAACGTAATGACTTGACATGAAAAACAGAATAACAAGTAGGGTGTGACATCTAGCTGTCTGCTTTTCCCTGATTAAGGTTCCGCAAGCAGTTGCACACCGCCTCGGTAGTTCGGCATTACGACGATGGGTATTTCCGCAAAGCCGACTTTAGGTAACGTCTACGCCCTGCAGGCCAAACACTGCTCTCCCCAACGCGGTAACCGGCCCGCCCGTTGCCCCTCTGCGCAGAGTGTCTGCAGCCACTAGTCGGTCAGTTATCATCTCCCGAGAGGCCGACGTGAAAGGGCGCAGATGACCCCTGTCCGGCAAGGGCTCAGCCCCTGTCACCGGCCTTCCTCTCGGGCCCGAAAACAATATGTTATGCTGTAATTGGACCCGCGGAGCGTCTGCGCGCATTTCCATATGCAGGTGTGGCAGCCCGTTCCGCCGGAGCGGCCGGCGCTGTTGCTGGCTCTGGCGCTAGTGTTAGTGGTGCCCGGTTTACCCTGGGTTCGGGGTCCGTAACAGCTGTTTCTCCTGCTGGCAAGAGGGAAGGAACTGCACTTTTATTGCCATCTCTGGAGCAGAAGGGGCCAGAAATGGCTGTAGGTTGAAGATGTAGAACTGTGCCCTTTCATTGGGCTGTTTGTGCCGGAAAAGTAGAGATCCGCCGCGACGTTGCAAATCATGATCTTGTCAACGTATAATAGGTCGCTGCATCAGGTTGTAAAGCCTACCAGATTATGGTAGCTGGAACCCAAAGATAAATTGCAGAAGTGGAGATATAGGGCTACCAACAAACACGCCCTGATTATCGAACGCAAGGTGCGTACATTAGTGAAGAAGACAGATGGATAGTTATGGGGGCATATGCTGAATCACTTAGGGCGATGGATAGACTGTCAATGCAACTTATCTTGCTGCCGGGGGACAATAGTAAACTTTGCGAGAGATAGGGGTGACAAGGGGAGATGAGTGCCACAACATGCTTGATCGGGAAGGCGTAGAGCCGCAGCGTGTACTATTGCCCTATAGTCTGCCGATAAGTCCTATTCAAAAGAAAGCAAAGGAAAATCTACGAACCGAGGGGACGTTGGGGCATTTGATAGAGAGAGGGAAAAAAACATTTTAGCTTTTGGACAAGTGACTCTTGCAAACACGCCTCGGCTATCCTTCTCTGCTGGTTTTGCCGAACTTTGAGGCCATGTTGAAATGTACTCGGCTTATTATCAATTTTTAAACAAGTTGTTTGAATTTTTCTGCATTTTGAAAGCTACCATTGGCCAATTCGGTGAGCATATGGACAAAGCATGCTGTGCATTTCTCCGGAGTAATTCCGCAGCCGGCTGAATTTCAACGTCCATGCTACGAAATTGGCTTCCCAAACCTTGTTCATGCCACCAGTCAATTCTCTGCTGCCTTCCTAAAACTTTGCTGGCACAAAATGACCTTTTTTCAAACAAGTGTATAAATCTGCTCTCATTTTCTTGTTTGCTTCTCTTTCCTGCTGTCTCTACTATCCATCTGCTTGCCTTCTTGCTTTGTTTTTTGCTAGCGTGAAAACCTACGGTGAATCCTTTTTCGACTTGCAGAGCAAAGAACCTAAAGACAGATGAAACTTTCCTATCTAGCCTTTCAAGCTTTCGCTGGCTTAGCTATTGCCAAACTTGAAAGAACTAGTATCAACCAAGGTGACGGTTATGCCGAGTTTAACACATGCTTTGCTCCATGTAAATCACTTGATTATGATTACACAAAGCTAAACTTGGGCTTGCTATCAACTTCTTATGATGCTCTTTGTGGATATCCTCCGGCTACTGGGTGCTTACTTTTGTGTTCTTACGCTATCAGCGGAAATGATACAGCTAAATTACCCAAGTTTGCAGCAGACATGGCCAGCACTTGTGGCTACAGCTCATACAATTACACCGAATCATACTATGCTGAACAGTACTCCAATGCAACGCAATATTACAAGCCTTTGTCTCAAATCAACTTTTCTGAACCTCTTTACAATCCTACTATTCCAAACCTGACTGCCCTAGCAATTAGCTATAAAGCCTCATTGGCTGGTAACTATAATACAGATACAGGTACCTGGTTTAGTGTCGGTCTCTGCGGATACTTTTTGCTATTGATTCTAATTGGCTCAATCTACAATTTCTGCAGACAGGTTGGTTTTACCAAGTCCCTGAACAATTGTAAGCTTTCAAAGCTATGCCAGAAATTCATCGTTTACCCAGCATTACTCCCCAATGGTAAGTTTGTTCAACCTTATGGCTTCAAATATTTGTCAGCTTTATTTCCCAACAGAATCCAATTTTTAACCGACTTATTCCTCTTTGGTCTCCATGTTGGTTATTTCTGTGCTCCTTATAGATATGTGAGGCCAGCTCAATACACAAACTTTGTTGCCAAGCGTGCAGGCGTGTCAGCATTGGGTAAAATCCCACTTTTTATTCTTTTTGCCGGAAGAAACAACTTTTTACTTTACATTACAGGATGGTCTTATTCAACCTTTTTACACTTTCACAAAGTTTTAGCCGGCTGGATGTTTGTTGATGGTTTGGTACATGGGGTAGGCTATACCATTGTATACCGTGGCTTTTATGTCCAAACACTCCACAATCAACCATATTTTGCGTGTGGTATCGCTATTCTTACCATTGCTGGTACACTTTTACTTCATTCGTTCCATATGTTCAGATCTAAAAGTTATGAGTTTTTTGTTACAACCCATATTCTGATGGCTCTTGCATTCATTATACTTCTATGGTATCATGTTAAAAATTTTGGATGGATGGAATGGCCAGTCGCAGCATGTTGTGTATGGTTTTTTGACAGATTAGTTCGAGTGATCAGAATGTCCATTTTCGGGGTTAGGACAGCAACCATCACTGCTATTGGTGAGAATCTAATTAAGGTCGAAGTGAAGAAGCCATCATGGTTCTACCACACTCCTGGAACCTTTGGATTTATTTATTTTGGTGGTATACTCTTTTGGGAAAACAATCCTTTCACTATGTCTGTTCAAGGAGAAAAAATATGTGCCTTTATTAGGGTCAAAAAAGGCGTTACACAAAGATTGTGGAAAACTTTGGTGGCCAATAACAATCAACTGACACGTAAGGTCTGTATTGAGGGACCTTATGGGGGTATGAATTTTTCAAAATTTAGGAAGTACAATGACACTCTACTCTTAGCTGGTGGTTCTGGTGCACCAGGTATTCTAGAAGCTGCAGCTGAAGTAAAAGCAGGTAAACTCATTTGGATCGTTCAGAATTTACACTTTGTTTCTTGTTACCAACATCTAATTAATAATGTTAGTATTGCCATTGATATCTATGTTACCCAAGAAATTTCTGATAATAGAACTTGCTCTTTGAAGGAATTATTTTCGGAATCAGATTCAGATATCAAAAGTACAGAAAGCTCCGACAAGGTTTCTGAAAAGATTGAAACAACTTCTGCACAAATTTCAATTAAATACGACAAACCCAAACTGAATGAAATCATAAACTTTCAAATAAATGAATCTAGCTCAAATGATGTTGGAATTTTGGCTTGTGGTCCTCCAAAAATGATGGATCACATCAGAAATATTGTCTCCCAAAATATCACCAGTTGGGATAAAAGTGTTGATTTCTTTGACGAATATCAGACTTGGTAAGGCTTTTTTGGGAATCTTTTTGACATTGTTTTACCTTTGTTTTAGCTTCAACAAGATTGGCTTTTTATTTTTTCAGTTTTTTTAGCCACTGAAAAAACTTATTCGGTGTTTTGTGTATATATGGACAATGATAACTTAATAGTATCTCACTTTGTTTTTCTTCACGCTACTTGGTTTAAACAACAAATCAAACTGTTGACGGTTGTGAAATTTCAGCTGTGAAGTTTCAGTATTTGGTACAAATAATAGGGCTGAAACTGAAGTCAACCCGAGAAACTTATTTTCTAGTATTACGATTTTTTCAGGGCCCACAATTTCACTTTAGCCTCATAACATACGCTTGTGCCAATAAGGAATACCTTTAAAACTACGGCTTTAGCGGCATTCAAGAAAGTAAAAATAGTACAAAGGGAAAACAGTATTTGCACTGATTACATTAAGAAATGAAGAAAAATTAATTGACAAGTTTATTGTTAGCTTGGCGAAATTAAGGTAGGAGCTGCTGGATCCACAGTTGGCTGAGGGATGCTTATCGTTTAAAGGTTTTCAAAGTCATCCCATCTTCATGTATCACTCTTTTTTGAGATTCTAGTCATCAACTTTGTTCATTTAGGCAATGTCGGCAAAGGAGAGAAATTTGCTCCAATTCAACCACAAAATATCAGCGGAACTTGATATCTCAATTAGGAAACGAGAACAATCGCTTGTTGAGCTCAGCGAGGATTTCGGTGCAAGATGGGCAAAAAATTAAACTTCCGCCACTGGCCAGACGACACAATATTGAGTATTTTGTTTTCTATTGGAGAGCGAATTACGATAACTCCTTAAAAAAAGTTTTGACATTCGAAGACCTGAGGTCCCGAGCACGGTAGAATTTGAAAAGAACAATGGGGTGACACAGGAAGGTTAAATTTACAAACACACAGAATGCCTCCAGATTATCTTTTCACTAATTAGTATTTGTGGTAAAAGATTATCCAAGACTCCAGATTTTTTACCTTCCTTTTACGTCTTTTATCGGAGAAGTTACCGCTAAAATACTGATGAGAGACAGAAAGTAACTGCCGTTTTTCATGCATGTTTTTAGGCACCTGTAAAATTGGCTACAGCTATTGTTTTTCCCCAGAAGCCTGAGAAGTTAAAAAAAAATGAAGCAATTTTAGTAGTGCTTCAATTGTATAAAGATTCTTGATTTTGTTCAATTGCTTGCTTCCACTGTAAGAGATTCATTTTGTGACTTTCCAGCTTCAAATTCAGCTAACTAGCAGTCTCTACCTTCAAGAAAGTCAAAGAAAATACATAACAATGTTTGTCGACATGAGACTTGTTGCTTTTGCATTAATATTGCAATTCAATTTGATTGCCGCTGAATTGCTTGGCACAACATTCAGACGAGGATCTGGTATATCTGAACTAAACACATGTCGTGTCGGTGTGGCTGAACTCACTTTTGATTACAAAATGCTTGGCAAAAGTAGTTACTCAAAGTATTGGGATGCACCTTGTGGTTATCCACCTTCCACGGGATCCTTTTTGCTCTGCTCCTACGTGATTAGTGGCAATGATTCTTCGATCCAGCCAAAACTTTTCAAACTTTTTACTGAAAGATGCAACGATTATAGCTCATATGATTATCCTATTTCGTACTATGAAGAACAATTCAAAAATGCCACCCAAAATTATGTTCCTCTTTCTCAGCTTAATGCGTCTCTTCCTATATACTCTGCTACCTTGCCCAACATGAAACTTCTTCAAAAATCTTACATGGATGCAAGTACTTGGTTTGCCGTAGCTGTTTGTGGATATTTCCTGCTGCTGATTATTATAAGTGCAGTTTATAATTTTTCAAGAAGATATGGCTTTACAAAAAGAATGAATGGCTCGAAAGTCTCAAAGCTATTTCAAAAATATCTCATTTTCCCCACTCTACTTCCAAATGGTAAATTTTCACAGACTTACGGTTACAGTTTCTTTACCATGCTCTTCCCAAACAGAATTCAATTCGTTACTGACCTATTTTTGTTTGGCTTGCAAGTTGCGTTTTACTGTGCTCCCTACAAGTATACAATAAAGGGTTACTGGGTTGTCTACGTGGGTTATCGTTCCGGTATTATGTCATTGGGAAAAATACCATTGCTTGTGTTGTTTGCTGGTAGAAACAATTTTCTTCTCTGGATTACGGGTTGGTCATACTCTACCTTTTTACATTTTCACAAAGTAGTTGCTGCTTGGATGTTCATTGATGCATTAATTCATTCAGTTGCTTATACAATAGACTATGTGGGGTACTATGTTAGTTCCCTTCACTACACATACTTTGCATGTGGTGTTGCTGCTACAGTACTTGCTGGTGTTCTTTGTCTTCACTCACTGCACTTTTTCAGGAGGGGCTTTTATGAATACTTTTTAGCAATCCATGTTGTTCTAGCTATTTGTTTTATTGCTATGGTTTGGCATCATTGCAATGTTTTAGGTTGGATGGAATGGTTAGTTGCTGCTTGCTGTGTTTGGTTTTTTGATAGGCTTGTACGTGTTATACGTATGTTTGCTTTCGGTTATCAAACTTCTACGATAACTGTTGTCGGGGACCAGTTGATGAAAGTTGAGGTTCCAAAGCCTGACTGGTGGTCACATGCACCGGGAACATATGGCTTTATTTATTTTGCGGGCATCATTTTTTGGGAAAACCATCCATTTACAGTTGTTGTTGAAAACGGCAAAATTTGTGCTTACATCAGAGTTAAGATGGGAGTGACTTCTAGAATCTGGAACAAATTAGTCAAAAATAACAACAGAATGAATTGGAGAATTTGCATCGAAGGTCCTTACGGTGGTGCACTAGCTCCGATGCTTAAAAAGTATGATGATGCCCTATTTCTTGCTGGTGGCTCTGGAGCACCAGGTATTCTTGAAAGTGCCACCAAAGCGACAAATGGAAAGTTAGTGTGGGTGGCCCAGAACATTAGTTTTGTGACTGCATATCAAACATTGATCACTAATATTAGTATCCCAATTGATATCTACATCACCCGTGAAACTTCTGCTAATAGAACATTTCTAAAGAAAGAATTTCTGAGCGATTCTGAACCTGATTCCCAGAGCACGGATGGCTCCGATAAGGAAATTGGCTACAAAGAAACAGAAAACGATGTATCTCAAATCCATGTTCGTTACTGCAGACCAGATATTAGTCAAATTATTGATGCTGAGGTTAGAGCATCAGCTGCAAAGAACGTGGGTATCATCGCATGTGGCCCTCCAGTAATGATGGACAATATTAGACATGTCATCACTGATCATGTGACTGATTGGAACAAAAGTATTGACTTTTTCGATGAGTTCCAGATTTGGTAGACAAATTCTTATTTCAATTTTTAATATTATTGAAGCTTCTATTTTTCTGTAGATGAAGCTTGTGTTTTTTTTAATACTTACACTTTGACTTAAGTCCACCAAAAACTTCCAAAGCTGGAACGCCTTACGTAAGTGTTGAAGATTTTTTTCACCGAGAGTAAACCTTGATTTCATGATAGACTTTTGAAGGCAATGGAGTTGTGAGCGTATGCTCTCTTAGATAACGTTGTCCAAAACACCCCCTTGAGGAAAGTATGACGCCAGCCGATGAAACTAAGCTTATCGCTAGAACCGCAACAGAAAGCAAAGCGGGAACTTCCGGAAGTAGAATTAGAAACAAGAACAGAAAGAAGAACAGTAAAAAGAGTGAAGAATGCTCCTCATCAGAAAACATAGATAGCACAGGTTCTCCTGTTGAAACTCAGACGAACTTGAGGGGAACAATTGGTGTTGCGAAATCAGCAAAGGTTGAGAGTAAAAGAAAATCCCCGCCGATCAAAGCTTTATTCAAAGAGCTGGAAAAACTTCTTCGATTTGTCAACCCAATCACTTTGAACGGGTTGCCAGTGAAAAACTTAACACGCGAGCCAATACCATTCCTGAAAAACGTTATTGAGGATGAAACTAATAAGGATGAAATATTCATGACTTTTTTAATGAAACCAAGTGATCCAGATTTCCCTTTCGATTTGGGTATTTTGAGTGTGACCTTGTGTATCCCCCAGTCATACCCAAATAAATTACCGTCACCAACAATTATGGTTTTGAATGACGATATACCGAGAGGATACGGCTTGAACATCGAGTTTGGTTTTAAACAAATTGTTTCCACTGTTTTGGAAAACAGGCGTAGCAAAAAACAAGGTAAGTGGAGTGTCAAAGGTAAGGGAAGTGGCAAAGGAGGGAATACCCCAGAGGAGGATGAAAAGGATGAAGGCAGAACTACTGAGGGGCTGCTCAATATAGAAGTAGTTGGAGGGAATGATCTTACGGGAATGATCAAAACTCTTGATAAATATCTAGAGAAATTTCTTTCGATGGAAAAAAAAGATACTATCAAACTGGTAAAGGTAATGAATAGTAAGAAAGATAGCGAGGATAAAAAACTGAAAGAGAAAACAGATGACGGAAAGGCAGCAAATTATGAGAGCGGAATGAATTCTACTACACCATCCCCAAGAATTGAACGGTATAGAGAGCGTACAGAAGAATTAGAACAACTTAGACAAAGACTAAGAGACAACTCTGTTACTGTACTTACCAACAATGTGCATGGTACCACTTACAAATTTGTTTTATATTTCAAAAGTGATGATTTGACAGTAGAGTTTGGCGAGTCAGACGAAGTTACAATTGAAAAACTATTTATTAAGCTTTTTGTTCCAAAAGAATACCTGTATCACCCAAAAAAAGGAATCAAACTTTCCATAGATATGTCTAATAACTATAACATCGGACTCGTTAACTCCATAAAGGACACCAATTCCCGCCTCATATTTGGAAAGCTTATAAATAATATCGGCAAAAATTATGATCTTTTTGCTCAGGACATTTGCCAAATAAACTGCCAGAATCCTTCCCGGGATTCACTGCTTTTTTGGACCATCACAAGTCAGCTAAATTTCTTCGTGCATAACATTCAAAAATTCATGAGTGAGAGAGTAGATTTTCAGAACTGGTATGAGGCCAACAAAACGATGAATTTTGAAGCTTCTTCCGAGCCGAATATGTAATATCCGTAGTTTCGAGAACTATAAATTTTTAGACGAGATTTTTTTTACCGGTACGCGTAATATTTGTCTCACCATTGAAACATGACAGCTAAGGGGTTAAAGAAATCATCACAGACGTTTTATGCTTTTCGAGTCGTACTAATAATTGATCAGAAAGGGTTGGGAACCAGAAGAAAACTTATAGGAGGATTTTTGTACGCTCCTTAGGAAATTTCAAAACATACACAAACTTTCACTTGAAACGGGAGATTTTATGCATATGAAGTGGATAATCTTTAATGCCTAATACAAGCACCGACGACACAAAAGGTCCTCACAATTTACTAAAAGGTAGCCCGGAGAAATTGTTATACGGACAGCAGCTATCACAAAATTATGCTTTTAATACACCTTTAACATCATCGGACATGTATATAGATTCGTCTAATATGGGGTGCGAGAAAAATCACAGGTCATACATTCAGTACACGGATGAACATGCCGGACGAATTACAAAGTTGGGACTCGAACTTGCCGGAAAAGGGTTGTCATATAATGGCCACCCAACTCAATTTTACAAAGCTGATTATGTGCTTTTAAAAAACAAACCAAAACAAACTGATCCATCTGCCGACTATACGGCCCGAGAAGTACATCGTATCATTTCAACTTCCAGTACAGACTCCATACAACCAGACTCAAACTGCTCGCCTGCCTTTTTTATCGAAAAGTTGAGAACTAGAAACATGACAATTAAAGATTTTCGATTTCTTGCTAACTTAATAGATAGTTCAAAATCAAATCAAAATGACGATTGGTGTCGAGAATTTCTACGCCTTGATGGTGTGGACTTATTGAGCAAAAAGTTGAAAATAGTCAACGAAATTTCAATCAAGTCAAATGAGCAGCTGAAAATTGAGTTTTGCGTGCTTTCGACTCTAAAGTGCTTAATTTTAAAGCAGCCTTTTACAGAAGAACGGAACTCATTCTTTTCGCCTCTTATAGAAGTGGTGACATCCAGTTTAATGTCACCCCAACTACGATCTGTGAATTTAGCTACGGGAGTTCTTGTTCTTCTAATAGTTAACAATGGTTTTGTTGCTTCAAAACTATTTTTAAAAGCATTCGCCCAACTTACCGAATCTGAAACACTAAGCATATATTCATCTTTTGAAGAAATTGAAATTGGCTCTGAGATCAAGGATAACACTTTTTCCAAATGGATACGCAATGCAATTGATTTCTTGAAGGTTGTTACGATTACGCCACTTGATGAACTCAGTTCACGTGACATATTTGAGGAGTTTTCTATGCTAACTTTATTCTTAGTTTGTGAGGTGATATCTAGTTTCGAGAACAAAAAGTCTAGAATTTCACTGAGAACAAAATTAGAAGAAGCAGGACTCCTTGAGCTATTCAATCTTACTAGATTATTAAACTATACCCCTATTTCAGATTTAATTGGAGAGTACTTCCAGCTCAGAGAGAAAGACACGCAAAAATTGAAAGTCAGTCTTACTCTCGATCCTTTGAGCAAAACCTCATACGATGAAAACTGCTTGATGAAAAATGTTTCTGCAATTGTAGATAACCTTCAACAAGTCAAAATATCTGGCGAAGATTGGGGCAGTTACTATGAAGGGCTTTACAACTTAGCTTACTATTTGGCAAACAATAAAGAAATTGAATACAAAGTCGCCCAAAGAGCCCTTGATTTGTTGCTTACATTGTTTGAGCGGGATAAGAAAGACCTAAAGCTAATCTTAAAAGCTTATTATAATTCAAGTTTACAAAAGAAGTTACAAAACTTGGAAAAGGAGCCAGACGCTTTTCATCCCTACGAAATCACGAAAACTCTTGATCCGACTTCACTGAGGAAAAGAGCTGGTGGTACTAACCAGGTATTAGACCTGCTGAGAAGTTCTTCGGTAATCGATAATAAGATATCAGATATAGGCTATAATACTGGAAACAAATTGGTCAGCAGAGCTCATAAATTAAACCCTGAACAGCTATCTGGCACGAAAATTAATGACAAGAAATGTGCCTCTAATGCTTTTTATCCGGCTGGAGAGCAGAAATTATCTGGTGATCAAGATTATGTCCAGTATCGGTCTGGTTATGGGTACATTGGATCCAATATTGAAGATAGTAAAATGGAAGGACAAGGTACAAAAATAAGTTCTAATACATTCTTTGAACCTTACGATTATTACGATATTGGGACTTTTTGGAATAATGGAATGGACAGCTCTGACATAGTATTGACCCGAAATTCTGAATCTGAGCATTTGATAAAAAACTCAAAACTTCATAGTGAACCCACAAGTAAGATTCGAAAGGATATGAAAAACGAACTTGCGCCTTTAACGTCTAGAGGCTTAGGTGCAGCATTAGAGCAAATATCAATTACGGGAAAAGTAAATCATGATTTGGGTCCCGGAGCCGGCCCGAAGTTGGACTATGAATTAGGTCCTAAAGCAAGCTCGGGATTGGGCCCCAGATTCAGACCTGGGTTGGGTCCAGGAGCAGGCCCAGGAGCAGGCCCAGGAGCAGGAGCAGGCCCAGGAGCAGGCCCAGGAGCAGGCCCGGGAGCAGGCCCAGGAGCAGGCCCGGGAGCAGGCCCAGGAGCAGTCCCGGGAGCAGGCCCAGGAGCAGATCCAGAGTTAGGTTCTGGGTCAGGCCCAGGAGCAGATCCAGAGTTAGGTTCTGGGTCAGGCCGTGGGTCAGGCCCTGGATTTGGCCCTGGCGGTTCTGTTTTCGGTTCTGGGTCAGGCTCTGTGTTGTACTCGGAGCCGGGTTGTGGGGTAGATTCTAAGCAAAATATAGCTTCCAAAGTATTTCCATTACTTCCAGTGAAATCAACTTTGCCCGTGCGACAACCACCACCTCCTCCTCCTCCTCCTCCTCCTCCTCCTCCGCCTCCTCCTCCTCCATTACCAAAATTGTTTGAATTGAAAACTCAAAAGATTGCTGCCGAATCTCCTGCCATTCCCCCTCCTTCATTATCATTAGCACCACCACCGCCACCGCCACCACCGCCACCACTACCAGCTGATTTTTTCAAGAAGCAGAATGAATTGTCAGCCAAGACAGGAGAACACACAAGTATAAAAGTAATAGATCTGAATGTGGAAAAAATGCATGAGCTAAGGTCCCTAAAGCGGTCTCAAACAAAACTCAAGCAGGTTCATTGGGACAAAATTGATAACATTGCCAACACCCTTTGGAGATATTCTGATGATCAAAACATTAATAAACTTTTAGATGAACGAGGAATTTTGTCAGACTTGGAACAATATTTTCAAGTCAAAGAGGCAAAGGTTAGAAAGAAACCAGTTGTGGTTGCCAAAACGGAAAAATATCAACGGGTTTCTTTCTTACCACGAGACCTTAAACAGACTTTCGCCATTAACTTGCACCAATTTAATGCCTTATCTGATGTTGAGTTTGTCCAAAAGGTTCTGGCCTGTGCTGACGAAGTTAACAAAGCTACTAACATTATTGAATTTTTCAATAATGATGCAGCGATGGAAGTCACTTCAACTTTATTACGAGACTTAGGACCATATTCCACTAATTTTAAACTAGGCTTTACCAAGCCAAAAAAGAACCCTAACGAGTTAGAAAGATACGACCGAATATACGTTGAACTTTGTTTTAACTTATCAGGATATTGGAAGGCTAGATCTCGTGCTTTATTTGTCGCAATAACCTATGAATCAGATTACAATGATATAAACTATCAGCTTAACCTGCTTGATACTGGATTGCAGGAAATAAAATCGTCTAAGTCACTAATCGGGGTTTTGACTTTAATAAAAAACATTGGAAACTTTATGAATGATGACTCTAAACTTGCACTGGGCTTCAAGTTGTCTACTTTACAGCGTTTAAGGTTTTTGAAAGATTCTTCTAACCAATACAGCTTATTGCACTACATAGAAAAAACGGTAAGAAGACATTTTCCCGAATACAAGGACTTTGCAGATGAGTTATCAAATATCAAAAAAGTATCCACAATAAGTGTGGATGAACTGGAAAAAAGTGTCAACGATTTTGACTCCCTTGTTAGTAATTGCGCAAAACAGATTGAAAATGGTGCATTAAGCGATGAAAGCAAGCTGCATCCTGACGACAAGATTATTGAATATGTTAGCAAAGTAATTATAAAGGCAGAAAAACGAGCTATGGCCCTAAAGGTACATCTTTCTTCTGTCCTTGGCACGATGAATGATACAATGGAATATTACGCTGAATCTTTTTCGGAAACAGACAGTAAAAATTCTTTTTTCATGAAATTTCTAGTGTTCATTAATGAATATAAGAAGGCTTATCAAGAAAATATTAGAAATGAAGAGGAAGAAAGGAACCAAGAAAGAAAAAAACAAGCATTACAAAACATGACTATCAAAACTGAAGTCAACAACACAGTGGATAATGATATCATGGAGCATCTTCTGGGAAGATTAAGGGAGAAAAAGCTGCTAGATTCAAGAAAGCTTGCCAAGTCATTAATTGACAACAGTGAAGATGATTTCATTGGGAATAAAAATGAAGTTGGTCATTTGAATCTGACTGGCTCGAGCAGGAATGTTACTTTGACTGGAACTAAACAACAAGTTGAGTTGGATTCGAAAAGCATTTCAAATATTGAGAATGATTTGATCCAGCCCAATGCCATTGGTTCTCTAATACAAAAACAAGGTACATTTGACCCGTTTCATGCGGCAGAGGAGGGCACAAGTATTGGTGAGAAAGACACGACTGAAAAGTTAAAAACTATTGAAAACGATAATTAAAATAAATCAAATGATGAAAATCAAACATCAGAATTGGAAAGTGAAAGCAACTGAACACAAAAAAAAGGGTGAGGCATCTTGTTCACTATGGAGGAAAAACTGATATCGAAATTCCCGAAGGGCTTTGAGAACCATTTATAGAATTTGTAATTTTAGAGTAGCATCGAGTTTGGCAAAAACACTTGCTTTACATTAATAGAGAAAATTTACACTAATTTTTTAGCTTTTCGAAAACTCTTGAATACTTAAATGTGTTATATTTAGCTGTTTATTTTTTAGAGTCAACTTTCTCTTTTTCACTTGAAACCAACCTTCCGTTCCTGGTTGGCTTGATGGATAAATCGATTTTCTTCAACACATACAAACCCATCAAAGCCAAGAATAAATAAAAAGCAGCAAATAGTGGCTTTTGAATTACGTTGTAAGTAGAATACCTATAACGCAAAATCAACTCCAAGTTTTTCATTTCGTCAACAATGTTCTCAAACTCGAAGGATATTTTTGTATGTCCATTTTCAATGTCTAGATATGAATATTCATTGGAAATTTCAGGTTCACTAGCAGAAAAAGGTAAGGAATAGTCAATCAACTCGGCACCCTCTGGGAGATAAATGCTGAAATCGATTTTTCCGTAAGTAGTATCACGGATTCCGTCCAAGATATGTGCACTGAGTATGTACTCGTCATTGCCTTGTCTTAAGAACTGTTTTAAATCATAATTCCAGCCAATGGTAAAGTTGTAATTCCATCCTCCAAAGAGAGGAAATCTAGGGCGTAAGACCAACTCATCATTATAGTATTGAGAAGTTGAAACATTACCCACCTTGTCAACGAAATAAATAGATTGATCTTGAATCGTCTTTGATTTATCGAAAGGAATTCTTAATGCAGTGATAGCATGATGCTGTCTAGCCGCAAGCTTTTCGTTGAAATATTTAGCCCTCGAAAAGCCTTTATCCAATTTAGCGCCATGGTTTGTGATTTCGTAGTACTCCTCTAGCTGAAGTGCACTTGACCAATGTGAAATCCAAAGATCTCTCTTCAAGTAATTGACATAAGTTAGAGGGGCATTCCTGGAAAAGGTGAAAGAGAAGTCAAACACTGTATCACTAGGAATTTTTTCAGTTGCCTCATATAAAATATTGTTACTCACTATGTCACCTTTAATTAAAGAATATGGAAGATCTTCATGAGGTAGTTCATGAAAATCCGTCACAGATAGCAATGCAACAGAGTATGTGTCGGTATCATAAGGAGACAATGGGTAGACGTTAGTAGTCACTTTTAAAACTTGTTCTTTTTCCATAGGAATGTTCTCTGGGTAAGGAACCAATTGTTTAGTTATTATGGCCGAGAGTGATAATGAAAATTCAGATCCGGGAGAAATTGGATAAGGTAGGGCTATGGTGTAGTAAAGAATATCGTCATCGTATATATCCATTTGTGATGATTTTAGAAGAATTTTCTTGCCATTGGCGCCAACAGTCAACGCGATAACCAGAGAAATGTCCTCTTTCACATACCTAGGTAGGCCAAAAATGTAATGAGAAACAGGCTCGGAGTGTTTGTTTTTAATCTCTATATCGTATCTTTCCTTAACAAATGATTTTCCAACATCTATTGATTTGAGATATTTCGTGTTTTCCCAAACTTTTTCAAATGGGTAGTGTGAAGCTATACCTATCGAAACAAGTGAGAGGAAAGCATATATCAACTGCAAGAATCTCATGTCTAATATTCTCAGGCGATTGACTGTATGATTCAACTTTCCCTTGCTTTCAGCAATTGTATCAGGTTCAAAGCTGCATAGCATATTGTAAATGTGCCACGTTCCAGCTCTCAAGTACTCGAAGGTATCTTTCTGCTGGAGACAGCTGGGTGCTAGTGGTGTACGGATGAAGATGCTAAGGAGGCTCGTTAAATTTTTATTGATTTTTTTTTTCATATTTTCTTTTTTATTTTCTGTTTTTCAAAAAGTTCAATCTCTCTAAACCTTGATTTGGCATTAAGAAACAATTAAAGACAAAATACAAGTAAAGCCGAAGTAATAACAGGTGGAAGCTGAGATCATAGCTTTGAGCATGGGTCGTAGACACAGGCAAAATAAAAAAATTGTATTTTCGGATACAGAGTTCGAAGGATCTCCGTCAAAGAACTCTCAAGAAGAGGACAATGCGTTCGCAACAAGAGCAACACCAGCTTCGCAGAATAATATTACCGAAACTAAAACAGAAGGATCCTATAAAACAGTGTATTTTGATGATAAATCAACTGAAGACAACGAAGAAGAGTTCAACAGAGAAAACGCTGATAGTGATGACGAAATTTACGAACATAATCAGTCTCTCAGCAGAAACCAGCTTCGTGCTAATGCGGAAAAGCTCTACGAAATAAGGAAAACGTTGCCTGTCTTCAAAGTGAAAGATGAAATAACACCCCAGCTAATGAAAAACCCTGTAACTATTCTTATTGGTGAGACAGGTTCGGGTAAATCAACACAAATCCCCCAATTTTTGATGAACGCATTGGAGAAAAATATAGCAGTAACTCAGCCACGTAGGGTGGCTGCAATGAACTTGGCTTTGAGAGTTGCAGAGGAGTGTGGCTGTCATGTTGGAGAGGAAGTGGGGTTTTCAGTTAGATTCAACAACGTCACTTCGCGTCGAACAAAGCTAAGATACATTACTGATGGTATGTTACTAAGAGAAATGATGATTGACCCAAAGCTCACCAAATATTCAACTGTTATTGTCGACGAAGCACATGAGAGAACAATTTTGACAGATGTTATGCTTGGATTCTTGAAGGGATTATTAATCGAAAGAAATAAAGGAAAAGCAAAAGCTGATTTTAGGGTGATTGTCATGTCAGCAACTTTAGATGCAGAGAAGTTTTCAAAGTTTTTTAGTAATGCTCCTATTTTGTTTGTTGAAGGTAAGATGTTTCCTGTACAAAGATACTACCTTGAAAAGGCCGCAGACGACATAATTGATGCCGTTGTGAAATCTGTTGTTCAGATCAACCAAGGAGAACAAACAGGAGACATATTATGCTTTCTTCCAGGTCAAGAAGATATTGACAAGGCTGTTGAAATATTAAGAAATATAGCACCCGAATTACCAAGAGAAGCACCGCTGATTGTCCCGATGCCATTGTATGCGGCATTACCACCACAACAGCAAATGAAAATATTTATCAAAACAAAGCCAAGACAACGTAAAGTTATAATTTCGACTAACATTGCCGAAACATCTGTGACTGTTCCAGGAATCAAATACGTCGTAGACAGTGGTCTTCGAAAAGTCAAGGTATGGAGACACCAATTAGGGTTATCTACATTATTAACTGTCCCAATATCCAAAGCTTCGGCTACTCAGCGAGCTGGTAGAGCTGGTAGAGAATCTGCTGGTAAATGTTTCAGGTTATACAAAGAAACAGATTATTTGAAACTCTCGGACACAACCGAGCCTGAAATCTTAAGGTCTGAAATCATTTCCCCAGTTTTAATGTTGAAAAAACTAGGAGTTGATGATATTTTAAGCTGGCACTGGTTGGAAAACCCGGGTCAAGAATCTCTGGTCTCATCGTTGCAACAACTATATGCTCTAGGAGCTTTGGATAATTCGGGAAACATCACCGATCTAGGTGAGAAAATGGTAATTTTACCAGTGGCTCCACATCTAGCATCAGTTTTAGTCAAGGCCCAAGAATACAATACACTGGATCAGGTCATAGATATTGTATCATGCTTGTCTGTTGACAACTTGCTGCTAACACCTCCTAGCGAGAAGAGAGATGAGATTAATGCCATGCGTCTTGATGTGTGCTCACTAGGTTCCCAGTATGGTGATTTGATCATGCTAAAAGAATTGTATGACATTTATAACACCATAAAAGAGCCTAGTGAGAGGAAAAAATGGTGTAAAGAAATAGCAGCTTCTTACAAAGGATTCAAGAACGTCAACAGGATACACAAACAGATTAAAGAGTATATGAATATGCTAGAAGGTGACAGTTCAGGAACCAAAAAAGAGGAAGACCCAAAAGGCGAGTTAGGTAACTTTGACACAACATTAAACGTGGAACTTATCCTCAAGTCGTTTTTAAAAGGTTTCATTTTGAATACAGCGATAGGGATGCCCGACCGAAGCTACCGAACAGTCACTTCAGGTAACTTGATTTCAGTTCATCCTTCTTCATTATTATTTGGGAGTAAAAAAGATGCAATAATGTACATTGAATTTGTATATACCGTGAAAGGTTATGCGAGAAACGTTTCGGCAATCAAATTGGAATGGTTACAAGAGGTTGCACCACAGCTTTTAAGTGCCAAAGTCAGCACCACTAACTACTAGCTTGATTAGCAATTATGTAATAATACAGGCTTATTTGAGAGTATTTTCTATAAATTTTTTCTAAATTTCATCTTCTCATCTAAAACATTTGATAACAAAATTCGATCAGTAATCATTTATCGATTGTTTGACGTATCCCTTATCATGCAACTCTTCAATGTACTCCTTCCAAAGACCATTTGAGGACATACATTTAGCATCACCACAAATAATGAAACTATATTTGGCTCTAGTCAATGCAACATTCATTCTTCTTTTATCAGACATAAAACCTATGTTGCCACCTTCATTGGATCTGACACAAGAAAGTAATACAAAATTCATCTCCCGGCCTTGATAGGCATCAATTGTGGCCACAATAATACCATTGACATTACAAACAGTGACGTTTTTCTTCTCACTTAAATCTTCTTTGTCGACATATTTCCTAGTTTTATTCTCATAGGGATTGATAATTTTATTATTTTCGAGAGCCTTCACAATTAGGTCTCTTTGGGCTGCATACCCTGTCATCACACCAATAGTAGAAGGTGGAACGTGATGGTCAACAATAAGATTCTCTAATATTCTCTCTATGTAATTCACCTCTTTCTTATTGACCCAAGAAAAACCAAATTCTTCACCAGAGGCAGAAAACATTTTGGTTTCTGATGCACCAAGACCCTGATGGTCAAAAAAGTACACTGGATATTTAATACCCTCCATTTTTCTGTTCTCTGCAGTTATACCATCCTTCAATTTGCTACCGTAGAATTTCCTTCTAGAAAAGTGGGATATATCAGGATGCATTCTATATTGGGTATCGAGCATGAATGGATTTTCATAGGTACCATTTTCCAAAACTCTCTGGAATAAGGACATCTCTAAACTTTTAACTCTGGTGAAAACACTCAATTGTGCAGTATCACCAACTAAGATAACTTTATTGCAACCTTGTGCCCCAAGCGGAATCAAAGTGGATGGCTCTGATGATTGTGTAGCTTCATCCATTATGATCACTGGCATTTTTTTGACTTTTTTAAGATAAGGACCTGCGATACCGGCTGTAGTTGCAAAAATAATGTTAGCTTGCTTCACTATTTGGGCACCATATTGCTGGCATGCATCTAAATATTTGCTGAACTCAGACGAAGAGACTTGGGATGCATTTCTTTTAAGCCTATTTTCAATATCCTTCAGGTTCGGAGGTAACACTTGTGATATTTTGTTATGCAAACAAATTGAACCTAATGAATGTGATTCAGGATATTCCTTCTCTTTCGAAAGTGAAGTTATACGTAATATAATATCTTTGTGCTCTCCCATCAATTTTTCAGCAATGTTATCAACAGCTAGATTTGATGCAGCAACAACCAAAATAGGATAATAATGTAGCTGCGTCAACAATTGAAGGATGATCTCGTAAATTGTTGAAGTTTTACCAGAACCTGGAGGACCTTGTAAAATTGTTACCGTGTTATTTAATGCAGATTGTAATGCATTTTTTTGGGATTCATTCAAGACGTTGAAATAGTTGCCGATTTTATTATGGAAATTAATTCTTTTGATTTTTTCTTTACCTAGAATTAACTTTTTGAAAGATTCATTTTCAATTTTGTTCATTGAGTTCAAAATTCTTCCCACGACATTACTTCCAGGCAAAAATGCAAACTGATCACCTCTCTCTTTAACCGGGAATTTTCTGTCGTTCCAAGGGTATAGCTCCAAAGTGAATGTTGAAACTTGATTAGTTTTTTTCAAAACAGCATGTTTCTTCACTTTTGCACTTTTACCCCTTTTGCCAATTTTAGCTAAACTACTTGAAGAAACGTGTGCAAGCCAAAACTCAGGAGGAGAAGTCCACCTTAAACCAGCGTCTGATTTTCGAATGATGAAAATAGGTTGATCCCTAGTAAATGGGTGCTTTTTCAAGTGATGAACGTCATCATTAACATACATGTCAAACCATTTCTTGGTAGGTCCTGTCATTATACATTGGCTCTCACTCTTCCACTCAAAATCGACGTCAGTGCAGACATCCTGAGCATATAACTCCTCCAAAAATAGACTATATGAGAGATAGCTGTAATACTCATTCAAATCATCAAACCTTAGCCTGATATCTTTTGGGAGTGTCGCCTTGACAATTTGCTTTAATCTTTCAAACTTGTCTTCAATTTTCAGATCAGTGGCATCCAAGATGCTCATGTGTTGTGTATTTGCCGGGGAATTTTTGATGTGTTTGGCAGGCCCTGCGCTTTTCAAATCGTTCGAGTTCTTGGAGAAGAGGCTATCAGCTCCGTTCTTGAGCTTATGAGATTCATGTTGTTTGGTCAAACTGTTGGATGTGATTGCTTTTCCCTTTATGAGCTTCTTAGATTTCTTTGGTTCAACTTTTTCTTCGGGTACATTTTTGGAGCTCGATACGGATTTAGGAGGTGGGTCATTCTCTTTATCTCTAAACATTTTGCTATCCGTAATTTCAATATTTTTATCTTTTTTTCTCTTGTCATTTCTCTTCGTTTTTCCAGCCTCTTTTTCGTGTCTTTGATCCAAAACAGGTGCTGTGTGGTGCGAAGTAGCAGACGTAGAAGAGGAAGAGACAGTAGAAAGTAATGGTGAAGTAGTTGCTGATTTAGTGGTTTTATCAGATATAAAGGGTGGTATTTCTTGAACAGTAGCTATTACGCTCTTACCGGAATCTGTATAACGGGAGTCATTGAAGGCTATTGAGAGAAAATTCATGTCTGATCTTTGTGTAAGCTTTTTGCCCTTCAAGTTGACATCTTTCTCAACGCACTTTGCACAGTAGCAATTTTTTTCTTCATCTATCCCTAAAACATTTGTTGAATTGCAACTAATACATGATAAGCCATTTAAGTGATACATGTTGTCGACATATTTCAATAGTGTCTCTTGAGTACTGAATGCATCGATTAATGGATCATAGCCATTTTTTTCAAGACAATCAGAACAACATAAGCCCAAGGAAGAGGATGCAAGTAGTATTAAGTGAAGGTTAGATAAATCAGTTTCTCCACATGACTGACATTTGATGGAGTCACTCAAAGAGTTGAAGACAACGGACATCTTTTGATGATTAAATTCATTGACATGATTCGTCGCAGCTTCATAGCCGACCATTTCAACAGGACAACAATCACAGTGAAACTCTAATGTATCAAAAAATTTCAAGCTCAAATTAAGAGGATTGTTTAGTACCAAGCCGGAGCCATCTGTATGAGTACCTATTTTGGAATCTATCGTGACACTCCCAGCCGAATTTTCCAAACCTCTTTCATTATCAGTTATCGAATTTGATTGTAAACCAGTTTCTGATCTCAGCTTTTTGGCGGCTTTCTGCTTCTTTCTCTTTTCAGCTTTACGGAGTTTCTTTTCCATTTCATGCCCTGCAACTACTTCGATTTTTGATGATTTTTCCGTTTCGGGTACAAAAGATCTCAAGGAGCCCGGCTGCTGCTGTTCTGGTTTTTGAGTCATCTTTTTCTCATTAGCTTTCTGGTTTTTGGATTTCAAATTGCCAGTCTGATTACCATTTTTCTCTGCCGAGAGCTTGATGCCGGTTGATCTTCCGGTCTGTTCGTGTGCCTTCAGCTTTTGGGTGACTTTCTTTTCTTTTCGTTTTTTATTTTTTTCCACTTTCTTCTGCTTTTCAGTCGTTTCAACCATTCCAGAAGTAGCTTTAGAAAGTCCAATATGATCTCCGGCTTGTTTTGAAACTGGCCTATTGTTCTGGGCCTCTTTCACATTGTTCACGGGTTTTGAAGATTCCTGGATTGTATTCTCATTTGGTGCCTTACTTTCACCCTTAGGAGCATCTGAATTGGATGACATTTTTAGTGAGGAAAACAGGAAGCAGATGCTGGTTAATAAAGCTACTGATCCGTATTTGTAAACGGTTGGAACAGATGTAACAGACGATGGCATAAATAGTAGGGAAAAAGAGTTCTGATGGAAATCTGAAAAAAATAACAACGAACAAATCCTGCATACAAATTTCTACGCACGCTAATTTTACAGTCTATAATACTAACGCTTGGGGGATGAAGCCTGTTAAGAATATGACGATGACAACTATGATGAAGAGGTTGCTGAAGCAGAGTAAACAGAAGAAAGCATTCGCATATAGAATTGCTCTGTGCAAATGTGCTGCAGAAGCAGGGAAGAAGTGGGCATGTGTGGGGGGACAATAATGGAAATAAGAGCCCCCGGGAATTCTTCTGGCTATCCCCGTTTTTCATTGCCGGTAGGCAGATGAGGAGGTGGGGATCACCGAAGGTTTGAATAAGAGAGAAGAAAAGCGAACAAAGAGGGGATAATTGTATAAGATAATAAATAAAGGTTTCAAGGTTTTCTTATATATGAAGGGGATGAGGAAGAAAATGGATCAAACGATCTTTGTTCTTGTTGGGATATCCCACCCGTTGTCATCAACATCATGTGGAGTGAAGACATCGAGTTCTTTCCAGGAGTCGATCCAGCTTTCAACCACGTTGGAGAACCAGAAGTCGCCGTCATTCTTGATGAAAGAGTAGTGACCACCGAGGTCTGCAGTGGCCATATATATCCAAGGCTGTTTTTTTACTTCAAGGTATGGGTAGTCAGTGGAGATCATTGGGTCGTCGGTAGAGTTGATTACCAATAGAGGGGTTCTAATCTGGAATATTCTCCATAGGGGTGACGCGGCGTAGTAGTAGAGTTTACCACTTGGGAAGCCAACCAACTTGGAAGTGTACTGATTGTCGAACTCCACCGGAGACTTTATCCTTTTCTTTAGATCCTGGTAAACTTCGTCATTGAACAAATCCGGTCTCGCACTCAAGGCTTCCCTGTTACTCTTGACCATCTTGAGCAACATATGGATGATTACCGGCTGGAAGAGGTAGTGGCCGCTGATGGACTTGTCCACGTGGGACATGGACTCGTTCAAATCCCATGGGGAGGAGATTGTGATTGCAGAAGTCAATTTGGAATCCTTGCCTTCCTTGCCCAAGTAGTTGACGAGTTGTAGACCACCGAAGGAGTATCCAATGGCATGGAATTGTCTCTTGATGTGGACCTCATCTGAAAATTCTTGCTGGAACTTGTGTATGATGTATTTGATGTCGTCTGTGTCTAAGCCTGTATAGAGGTAGGGCGTAGTGATTTTGGAACGACTGGCGCCTCTCTGGTTCAGAACAAGGACATGATGGCCCTGTTTGTACAACTTGTAGCAGGTGGATCTGATGGGAGCTTCTTGAATGCCTCCTGCCAACCCGGGTAATATGATGCTGATGGGAGCGCCGTCTTTGGACCAATCTTCCTTGAGGGCGGCGAGCTCCTTGGTGGTGTAGTAACGACAACGAGGGCGCAACTTTGGATAGCCCTCTGGGATTGTCTCTGCGGAGCGGGCCTTAAAAACTTCATCGTCCAGTTCTTCTACCGGTGGTGCGACAACGTAGTCCAAGGTGAACTCGCCCGGGTGCAAGTGTTCAAAGGTTGTACGGGAGGACTCCACGTCATCTTCGGTGATGGTGATGATTTCACGAGCGAAGTAGACGGGGTATGTCTGGTGGAAGTCTGCCTTGAAGGTGTACAAGGTCTGCAGGGTACCCGTGAAAAGGTAAGGCTTTAGGACATGTTTGGCGCCGTCCTTGATGTCCGGGATCCTCGTTTCGACAAACTGGTTTAAGGAGACGGAGGAAGTGGCAGTGGTGGACCCTGGGGAGAGGGGCTTGAGCGGCAGCTTGACGGAGTCGTCGGAGTGGTATGCGTGGACAGTGTTTCTGAACCCCCAGTTAGGTAGCACGAACATGGCGGAATGGGTGGGTGTGGTTTAGGAATTGGGACAGAGTGATTGGGTGGTGAAGTAGTGGTGGTGATGGTAAGGAAGGAGATGAGGACGAAGAATGGAAATGTGGCGTGCGTGCGCTCCTTATTGTCTGGCGGAAAGGCGAGGGGGAGACGAGCGAGTTGGCCAGGAGTGGGTGGGTCATTAAGCCGAGTTATAAACTAGATAAATAGAGAATTAGACACGTAGACATGAGGGAGGGAGGGTAAGAGAAGGAAGGAAAAGAAAGGGACCACAGGGGACCACAGGGGAAGAAAAAGAAAGGACATTAGAGGAGGGGAGGCCGGACAGTGCGGCGCGTTCAGGCGTCTTTGAGTTCCTCGACGGTTGGCTGGTTTGGAAGCAGGACGGGCTTGATGATGAAGTATGTGTTGGTCTTGTCGGCAAGCCCGGCGAGCATGTTGTAGAAGCCGACGCAGCCGGCAAAGATGGCGAAAAAGCCGCCGGCCTTGAAGAGGTTGACGGAGGAGATGAACTGGGCGATGGTGAAGAGAAGAACAAAGAACCAGATGAGGAACATCAAGAGCGACAAGGCGACGGTGGACTTCCAGGTGCAGATCCACAAAAAGAAGGAGAACATGGCCCAGGGGAGGAAGAAGATGGCGACGGACTGGCCGTACTCCGCGGCGGACGAGTAGCTGGCGGCGATGCCGCCCACGTCCATGAGCACAAAGGCGTACGACGACCAGAAGCCGCCGAACATGAGAAACGTGCACGACGCCCACGTGTTGCCGATCACAAAGCAGAGGATGCCCACGATGATCTCCACGAGCCCGGACGTGGTCAAGAACGCGCCCAAGAGCGTGTTGGCCTGGTGGACGTGCTTGGCGTGCATCTGCACGAGCCCGAGCGAGATCGCCGAGGCGCTGAACGCCCCCAACCCGGCCGGCACCGGGTTGCCGTACTCCCGCAGCTCCCGGGTCTTCTCCCGCCGGCTCACCTCGAACGTACCGCCGAACGCCTGCGTGAACTCCGCCTTGTTGATGGGCACGTCGTTGATGTAGATGTGGTCGTCGTCGTGCCGGAACGACTTGTGCGTGAGCTGGTGGTCCACGCGGGGGAAGCCCTCGTTTGAGCCCGCCGAGTCGTCGTTTGCCTGCTTCTCCAAGTCGTCGTTGAAGGAGTTGTTGTTCATTGCGTGTGTGTGTGTGTATGTGTGTGTGTGTGTGTGAATGCGTATAAGCGTATGTGCCTATGTGCCTATGTGCGTGCGTGCGTGCCTAGTCTGTTCTGCGTGTTCTGCTCCCCACACTCTCTCTCCATCCCGCCTGCCTTCCTCCCACCCCCTGTCCGCCACGGCAGACCCCTGTCCTTTTATACTTGCCCCGTCCAAAAACCCTGCTAGTTCCCCCCGGCCGCCACCACCACAGGCCCCCCCCTCCATCCAACGGCCTCCGGCTTTGCTCTTCCCCCGTCCTCTTTGTCTGGCCTGCACCGGCTCCTATGCCGACACCCCCGCCGCCGCCGTCCCCGCAGTCCGTGGCCCCGAGTAGCCCTGTCACTGCCCTGCCCCGCCGCGGGGCAGGACTCCGAGCACCTCGCCACCCTCACCCCCCCGCCGCGCACCCGCCGCGCCGTGCCCCGCTTGCCGCAGCGCACCCCGTGTCTCCGCCCCTTGTCCTGCACGGGCCTGCAAGGCGTGCGAGGGTGCGGGTGCGGGTGTGCAAAGTGGACGGCCCCCGACGGCGGCCCCTCTCTGCGCGCGGGGCGGAGAAACACCGTCGCGGCGGCCGGACGGGCGGCGGGCAGTGGGTGGGGGCGACGCGTCGGCGACGCGTCGCAAATGAATGGCGGGTGCGCGGCGCGGAGCAGGGCTGCTGTCGACGCGTCGGCGACGGGTTGGCGACGGGTTGGCGACGCGTCGGCGACGCGTCGGGGGATTTGCACTGCTGCGAAGTTACGTGTACATGTGCGGATCGATGTTGTTGTCTGCGAGTGTGCCTGTTTCACTCACGAAAGTTGAATCTGTAGGACCAAACATGCACTTGTGTCGGCGTGTGTAGCGCAGATCTTGCGGCGTCCGCCGTCACCCCCCTCTCCCCAGGCTGCTACTGTGCCATCTTCCACCACACCGTCCACCACACCGTCCACCACACAGATGTCGCTGGCGCAGTACAAGAGGACCGTGCACAGGCTGCTGACAAGGTCGAACCCGCTGAAGCTCGTCGTGACCGTCGTGTTGGTGCTGTTCCTCTACTTCCTCGTGAGGGGCACGGGGCCCCGCGAGGAGGAGTCCGTGATAGCAGCAAACCGCAAGAAGTCGCCGTACTCATACAAGCCCAAGGCGGGGGGCAAGAACGCATGGACCCCGAAAAACCTCCCGGCCGACCACATCTCCCACTACGACCTCAACACGTTGAAGGCGTCGGAGGACGCGCTGCAGAACAACGAAAAGGTGCTCATCTTGACGCCCATGGCCAACTTCCACGAGGACTACTGGCAGAACCTGCTCGAGCTGTCCTACCCACGAGAGCTCATCGAGCTTGGCTTCATCCTCCCTCGGACAGCCGAGGGAGACGCCGCGCTCAAGAGCTTGGAGACCGCCGTCAAGAAGGTCCAGGGCGCCAAGGACGCCTCCGCGTCCAAGTTCTCCAAAATCACAATCCTCAGGCAGGACAACGACTCCCCCGTCTCCCAGCTCGAGAAGGACAGACACGCCCTCAAGGTCCAGAAAGAAAGACGCTCCCAGATGGCCACCGCCAGAAACTCCCTCCTCTTCTCCACCATCGGTCCCTTCACCTCCTGGGTGCTCTGGCTCGACGCAGACATCGTCGAGACCCCAAGATCTCTCATCCAGGACATGACCAGCCACAACAAGCCTGTCCTCGCAGCAAACTGCTACCAGCGCTACTTCGACCAGAACGAAAACAAGGAGTCCATCCGGGCCTACGACTTCAACAACTGGGCAGAGTCCGACGAGGGCCTCCGCTTGGCCTCCACCATGGCCGACGACGAGATCATCGTCGAGGGCTACCAGGAAATAGTCACCTACAGACCCCTCATGGCTCATTTCTACGACGAGACAGGCAACGTCAACGACGAAATGCCCCTCGACGGTGTCGGAGGCACTTGTCTGCTTGTCAAGGCCGATGTCCACAGAGACGGCGCCATGTTCCCCAACTTCCCCTTCTATCACCTCATCGAGACAGAGGGCTTCTCCAAAATGTGCAAGCGCTTGGGCTACGAGGTCTTCGGCTTGCCCAACTATCTTGTCTTCCACTACGATCAGAAGATCTGACCGTGTCTATAGCTGTAGAGATTAATGTTAGAACCGTACTCTCAATCCACTCACTCATACTCTTTTTACTCCTATGGAGAATCCACGCGTTAATCCCGATACGCTCTCACGCAGCACCGCAACAATAATTTATTACAAAATAATATTTTTTTCCTTATCTATTCTCCATACTGTGGTCCGTGCCACTCACTATCCGTCACTGCCAGTCTAACCAACGTTCTCTTTTGCTCACCTTTTACGTATTTCTAATCTCTTTCCTTCTCTGCTTCCTTTATCTTCTTCTCCTGTCTGGCTTCCTTTTGCTTTTTTTTCTCTTCATCCACAATCACTCACTCAATCCGACGTCACCCCCTTTGATGAACGAAACCAACCCTACACTGCCTTCAAATATAGACATCATCAATGTTCTCAAAAACTCCAACTTGACCCCATCACAGAAAGTCTCTGTAATCACCGAGATTAACAACAAAAGTCAACCTTCCAAAAGTACGTCATTTCTTTTTTTCCCAGCCTCCGTCTATTCTGTCTCTTGTTCCAAAATACTAATGCTCCCTACTTTCTCCCCTCCCTCTTCCGGCTGCCTTTTGCGCTAGATTTATCTCACGTTCCGTGCAAGTTCTTCCGCCAAGGCGCCTGTCAAGCCGGAAACTCATGTCCTTTCTCTCACGCAACCGACGTCTCGTTGGACTCCCAGCCATGCAAGTACTTCCAAAAGGGTAATTGCAAATTCGGTATAAAGTGTGCCCTTGCTCACGTCTTGCCTGACGGGAGGAAGGTGAACACAAAAAACCTTCAAGGCTCCTACCAGTCCGGACACCACCAGCACCAACCGCAGCATCAACATCACAACCATACCCACCACTATAACCAACATCATCAGCAGACCCAGCTGGATGGCAGCAACAACAACAATCATAACACTAACAACAACAGCCACAGCCACAATAACAAAAAGACAACCAGCAGCGATTCAAGCCCTTCTGACATTGTCAACACAGTGGAGCCAATAAGTATCAATGATTACTATAGCTCACCACAGAACGCTTACATCGGCAACAACAACACCAATCAACAAAATGCTACTAATTACAACAATAATTACTATAGCTTTGGCAACAAAAGCAACCCAAACTCTTACTACAACCTTGCTACTCAAAACTATAACTACAACAGCTCAATTTTACCTTCTACCTCTGCTTCATCTGTTCAGATATCTTCTACAGCTCCAGCAGCTTCTCAAACGTCAACAATGGCAACCTCCCCCTTCAACGGAATATCCATCTGGTCAAACTCTCCCTCAAACCAATTGACCAATAACAGCAACAGCAATAGTAGTATCAATAATATTGCCAACCTGAGCGCTCAGGCACAAGCACAATTCGTTAGGTCAATATCTTTCTCCAACACATCGAATACCAACATGAGACTATCCAATAGTACAAAAACCAACAACAACATCATCAACTCAATCCCCTCCAACCCAAACTCCTCTTTTAATCATTCACTTGACCAATCATTTGACTCTCCATCGCAACTACTCTTCACGTCTCCAACTTCTTCTGCAAATACTCAAAACTATTCTGCTATTGTGGATAGTGCAATTATGGATTCTGAGGATGAAAATGACGATGAAAACGATCTCAGCAACCTTGGCAGGGAATCTGAAGATGTTGATTTTGTTCCAAGCTCTTTGAACGATCTATTAACTCCTCAAGAATTGAAAAGAAGACATTCCAGATCTTCGTTTGGCTCTCAACACCCGCTTATCGCGATGTCTTCAGTGAAGGATCCATATAGTTTGATTGAAGAAGATACCCCTTTCATTATGGATTAATCATTGATATTTACCAGGCTGTTAGAAGCTACAGCTCCATTTATTTACCTTATGCTTATAACAATCACAAAAATTAAAAGACAAAAAGATATTATGTCATAATGTTATATTAACCAAATAAATATTTAGAATACGGGAAGGGTAGAACATTTTGGGATGCGGGAAAAAAAGTTAAGGATTAATGTACAAGCTAAATGGTACGAAAAAGTTACAAAAAATATATTACTACTATTATGTTCACATGATGTGAAAACTTTTATATAAAAAAAAAGGGAAAAGCTTTTATATGGGTCAAAAAGAACGGTTGCCAAAAAATAATGATTGGATTAGTTTTTTTTTGCTTTTTTGATTCTTTTATTTTATCACGAGTTACTTTATTTCAAGGTTTTATTGTGTATTTGATTTTATTCACTCTATTTTATTCAACTTCATTTTTTTTATTTGTATTATCTTGTTGAGCCACATTTTCAATATACATTCGTTTCATTGGTTTTTGAACATATTATTTTTTATTTTCGGAATGGAATATATATAAATATATTAATAAAAAGACAATCGCAAAATTAGTTAGATATATAAGAATGCTAAAACAGAAGAAGTGTAGGCCTATAAATTCATAACTGAAAAGCCAAGGTAGTTAGTTCATATCAAATCGATAGAGGGAATTTCTTTAGTAAAAGAGTAAACGGGAGTAATGTATGAAATGGTTAAGAATCAAGAAAAAAAAGGTGGGAAGAAGATATAAATAAGAGCTGATTAACGGAAGTCGGTCTTACCATTACCTCTCTTACCACTGAACAAATGCTTTGGCATTTGGTCGCCGATAGTTCTATCAGCTTCACCCTTCTTGGAGTTTCTGTTTCTTTCCCTTCTCTCCATCTTGACGATTCTTTCAGCCTTCGATCTAAGAGCACCATCGTCAATACCGTCGTTCAATCTATCGGATTGATTCAATGGCTTGACACCACCAGTTCTGAGTTCATCTTCAATTGAACCACGTAAAATATCAGAACCCTTGACATTGAATTGCTTCTTACTCTTACCCTTCTTGTCCTTCAACACGTTTGTGTCGTGACCAACAAGATACATGTGGTTCTCCAACTCGCCGAAGGACTTCGTAATCTTGGATCTTGGCATTATAGCACGGTTGCTCAAATGCTTCTTCAAACGGGCGTCGTTTATCATCACTTTTTGCTTGTCTCTAATCCATTGAGCCTTTTCACGTATTCTGTTGATATCAGATGCTTGCTCGTCATCTTCCATATCATTATCAGAATCGTAGAACCCTTCACGCTCGAGCTGTTCCTCTTCTTCCTCCAATGCTTGTAATTTCAATGCAATATCAGGATCAAGGAAATCGTAGACGTTCTTACCTTCCAAAATTTCAGGCATGGCATCATTTTTCCATTCTTCATCGTCCAGGATGTACTTTTCCTTCAAGTTGATGTTGTAGACACCAGCACCACCATTCTCGAGTTCGATATCCTTGGCAAGTTTTCTTCTTTCTGGATCGTTGGAATCATACTTTTTCAGTAACTTGACAGCTTCAGGAATATGAGGTTCTCTGTCCAACTCGTCTCTTGCAACCGGTTTGGAAACGTGAATCTTATTCAAAACATTGTTGACTCTACCGGAGCCCTTCAACTTCTGCTCGATTCTTGAAGTCAACAATTTTTCACAGGCCTTGTTTCTGACTTGCATCACATTTTCTTCGTTATAACAAGAAGTTTGCATTATCTCGACACCTGGGGTTTCAAGCATGGAGTTGATCAACTTTTGTCTTTCAGAGTCCAAGTCTTCAACGTGGATGATATCAGTCTTGTTGATGACAACCAAAACGGACTTGTTGGCAAACAAAGGCTTGATGGAATTGAAAAGCTTGACTTGGGATTCAATGCTGAAACCACACTGCTCGGATAAATCCATGAAGTATAAAACACAGGAACGCAAGTGGGCGATTGCGTAAATGGACTGCATTTCAATGTTGTTCATCTCTTCGGTTGGTCTGTCCAAAATACCTGGAGTATCGATGGCCTGGAAACGCAAATATTTGTAGTCGAAATGTCCGACATAGAGAGATTTGGTTGTGAAAGCGTAAGGCTGCACGTCGACGTCAGCCTTGGTGATACAACGAAGGAAAGATGACTTACCCACGTTAGGGTAGCCACAGATCAACAAGGTTCTGGTGTTTGGGTCAATGGATGGTAATCTACCAATATGCTGTCTGACTTGTTCGAGATAAAGCAAAGCGTCCTTCAACTTCTTGACCGTAGTTGCCATACGACCCAACGCCGCTCTCTTCAACTGTTTGCACTGGAACAAGGATTGACCGAACTTGAGCAAACGGATGTAATCTCTGGAGATCTGTTCGACAAAGGCCTTGGCCTTAGAAAGGGAGCCGAGGGAGACTTTATAATGGTTCTTCTCGTACAAAGTGTCCATCAAATCTCTGTGGAATGGATGCAAATCGTTGATGTTTGGAAACTTTTGCAAGATTTCGTCGAGCTTTTCGACAAACCCTTCTGCAGTGAACTTCACCTTACGCATGTAGAAAGCTCTGATACGCTGGATTTGGAACCCCACTCTGATGACGGTTGGGGTTTTTCTCTGGGTCCGGTTCAAGACAATGTCAAGCATGTCATTTGAAGTTGGGACACTTGGGATATCTTTCCAGGTTAATTGCATCTTGGAATCAGTGTTACCAGATGTGTGTTCCTGGGTGTGGACGTATCTGTCTTGAAGAGCTCAAAAGAGGGAACCGAAGCAAAGAAGCTGATCTTTCCAACCGGGTGTTCTCTATACATGGATGATTTGATTATATGAAAAAAAAAATTCTAAAAAAATTTTTATGAAAAGAAAAAAAAATATATTGGAAAATCCGCCTAGGAGATGAAAAAAAAATTGGTACCGCAGAAGAGTTTGTCGCCAGAATCGACGCGTCGGCAGCGGCCGAGGCCGAGGCCGAGGCCTGCCATTTCTTCTGCCAACCTGTCACCCTACTGGTAGCCAGATAAGAGATTTCCATTGGAGGAGGAGAGTGGAGGTAGCATGATTTTTAGCTCAGCGTAGCACCTGCTGGGTGGCCGGTTGCTGGACGCCTGGGTTGTGCAGATCCGGAGATAGGGGCGATCTGTTCCGCCAGCGAACCAGGCGCCCATCCCGTTAGGCCCGTTGGGCCACCCAGTTACCGCACGCTCTGCCAACTGGATGATCCTCAGCAAGGCGAGCACATTTGAACCTACGCTGGGGCGGTCCAGCTGGATCGTCACGAAGCAAAGCTTCGTTGGCTCTGCCAATCCTGGCTCAGCTAGGGCTTTGGCGAGCAAGATGCTGCCCCGGCGGCAGCGCGGACGGCGCTCAGCGAGATGTGTGGCTGGGCCTCGGCGGAGGGGAGCTCGGCACAGATCGGCGTGGCAACGGCGCGGTGGGCCCACGGGCGCCGTCGATTCTGGCGGCCGGGCGTCTGCCCCTGGCTGGCCTGGCGACTAACTAGCCCTAGATCTGGAACTGGCTGTGCCGGAATGTGTCTAGTCCGGCTTGCGTGTGAGATGGCATAGGGCGACAGCAGAGGATGCCTGTGGTGCGTGGTACGATATGCAGCCCTAGCTGGCTGCTCAGGCAGACTCTCCTGTCTAGTGAAGCGGGAGTGCTTTTCGAGGCTTGGGAGCGGGCAGGACGCACGGCCGACCTGTCAGATCACGATCTGCAAGCTAGCCGGGACTAGGGCGAGGCACCCTTAGTCTTTCCGTCCGGTGACGCAATCGTTTCGGAATGCAGATCGCGGAGGATGTGTCGGCGCTTGGGGGTTTACAGCACGGGCGTGCATGCAGTCGGGGCCCGCACCGTACAGGCGGGCGGGCGCCTCTGCCGGCCGGGGGAGGCGGCGCATCGCTGGAGGACGGGTGCTGGAGGACGGATTCCTTCCGGCAACCAGCCGGCACACGCTATGGTTGCTGTGTGGCCACGGAACAGCGAAGGCGATTTGCTCCCACCGGGGGGCGACGCCTCCGATGTGCACCGCACGCTCGGACACACAATCGGTCCGCGGGCGTGCCGCCGATCATAGCGGGCCGGGGTGACGGAGCGCCGGAGGATGCTGAGTCAGTGCAGCCTGACCTGGGATCGAGCGTGCAGCATGCATGCGTGGGTCCTTGTCCTAGTTGCGTTTAGAGTTGGTCTTTCTGTACGGACCTGATTTTCGCGGGTCGGGTTGCCCAATGGGGGAAAGCTCGCTTGTAATAGGTCCACCCGGGTGCAGGTGCTGCGCTCTGCATGCGCTGCCTGCGCTGCAGGTTTTGCGTGCTTTGAGTGTTTTTCCGTTGCTCCCCGTACACAAACCTTGCGTGCTGCGTGCGTCCGGGAGCAGGCCATGTGCCGTGGCCGTGGCCGTGGCCGCTTCCTCCCCTCCTTCTTCAGCCTCTCCAATGGCGCCCTGTCGCCAGACAATACGCTGCGCAGCCGTTCCCCGCTAAACCTTGCCCCAGACACAGGGGCCCAACCCGTCAGGAGCCCCCGTCCGGAGCCCCCGCCAGCACCTCCCGCCAACTCCTCCCGCCCCTCACCACGCTTGCCCTCCCACGTTTGCTCTAGGAAGACGCTCGGCTCTCCGCTGGCGGATGTGCGTTCCGCCCCTTCCCCTGATCCTCCCGCAAACGGCAGGTCCGCAGCCCAGCGTACATAAACACAGCAACTGGCAGTGTCCCCGGTGCCCCCACCTGCCTACCTCGGACACGCAGCCGTTTAGCCCGCCCTGCGTCACCCGCCACCTCCATCACCGCTGCACGCTTACGTAACACCGCTGCTTTTCCCTCTCCTCTCGTCCGACAGCGGGCGTCCCGCCGGCTCCCGCCCTCTCGCTTGCCCTAAAACTCCGCCTCCTCTCCTCCCCCCACCGCTACGTCATCCCGGCACGGCACCCCCGGTGCTGCACGTTGCCGATCATGCACGCACAGACTCCCGCCACGGAAGAAGCCCTGCAGCAGCGTAAATCCGGTTTCCTTTACAGCGAACAATAGGCCTCCCGGCCCATCAACACTAAATGCCGCCGCCAGAATGAGGTGCCTTGCGGACTCGAGGAGCGTCGCAGTGTTCCTAGCGCCTGCGCCGGCACCAGTTTGTCCCTGCTGTAGGTCATATGTATGTATATAAGGTTTACAAGCCCGTCGTGGTGTTCCTTGATCCCCAGGCTTGCCGTGGTCCGTATCTCCAGCGCCTGCTGCCGGCCCTTCTTCCCCCTAGCCTCACCATCCTTTCTTTTTCTCCGCCAGTGCCTTGCCTCCTGTGTGCACAATCTCTTCACCATCCGCTGCCATTTCTCTCCCCCCGGTAATCATTCCACCTTCCTTGCTGCATCCGACTTCCCTGTGTGCCCCGCCAGTACCGCAGACTGCATAGAGAGCGTTAGATGCCCCCCTGGCTTCGAAAAATTTCCGATCTTGACCCAATTTCCCCAGATCCAGCCCACCACTCTGTCCGACCTGCAGCTTTGCCACGTTTCTCCGTACCTCTATACAGATGATGAGCTCACAATTGTCCCAACAGCACAAGCCCTACTACTACCACACCAAACCAAACCAGTACAGAAACCCAAACTTCCAATCCCAGCCCCTTGTGCAGTCGATGGACCAGTACCTCGGGAAGCAGCATCAGATGCCGTCCCAGTCACAGCAGCAGCAGCAACAACAGCAACAAACCGAGCCCTCTCCCCAGCTCCAGCCGGATCAAGCGAGGCCGCAGCACAAGCTGCACCATCTGCCCCAGATGTACCAGCCAAACCAGAACGCGTTGGCGGCGGCGCAAGCTGCGGCTTATTCCTACCAGACACCGGCGCAGCAGTACAACAACTACACTGTGGTAAACGAGCAGCAATACCAGCAGCAGCAACAACAACAGCAACAGCAACAACACTTGCCTCCTATCCAGCAGCTTCAGCAAAACAGAACTCCTTCTCCTCCTCAGCAGCCAAAACTGGGATCCTCGATCCAGCCGCTTCACAACCAACTCTATCCTCCCCAGTCTCAATACCAACCGCCTAATCTATCTTCAATCCAGTCGCAAACCCAGAAGTATCAACATCAGGGCTCCTTTATCTCGGATGACTTGCAGCAGCCAAACGTGACCTCTGCTGCCAGCACCTCTAATGCCCTTTCTCATCAACCTGCTTTGCCTCGAGTTCAGACTTACCCGTACGGTCAAAGTCTTCAACCTTTACAGCAGGTTAATAATCACATGTACCAAACCGACTCTTATTACTCGTCGGAAAGCGTAGCCACTCAATTGCAGAATCCACAGCAGCTCACATCTCAGCAACATCAACATCAACAACAACAGCAGCAAATGCAAGCGCAAGACTATTCTTCAAGCTTCTTGCCACCCAACTCAGAATTAAACAACTTAGGTGTTTCTACCGCCGTCAAGAGAAGCAACCCTGCTGTTGCAAGTACGATATCAAGCAGCTCCTTGACCAATGCCGTCTCTCAGCCTTCTGCAACTTCAGCCATGCACAGCCAAAGCACAAGCGCAAGTTCTGTTCCTAGCCAGTATACCTCTCTTATACCACCAGATAATCAGCAGCTTTCATATCACCAGGTGCATATGATCCCTCAGCAAGTACAACAGTCCCAGAACTACGGATATTATCAGCAAGTAGATGCAGGTCATCATGATAGTAGCTCCTATACTCAATACAACGTTCCAATTCACCCAGAAGTGTACCATGTAAACAACTATTCTCACAATGCCTATAACAGTTCTCCTAGTGAGCTAGCAACTTACGCTACCAGTACTGCTCCCAGTACCAGAAACGCTACTGTGATTGGAGTGATTGACAATGGTATGGGATATGATAGCAACATGAATGATCCCAGCTCAGTGAATACTATGTCTGTTCCAATGTCCATCAGTGCTGAAAGCTCAGTCAACAATAGCATGGCGTACTCGGAAGATATGTATATGAAAAGAAGAAACACCCATCCGATCATAATATCATCAAAATCGGTAAAGAAGAATCGTGTCTGCCCCTTGTGCCACAAAGTCTTCAATAGGCCTTCTGGTTTGAAAACCCACATGCATATCCATACTGGCGAAAAGCCCTATAGATGTGATTGGCCTGGGTGCGGGAAATACTTTTCTGTCAGGTCCAATATGATAAGACACAACAAAATCCATAAACGGTATGAATGGAAAACCGATCCCAGGGGTAATAAGTCTGAAGACGGCAGTTCCGATGGTAGCATAGATGAAGACCATAAGCATGATTTCATGACTGGCCGGAGAGCAACGTGATCCGCACCAGCATTTCTGCCCGAAAAGGAACCTTGACTTCTTCTACTCTCCTTTATTTTTTCTGCTCTCAACACTTCCTCATCTTCGACTAGTTTACTTCTTTATATCATCGCATAATGAACCATTGACTTACGTTCCTTTCCTTTCCTTGTTTATTTTCCCCTTTCCTTGTCTTTCAATTTGTTATAATCTGTATTAAATGTATAATATAAATTCTCTATACTCTCATCTATTAATCTGCTAAAAGCGTCGTAGGCTTTTAAATTCTCTCCGGGTGACCCAATTACGCTACTCTTTTTCCTTCTTGGGAATTATTGAATAAGCAGACTTTTTGCTTCTGCGGAAAGACCTGGATTCTGCAAACATGTGTGAGATGCTAAATCTATAAACTTCTGAATGCTTGCGCATTACAAATCTTCGATTACACAGCAAACTAGGAAAGAACTAGTATTTTTTCTCCTTGAGACAGGGGTCCCAAATCTTTTACAACTCTCTGTTAAGATTTTTTTTGTTTGTACGGAGGGTATCTTTCACTAATACAACCTAGCAGTGTAAATAAGATTTATCTACCAAGCAGCCCGCGCTTGCTATATACAAGCAATGTATTTCTTTCATTTTGTTTCCTGAAAAGACATTCATTTGCTCCTTCGTGAGAGCAGCCATTCTACTTTGGCGGCAACACCACATCATAAAACAGAAAAAAAAAGGAAAAACCGCATTCTAGGGTTCTCATACCATTATGTCCTCATATGATATCCAGTGCTCTTTGCACTACTGTTCCCGGAAGTGAACCGGAACCTTCATGCTTCATCAAATCCCAAACATGATCCGACATTTCTCAAATTTGATGTTGGGGCCGATCGGCGCGATTTTTCAAAATCGTTTTTCTTCCTGTTGAGACCGTCGTCGAAATGAGGTGAAAAATAAGGTGCTAGAGAAATAACGGGTTCAGCATAGAAGATCTGGATGCGTCCTTTGTCATAGTAGAAGAGGATTTAAGAACAGTCTAGTTGCAGGCATACACAACACACATCATTATGGCAAGGCTCAACTTTTTGGGGTTTGTGATTTCCCAGGGGAAAATGGAGAAAACTATCAAGGTTCGAATCCTTCAGAAGAAGTTCGATAATAAAGTGCAAAAGCATTTCCTTCAAAAGAAAGACTACTTGGTGCATGATGAGGGGAATATCTGCAGAGAGGGAGATTTGGTTAGAATTGAACAAACCAGACCATTGAGTGCCAGAAAATTCTTTGCAGTGGCCGAGATTAAGAAGAACAAAGGTCAGCAATTCGCAACCTATCAAAAAGAAGCAAAGGCCAACGTCTCTCAGGAAGAATCTGAAAAGAGTCAAATACTTCAGCAGAAGAGGGCCTTATTCGGCCAAACCGCGACCGAATCCTTGTACAAGGATCTTTCTGACATCAAGGAGTTCAAGAGTAAAGATAACCTAACCGAAGAAGAAATCGCCAAAATGAACCAAATCAAGGAGAAGTATAACGTTTCATTGTCGACTAGTGAACCGGGTGCTAGCAAAACCCGAGAGATTTTTGCCACCACCATGGACCACCTTGCCGACAAAATTGAAGGCCTATCATCTGATTTGAAAGTCACCACCCTTCTAAATGAGATCTTGAACGATGAAAGCAAAAAGCATATTGTGGATCAAATCTGCCAGAAAATAGAAATCAAACCAGAGACTCAAAAGAACATCAAGAAGAACTTAATCAGAAAGTACTTGAGAAACACCCCAGCTTCTGAGTTGGAGAAGTTGGGCTTATCTATCTAGGTTAAAATAGTGCATATATAATTACCGCTTTGTATATCTCCTGTAAATAAAATTGAAAATACAATCTACATATATTACGGGAATGTATCCTGACATATATTGGGCAATATGTATGCGGTGTTGGAAGAAAAGATATAAAAAAGGGGCGTGTTATAAAGGTGGGGTAAGTGTGGATTATCTTGAACCAGATCAATTTCATGCTGAAATAAAAATCCTGCTAGCGTGCAAAGAAATACAGAAACATAACGGGATGATAAAAAAAGAGAGGACGTAGCTGAAACCGAAGATGACCGGAAATCCAAGCAAGATGCGGAAGAACATAGCAAAGTTTTAAATATAAGAAACAGGCATTTGTGTTAAACATTATTCAACGTGGTACTTGATAGTGGGCTATTTTGGTATGCAAAGTTCAATAAGCTATCTAGCCCGGCCAGCTTGTTGTCCGTTACGTCTGCCTTCTCACTATTGAGAATCACCGATCCTGAGGTGTAGTATTTGTTAATCTCTTCTTCAAGTAGAACTTCTATTTTACTGAAGTTGTTCCCGTTGAGCATGTTTATTTTCCTAAAATCATCAAGCCAATTTTCGTTGATGACCAGTAATAGGTTTTGCTTCTTCTCTTCTAAAAACTGTGTAATGTTGTTCAAAAATATCAAATTGAACTTTTCAATGGTCAAATTGTAAAAATATTTGAATTCAACGGCCTGGAATTTAGGCAACTTGTGAAAAATATCAACCAAGAAGTTTTTCAAAAACGTTATAGACACTGTCGAATCTGTCTCTATTGGTGCTATGAAATTTAGTGAATAGTCCGATAATGACTCGAAAAAATCATTCACAAATGATTTTACTCTTAGAAAAGAGTAGTCTGAAGTTGACTCTACTTTATATGGTATATTGATTAGAATTAATTCTAGTTTTCGTCTAAGTTCGTTTAATGCATCGGTTGGTGTGATTTTTGGAGAGACGTCGATAACTTTTGAGGCCAGTTCCGGGTTCTCCGTGACCAAATTGATTATAAGGTTTTGAAGTTTCTCCTGATCCAGGGTTTCGATTATTCTATTCAATGGTAACTTCTGCCCAAAAATTTCGTTTGGATTTTTTTGCCTCTTCATTATTCTATGATACTTGTTTTTCATGCTGTCGAAACCACCTACATTGACTCCATTGCCACCCTCCGTGTAGTCACTGCCAATTTTCCGCTTGTTCACTACTCTTCTAGGGGCAGCATATTTAGAGTTGTGCATAACCATGTTGTTTCGAGCCTCTTTGCTTGGGCTGGTGTTTTCTAAAGTGTATTGGCTATGGAATGTAGACCCCATCGCTATTTATGGATCCGCTATTATGATCTGGTTTCTGGTTTTTGTCAACTTGCAAAACACACTGCAATTCGTCTACTTCAAGCTGAGTTTATTTGCCTTCAGAACTGCCAGTCTGGCAATATAGGTCAGGAAAACAGGAAAAAAAGGTGGTCGGTAGTGAAGGCTTCTCTCATTTCACCATGAGGCCGCACTCGCAAAAGAACGCAAAAATTCAAAAATTCCTAGTTGGCCCTTATAAAAAGAAAAAAATATGTGACAAAGAGAAGAAAAAGAATGAAGGATGCGAGGTTCGAACTCGCGCGGACATACGCCCAACAGATCTTAAGTCTGCCGCCTTAGACCACTCGGCCAACCCTCCAATTTTAAATTTTTAGACGGCTAGGACATTTATAGCACGGAGTTTGCGGTTGTGTATTTGAGCACCTCAGCTTATTGTCTTCAAACAAGTTGGCTGGATTCTGCTCAACCCCCAATTAGGAGCGTTACAAGTACTGATACAGCTGAACAAAGCTTTTGATTGTTGGTGTTTAAGTCCTACAGGTAGTCTTTTCTACTTTTCTCACATCCAGTATGGTTGCACCTCTTCCCTTCTTATCATTAAACGCAGGTCAATGAAGCCAATAAATACCAAGATCTTAAACAATATATAGCCAAAATGATGAAATTCTTCTCTCTGCTGCAGATTGAGTCATGCTGAGACAACCTTCTCACTCACTGGAAGCAGCTAACCTTGTTTAGATTAGATCTCCTTCATTTTTTTTCACATGTATCTGAACTCCCTTCAAGACAATGTCCATCTTATTCGTGCATTTCTGGTTTTTTGCTTTCCTGTAATTTTGCCACATGTTCTTTCTTTTCCGCAATATTTTCTGATGCTTCTTCTTGCGTCTCATCAGCTCATGTTTGCTGAGCACTTCTCTAATAGGTTCGCCTCTTCCATCAACACTTTCGCCATCGGATGCAATGAAGCAAACCCTATTTCTCTTTTTGCGCCTTCCAGTGGCATCTTTAGATAAAAACAGACCCAACTCAACCATGGCTTCATCATTGTCCTTCAACTTGTAATCAAGATTTGTCGGAGTGGATGCAACTGATATACAAGATTCGGTCAACTTTTCCTTGGGAGAATACACCGGAACCGGCGGCGTTACAGTTCCAGGCAAAGTCTCTAATGTACTTTCACCGACTACGTATATATATTCCGGAGTCGTCTCCCTGATTTGACCTGGAATCATTTTGGAATTTTGTTCAAATGAGGTCATTTCAGATTGACTAAGCTGGTTTACACTGTTCTGCTTGACATGCTCCATGTTGGCTGCAGCTACAGCCTTTCTCGGAAAGCCAGTGAAAGAGTTTCTTTTACCGTCTACAAGTATTAGTAAGGCAAGAACGGGATGGAATCGGGAAGAAATCGGTGAAGTTCGGTAAACGAAAAAGATACATACAAGTTGACTTTTGGCTTCCTCGATGGGGGGCCTGAGAGGGATATATTCTCAGTTGCCTAGACATGTGTGTGGGATTGATTATTTATGAGTAAAAATAAGCTTAGGAAAGAAGTATAAGCATCACGAAATCCGATCAGAAAACTGAGTTAAAGCGTGGCACATACGGAAAAGGGCAAACTATACGTCAAGACGAGCCTCCCTTGCCAAAACAGAGTCATCTAGTTTGATTAAGTAGACGGTTCTGTTGGGAAAAGTGTCTCTTGGAACAGTATGGGCACTGACTTCACATTTGTAGTAGCTGATGTCCAACATACCTTCTATTATACCTGCGACAAAAGATTCACAGTTCAAGTTCTCATACTCTTTGGGCAATCCAATATATTTTGTCATCACGGGGTTGTTATCAATTATCATGTACTGATTTTCATGCTCGGAAGACTTTTCCAAGCTATCTGCCTGCTTATCGAAAAGACTCGTCCAGATGGAAGAGACGATGAACTGCAAGCTTTCCAACAGTCTGATATTTCGTTTCGATAGATTGGATTTACCGGTCGATGAGATGTTGTTGCTGAAGTTGACTCTAAGAGAGCTCAATTCTAAGTATTTCAAGCCGACAGTATAGCCCAAGTTGTTTAGCTTTCTTTCGAGTTCGAGCAAACTCTTCGAGTTCTTCAAGTTCATTGAGATGATCTGCATGAAAAGGAAACAGAGGGAAGAAACTGATATTTCGTGTTTGGTCCGGTATAGGTTTCTGTCGTATATATGGCTGGTCACATTGACCTGTTTCTTTATCATCTCTGGAGAAGGCAGAGGAGATGATTGCTGCACACCGGTTGCCGGTTGGTTTGGTGTAGGTTTCTGCTGTTTAGGATCTGTTGATTGCGGTCCAATTGCAGGATTGTAGCCTGTTCCCTGTAGAATTACCTTGCTAACAGAGGACATTTTAAGTGGGTTTGCTTGTGACTAGGGCGGGAAACAACCAGAAGCTTGAGGTTTACCACTGATGCTAATGGTTTGTGTAGGTACCAGTCATGATAACATGTAGGACGCTGGTCCAACTGTGTCGAGGTCTCTTGCTAGCCAAAACCGATGCAGGTGCGAGAAGCACAAAAGAGGAAAGTTGAAGAAAAAAGCATCAAGCTGAAGAAATGGAGTGAGAGGGTCGACAGAATGGGGAAGAAGAGCTTGACCTTTTTTCAGGGAAAGCAGATCGCAGGTGAGTGCAGCCCATATACACAGACAAAGACATACACAGACACACACACAATGCCCGTGACGATAAGACGTGCAACTGTCGATGATTTGCAGGCGATGCAGAACGCCAACTTGAGCAACCTACCCGAAAATTATTCAATGAAGTACTATTTGTACCATTTGCTTTCATGGCCAGAGGCGTCCTTTGTTGCTGTGAGCACCGATGTTGAATTGGAGGAGCAGGACGAAGAGTCAGACAAGACTGCGAAAGCGGAGGTGCAGTACGTGGGGGTGAACGAGAAAGTAGTTGGATACGTGTTGGGCAAGATGGCCGACGATGATACGGAGGCAGACAAGACACCGCATGGACACATCACGTCGCTCTCGGTGATGAGATCGTACAGAAGGATGGGGATAGCGGAGAAGCTGATGAGGCAGTGTCTCTACACGCTTTGCGAGGGGTTCACGGCCGAGTACGTCTCGTTACACGTGAGAGAGTCCAACAGAGCTGCTCTGCACCTTTACCGGGACACGTTGGCGTTCGAGGTCCTCAGTGTTGAGAAGTCGTACTACCAGGACGGGGAGGATGCGTACTACATGAAGAAGGTGCTGAAGGTTGACGAATTGGTTCCGTCCAACTTCCATAACGCCGAGGAGCAGGACGACCTGAAGAGTGATCTTATCTAATGACGTGTGCCAGCACATGGACAGTGTAATCCCGTAGTTTTATAGCATATACTAGACCAAGACCAAGACCAAGACCAAGAACAAGAAAACGAGCACTGCGTGCCGCTACGGCGGGTTTACGTTGAAGGGACGGAGCCAGAGCAAAAGCAAAAGAGCTTCAAACAAAGATGATTCAAGTCAGAAAAAGTTTAAAGGTAGCGTGTTTTTTTCCACATCAACGCATGAGGATTAGACAGGACGTCACACCAGCGTCTCGAGCCAAATGCACTCAAGTCATCATATGAAGAGAATCTTTGTTTGAGAAGAAAAGAGAGAAAAAAAATAGCGCAATAGTAACGGGGCCGGAGCAGAAGAGACAGATCTCTCCACGCCGTTCGCCTGAACAGCGGCCCTCTCGATACACAGCGGTCGCCGTGGCTGCTGTGGTGCTTCAGTTTTGGCCCGTCTAACCCTTTCCCATGCCTCTTCTACATTCCACTCAGCGGACTTGTAGATGAAAAATTTTGGCGGGAGGGAGCGCCCTTTTATACATTTTCACTTCTGTCGTCCCAGCGAGGCCCGGCGCTGGGCTGAACAGGGTTTCTCTTAAGGTCCTGCAACGGGAGCACAGGCCATGTGTTGCGGGTGGTGGATGACATTCGGCAGCTGGGCTGCGTAGTTGTTTATTTAGTCCCGGCAGACGGGAGGCTACAGACGGGGTGGCGACGGAAGAGTCGCCGCCATCACTGCTCCTTGGCGTACACGAGCTTGTCGATTTTCACCTCGCCGTCGACCAACGTGTATAGGTAAAGCGTGCACGTGGAGTCTTTCACGTCCAGGAGACAAAAGCTCGGGAAGGGCTCCATGTACTCGTCGATGGAGTGCAGCTGGAGCTCGTCGAGACTGGGCGGGACGAGGTCGGGCGACACTGCGGGCTTCGAGGCCTCTGCGGGGCCGCTGTCGTCGGCGGTGTTCTCTGTATCGGAGGGACTGTTGCTGGACGTCTTGGGCGGCGTCCGGTCTGCGTCTTGCGGCTGCAGGGCGTCGCTGGCGCCGTCCGCCCTCTCTGCGGGGCCCTCGGACTCTGCCGGGTCCCTGGACTCTCCGTCACGGACAGCAGCACCGGCGACGGCGCCGTCGCCGCCTGCGCTGCCTGCGCCCTGCTTGTCGGCAACGAGCTTGCTGATCATCATCCGGTCCTCCTTGTCGAGGCTGTCCGTCGAGTAGGCGCCGGTACCTGTACCGGGGTTGACAAAGAACTTCCCGTCGAGCGTGTACGCCTCGACCTTGTGCGTCGAGCCGTAGATGAGCACGTCCGCGTCCATCATCCTCGCGTGGTTCAACAAGCTCAATGGGTCATTCTTCGGGATGACCTGGAACCCGTTGAGCAGCCCGATCTTGAGGTTGTCGTAGGTGAACACCAGCGACTGCGGGAGCGACAGGTCGTCGTCGAACTCGCCCCGCACCATTTGGAAGTCTGCCGAGATGTTCTTGAGGAACTCCAGCGTGCTCCTCGAGCTTGTGATGTTGCCCAGACAGAGCACCTTATCTATCTTCCCCCTCGGCTGCAGAAGCTTGCGGAACTTCGCCGGGATGTCGATCGCCCGCTCCGGAACGTACAGGTCGCCGATCGTGAGTATGAGCATCCTTAAAACACCTGTCTCTGCTCTTTTGCGGGTTCTTGCTGCTCTGTTCCCGCCCTGCCGGCCCCCTTCGTCTCTTCTCCAGCCTCCAGCCAGCTCCTGAGAAGCCTTTTGACCCGATTCATGTCCGCAAACGGACACGCCAGCAGTCTGGTGCACGGGTGTTTCCATGGACATACCGGAAGCGTGAACAGGACCAGCACGAATGGCATCTACAGCCTTCATGAACACGAGCACGCCACGCCCACGGCCATTGCCACGGCCAGTACTGCCAGCCAATGCGTCGGACAGACCGCCCAGCAGCCGAGACCATCGAGAAATAACTGAGTGAGTCAATAAATAAGTAGATAAATAAATAAAGTCGTAACTAACTGTTCATGCGGAATACGTTAACTCGTCACAGAGAAGCAATGTCAGGGACGGGCCTGCGGGGCCAGCAGAGAGATCGCATACGCCCCCGCCAGCCGCCCGCCGCCGGCACGCCGCCTAAGCTTCCTTCTTCTCGTCCGAGGAGGCCAAGAAGTCGTTGATGGCCTTCTCGACGTCGAGCTCGCCGCCGGCAGCAGGGGTCGGGGTGGCGGCTGCAGCCGGTGCTGGAGCAGCTGCTGGAGCGGCGCCGACCGCAGAGAGAATGCTGTTCACGTTGGCCCCGCCGACGACGGTCGCAATCGTGCCTATGGCCAACCAGTGTGGTTGGACGGTCTTGCCGAGGATGTTGTATGCTGCGCCCATCTTGATGTGTCTGCTGTTGTTCTGCTGTTCTTGCCGATCTGGTGGTGGTGGTGCTAACGCTGGGGTCCGTCGTGCCGATGGCTCCACACCGGCCCCACCCTGCCGTACCACCTCCTCTCATGTTCTTCTCCCCAGCTCTCCTCGCCCCCCACAACATCGAGAACTTTCCATCGCGACGCTCCGTCCGCCCTCGGCGTCTTGCTCGTCGAGCAGGCCCCGGTATAAAATCCAGCCAACCCCCACACTGCGGCAAGAAGGAGGCGACAGCAGTGGAGGACGGTCAGGACAGCAGCACACACACGCAAGCACACACACACACACACAACATGTCCTCGCTCATCAAGTCCGCCAAGTCCATCTTGCCAACCCTCGACAGAGTCTTGGTCCAGAGAATCAAGGTTCCGCAAAAAACCTCGTCAGGAATCTACATTCCTGAAAAGAACGCCCCTAAGAACAACCTTGCCACCGTGATCGCTGTCGGGCCAGGCTTCACCTCGCAGAACGGCGAGCTCATCAAGCCATCCGTCCAGGCAGGCGACAAGGTCCTGCTTCCTCCGCATGGCGGCTCGCCAATCAACATCGAGAAGGAGGAGTACCTCTTGATGAGAGATTCCGAGATCTTGGCCAAGGTCCAGGAATAAGCGTTAGCTAATGGATTACTTAGTTAGTTGACTGTCGACCTTCTGTATATATGTTAATTCCACACACCCCTCTAATACACAGGACAAGCACCCGCCATGCGGCGTCGCTAGGCGTCCTCCTGCTCCAGATACACGCTCTGCCGCCAGTAGTTCTCCAGCTTGTACTTGCTCAAGAACTCGATGATCGCCTCGTCGGACTCAAACGTGTACTCTGTCCACTTGTGGAACCTCGCCTCGGGAACCTCTCCCTCCCACACCCTGTCACACCGGTTGTCGCTCAAGTCCTCCAGCAGCAGAGCCGGACCTGGACCCGGAGCGGTGGTAGGGCTGTCCCCGTCTTTCGTCCTGGGGCTCTCGTTGGCCGTCCAGTTGATCCTCCGCATCATGAGGCTCTTGTACTTCTCCACACCCCTGAGCCCCCCTTCCACTATGACCAGACTCCTCCCCCGCCTCAACCGCAAACATGCACCCGTGAGCATGAGCTGCTTCGCATTCATGTCCACCTTGTAGAGGTGCTTCGGGTTGACCAAACGCTGCACAACAAAAACACAGCTGTATATCCCACGGCTACGGTCTTGCTCTACCTTTTGTTCGACCTTGTGTCTTCTCTCCTCCTTGTTCAATTTTCTCTCTGCGTTCATCCGCTCATGCTCATCGGCACGCTCCTGGATCTCTTGCCGAACCCGCATCTCGACTTCTGTTGGATTTCGAATCGTCTCATTTGTCAAGACATTCATAAGGTTCTTCAACTTCACTTTTGGTTTCGGCGCCGCATCCAACCCAAGCTTAATTCGGTCTTGCTTTTCCTTCATCAAAAGCATCCTCCGGTTTTTCCGCAACCGCTTTTGCTCCTGCTTTGTCAAAAACAACGGTTTCGGAGTTGGTATCAATCTCTCCCATGGAGCCTCAATCGGAACAGGATGCTGTATGTAACTTGTAATCGGATTGTCCTCACTATTTTCATCCTTGTATGTAACAACCTCCTCTCCGCAGCCTTCGTATCTGCATCCTCGGCGCATACCGTTTTTCAAAAAAGGCACATCCCACCATTCAATGTATGGCGGTGGTTCCGCAAATTCGTCACCGTATCTATCCTCCCCGATACGTTCGTCTGGAACGAGGTTTTTCTTCTTTAGCTCTTCCTGATGTTCCAATTCCAGCCTTTCTTGCTTAGCCCGCTGTCGCAGATTGTTGGCCCGTTCAATCTGTTTACCAGGCTCATTGATTCTTAGTGCTCTGCTCTTCCTTTCTGGCACAATCGATAAGTCAGACTGGTCGATGTATGGGTTGATAGTGAAACCATCACGTTGCTTCCAATCGCTCAACAAAGGGTTCTTGATTTTCGGTACCGTTTTACTGCTTCTTTTTTTATCACTAATATCATTATCATCTTGACCCATTTTCTGTGTGCCCAATGGCATTTGCAATAAGGGATGTATCTTGATATTTTTCAGGATTTCTTCCTCATCTTTTGCTTCTTTAACATTTTCATGTTCAGTCACCCCAATCCGGGCTCTTTTCTTAACTTCAACATTCGGCCCCAATTTTGCATTTCTACCTCGTTTCATTTTTAACCTCGACCAGACTTCTTAATTTCTATCGAGCTGCAGCGTACTTTTGTGTATGCGGAATTCGTCTCGACAAGGTTCAACTTTCTTTCTTATTCATCTTAATTCTTTTCCTTGCTTACTACTTTGAGAAGTATTACGTAATCATGCACATGTACCCATCACGACAACCCCAGTGTAGTACATGTAGTTGAGTCAAGGTTTTGAAATACACAGTCATTTTAAAACTTCCGATAAGCAAATATATGGCGACTAGTAGATTGGATGTAAATGATATTCAAAGTTCCAGTGGACATGAAGTAAGTTTAGATTAGTACCTATCTTGTTAAAGCTATAATGGACTTTTTGAAAATTCGACGAGCTACATTTCTGTCGCCCTTTAAAAAAACTTACACATTTTTTGATATTTTGATTCATAAACTGTAACGATAAAAACGTGAATAGGGAAACATTATAAAAAGGATAGCACACTGCTAATCTTCATGCAAATCCGAAACCCTCATGTCCCTCCCTAAGAGCCAACAACAGCGCATTCCGCAATCTGGTATAATTTTGATACTCTGGTAAATCGATTTGGTTGAAACAAGTATGGGCTGTCGGTAACCGATCCGTGGCATTGTACACTCTATGTATACTGAACTTTGAGATGCCGTTCATACCTGTCAACTCTTTAAAACCATTCAATGGAACCTTAGATGTACCTGTTGCAAATTGTAATAATTTGGCTCTTTCTTCAACATCGAAAGATTTGACTGCTCTCCAGAACCACTGAACTTGAGGAGAAGATGGCGAGTAGTTTTCATATATGGTGTTATTTTTCCAATCATCCACATCGATATCCGGGAGACCAGAAACAAGTAATTCTAATTCTTGTTCATCAAAAATTGAAACCAAGTCTTGGGGAATCATTGAATAAAACCCTTCTAAGAAATTATCCATTTGCTCTTTGACCGATGTCAAAAGTCTGTACTCAACAATGGCTTTCACATATTCCTGTTTGTTTTCTTCAGTGACAGCTATATCCTTACCATTAGGGATCAAATCGATTATCTTGTGCTCACCATAATCGTCAGTTTCAACAGAGAAAGTCTCGACGATAATATCAGTGATATCGTTTTCCAACATCCAAACCAATGACTTGTAGTAATCGAGATCTAATGACTCCATATCTTTTAACGAGACCGGCTTTCCTAACATCCTTTTGAACACAGCTCTACTGAAATGACAATCTAAAACGTATCCATCATAAACAGCTTTGCCTATTATCATACCAACAAATTTGAAAAACGACAAATGCTCAGGGTTCACCCATGAGGTTCGATTAGGATGGAAAGTAGTCTTATCCGAAGCCACTGGAATGAACAAGGCGTAGTTAGGATCAAACATCTGTCTTGAAAGAACCTGGTACCATTCTCTTGTAACACCACCAGCATCAACACCTTCTTCACCATTGAAATGAATTTCGAGAATGCTCTTCCTGATTTTATCACTAGGCTTAAAGAAAATACTTCTGTAAGAATCCAAAAATACTTGATTCCGCCTTATATTTATTGGAAGTTTTTCCCTGGTCTCATTAACGAATTCACCGTGTAGTTTTTGTTCAAAATAGACCCTTTTATTGTCAAATTCCAAGACTTTTGGATTTCTGATCAAAACTGAAAATGGGCCACTCATAAGTTTAGGATTGTTTCTGATCATATGATTTAGAATTTTTTTGTGCTCTTCAGTAAAGGTGAAAAATAAACTTTCTATAGGTTCCTTTGCGAAATCGAGCTCTCGCTCATCTTCGTATTTCAAAACATCAAGGGTGTTCATCCTCTGTACCTTACTGTGCTTGCAAACAACCATAAGCGCTTCAATCAAAGGAGACAAAATGAAAGCAATATAGTTCATGTTATCATCCTCTCTGAGCAATTTCAAACAATCACTCAAAGCGCCCCATAGAGGCCCCAACGCCGAGTTCTTGTAAAGTAACTTAAGTTCTTCTATATCATCAACATCGTTATCCTTAGCCTGGTATAAATAGTCTAACGCGGTTAACACACGTAGCAATTTGGCCTGGTCCGAAGCACCTGAGGAAAACTGATTCAATGAAGGAAGATTCTCAAAATCCTTTTTGGAGTTGCGTAAATCATTGATGAGCTCTCTCAATTCTTTAGCAATTTTGGAACTCAGGTAAGTGGCCTTTTTGGACAATTCTTTCGGGAAAACTATTCTTGCATTATCTAGTACGGATAAATTCTGAATCGAGACGATTGTCTGCTGAAAGACTTTATTCGCACATTCATCCGCAACCAAGATGTTGATTATTTGCTTCAAACTTCTATCAGGAATATGTGGAAGTTGTGGTAGTTTCTTGAGCTGTTCCGACTCTTTCCCTAGTTCGTTTAGTTTGAGTTTCATCGTTGGTAAAGGCCTGGTGGCAATTTGTATGGACCTTGACAAAATATCCATCAAGTTGGTATCTTCCTTGATAATTTTACTTTCTAATAGGTTGAGCAAAATGTTGATTGGGAATTTAAAACTACTGTCCTTTAGTTTGTTCTTTTTGGAAGTCTTCTTGATGAATGCACTTCCTTCTTGGTCAGCTAGGAAATGGAACCTCATACTCGTTTCGTTCTCAAGTAAGTATTGTATGACATCAATTGATTGTGTTGCCAAAGACACAACCGTGCAGGCTACAGGGTACTGAATATTCTGTCCCTTTTGAAGCTGTGAGCTTTCAGCTGATTCTCTACTTGAAGTCATGTTGGCTCTGTTGCATATCTGGTTGTAGACACAAGAGAGTAAAGTTTGGTCTTTAATACCCTCTTGCAAAACGTAAAGAATAATTGAAATAACCTCAGCCCTGGAATGCTTGCTCAAACAAAGATATGCAATTGCTTTAAAGAAAAGCTCTCTTTTGTAATAAACTTGAGGAATGAACAATAACTTTAGTAGTGCGGCGATTCCAGGTTTGTCAACTAACGCAGTGAAATAAATCTTAGAGGGTTTTCTGCTTTTCTCTGTCGCCGAGTTTTCACCCGTAGGTACCTCTGTACGCTGCATTTCAACCGATCCCCTCTCATCACGCAAGCGTAGGCCAAATTCACTATCATCAACGTCGTCGTCAACATCATCGTCATCATCGTCAACATCATTTTCATCGTCATCATCGTTTTCAAGACCGTAGCCAAACCCTTCATTACCATCTTCATCGTCGTCATCGTCTTCATCATTATCATCATCCCCATTAATAAGACCATTATCAGAATTGGCACCGGCGCCAAAGCCAAAATTAAATTGATTGGAGCCCAACGAAAGATTTCTGATAAACCCGATCGCTTCTCTTCCTCTGTCCTCAATTCTGGCTTGATGAACTTGTTGCTCATAAACTTCTTGTCGCATTACATCTGGCAAAGCCAATAAAAACTCTGGATCAATTCCAGTACCACTGATATCAACATCTCTGCCACCAATCTCGACATATACAGGCTCAGATGGCTCATTGCTAGTTTCGGCATTATTACTTGAGTCTTGTTCTCGTTCAAACTCCAGATTTCTTTCTTTTTGTAACCATTCGTTATGTTTCTTCTTCTCTTCTTCCTGTTTTTCTCTTTGTTTCCTTTCTTTTTCTTCTTTAACTCTTTTGTACTCTTCATTAACAATTTCGCTTTTGTTGTAAAGCCTGTTGATGATTTCCGGTATTGCACGGTAGGTTATATTTTTTCCAGAATATAACTCTGATGTCTCTTGCCACCTTTGTGCAGTGGATTTGATTAGTACACTATTCAACTGAGATGCACGTTTTGAGAAAATTAATGGCTCAAAGACTCTCCTGAAATCCAGTAATCCTTGAATTTGGTTGTTGTTTCTTCTATCAAAAAGAGACTGAGTAAATTCCAAAAGGGTTGACCTGGTATCGTTTCCTGCGGCAGATTCGGTAGGAAGCGGAATATTGGAGCCCATTTGCGGAAACAAAATTCCTGTTGGAAACATCTGATCATTATGATTGGCATTAAGTGATACGACCGAAGGACGTCTACTTCTTTGACCACTTCTTCCATGATCATTTTCTAATTCATCAAGCCATTCTTGGAGTATGACAGAGTCATCACTATCACTCCCACTATCATCATCATTCTCGTCAATAGACTCAAGATCTAGCTCAATAACGTTTTCGCCGCTGTCATCTACAGTCTCAGAATCAGACCCGGAGCTATCACCTCTCATAAAGTGCTCATCATCTGACATTTCATCACCAGAAACTAGATCTCCTTCTTCATTCGAAACATAATCATCAATCTCATGTTCATACATCATCGCATCATCAGAATTGTCAGAATCCTCAGAGTCGTAAACAAAATCAATCTGCTCATCATGTAATCCGTGGTTATCGTAACTTGGATTTCCCATTTCATCGTCTCCAACTCCCTCCATGTTTTCCGTGTCATCAGAATCGTTGCCATGGTCTTGATCATCATCATCGGAGCCTTCTTCCATACTATCATCATTATCACTGTCCATATCATCATCTATGTCTGATCCAGACCCTCTATCGTTATCGGAAAGTATTATCTCAATTCCATCGTCCACTAAAAACTCATCATTGAAGTCATCGTCAAAATCGTCGTCAAAATCATCTTCGTCTTCAACGTCCTCTAAATCATACATGCCTAAAGTAGAGTTTTTTAGCAAATCGGGTGCATCATCCTTATACTCCAATTCTTCATCAAATACCTCTTCTTCAACATCAGTAGATTGTTGATCTGCTTTGAAAGCATCCTGGTACTCGACCTTGATCTCACCAAGTAACGATATCAACTTTAAGACGCTATCGGCAACTTGCTCCGTATAAGGAAAGTTGGTGTCAAGCTTGGCTAAAATGTTAGTGGCAACATTGCCAATTTTCTTTTCCAAGAGTTCTTTTGCAAAATAGTATTTATCATTCTTTGTGATAAACGGATCTGTTGAAACGGATACAGCATTGTTGAAGCTTTCTCCACACAATTTTCTGATTAAATTCAATATATCAACAATCCTTCCGTATTTAATTATTGAACTTTTGTTCGACTGCTCGGTATCCTTTATGACTTTAATCAGGCTATCTGCAGTAAACTTCCTGGCAAATGCAACATCGCTATCCGAGACACTGGTATTTATATATTCCGCTCCCTTAGAAGGCACGGTAGATATTAGACCCAAAATACACGCATACCCTAAAGATGCAAGTAATTGGTGCACTTTGTGACTTGAAGTTTCTTCTTTTTCAAAAGGGTTGATAGTGATAAACCGATGAACTAACATATTCAATGCTGTTGAGCGTGGCTTTTTGTCAGATTTATTCTTTTCTTTTTTTGAAAAAGTTAGAAAATCTGTTTTGCATGAAGTATAGGAAAACAAAAGTTCTGACACTGACTGAAGAAGAAAAACTGCATATGCCAAGGAGTTATTATTGGAAACAAGAGTATTAATATCATCAGCATCTTTGTCATTCTTTGATTCATTATCATCTTTTTGGACTCCAACCATAAGATCTTTTCTACTGATAGTTATTAATTCAGATAATAAGAAGCTCATGATTTCTGAAGTATTCTCATCTGGGTGATCATGTGTTTGGTTCACATCCACTCCGTGCTTCTTCAAAATTTCCTTTTCTTCATCGTCAAGTATCGAAACCAAGGGTGATTTGAAATGCCTATTGATGCGCTTGACGATACAATTTTCTCCAACTACCTCGCAGAATATGGATGGATTACGAAGAACAAGAGCTGAGTTCTCTTCCAAAAAAATCTTCAAATCCTTCACCTTATTTTTCTTTGATTTTGCACTGAATATTTGATTTATGTCTTTCTCAAAGTAGCTTTTAACAATATACTCAGACTCAACTGACCTTCTTAGAATATTAATTACCTGGGACTGCAAACGAACTGAGCAATGCTCCTTTTTGATGAAACGGACCAAGCTATGCATTATTTTGGCTCCCGCAAGCATTTTAACTCGTTCATCATCGGTACATAACATGAGAAGGATATTCGCCACTTCAATTGCAACTTCTTCAGTTTGGATGACTTTAAGATTCAGAAGTAAATTCAATAACGAAGCTTCAGATTCTGGACTAATGGAGAAGATGTCTGGGTGGGTTATCAGGTACGGAGAGAACTTGGAAGGTACATTTACCTTAGGTGCTTGAGGAGCAAAGGGTATTTTTGTTTCTGAAAATAGCTTGCTAAATATTGTTAGAGCACTTGCAAACCACGGCTTTTCCACGTTATTTTCAATCATATGTTGGGATAAGAACTTTGCAAAATTTTCAATCAGGGAAAAGTATTTGGGAAGTGATAGTCTGCCAACGATGTAACCAAAAAGTTTCAAAGTTGATGATAGTTTTTGATTCTCAGTTTCATCTTCAGAATTAAAATCCATCCCTTTCACAACTGCAAAAAGTGGGTCCAAAACATCTTCCATACTTTCTGAAAAGGAGTTGCCAAAAACTGAAAAGAGTAAGTCAGCAACTCCAGATGCCGAGTCAGGATACAACTGTGCAATTTTTATCCAGTAAGAGATAAAATTGACTTCCTCTGCTCCTCTGTGAAAGTAAAGGTCATCAATAGTATCTATATCATAATTCGGAGAATAGTTCAAATGAATTGATTCAACTAAGGGAGGGACATATTTTTGTTTTAAAACGTCCTCCCAGTTGACATTTTCAAGTATGCCAAAAGTTTCGTCAAGATTTTCTGGAGTCTCTTTTAATAGTTTGGGAATATCATCGCCGAAAAACAAGAGGATTTCTTTAGCGGCATCTTTTGGAATTCCGAGATTGGCCAAGAAATTTATATTGTAGTCCGAAGGGGCTGTTGTTTCTGCAGCTATAGGATATAATCTACCCTTAAATGTAAGAGAATGTGATTTGAAACTAGAGAATGCACACTTGCTCAAAAGGATAATGTCTTCAATCAAGGAAACAGGGATTTTGGTTGGGAATCTGTTCAAAATGTCTAGCCTGTTAGTTGAAGTAATCTCCTGTAGCAAGATAAAGTCTGCGATAGCAGCTTGTACCTGAATAGAAACCAAAACTTCCGATCCATACTCACTTTTTTCCGGACCTAAATATTTGTACAACTTGTGCGCATTCGGGAGAGTTCCAATGACGTTGACAGCTCCTACATCGGCATGCAGATTCAAAATTTGATCGAGAACTGCAGGAACTAAACTTTCTAGTTCTATTGAAATATATGGCTTTTCAACAAAATAGTCAATTTTGCTTTTCTCAAAAGTCCCTAGCCTAGAAAATAAATCAACGGCTAAATCTTTCAATAATGGAAATTTGTTATTTTGAAGTAGACATATACTCATAGTTGGATTGACGGCAGCGGAAACCCCAAAAGAATGGAACACGTTCAAATAAAGTTGGTTGAGCATGCAAAATAAGTAACCATATTTTATCTGATCGTTGCTGGTATTTATTCTTGTGAGCATATTTAATGTCACACTCGTGTACTGATTGATTATTCCAACGGCATATCGAGCGGATACCCCGAATAAAGTCTTACTTTCAGATCTCCTTCCCCAATTTATAGAGCAGAAGCTATTGAATACATTTCTCAGCCAAAACTTGGAACGTGAAAAGTTGAAATACATGATAGAGATATTTTTGAATTTTGCACTGTTGCCGTTCCAATCACAACTGTCAGAAGGTGGAACACCAATTTCTTTCTGCTTGGGTGAAATTGATTGAACTAATGTGAATGCATTCTGAGCAACTGACGGTGGTGTATAGACGTGGAGTAGTACTTCTTCTATTGCGAGTCTACGATAAAATAAGCATAATTCTCCTATCAGATTCAATCCATCATCGGACCCAAAAGCCTGTGCAATATCTAAAATTTTGTTGGGCTGGTACTTGTGGAGCTTTGAATAGAAATCCGACAACACAAAAAGCAAACAATTCATTATTCCTAAATTGGATATGACCTCACGAGCTGTTTCTTTTCCAACATCATCAGCATTTTCAAACTGCAAAAAGAAAGAGTTATTATCGTTTGAATAGTAAGTAAAATCGTGTAGCTTACTTAGCGTGCTTGCCAATCTCTCCTTCAAAAAAGGTAGGCAGTATGAACGAGTTGTTTGATCGATCCACTTTATAATGTTTCTGAAATGAATAATGGTCTTAGACAGGGAATAGTCAAATGGCGCATTTTTTAAAGTGATGAATTTGAAAAGATTATTCATATCAATATGACCATACAACCTTTTCCATTCCTTCGAATTCTCAAACATCGATGCAAGAAAAATCAATGTACATTGTATCACACTAGCTTTATCTGAACTTTCCCACCTTTCCAACAAGGGGCTGCTGGTTTCTGTATGGATGTTTTCGTCGGACTGATTACGGTAAAGTGAACCATTGGGTGATTGATAGAAATCAACAGCATCAAACTGCACAGAATCTGGGATTATATTAATGAGTTTCAAAACTTCCTCGTTGATGACATCTTTCAATTCAGGATGGTGCCTTGCAAGCTCATCAATTGCGTGACCCAAACTCATCACGTTCTCTAGTTCAACCAATTGCTTACAAATTTCTATGTTTGTGAAAATTGAGAAGAGCGTGGATATAACTTTGGTTTCTTTGACTTTGGTTAAACCACCGGTATTCAATGAAATTGCGTTGATGACATCAGGCAGCTCCAAAAGTAATTCACTATCAGGTAAAAGAAACGTGGAAAATCTGTTAAAAAAGGTGTCTATCACACCCGCTTCATTGAGAATAGAGTAGGCAGTTGGTTCACTATTGATGATTGTAGTGATAATTCGAATACAGTCGAAGAGTAATTCGTATCCAAATATTTTTGGATTTTGCATTATTTTTATGATACTCTTCAACATTGGAGAGTCATAAAGATTTCTCATTCGATCACCCGGATAGGTCGAGATTAGTGAATTGACCAACCTTAGAAGAAAATTGAGAAGTTTGACTTGTCTGGCTGTTATGATATGAGAAAGATTTGAATCTTTTGGAGCACCCCCTTCGTAGTCGGGATTATCAATAGCAAACTCTACCTCAAACTCTAGTAAGCTAATAAGTACATTAAAACCGTCATTCGTTACAAACTCTTCAAAAGCATCTGAAAGTCTTTCAATGAATATTTCTATCAAATGTAATGGTCCAGACCGGGTCATTCTATAGTTATTTCTCAAAGATAGAAAATCAAGAAATATTTTCATCAATCCGGCAGCACGTAGGTGGATAGCCAAAGACTTATTCTCCAACAGGTTTGCCAGAATGTTGTAAATATAATTCATATATGTTTGATCGTTGTTGAATTTGTGTTCTTTAGTTTGCTTTAAAATAGCCTTGAGTATGTGAAAGAGTAGACCATGGCTAACATTACCACCCAATGCTCGCATTAGATCTGAGGCACCATTTTTTCGGTTGGATATGTTGACAAACGCTCTCAAAGTGGCAATGCAAGGCTCCCTTGGAACATGGTTATCCGGGTTAACCAAATCACACATGTAGCTCAAAAGGTAAGGCTCCTCATCAAAAACCAAACCGACAAAAGTGCCATAGGTGATATTCGACGCTGCAGCAGCAACCGAATAACATTTGAAAGTGACCAGTTTCCCTCGTAGCGCCAAGCATTCAAAGGATTTCCCACTATATGCAATAGCAATGTACACATGTAATACGAAATCACACCATTTTTCCTTAGGTATAACATTTGCTGCTTTGTCAAAGATTTGCTGCATGGAAAGTTTTTTCAAGGATTCCGAGCTCAACTTGAAGGTACGAAGACCTTCACCGGTTTTATCCTTTTCTAACTTCTTCTTCTTTCCATGCCTGCTTGATTCTTGCTTGTCTGACTTTATCACCGAGCCTGTTTTGTAGTACTCATAGTTTAATATTTTCCAGGATGAAGGGGTAACAAAATCTGGCCGAATACAATCGTATAGGCTGATGTGAATAATATTTTTATCGGAATCCTTTGTTTTCAATTTTTTTGTTTTTTGCTCGAAGACTGTAAATCTGGTCCAACTTCCGGTGTCACGGAAGGAGCCTTACTAACGACACCTGCCTGCTGTTCATACTGTTTCACCTCAATCGGAGTCGGTCCCGGCGTGGTTCTGATTGACTGAAGTGGGAATCTTTTTATGAAATCCACCAGTAGATCTCTGTGCTTTTTCGATAAGGTGAACTTCATCGGGTAGTGTGACGCAAATTTTTCTGAGAGGCAGCATGTTAGCTTCAAAGCAGATATCTTGATGTCAAGAGAGTTTGAAAACATCAAGTCTGCTATATAGCCATGCGAGTTGTAGATGTCTCTGCTGGTGCTGTACTCCAAAAGCTGGTTGGAGTAGTTGACGCATGTTGTTATTATCTCAACCTCATCGTGTGGAACATCGAGAGGTGCAATGTAGTCCTCGTTCAACCTGTACCTCTCAATATGGCTTTCGTATATCTTATCGATCCTATTCAACAATGAAACATAATGCTTCAAGTTTGGGCGTGTACCATCCCAGTCTTTTGGGTAAAGGGTACTTAGTTTCTTGATCAAATCCTCAATAGGACAGTTTGTCAAGTAGTCAATATGTGCTTTCAAGTTGTCCGGCTGTCAGAGACTCGTTTTTAATGGTTGTCAAATCCGTGTTAGTAAATCATGATCTAGGGTTTAAAATATTAAATGGGGCGAAGAAAAAGGGCTTGTAAACGTACGATTGCTTCCTCTGGATCAATAGAGTTCTTGAGTTGAATAAGCATTATATCGGTGAGTGCCGCTATACTTGTCTGACTCAATAACTCCCAGGGTGGAACGCCAATTAAGAAGATAAGGGGCCTTAAGTATGGCTTATCCCGTTGATGTAAATCTGAATTTTCAGTGGACTTTTCCCAGACTGTTTGCCACTGAGGGATCCTTTTCTGTTTACCCTCAGACGTAGTTTGCATCAAAAAGTGTGAAACGTCGACCGTCTTTTTTCCGCTGCGCAACACGCTTTTGGGATGATGTAGACAGGAGAGGAGCCAGAAGCTGGATTAGATGACGGATCAGATTCCTGCTAGAACAGCCAGTAGCAGCCCCAGTCGTGTTCAGTGTTTGTAGTGCTGCGACAACTGTTCACTTGTGACCGACAGAGACCGACAGAGACCGAGCCAGGAAGCCAGAACTTTCCGATATCTTCATTTTTCTAGTGTTTTCTCTATTTGTGATTGTTTAAGTTTCGTGTATCATTGTTTTCTGAACAAACCGAAACTAAACAAAGAGAGTAGGGACACAAGACTAATATGTACAGACTGAGAAGCATAAGAATCAAGCTACACTACACGAATAGAAAAGTACAGCACTCTTCTTTCATTATGCTCAGTAATGAAGAAACCACAAATTTGTTTGAAGCTTCTCAACCTTGTGACGGCTTGAAGAAACGTTCCATCGAAACAGAAGAGGAAGAGAGTACTGGACTATATACCCCCCAGCGCAAGGCTGCAAAGCTAGAACCAACAGTGTCGTTGGTAAGTGACACTAGCTTTCTGTCCTGCTCTTTTGATGAGGTGTCTCAAAAACTCAAGTCTATTTTCACCCTCCTCGGGGATAAGTTTCACGATCAAAAGGACGTGTTTGTGTCGCTGACGGATGTTTTGAACAATGCTAGCCAGCCACCGGAGACTATAAAACCAATACCAGCTCCATTTCTACCTCTACGTTTTGGAGCTTCGTCTTCAAGAAGTGACTCGTTGCCGCTGAGCTCCACTGCGGTGAAAAACGTTTCACACTCTGCATTGCTGTCGGAGAACAAGGAAAACGTGCCTGATTTACGTGTATCGCTACCGACTTCGTCTCCAATGAAGCTGGAAACCTCGTTGAACAGAAACCGACAGCAACGGAACTTTGGTACTTTGCACATGGCAACGCAGGACAGCCAGACATCAACCAATGATGCTAGACACGTGAAACCTATAGTGTTGAGCCCCGAACAAGAAGTGGTGGCAGAATTAGCAAGAAGAGGCAACAATATCTTTTACACAGGTTCAGCGGGGACAGGAAAGTCTTTATTGCTAAAAAAACTTATCAAGAATTTAAAAGAGCAACACCCCGCCGACGCAATCGGAGTTACTGCATCCACGGGCTTGGCAGCCTACAATATAGGTGGAATGACCATCAATTCTTTCACGGGGATTGGCCTTGGAACAGGTAAGCCGGAAGAGATGGTGCGCAATATCAAGCGGAACAAGAAAGTACGTGACCGTTGGGATAGACTTAAGGTTTTAATCATCGACGAAATATCTATGATTGATGGTCAGTTGTTGGATAAGCTTGACGCTGTAGCAAAGCGTCTCCGAGATGCATCCAAGCCTTTTGGAGGTATCCAGGTCATTTTTTGTGGTGATTTTTACCAATTGCCGCCTGTGTCCAAAAACAGCCACTCCACTTTTGCTTTCGAAAGTAAGTTTTGGAAAGCCAACATCCATGTTCAGGTTGTGTTAAAAAAAGTCTTTAGACAAGAGGGTGACAAACAGTTTTTGCAGATGCTCCAAGAGGTAAGAGATGGAGAAGTTTCAGAATCGACGACCAAAAAGTTTCGTACCTTGTCCAGACCTCTATTGTCAAATGATAACCTTATACCCACGAAACTATTTCCTACAAGAAAGGAGGTTGATATAGCCAACAATAATATGTTGAAAGGACTCAAGGGCGGTGCTATATCCTTTACTGCAATAGATGGAGGAGGCCTGGCACACACACAACAAGGACAGAAGATGTTGGAGTCTTTTTTGGCACCCAAAAATGTTACCTTGAAAGCTGGAGCACAGGTTATGATGATAAAAAATCTAGACGAGACGTTAGTCAATGGATCATTAGGAACAGTCGTCGGGTTTTTGAACAGCGATACCTACCATAGCTACACAAGTTTATGTCAGGAGCTTGATTCTGCTGAGCAGGAGGATGATTCTTATGGTATGATGCGATTGTTAGAAGAGCCCAACGATTGTCTTGCAGACTCGATATTCGACTTTTTAGGGGAAGTCAAAACCAGAATACAAGAGAAAATTGCTTGTGAGTCTAATGAATTGGGTGACAAATACAAGCCAACACTTGTCAGCGGGGAAGATGAAACTTCAAGGAATGATATAGAGTTGACAGATGCTAGTATCCAGGAAATACCACAACCGATGGAGTCAGAACCAAGTGCTTACGAAAGCTCCAAACTAAGTATAGAAGTCAATTCACTGGAGAGAAAAGATGTGCGCCTCGAATGCATAGAGAGAAAAGAAGAGCTATTGAAAGCCTTGAAGCAAAATGAAAATCCAGGTAATTTATTACCTTTAGTCTGCTTTCGACTCTCTAACGGATCGTCTCGTACGATCCTTGTTGAGAAAGAAACTTTCAACATTGAGGATGATTTTCACAATCCTATTGTTTCCAGAGTGCAACTTCCACTTATGCTAGCATGGGCGTTATCAATCCACAAATCACAAGGTCAAACATTGAAGTTTGTGTCTGTTGACTTGAAAAAGATATTTGAGAACGGCCAAGCGTACGTGGCTTTGTCCAGAGCAGAACATCGGCGGGGTTTACAAGTGCTTAATTTCTCTCCGCAGAAGATTAGAACAGATCCAAGAGTGAAAAAATTTTATGCTAACTTGAAAGATGCTGAATCTGCACTTGAGCACATTGATAGCCCGAGCGGTGAAAAGTCATTTGACAGTGATATCTTCAATAGGCCCACTGGGTTCCAAACTCAGGTGAAAAACTTGCAGGAATTATCTGCTAGTCCTGAACGGTTTGCCAAATTTGAGAAACAGTCCAAAGGAATTGCAGAAATGATTCAAAATCTCAACAAGAACAAAGATAAAAGAAATAAAATAATGGATTCCGGCCAGGATAAAGCTAAAAACAAAAAAGAAAGGCTCGACTTGAAGAAGGATCAGAAAAGTAAGGTTCCAGCCGATATGTTGATGTCCGAGGACGAAACCGACAGCTTTGAACGACTATTTGAGGGGAGATCGTAATAATTTTTTGGTAGGTCATATAGAAACGCCATGTGTATAGGGTACATTATATAAATATGTAGAGTTACTAAATAGAGATATGCTTAACCTACTCAGTTTGCGCCTACAATCCAGCCTATAATATTTTTCCCTAATTCAGAGCTGTCTGTATTTAACAACTCCTCTGCTGATGACTTTAGTGATCTTTGCAAACGGGCCTGAACGTCTCCTAGAGACGTTTCTATCGGAGTCGAAGACTTTTGTTGAACTTGCTGGCTAATATCACTACTTGCCATCATTTGCTCTTGTTGTGAGTTAAGCATCTGCCACTGTTCCAAAACAATGGTATTAAACTCAGTTGGAGTTAGCAACAAGAGCTTACCCAAAAGCTTCATCTTATTATTAACAGCCGAAGATTCGGAAACATTGTCATAATCATTTTTTGATAACTGGAAAAATAAAAACCAGTTCTCACTCACTAGTTCGAAAAGTCCTTCAACTTCGTATTTTCTTGTAATCGCAAAAGCTAAAAGCTCAAAACCAAGATCAAATGAGTAGGAATAGTCCATCGCTGAGGAAAATTCCAAACACAATAATCTAAGCTTTACAACCAACAGATTGGTAGGATCATCATATGATTTACCTTTGTTCAAGTATAGGCTATCCTTACTGACTTTGTCCATGCCATCAATTAGTAAAGCCAAAAGATAATAAAGGTCGCCTGGATACATGTATGCATTTTCATTAAGCTCGAGAATTCTCTTGATGATAGCAAGTGGATCGTCGACTTCAAAGACGTTTTTTGGAGTAATTGGTACTCCTGGCTTTAAATAAAACTTCCACTCTAACAACTTACTGTTGGCCTCTATAAGTGAGGATAAACGATGCGCATCTCCTGAAGTAGAGCTAAGCAGCTTTAAACAATTGGCACAATCTTTAAGGGATCCTATTTTCGGATCGCAGTTCCTTGCCTTCATGTACAATTGCCAACAATGCTTGGCAATGATATTTTCATAGTTATCTTTTAACAAGTGGTTAAAGCTAATCTGATAGATGTTCGCTATCACCGAGTACTGCTTCATTCCAAGCAATTTTCCAAGTATCACCTCACATAATTCTTCTATAGATATTTTGTTGAAAACTGATGTTTTTTTGAATGTTGCATAAAGCGAGCTCAAAAACAACGACCATTTCTTGTCGTTAGTTTCCACTGTGACTTCATTATCGATGAACTTCACTAGCTCAGTATACTGTACACTTTTGTTAGAGTTTTCTAAAGTCATTATGTCAACAAATGATAGTTCGTTCGAGTACAAGATCTCTCCAACGTCAATGACGTTCAAAATCGAATCGATCGTTTTATAAGAAGCAGAAAGCTTGTGAGAAACTTCACTTAACGTCAAACCAGATAGATTTTCAGCACTAAAAACATCTGGACCATCTTCCAAAGTGAAATATTTGAGCAACGTCAACATCTCTTTGGAGTAGACAAACACTTGTAAAACAGCCCTTGGGCAAAGATATATTGTCGCCAGGATTGTGCAGACAAATGTTGCCTTCACGGTATATTCCAGGCTGTCCAATGCTAGCAACAACTTGTCGTGCCTCAGTAAATATAAAAGCACCTTATAGTTATTAATCAATTTTAAGTGATCTGCTTCTTTGATGCACTTGGAGCCAAACTCCTGGAGCCAGATGTTTAAGGAGTTCCAAGCGTCTATCCCTACGTATTGGAAATACGGGATAAGAACTTCGTTAATTATTCCTGAATCTTTTTTCTCCTTTGTTATATGTGTCATGATCAATTGCACTTTCTCTTCTGTTGGAAGTAGGTTCTCGTAGTCTAGCAACGGATGATCGTATTCGAGCGTTTTTGACAATCTGCTCATAGGGCTGTAAAACCCTTTGATCCAATCCAATAACTCCAAATCTGCAAACCTGGAATGCTTTATAGCACTGATTAACACATCTGTGCAACGAAAACTCCCCAAGTCATAGTTGATTCTAAAAATAAAGCTCTTCATGCACATGCTGAAAAGTTTGGCGTCAGTGATCATGTTCCCATCATCTTGAACGCTAAAGTTATATCTGTGGGTTTCTGTGGTGATTGACTCGTACAGTTTTTCAACCATCATTTTCTTCTGCTCTAAAGATAGTCCAAGTAAATTCGTGATGGTGGCAGGTACTTCCGATTCTGTGCCCAAGATAGACGAGATGTCCACATCTTCTCCTTGCTTGTGATTTTCAAAATCATGTTGTTCTTTCACCTCAAGAAGTGATTCCACACATTTGACAATTCCCTCATCACATAACAGCACTGGAAGGGAGACAACCAGCAATCGCAGGAGGAACTCCACTGTCAAACCGTCGGTATTTAGAAACGGCTTCACTTTGGCCAGGCGTTCCGTAATCTCCTCGAGGCCCTGCGAGCTGGAAACCACGTATTGGGCGCCGATCACTAGATCAATAATGTTTTCTAGTTCGAACATCTTGTATACAGACATATATATCTATATCAGTACGAAATGATAATGTCTGGTCTGATCTTCACCTTTGTGGAACATATAGTGTGCCTGATGAATGAATCAAATCGGCTGGAAAAAAACAGACACTACACGCCAAATTTATCCCCGCCTCACGGGCTAACATGGCCCCATCTACAACTCCTCAGCTGGCCCTTCTTCCTCTTGAGAACATGCCAGGAAGTGCTGAAAGTAGTTGGTATACAAGCCTACAACAACTTGGTCATTGTTGATGCTGTCATGAAGTCTCACCTTCCTTGAGACACGGCCCACGCCTGCGACCTTGCCCAACCGGATCCACCTTAAGCATTTCGGACACTTGGAGTAATAGCATTTTAGCTTCCCCGGGCTTTGTCGATACACTGCATCCGGAGGCGGGAGGCCAACGTATCCGAAGCCGCTGACATTCAGGATCCCATGAGCTAAACACATGTGCTCCTCAAACCTTTTCATCGGCACCCATCTCTTAAATGAACACATACGACAAAGGTATTCTATATGTGTATGATCGCTTTTGCTATGCCGGGAAAACCTGTGTGTCATGGCGTTTTCCTTTATGCTTTTCTTCCTCATCAAATTGTAGTTCTCCAATTCCGAGTCGGTTGCACTGTCGGGACAATTCAAGTTTATTTTGAAGTGGTACTTTTCCTTGTTGTCCTGCAAGTACGCTGGCTGTAGTATGTGATGATGGAACTTCTGTGGATTGAGCCTGCTCTCGATATGATTGGATTTGGCGCTCATTTTCCAAAACTCGACCTTTCCAAAATCTTTGACTGTCCTGTAGTACTCTGCTGCCAATTCTTCATCTACAGAAGGAATGTCAGCGTCTTCAGTGCTGACATAGCCCTGCCGTGCAGCCGGCCTTTGTTTCTTCCCCTTTTCCGAGACTACGGAGTTTTCTTTCTCTTCAAAAACTTTGTCGTTTTCATTATCTTTCAACGTTACCGCCTTGAGCCGGTAAACAATGTCGTCAATTTGCCCCAAATCCATGGTGCAGCTTGCTTTGTTAACATCGCTCAGCCAAGTCTCGATGATTTCTTTCGTTTCATCTGCCATCTACAATTAGTTTCTTAATTTACTTCTCGGCTCTCCAACCCACTAATTTACAAGTTTTACCTGAGGCAGATATTCACAACAGTTTATATGTAGCAATGTTATTCAAACGTTACTGGTATGGATTGGTGGATAGACACTCCACAGCCAGTTGGCCCGTTGTTCAACCCCCAGGAACATGAAGCCAACAGAGATTGCCCATCACTTTCCCTCCCTCCGAAATCTGCTGCGCCACAGCCCTAAAACAAAGGGAAGTTTGCATTGTATGTTGAAAATGTGAAACTGCTATATATTAATACCGTACTTAGTCAGTTTTATAAACTATCTTGTAAAAAACCCATCTAAAAGAATAATAGGTGCCTTTGGGCGGCACAACGTCGTAAAAGAATCCCCGAATGAAACCAAACTACACCAAAGCATGAATGACAAAAAAAAGTGGCCCACCCATTACATTATATAACTGCGTACCCGCTGGCATAACTGACACTACTATCACGAGAGGAGACAACGCTCGAGCTTTGTGCATACCCGTTCCACTTGAGTGAATGTTTTGAAGTTTCCGAGATCGAATCTTGCATCATCAACATGAGAACGCCCAAAGGCTTGGCACCACAAATAGTGTTATCGGTGAGGTACATGTAGTCCTTGAAAGACCGGTAGGAGCCCGTGGATATTGTCTTCATTGCAGCTCTGTCTAAAAACTCAATGCTTTTGTATATGGGTAGTTGGGAATTGGAAGGGTGCTTGCTCTTAGAGATATCCTCTATATCAGTCAAAGTGCCAGTAGGGGTGTATGCAATATAGGAGAACCTCGAACCCCAGTGACAAAAGTCAGTGCTTACGATGAACGCATTCGACTTATCTTCGAAGTAAGGTTTCAAAGACTTGGCTACCCTCTTTTCAAAGTTTTCATCCGTTGCACTAATCATGATCGGAATAATTTTCGGGTGAATTCCAAGGTCGTTGGTCACCTTGCGTAGGAATGGCATGTGCAGTTCGAAAGAATGTTCGTCCTCATCCACCTCAAGACTCATCTTTTTGAATAGTTTAGGGTCATCTTCAATAAGTTCGTTGATGACATCTTTGTCCACCTCTAATTTCCCAAGCGGGGTATCATAGTAATCGCAATCAGTTGTTAGGACGCAGCCTTTGAAGTAGACATGATGTGACGGACCCATAATGAAGACTCTTTCAATTCCTGTCGGATCCAACGTGCCGTATGTCTTACCCAATATTGGGCCAGAGTATGAGTATCCCGCATGAGGTCCGACCACAACTCTGGCACCAGGGACTCTCTCAGTGGCGGAGTTCAAAAACCGTCCGATTTGAGTTTTCAAGGTCTCTGGATTCGAAGTATACCAGGTTCCGGCATGAGATGCTGAGCGTATGACAGGTTTTGTCATCTTTGTGTTTTTCTTTGCTGAAAGAGTCGTTTTTGTGGTTCAATCCAGAAAGCAAAAGATGTTAAGGAGGAAAGATTAAGGAACGGAACGGACCTCAGGAGATTAGAGTCAAAATGACGGAGCGAGTGAAAAGCGAGTGAAAAGGAAGAGGCGGCGACAAAAAAGTTCTGGAATTTTTTTCTCTGTTAAGGAGCATTGGACCAGTTGATTTTTCCGGAAAGAAAGAAATAGTAGAGATACCATTTGACTATACCGTGCAGAGCAAACAATGCGTTTTATTTCAAGAACGTCCGTGTTTGTGTTTGCAAGGCGGTTTGCTTCAGAGGTGAAAACTGGTGCAGAAGCGGTTGAGTTACCGTTGACATCGACCCCGTTCGAAGGAAAAGAGCTGGACAGAAAGGAATACAGATCTTCTAAGCACAAGATCACTCAATCTCCGTCTGAGTACAGAGAATCGCATGCGATATTCTTAAAGCAGAACTTAGAGCGGTGGATATCAAACCAGCAGACTTTCCCCAAAGGTGACGAGAACGATTTTGAAATTTTCAACAAGCTTCACCACAACCCAATCAGGAAGAACGTGCCCGAATACCCAGAGTCAATCTCCGGCCTCAAATTCCAGGAGTCTACGGAATCGGATAGAGAAAATGTGCTAAGCTATTTCAAGGAGTTAACCAGATTCTCTTATCCTAAGAAGGAGAAGTTTATTGCCAAGGCGATCAAACAGGTGTATAAGAAGTATCGCTCCTTGAAGACGGTGCAGGACGAATACCTTTGCTACTCTGTGAAAAAGAACAATGGTGAGTCTGTCACACGTTTGCTCAAGAACAAGCCAATCTACTACCAGCGCCCATCTACGTATAGCACCTTGTTGGAGATGACTTCAATTTTCAAGAATTCGAAGAATAGTCTTGCCTCCTTGAGATCCATTACTAAACGCCTAGACAACAACAACATCCCTATAAGCAACGAGTTAGTGTACAAGCTCTACTACATGCTACCTATTGATGCAAGCAGGTTCATGGTCAAGCAGTTGGAAGACAAGATGGACGTGCGGACTCTTTTGAATGACGTGCCGTACTTAAGAATCGAGAGTTTTGACGAGATGAAGCAGAAGTTGCTTCTTGACGAGGTCAAATTCACTTACGCGAGCTATATCCAGTTGTCTAAGCTCATGACCAGGGAAAACCGGATTGCCGAAGGATTGAACTTCATTCAGCGGCTTGTGTTCATGCATAGATTGGAGTTGCCATTATCGCTGTGCAAGTACACTGTCGACCTTGTTCTTGCCCACGACCCACACCTCTGCGTTCCGTTTGCCGTGAGCATGCAGCGGTTCACGGGGTGCTCCTTGAAGATGTATGCGGCGTACAGGGCGACGGTCTTGTTGCTCGCGTCGAAGGTGTTGACGAAGGAGACAATCACATTGTTTAAGCTTCTTGTGGCCTCCAGCACCTGGAAGGTGAAGATCTTCACTAACGAGCTTTTGCAGCATATCTCCGAGTCGGACAACAGGGGGGAGCTTCTTGAGTTCTTTGCCTCTAGTATTGAGGACGCCGACCATGCGGAGCTCAAGAGAGTCTTCCAGACGTTCTATGCGTCGAACGACATCGCCTTCAAGCCAGGGTTTGACGCCTCCTTCTACGAGCCGATTTACAGGTTGTTCCCCACATACAAGAAGTTCGACATCATGCGCACGGAGGTCTTTAGCGACAACAAGGACCTCCGCCAGCAGTGGGAGGCCACAATCGTCCCTTACGCCAGTTCGAACAAGCCCTTGTTCTACAAGCTCTGCAGAGAGGTCGGTGCCACTCTTGTCGAACGCGGCGAGTACGAGAAGGTGGTCCCCTTTGTCCAGTACGTGAAAAACGTGCACGACTGCAACATAGAGTACGACACATACCTCGGCCTATTCCTCAAGCTCGTGTCACTTGACGAGCCCAACACTGCGCAGGTCCAATTGGCAATCCTACTGGCGCACTACGTCAACCTCCGCCGCACGATGATGGTGAAGGCTTTCCTCGACAAGTACCCGACCACGGACGAGGTCTTTGCTGCGCTGGAAAACGACAAGGCGTCTAAAAACCTCGACCAGGCCTGGGCCCTCCTTGTAAAGGAGACTGCATGGCCCCTCGATGGCCCACCAGCGCTCTGAGATTACCCCCACATAACTTGTATAAATCACGCATGTACATACATCGACAATACTGTAAGCATGCTTAAACGTCAAGGCACCACTAGCTATCACCGGCTGTGCCGATAGCGCAGCTTGCGTATGCTGGCGCTGCATCCATAGACGGATGTCCCTGGCCAGACATGCTGCGCAGTGCGTGCAGCAACAATCCGGCCGGGGTGTCGCGGCGGGGACAAAGCCTCGTGATCGTCTCTGCAGCGGCGCACGGAAGCTCACGACCTGGCGGCCAGCCGTTCTGGTGTCAGCCCTGCAGACCGTTGCGGATGCAGGGGGGCATCCAGCCGTTGGCGACGGAGCAAAGTGGGTGGTGCTGAGTGGTACTGCTGAAGGAGAAAGTGGCTTTTCTTCATTGCTACAAATTACACACAATAATACACGTTCAAACAGAGGGGAGGGAGGAAAGACGAGGAAGAGAGAGATAGAGAGATAGAGAGAGAGAGAGAGAGAGAGAGAGAGAGAGATATTACGGACATTTTTTTTCTTTTTTTTTCATGCTTGGGCTTTGTTTTTATTTTCAAAATAAATAGAGACGTCCATGAGGCTCAGACGCTGTTGTCGGCGTTCGGGTTGCCAGGCCTGCTGCTGCTGCCGCTACCGCTGTTGTTGGCGGTCGGGTTGACACTTTCGCCGGCCACGTCTGCCGAAAGGCCCTGGGCGTACTTCTGGGATGGAATCGCCGACGAGGAGGCTGGTTGTGAGTTCTGAGCGTAGTAACCGCCGTAGTAGTACGACTGGGATGGGTTCAGCTGCGACTGCGAAGGCTGCGACTGGTGCGCCGAGTTGTAGTATGACGGGTACATCATTGGTGCGACGGAGCCCGGTGCATGGTTGGAAGTGGCTGCAGTTGTTGCGTTAGACGAAGGGTTTGTAGCATCGGTGGCAGTGGTTGCTGAGGCAGCTGAAGTGGTGGCATTGTTGTTATTGCTGTTGCTGTGGCTTGGGTTGGTGCTGCTGGCAGGGTTATTGACGCTGCCCGGGCCGCCGTACACGTGGGACTCGGAGTGGTTAGAGCCCGAGAGCTTGGCGGAGCCGGTGGGATCGACGGAGTCTGCTCCGTCGGCGGCGCCGTAAGCAGCGTTGCCGCGGCCGTCCGTGTGGGCGTCGTAGCGGTCTAGGACTTTGGAGCCGTCGTTAGGGCCCTTCGTGGTCTTGGCTTGTGGGTTCATTTGCGCATAGAGGGCGGCGTCGTTAGCTACGCCGTGGCTAGGCTTCGGATTCAAAGCGTACTGGCCCATCTTCACTGTAGGAGTGCCCTGCTGGATGATTTTCTGGATGTCCTTGACAAACAAGGGGTACAGGGAGTCGGCAATGCCTTCTCTCTGGGCCATGATCAGGGCTCTCTCAAAAGGTATCCAAACACCCTTGAGATGCATCGAGCCGATCTTGACTACGTACCGCGTCTTCTCGGCCTTCAAGATCCCGTCACGACGGCCTCTGGTCATCTTGGCCACGTTCAACAACTTGGTTCCGTTGATCATGTTGTTATCTGCTCTCCGAACCACGGAAACGCCGTTCGCTTCGACCTGGTAGCAGAGGGTCTTTTCGTCCTCCCACATGGTCGTGGTGATCTTAGGGCGGGAGCCTGGGGGCTGGATCTGGCCAGCGTTGGGACTTAACTGAAAGCCGCTGGAGTTGGCGTTTGACACCACGGTGGAGGTGGATCCGTTGTGGCTAGGGAGACCACGTACGTTCTGAGACTGTGATTGCTGCACTTGGGCAGGGACCTGTTGTTGCGGCTGTTGCTGGCCCTGGCCCTGGGATTGTGGGTTTGGCTGGCCCGGGTTGACGTTCATGTTCAAGTTGGGGATGTTGAGCGTGTTGTAGTGTTTTTGGAGGTTGGAGATCTGCGGGGTGGCCGCGTTCAGCTGGTTGTTATAGTCTGGGTAGATCGGGTAGGTGGCCAGCGGAGAGCCCGAGGGGTAGGTTCTGTAGCCCAACTTTGAGTTTGGGTAGCCGTTGTAGGACTGGTACATCTGGGAGGCGTAGGAAGACATGGGGTCCAGCATGTTCTGTGGCTGGGAGTAGTAGCCGTAGGCGGAGGAGTAGTTGGACTGTGCCTGGCCTGAGGGGTTGCTGTTGGCCTGTTGTTGTTGAGACTGTGACTGCTGCGGTTGTTGCTGTTGCTGCTGTTGCTGCGGCTGCTGCTGCTGCTGCTGTTGCGCCTGATCCTGAGGACCCAGCGACTGGGGCTGGCTCGACGCCGAGAGCGGGTTGGCCGTTGCGGCCTGGGGGGTTGTTGAGTCCTGGATGTAGGAACTCGGGTACATGGCGCCTGTGTAGGAGACCGGGTTTGTGTAGTTCTGCGGGACGCCCGAGTACGACGAATAGGACGCGTTGGACGGGTAGTAGGACTGCTGCTGGCCCTGGACCGGAGGCTGCTGCTGCTGCTGCTGCTGCTGGTTCGACTCCAGGGCGCCCTGCTGCACTTGCTGTGTGTCTGGGTTTGCCTGCTGCTGTTGCAGATGCGCCTGCTGACCGGAGGGCGCCTGCGACTCTGCAGCTGCCGCAGCGGCGGCGGCGGCCGCCGTCTGCGGTTGTCCAAGCTGCGAGGAGTAGTACCTGTTCTGGTACGAGCCGTTGTAGCCCTGGTTGTTGTACATGGCGGTGTGGCGGCGGTGGCGGCGGAGAGGGAGGACGGGGACGAGCTGCTGAGCTGAGCTGCGCTGAGCTTAGAAGAGGGGACGAAGAAGGCCGGGGGAGGGGGGCCTGTGCTGCTCAGAGAGAACGCCGGATCTGTCTTGTGCTGTCTGCAGGCTAACGGAGGGCCTGTGCTGCTGCCCTCCACCCCCGCTGTCCACCCTCCGCCAAACGTAAACAGAAGCAGAGGAACACGACAACAACGGTCTGTGTGTGTCTCTGCAAGCCAGGGTGTCTGCCACCCACCACCCGGCCAGCCTGCCTCGTCCAAACAGCCAGCGCTGCAGCTGGAAAAGACGCACGGCATGCAGTCACAAACTCGCCCGCCCGCGCGTACCCCCCGCGCCCGCAGCCGGCCGCGCCCTGCTGCGTCTGCTGCGTCTGCTGCGTCTGCGGTGTCTGCGGTGTCTGCTTCTTCTGCGTCGCTGGAACACCCGCGGACCCGACGCCGCAGACGCAGACGCAGACGCAGACGCACGCCGGCGCAGCAGACGCAACAATGGCGTGCGGGGGACATCTCTGCTGCCGCAGCAACGTCGGCGATCCCGCATGCGGGGACAAGTGGCGCGGGGCGGGTGGCGCATGGGGCGGGTGGCGGGTGTGGCGCATGCTGGGAGAGACGGGGACACGGCCGCGACAGGCGCGGTGCAACAGGCCCCCCGGATGGGTGGTGGTGATCTATCTATGTTAGGTTATACATGTGTTTTCCACCTATGCTAGGTACGGGAGAAGAGGGCGTAGACGAGGGTGTAGCCGTGGTCGATGTCAGTGGTGACGTGGTGGTGCAGAACGTAGTCGGACTGCAGGCCGGCGAGGGCGGCGTCGAGGGAGGCCGGGAGGTCGGCAGAGGGCTCGGCGCACACGACAAGGGCGAAGCGGCCCGGACGCACGGCACGGAGCACGCGGAGGACGATGGCGTGGAGGCCCAGGCCGTCGGCGTGGTGGTCCGGGGACGGGGAGAAGTTTGTCTCGAAGGACGCATAGGACCAGCCGTTTTCCGGGGTGACGTGGATGGTGTAGTAGCGGTCGCCGCGGAGAATGGTGTTGGAGGAGAAGCCGCAGGGGGTGAAGGCAAAGGCGTCGTGCTTGGTGTCGGAGTCGCAGGCAGGGTCTTCCGGGACAATGCGGTCGAGGCCGGAGCGGCGCAGCAGCTGGGCGCCGACGACGTGGCCGACGTCCTGGGTGTCCGGGTTGGAGATGGCGGCGTGCTGGGCTGCGGCGCTGGGCAGCTCGAACTGGGCGGCGCTGGCCGGGTCGAGCTCCGTCATCAGCAGCTCGACGGTGATGTCTGCTGCGGAGCTGCGGCCGGCGCTGCAGCCGGCGAACTGGTTGGTGCCGTTCGTGTACAGGTGCCACGTCTCGTCCGGGGCGGACCGGCTGCTGGCGGCCGGGCCCGGGGGGCTGCCGAGCACGTAGGCGTTGCTGGTGGCGCTGTCGAAGTGGGTGTTCAAGCACGCCAGCTCGGCGTCCCAGCTGCGGTGCACTGCCTGCTGGCGGTCCGGGAACATGAAGGAGCGGTGCGAGTAGAAGACGCGGTAGATGTTGCGGAACTCAAAGGCCGGGTCGAGGCAGTAGCGGTGCACAAGCTCCCGCAGCTTCTCGAAGCAGAGCAACGTCGTCGTGGTGCCGCACGTCTTGAGGATGAGCTTGTTGCGGTAGACAAACAGCGACGACTCCGAGAGCAAGTACGCGTCCAGCTGCTGCGACGACACCTTGGACAGGATCTCGCAGTGGACGATGCCGAGCAGCAGCTCGATCTCGTGCAACGGGATGGCACGCAACCCGTCTGCGGGCCAGCCCGCCGGCAGCTCGCAGTCTGTGGGCGAGAACCACAGCTCCAGCAACTTCTCGGGGCCCTCGAACGCGTCCGTGGAGTCCAACTTCACCGAGAGCTCGTGGTCGATGTAGTCCAAGTCCCGGTTCGAGCCTTGGTACTCGGCCACCTCTTGGTGGGACTTGAAGACGATGGAGGGGGTCATGGTAGTGGCGGTGGTGGCGCACGGCGGATATTAGCCAGGTTCGAGAGATTCGCAGTTGTTGTCACAGTCACACTTAAAGACTGGAAAATCACCAGACATAAGCAAGCTGTTGGTTCGATGGATGCTGCTAGTGCGTCGGTTCGGCAGCGGGTAGGTGTCGGACAACTAGCCTGTGTGTAGCGGGTCCGTGCGTGGAGGGCTGGGGGTGCTGGTACGTGAGCTGACCCAGTGCAATGGCGTGCAACCGTGTCCCCGGATGCCATCTGCTGTGCTGCGCTGTGATGGATAGATGTGTGCTGAAACTGACGGGAGTGTGCCCGTGGCAGCGCTGCCGATGCCAGCGCCTGGAAAATTTTTCCGCCGTGGGGCCCCGGGTCAGCCTTTCGGCCTGCTGCCCGGCCTGTCCTGCCCCTCCGGCTGACGTTCCAGCGGCTCTGCCGGCCACGCCCACCCGGGCTGCGGGTGAGGGTTTCTTGCTCCTGCCGGGAGGGGGGCGTTCAGGGTGTGCAAGAGACGCCGTCCACACAGAGATGCCGTGAACCACGGCGAAGTGGTCCACACAGCACGCCTCTGCTCTTATCAGCGTGCAGCAGCAGCTTATCTAAAGTCGTCGGGGGGTGCTACAGCAGTCCTGGGGCCGCCCCCCGGCAAAACGCCTGATCTGGGGCTGTCTCAGACCGGCGCTGTCCGCAAATGGACGGGGGCGTATGCAGTTTGCCGCGGTGTGGCTAGCAGACGGGGCGCGCCATCCGTGCACCAGCCGCGGGCAGGAGGCGCGTGCGTTTCTGCTACTACAGGACTACGGTGAAGAAGGCGACGGAGGCGAAGGAAGTGGTGGTACAGGTAATGTCCCCAGAGCATGAAGTATCGGTACGACGGGAAGCGTGAAGGATACGATAAATCCGGCTTTTCGTTCTGGAGACAGAGACGTGTGTCTGCGGCGGGGCGGCGCCCGCAGGGCAGCGTCGCAGGGGCCGGGGCAGGGCCGAGCTAACGGCACAGCGCAGTGAAGAGAACCTTCGGCGCGCAAACGGCCGTCGAATGGCCCGCCCCTTTCCACGTCTCCGTCTCGTGGTAATCAAATTGGAGAAGGAGGGGGATGAAAAGAAGGTGTGTGGGCGGGTGTGTGCAGAGAGTAGAAATGTATGTGGGGGCGACGCTGGTTTTATAGTTTTCACTGAGCATGCGCTGAGCATTTACCCGGCCGGGGTGGGCGCAGGCGCGACGGGGCGAGGGGCCTCGCGGTGCGAGAGGGTTTCACACGGATACAGGACACACGTAAACGCAAGAGGGGTCAGATGACAGGAGAGAAGACAGAGAAGACAGGAGCAGGAGCAGGAGCAGGAGCAGAAGCTACCCACCACGGAACAGCAGCAGCAGCATGGCTAAGCACAGGAGAGCGACCCGTCACAGCGCCGACACGCCCAAGGAGGCGGTCCCGGCGGCCGTCTCTGAAAACGATCTCAACGACGCCTTGACAAACGCCTTGGAGAACAACGGCGAGGAGGACGGCGAGGAGGAGGGCGAAGACGGCGAGGAGGACTACCGGCCGGATGTCGAGCAGGACGCGAAGGACGAGGACGTGTCGCTGAACAACGAGGACGAGGACGAGGACGAAGAGGAGGAGGCGGACGGGGACGAGGACGAGGACGAGGAGACGAAGCCGGGCAAGGCCGAGGACGGGGAGAACGAGGACGAAGACGAGGACAACGACGAGGACAACGACGACGACGCCGCCAACAGCGACGGCAACACGTCCGGCACGAGCCTCAAGCGGAAGCTCGCAGCCGCTGCGCGGCGCCACAAGCACTCGAACCTCAACGCCGTCAACAGAAAGCGCCAGCAGCTGGCCTCCGTCGGTGCCGACGGAGACCAGGAGGACAACGCCTCCCCCGTCGTGAACGACGAGTTTGTCACCGCAGACGACCCGAAGGGCGACACGAAGATCACCGAGCTGGGCGTGCTCAAGGGCGGCAGAGAGTTCCGCGTCAAGACGTTCCGGGTCCCCGGACGCGGCGACAGAATGTACGCCATCTCCACCGACGTAGCCCGGTTGGTCGGCTACAGAGACTCGTACTTCTTGTTCCAGAAGCACACAAACCTCTACCGGGTTCGCATCGACGAGGACTCCAAGATGGCCTTGATCAGCAGCGAGTTTCTCCCCGTCACGTTCAAAACCAGAGCCGCATACTTGATCACCGCCCGCTCCGCGTTCAAGGAGTTCGGCGCTAGAATCATCCTCGACGGCAGACAGGTCATCGACGACTACTACGAGGACAAGGCCAAAGAGGAGGGCGCCATCGAGGGCGCCTTGATCAACCCGGTCCTTTCCAACGACGGCTACACAAACTCTGTCACAGACAACCAGACTCTATTTGAGAGACAGAGAAACATCGCTCTCCTGCTCTCCAACAACAACATCTTGGAAACAGAAACAAGTTGGGTCTACGACCACGCGCTCAAATGCCGCCAGTTCGACTCAATGCTTTTCTACGACCGTAACGAGCTACTCAAAAAACAGGTCCAGAGAGACATCTACACAAACTTGAACTTCGTTCCCAACATAACGCAGCCAACAAGATGCAAGATGTCGCAACTCAAGCCGGAAAACAACGAAACAAAGAGAAAGATCATCTTCGACACAGTTATTGGCGGAAGCAGCGTGGTGGCCACCGGCCTCTCCGACGTCCCACTCGATGTCTTCGACGGCAGCGTTTCCGAAGACGTGAAGAAGGCCATTCTCGAACAACAGCAACTCGAGAAATCTCTATAGCTTCTTGTCCTCTCCTATGTAGAATAACTCTGTAAATTAGAAAATTGATAAAAAAAGTCAAAGTTAAGCAAGCGAACGAATAAACAGCCCGCGTCGGAGTTCTGTCGATCGCCAGTCCATGATTCTGGAACTTCTTCCTCTCCATGTAAAATCCGTCGAGCTTTTCCCGTTCATCCCATGAATCTGCAAAACGTTCAAGTACTTTTATCTCCTCCCAAACCAAGCCAATAACCCAAGCACTCATAAATGGCCGAAAGTTTTGTCACCTCCTCTAATGAAATCACGCCTACCATGTCTGTGCTTGCAGGATCCCTCTCGGGCCTTATTGTCCGTTTCGTCATCGCCCCAATCGATATAGTGAAAATCAGGTTGCAACTCCATCGTGATCCACAGAAATACCGCTCGATACTGTCAACTGTCAAATCTATCCTGCAAAACGAGGGGATTCGAGCTTTTTGGAAGGGAAACCTCCCTGCAGAAATGATGTACGTGGTTTACGGAGGTGCCCAATTCACAGCTTTTGCAACGATATCAAATCTTGCAGATTCAATGAGGTCGAAGTTTAACATGAAAAAGCCACAGACAGAACTCGGAACCACATTACAAAACGTCGTAGTGGGAGCTTTATCCGGGTGTAGTGCAACATGCGTCTCGTACCCTTTAGACCTGCTACGTACCCGTTTAGCCTCCAACGAAACCAAACGATTCAAATCTTTGGGCAATGAAATCAAACATATCTACAACCTTGACGGTTTTCGAGGGTTTTTCTCCGGAGGCCTTGTAGGTATCAACTACGTTGCTCTTAGCACTGGTTTCTCCTTTGGTACTTATTCATACATCATCAATTGTGACAAAAAAGGCTATTTTGATTTCTTGAAAGATCACAATCTCATTCTAACTCATGCTGGAGGAATCTCTTCAGTGGCCGGACTTACTGCAGGGGTGGTTTCAAAGACATTGGTGTATCCGCTTGATCTAGTCAAAAGAAGATTACAGATGGGATGGGGGACTAGCATGTACTCGGTGTTGAGAAATGTGATCAAAATAGAAGGAGTTTCGGGCCTTTATAAAGGCTTTATTCCTGCTGTGTTGAAAAGTGCTCCTGCTACGGGAATATCCTTGTTCTGCTATGAATTCTTCATTGGAGTCTTTAAGAAGTTTTAATGAAAGCAGACAACATCAAAGTAAAGTTATGATGGCATAATGGCTTTGCATGGAAATACTGATAAATAGAATTACAATCCAGTTCAATTCTTACAATTCCATCGAGACTCGTCGGGATATTAATATACAGACTCTATGACAATATACACAGAAAATAATTAATTAGTATAGATAATCGCTCATGTATCCCTCATCGCCAAACATTCCGTTCCATTTCTCGAACTCGACACCTAAATCACCCTTAAACCTCTTTTTCATTTCAGAATCAATAAGCTTTGCGTAACTCCAATCAAGAAAATCTTCCATGTTGTAGCTATATTTAGTAAAGTGCTGAGTGAAAATCTTGACTAGAGCAGAGACATTCGGATGGTAGTGATTAATCATAGCCTCCAATTCCCATATAGAAGACCCAAGAGCTTCCGTTTTAGAAGGATCCGTTTCGTTTTCATCAAATGGATCGACATAGTCGGCGTCTTCCTCAGCCGTAGTGGTCGAATGAATCAAAAGCATGCATGTGGAGTGTCCGTGTTTTCTGATCAAATTGTATATGAAGGGAATGACACAAATTATACTTGATGGAGGAGCAGTAAGACATAATCTTGCTAATCGCTTGATAAAGGATGCAACTATTGAAGCCGGAAGATGTGTAGAAGACATGAACAAATCTAGTAAACGGAAGAAACGTGATTTTTCATTCAAATGAAGTAGTTCCGGAGTGAGGATGGCGTAAAGGTTGGTGTAGAAATTTGGATAGTCAAGGTTGTATGATTTCATTAATTCCCAAAGACCATTCAAGGCCAAAATGGATAAAAGACCATCTTTAGTTTTGATTCCCAATGTGTATGAAGCAGTAAGAAAATCCATGAGCTTTTGGGCATCACCAAAAAATGGTATGATTCTTTTATGTAATATAGCTAGTGCCGATGAATATTCCTTTTTGCCCAAGTGTTGTAAATTCAAAGCTCCAATCCATGTTTTTTCAAAATTGTTTCGGAAAGTGTTTACACTGTACATTGTATTTTGAGGTGCATTCTTCACCCAGACAGGAATTTCGGTGATTCCTTCCTTATTTTCCACATCATACACAGGTGCAGACTTGGTCAAAGCCACCAATTTCGAAAATACCAATCTATGTCCAATTTCTGATTCTCGAAGATCTTCCTCAATATGAGGCAGTTCACTGAAAAAATAGAACTTTAGGTCCCAATACTTCTCAAAATAGGTTTCTTTGAATTCCAGAAGCAAATAATCATTGGCACAACTATCTTCCTCATTGATGCTCAATTCGTTACCACTCAGTAATAACATTTGGAGTATTTTACGATATCTCGATGTTGGGAAATACGCTTCATCAATAGATGGACCCAAATATTTGGCCTCATCTTGAATCAAGTTCATGAGATTTTCAAGGGCGTCAATCTTTAACGTAGCTATGCTTTCTGTGAAATGTTCAATAGACCATAGGTCAAATAATTCTTTTTGAAAAGATTCATATTTTGATATTAGCCACTTACGCACTGTTTCCTCTTGTTCTGAAATCCCTTTAAACACTTTTAATAGTCTTTTACTAATCAAGTGGCTGAATATTTTGTATAAATAGTAGATCAAACCTCTTGCTATGTTCATGAAGTTACTGGCCATTTCCCGTTGATTCTCATCATTTATCTGGGAAACCACCATGTGCAGGCTTTTAAGCAATCTGACCAACTTGTTATAGTTTTTAGGCGACTCTTCAATGCTTTTTCTGATAAGCTCAAATTCCTCCAATGTTCCAATTTCATTCTTGCTTTCTTGCTTTGTCGATTTGCTGGCAGATCTTTTTTCTTTTGTCGAAGCCTTGCTAGGAACTTTCACTTGCTTCTCTGGTATCTTCCCTTTTTGCGAGGTAGATTTCGCCTTTTTCGTCACCATTTGTGGCGTCCCTTTTTTAGCTGCCATTTTGATCGAGCTGTCGTCAACGGTCACTAATTGTCGTAGCTTTGCTCACTACTTTTAAGAAGACAAAGTTTTGGATACTCTCTGTCAGAAAAATTTGAACAAAAAAATTCCAAACGGAAAAAAACCTCCTTGCACAGCCAACTTTGTTTTTGAAAAGTTCGCAGTGAAGTAAATAGAAACGCCGGCTTTCTGAAAAAACTATAAAAGAAGCTCTCTCGCTGTCTTTCTTTTTCAATCTCTACAACCTACATCCGTCGGCATTCTTTTGAATGTCGTCATTTCTTCGTATGACCTTCCTAGTTTTTTACTATACATGATGAAAACTAGGTGTTGTCTGTTGACACATCCGGCATCCCTCTTCGGAAGTGCTGTCTTTATGGCAGCCGGGATGGTATGGGTGACTGCGTTTGGCACAAATTTCTTGTTACATAAAACGACGCTTTCATTTTGTACATTCTGACCCCCACTCAATTCTTCAGCCATAATAAGCTGTTGAACAGGAATGGTTCATACCCTTTTCCGAGAAGTTCTCGGAATTGCTTTTTTTTCATAATAAAATTACTTTTTTCATGGATATGCACGTCTCAGGTAGGTGGTGAGATCTGGTTTTAATATAACTGGAAGAGTATCTTACTCATCTGTATGGATTGTGCTAAAGCGAAACAGATTTATCCTTTTTGGGCTGTAAGCTATAGAAACTGTTGATTGCAGAAATTCCACCTGCAATTTTCACAAAAGGGGCTTCTGTTTCAAGAGGCTCTCGTCTAGCTTACATTAGAATCAGCAAAGTTTACTTCAAAACTGTAAATTATCTATAAACGCCTTGCTACTACTCATCATCGACATTGATTTCGGGGATTTCAAAATCTGATCCAATATCTTCTTCACTTTCGTCCCTTTCGGAAAGAGCAACATCATCATCGGCAGCCATTTCTGTCTGTTCTGCAACATCATCTGCGAGTGATGATTGCGGATGATTGCTCTCTTCCTTCAACTCATCTTTTAACCTTTTCAAGATATCTGTAGCCTCCTTCTCATTGCTAAAGACTTGATCTTCGTCTTCGGTATGCTGTTTCTTGGTTTTTCTGGTATCCACTAGAGAATCGCCTTCTGCAGCTCTTTTTTCACTTACGGAACCAGGGATTGGAAACTCACCTTTCTCAAATTTTGCAGCTTCCTCCATTTCTTCTTCTTCAGTGTGAGCAGCTTCATTATTTTCAAAACTTGAACCGCTTATTTTCTTTTGCAATAAAGGAAATCTAGGATTGGTGAGCAAACTAAAAATAGGACTTTGCGAACCGATCAGATTGGCAACCATAGGAATGATGGAGATACTGTTGTTTGCCTTACCAGGGAATAGTAAAGCGTTTTCAAGTAATTGGAGGACCTGTTTTCTTTCTACTCCGTGCTTACCCATCTTTGCTGCATTCACGTTAGCAACTGCATCAATGATGACAAAACGTAGAACCAAACTTAACTTACCAGGAGATAGCTCACATTTTGTTAGCAACACATTGAAAAATCTTCTCAACACATGTAATGTTGTTGCAGAAGGTGGATGTTCAAAGAGTTGCTGATGCGACAAAATGTCTGACAATGAAATCGCAGATTTGTTCTTCGAGACCTTTTTGCGACTACCGTTGCTGACGTTGTCCTTAGCAGTGTTTTGGTTCTCTGTCGGAATAGTTGGCTCTCTTGTTTCTTTCAAAATCAGCGCAGCTTCTAGCAACCTACCCAACACTGTCATATCATTAAACCTTTCTGTTAGTGAAAGGTATGATGAAGCGGTCTGTAAAATACGGTTGATAAGTGATTCTTGTTCGTAAACTGCCTTTTTATCAACCTTGATTTTGCCTCTGTAGGTCTGCACTGGAATTGCAGCATCAAGTAAAGCCAAAATGTCATACATGTGAGGATACAGTTCTCCAGGAAACTTTTCGGCAAAAGCTTGTAGTATTTTGATACCGGAAAGTTTAGCTTCGGAAACAGATTGTTCAATCAATTCACGCGTAGCTACATCACGAATATCTCTTTTCACTGGAGTGTAATTAAGGTTGAGCCCACCGAGAATTTCTGCAATGGAGAGGTAATTACCAAAAGGAACAGTGATTGCGCTTGGTGTCGTAATTTCAATGTAGGCCAACAATAAATCACTCAAAATCTCAATCCTTTGGGAGACCTTGAAGATTGCAATTGGAGTTTCATTGATGTCAATAGAAAGGGAACCAAATATCAGTTTAGAGTTTGCCATGTTTTCTGGTAATTTAGGCAAACTGTCAAACTTCACAATATATTCAGTGTCATTTGAAAGTTCCAAAAAGGCTTCGTATATAGAGATCACTGATTTGAGCTCCAAAATAACAGCATCAACGTTCTCTTTCCAGGAACTTGCTTGCTTCTCTCTTGAAAGGATGAATGATACCAATGCTAAGGATTTTAATACCATAGAGCGCAGATCAGAACCTATTTTGGACCAGTTATCGCCGTTGTTCAAAAGGTTTTTTAACGCAGTTTCCAACTTAGATCCAAAAGGTCTGAAAGTAGTGGTATTGGTAATCAAAAGCTTGGCCAATACAGGGATTGCGCTTTCAGGAATCAACACGATAGTTTCGATAAGAGATCCGATGATGCCAGGTAATTTTGGGGTAAGAACTTCTCTTGTCAAGGTAGGCTTCCCTCTAATTTGATCAAGAACAAAACCAAGACAGTCTGCTGTACTTCTCAAAGTCACGAGCTCTCTTTGACCTGGGTTTTCATAGTTTGCAATGAAGCATTTGGAATCCAAAATCTTAACAAGGGCCGAAATTACATTGGTGGTATGGTTAGAGAGTAAAAGCACTGGATGGGTCAAACTTATAGTTATAAGTTTTGTCGCCTTCCAACGAATAAAGCTATGGTTCGATTTCAACAAGGTGGAAATTCTAGTCAATAAAGTCTCTTGATTTACAGCTGATGCCGAATTGATTATGGAAGGATTGGCCAATAATTTAAGCAAAAGCGATAATGGCACATCTCCTAGAGCATCCTCTTGAATGTAAGGCAAAATAGTCTGTAAGGTTGGAATCATCTTTGTCCAAAGCCGTACCTTTACTTGATTGTACAAGACCTCCTGAATCCATGAACTTAAAGGTGAAAAGTAGTGAAAAATTACCAGATCGAAAAAAAAAAATTGGAACATGTTGATACCGTTTCTCTGGTCAAGTGCGCTTCTGCAAGGATGATAAAAAATGTTTCACCATAAAAGGAACTTCAAATCAAAAAATTTGCATCTCAGAGCTAGGTATTAAGCATTTAAATTTACTGAAATCTCTTTGAAGCTCGCTCAACCAGAAAGTGCAACATTTGATAATGTCTGTCGTTGCAAAACAGAACCTGTTGAATCAGGTTGATGGTTCAGCAAGTTTTCAGTTCTCCTCCACAAAGGTCATTTCTTCCGTGACCGGTCCTATTGAAGTTACCAAAACCCGGGATGAGATACCAACTCGAGCTCATCTTAGTATATCAGTAAGGCCAGCAACTGGTGTGCCAACCACCAGGGAAGCATTTCTTGAAAGCAAGCTGAAAAAAATAGTGTCTTCAATGATAAACATGGAACAATACCCGCTTTCAGAAATACAGATAGTGGTACAAGTCTTGGAGACTGGGGAAAGGGAACAATTTACTTGCAAAGAGCTATCATGTGCAATAAATTCTGTTTACTTAGCACTTTTGAATGCTGGAATATCGTTGAAATCGAGTTTTCTAAGCTCATTTTGCATTTGTAAAGGTGACAATGTTATTGTGCGTCCCACAAAGGATGAGCTAGACACTTCCACTTCACATCATGTTGGCGTGTATTCCATAGTTGATGGGAAGGCTGATGAATTGCTATACAGTGACTCCCTTGGCTACACTTCTGAGAGTGAGCTTTTTACTGCTCTTACAGCAATATCGGGGGATGTAAACAAAATCAATGAAACCATAAGAGATGCGGTTCTCAACTCTGTGGTAGAAGACTATGTCTGGAAATTTTGAATAGTTTATGTATAAGGAAAGAACTGTAATACTATATTAGCCTCACGTCAAATTCAAACTACTTAAAAAATTGAAAGTTTAGCTCTTTGGCGACTGTATTAGAGTGAATAAAAATTTATAGAACAAAGTGTAGAATATATCAGACACAGGGGTTTTATGGAAAAATCATAACTTGAGCTTTTCCAAGTTTGCAATAGTTTTTTCGAAACCTTCGATTTCAGCAATGGTCTTTTCCTTGGATTGCATGTTCTTCTCCTTGGCAACATCAGAAGCCTTGGACTCATAATCTGATGAGCTCATGATCTTTTCTAAACCAACCAAAGCTCCCTTAGACTTTTCCAGCTTCTTGGAAAACTTGGCAACCTCCTTGTCGATGTCAATCATACCCTTCACCAATAAGTGGACATTGACTTCTGGAGATACAGATGTCAAAACACAACCAGATGGAATTTCCTTTATGTCAGAAACAACATTTACTTTTTGGACAGCCTTAATCAAGGAAACAATTGAATCTTTTTGGGAATCAGCAATGTTGAAGAATTTCTTGTTGGCGGATTCGACAAAAACGCTTCCGTCTTTAGTGATACCATACTGGGACAATAAAGATCTTGCACCTTTAGTGATTTCCAAAACCAACTCATAAGCATCTTCAGCTTCCTTATTATCATATTCCTTGACATAAACCGGGTATAGAGCTTTGACAATAGTTTTGCTGGTTTCAGTAGCTCTCTTTGGTAATCTTTGCCACATTTCCTCGGTGATGAAAGGCATGAATGGATGTATCAATCTCAAAGCGCCATCAATACACGTGTACAAAGTATCTCTTGCAGATTTCTTTTGTGCTTCGGTCCCCTCCAAAATAAGGAATTTGGAGTTTTCGATATAGACATCACACAAATCATACAACCAAAAGTTGTAAATAGCCTGCGTGGATTCGTAGAACTCTCTTTTTTCAAATGATTGATTCATTTTTTCGGCAGTCTTAGTCAACTTGTGTAAAATCCACTGTTCAACCAAAGACTCCTCACCAGACAAACCTGCCTTTGCTGGTGGAACATAATCATCACCTAATCTCATCAGAACAAACTTAGTAGCCTGGAAGATCTTGTTACAGAATTTACGGTATCCTGCAACTCTCAAGATATCTAAGTTGATATCTCTACCACCAGTAGTGTAAGCACATAATGCAAATCTCAATGCATCTGTACCACATTGTGGAATACCATCTGGGTAGGATTCCTTTTGACCGGATTTAGCCTTTTCGATTTCCCTTGGATCCAAGTTACCCATCAACAATTGTGCGTTCAAATCTTCTAAAGAAATACCAGCAATAACATCCGATGGGTTGACAACATTACCTAAAGATTTGGACATCTTTCTACCCTGAGCATCACGAACCAAAGAATGACAGAAAACCTCTTTGAATGGGGATTCTCCTGTTAACTTTAGACCTAACATGACCATTCTAGCAACCCAGAAGAATAAGATATCCCAGCCGGTTTCAAGCATGGACATCGGATAGAACTTAGCAAAATCAACGGTCTTTTCAGGCCAGCCAAGAGTTGAGAAAGGCCATAAACCAGACGAAAACCAGGTGTCTAAAACATCTTCATCTTGTTGCAGAGTATACTTTTCACCTGGATACAGCTTATCAGCTTTAGCTTGTGCCTCCTCAAGGCTTCTACCCGCAACCCAGTTCTTGGAGTTGTTTGGATCAACTTCCTTACCTTCTATTTGGACCAAATAGACAGGGCATCTGTGACCCCACCATAATTGTCTAGAAATACACCAATCTTGAATGTTTTCCATCCATCTATAAAATTCCTTTTCAGAGGTTTCAGGGGTGATAGTCAAAGCACCGGTCTTAACTGCGTCAATAGCAGCGTCAGCCATGCTCTTCTGGGAAACCCACCATTGTGGCTTGAGGTAAGGTTCGATGATATCACCAGATCTTGAACAAATAGGTAAGGTCATTTCATGACCCTCCTGATCAACCAAGAGGTTCATTTCCTTTAACTTTTCGATAACGACTTTTCTTGCATCAAATCTCTTCAGTCCCTTATATTCACCACATTCTTCGTTTAGCAAACCATTGTCAGTGAAGATGTTGATAAATTCCAAACCGTTTCTCTTACCGGTAAGGTAATCGTTGTTATCATGACCGGGAGTGATCTTAACAGCACCAGTACCAAACTCCATATCAACGGCATCAGCATCGGTAACAATTGGGATCTTTCTGTCACTGAATGGGTGCTTGACGAACTTGCCATGCAAGTGTGTGTATCTTGGATCCTTTGGATGCACAGCCACACCTGTGTCTCCGAAAATAGTTTCAGGACGAGTAGTGGCAACAACCAATCTTTCATCAGACCCGACAACAGGATAAGCAAAGTGGGTTAAGACACCAAATTCAACCTTCTCATCATATCCTGGGATAGACAGAAAAGTGTGACCAGGGACAGTTTTGTTTTCAACTTCCAAGTTAGACAAAGCAGTGTTAAGCTTGACACACCAATTGACCAATCTCAAATCTCTGTAGATAGTTCCGTCATCAAATAATTTGACAAAGGCATCGTTGACAGCAGCAGTTCTCTGTGGATCCAAAGTAAACACTTCTTTAGACCAAGCGTAGGAGGCACCCATGCTTTCAAATTGGCCTCTAATTTTTTGGTGGTAAACTTCTTTCCATTCCCAGATTTTCTCCAAAAACTTTTCTCTACCGTAGTCGTGTCTGGTTTTACCTTCCTTAGCCATCACAGTCTTCTCAACAACCGACTGTGTTGCGATACCTGCGTGGTCGAAACCTGGAAGGAACAACGTAGTCTTGCCTTTCATTCTGTAGTATCTGATCAATGCATCTTGAATCGAAACAGTCAACGCATGTCCAATGTGAAGAGCACCGGTAACATTAGGAGGTGGTGCAGGAATGGAGAAAACACCCTCTGGCTTGATTTCACCGTCCTCTGTGAACTCAGGCTCAAAGAAACCTTCCTTGACCCACCAATCGTACCAGGATGATTCCACCGACTTAGGGTTGTATGAGGAGAAAGAAGGATCCTCCAAACTTACCAAGACCTTCTTCTCACCAGGAACAGTCTTATCAACGAACTCTGGGGCAACTTCCTTTTCTTGCTTCTTCTTCTTCTCCTTGTTCTTGGCAGCGTTCTTGGCAAGCTGTTCCTGCTTGGCCTTCTTGGCCTGGAACTTGGCCAATTTTTCGGCCTTCTCCTTTTCTTTCTTCAATTCTTTCTCGGTTTTCACCTTTGGAGCCCCCTCAGCAGGGACAGCTGGGGCGGCGTCCTGTGGGTTTATTTTGGCGGTTTCCTCAGACATTGCAGTAGGAAATGTAGAAAATAAAGATCTCTGTCTAGATAAAGCTAGTGGTTTCAGTTGATAGGCAGGGAGTCTTTTATAAAAACACCTAACAAATAGCATAAACGGCTAGCGGCCTAGAACTGGGGAAATCAATGTTGTGCAACACAAAGAGGATACCTATACAAAAGAATAGAGCCACTGGCGTTGGACGAACGAGCAGGGCAGGCCATCCGAGCCGGGTCTGATCTTACATCATCTGGTCCACAAGCTCGTCCGTCACCTTGAAAGTGAGTCAACGACGTGAATCGCTGAAAAAAAAAAATGGCCGTGCAAGGCCGTTTTATCATCGACGCGACGCTTTTTTTCTGCAACATGTTTCTGTCTATTTCGTTTTGCCGGTACTTGTTTAACCCCTAAGACAGTTAAGGACAGGAGAAACAGAAAAGGGGTGAATATCAACAGAAAAAACACGCTTCAGCTACATGAGTTTAGCAGATACTCTTCTCGGTGACCTTTCCGAAGATGACTTTGACGTGGAGGTGGGGGAAGACGTGGACATCGACGACATAGAAGAGGCAAACTCTGGAGTAGAGCGGAATGTGCAGGAGCTTCTGACGGTTTCGAATATGGATATTATTTCGTCCGTCGAGGAGTACGTATCAATACTGCCGAAGCTTAAGTTTTTGGAGGAGAAGCTTGACAGAGAGGAGGGCAGTGGTGGCGGACAGGCGATCATTTCTGAGACAAACAGCATGATAGCGGAAATCAACAGCAACTTCAACACGTTGCTTTCGTTTGTGAAGCTCACGTACAATTCCGTCTGGCCCGATCTTGAGAACATCATCAAAAACCCGTTGTACTTCATACGGGTGATCGAGATTCTGCGCTTCGACATCTCCAGCTTCAAGGAGCACGCAGAAGACGAGGCCTTCAGCTTCCTCCCGAAGGACTTGATTCTGTCGTTGACCATGTCGGTGAACTTCCTGCTGAAGTCGAAGCAGTCGAGGGTGCCTAGTGAACACGTTCAAGGTTTGGTGCTTGAAGCGTGCCGGGTGATGACATACATCAACGAGTTGCAGCTCAAATTCCGGGCATTCATCACTACGAGAGTGCAGAACATCGCACCCAACATCACTGCCTTGGTCGGCACTACGGTTGCCGCACAGCTGATAGCTACGGCAGGGTTGGAGTCTTTGTGTACCATTCCGGCGTGCAATATCCCCTCTCTGGGCAAATCTGTGAACAGGAGTGCTTTGGGCTATGTGTATCAATCTGATCCGGTCAAAAATGTCTCTGACGATTTCAAGAAGCAGGCGGTAAGGCAGGTATGTGCTAAAATATCGCTTTCCGCCCGGATAGACCGTTCCGTGTCACAGACAGGAACCTCAAATGGCACACATGGGGCCAGGTGGAGAGACGAAATCGAAAAAAGACTAGAAAAGATGATGTCTCCGCCGGACAACGTCCAGATCAAGCCGTTACCCAAACCTGTAGACATGAAGTCCAAGCGCCGGGGTGGCAGAAAGTTCAAGAAAATGCGCCAGCGGATGAAGATGTCTGAGGTCGAGAAGGCGCAGAACAAGATGGCCTTTGGTGAGCAAGAGTTGACCAAGATAGACGCTTTTGGAGAAGAAGTTGGTCTCGGTATGTTAGGCAAAACGTCTATCCGTGATATCGAGGGTGTGCGGGGTGTCCACGTGACGCAGGGCGCACGGAAAGCCGTGGACAAGTTTACTTCCGGTGGGGCACACGGGAATGCTGGGGACGATACTGACAAGCTAGTAGCTATATTGGATACGAAGTGAGACAGAAAAGCCTTCTTGGAGGAGAACCGGTGGAACAAGGGGGAACAAGTGGCTCAATCGTGATCCCGGAGGTCCAATTAAGCCAAAGAGGGAAAACGTAAATATTTGAAATTTCCCGATTAGGAAGGCGAGAAAGCGAGTTTGCTGTGAAGCGCTGTTTGGATCGTGGAGGATGTTGTCAATAGTTCTGCACTTGTCTTCGACGTAAGGTACTTCCTTTTCGCTTTGTGTGTTTCCACGCAGGTACTCCGACACGATCGACCACTCTTAGAGACAGAACACTAACATCAACGCAAACAATGGCGCTAATGAACGGAATATTTAGTCGTCCTCAGAAGGACGACTCGCAGTACGTGGACGATTTGTCCAGAGATGTGGAGAGCCTCAACTTCGGAGCTCCTTCCACACCAAAGAAGGGGTATGCGGACGGTTCATTTATGCAGATATGCTCCCCCGACAGAAGTCCACAGTACCAACAACAAAACGCGCAATCCTCGCCAATGAACTATGGAATAAACAACAAAGAAAACACACCAAGTTCTTCTCCCAGCAAACTGCAGATGAGATCAAACAACCTGTTCCAGACTTCAAGACTAGACAGAGCTTTTTATACCAAGGCAAATTCGCCTAAAACCAAAAGATTAGTGACTGTATGCCAGATGTATTTTCTCGACTATTACTGTGACATGTTCGATTATGTGATTAGCAGACAGCAGAGAATTCAGCAAGTGGAGAGCTCTTTGAGTACCTTACCACAGGAGGAGAAATCTCTACAATGGAGAAACTACATTGGCCGCGAGCGTGCATTTCTGAGAAAGAGACGTATCAAGCCCAAGCATAAAGATTTCGACATTATTACACAGGTTGGTCAAGGAGGTTATGGTCAGGTTTTCCTGGCTAGAAAGAAGGACACAAAGGAAATCTGTGCCTTGAAGGTCTTGAACAAGAAATTACTCAGTAGGACAGATGAAACAAGACATGTTTTGACAGAAAGGGATATCCTCACAAATACAAGATCGGAATGGCTAGTTAAACTTTACTACGCTTTCCAAGATGCCGAAAGTCTTTATATGGCAATGGAATTTGTCCCCGGTGGTGACTTCCGTACACTATTGAACAATGCAGGTTATTTGAACCCCCACCATGCCAGATTTTACATTTCAGAGATGTTTGCCGCAGTCAATGCCTTACATCAATTAGGATATACACATAGAGACTTGAAACCAGAAAACTTCTTGATTGATGCTAAAGGCCACATCAAGTTAACTGATTTTGGTCTTGCAGCAGGATCTGTATCGACAGATAGAATCGAGTCAATGAAGTTGAGATTGAACCAAGTGAAGGACCTGGAATATAAACCAAAAGAAAGATCGGTCAGTGAGCGTCAACAATTGTACCGTTCGTTGCGTGCGAAAGATATTCATTACGCACATTCTATTGTTGGCTCACCAGATTACATGGCGCTTGAGGTGCTGGAAGGAAAACCATACGATTATACGGTAGATTACTGGTCTTTAGGCTGTATGCTCTTTGAAACCATTGTCGGTTATACTCCATTTTCGGGTAGTTCATCTGACGAGACTTACGGAAACTTGAAGAGGTGGAAACATGTGTTAAGAAGACCACGATATGACGATGGCAGATACGTGTTTAGCGACAGAACGTGGCAGTTCATCACCAGATTAATTGCATCACCAAATGACAGACTAAGATCTTTCAAGCAGGTGATTGAAATGCCTTACTTTTCCGATATACACAACTGGGAAAGCTTGAGAGAAACTGTGCCTCCATTTATACCACAATTGGACAACGATGAAGATGCTGGTTATTTCGATGACTTCGAAAATGAGGCCGACATGGCTAAATACAAAGATGTCATTGCTAAAAGAGCACACGATGAACGCATCGCCCAAAATAGTGTCAGGGCAGACCAGAAGAATTTTGTAGGATTTACCTTCAAGCACAAAGGAAATCCTGGAATCAATCCTAATAACATTCTTGCACCTATAATCTTGAATGGTAGAAGCGATGATAGAAATGGTTATGGTCGTTATAATTCACCATTCAGTACTTTGTACTAAGTTTTGTTAATCATATTACTTGTTTTGTATGCTGTTTTTTAGTTCGATGTTTTTTTACGTAGGTTATATTGTCTTTAGTTTCGAAATTCTTATAATATTTTGCATGCTATTCATAGCAGGTGCTCAATTTCTTTGAAGCAAATTGTTAGCGTTTTTATTAGGGGAAAAAAAAATATCGCACGGTAAAAGTAAATTTGAAAATAATTCGGTTCACGTTATGTTTTATATATCGTGAATATTAGTGATATAGTTGAACTGTAATTGGAGAAAACTGCTTATTCTATCTTTCAACTGAGATGAAGGTTCTTGTACTAAACCCGCTACCAACAGAGGTAGAGAAATCTGTGAACATAGTCAACAAGCAAAATGAAAAAGCTGGTCCTTTTGATTTTTCACTTTTCCTAGGAGATGTGTTTTCAGATAAGGAGACGAATAGTGATATTCTAGAGCCACAGATCCCAATTTATTTCAGTGAAGGAGAGAAAGAGTGTTTAGTGCCGAAAAACTTATCAGAAAATTTTCTCTATTTGGGAAAAATTGGGACATACAAGCTTGTCAGTGGTTTAAAAGTTGGGTATGTCTATGGAAGTTTGGAAAACCACACTGCCGAACAAATTGCTGATAAATTCAAAGGAAAAGAAGTGGACATTATGCTAACTTATTACTGGCCAGAGGCAATTGCTAAGGAAGAAAACCTTGTTCTTTGTGGTAACAAAAAGCTAGACAGTTTAATTAGTATCGCCAAACCTAGATACTGGTTTGCTTCAGGAACACCAAAGGGAAGATTTTTTGAGCGAGAGGCATATTCTATAGACGGAAGAACAACAAGATTTATAAGCCTGGCAACTATGAATGAGGGAAGGTGGTGGTATGCTTTTAAAATTTCAGTGGACCCTGCTGATGATAGCGTGGTTAAAACGGGTTCTCCTCCCAAATTAATCTTGGATGACAATGTTGTGAGAGTCAATAAACGACCATACAACGAAGACGGACCTGTGCTAAAGAAAATTTCCCGGGAGAAATTGGATACTGCCTCTGTTACACCTGCAGAATGTTTTTTGTGTTTAGCAAATCCAAATTTTGAGCTACATATGGTCATTTCGGTTGCAAACTTGAGTTACCTTACCATCAGCAAAGGACCTTTGACACTGAAAAAACCTCTTGGATTCTCGGGACATGGAATGATTGTTCCAATTGAGCATTATTCCACTCTTCGTGAGTACGTTCAAGATAAAGAAGGCGAGACAAAGGTAGAAAATTCCGAGCTTGTTTCTGAAATCACTCGTCTCCAGGTCAGCCTAGTAAAGATGTTCAGAAACCTTGGTGATTTTGCAGTAGTGTTTTGGGAAATATCAAGGAAACGTAGTGTGCATTGTCACTTACAATTTGTTCCTGTGCCGAATAAACTGGCCAAGTTTTTTGAACGAACTTTGAAAAATCAGATAGAGTACGATAAACGGCTTTATCCAGAGCCTCTCCGCTACCATAAATTCACGGAAGATTTGAGTGATAAGGATAAACTAAGCCAGACAATCAACAGTGAAAATTATGTTTTATTTACATTACATGAAGATACTGGAGTCACTAAATACTTGATTGCATTGGGGACCGATGATGACAAGTATTTCGATGCCCAGTTCCCCCGAAAGGTGATGGCTGTGCTACTCAACTTGAAGAACAGAATACGTTGGGATAAATGCACCGAAACGAAGGAAGAAGAAAGCATACAAAAAGATAAGTTCCAACAGGCTTATAGACCATACGACATAATGCTTTCGAACGAATAGTTGTGTAATGTAATGTAATGTATTTTTATAATGATATACCTAGTCGCCATGAAAAGACGCATAGAATTCTCCTTTTATCCTTTAATTAGAAGCATAAATATGCTATAAATGGTAACCTATCATCTTCTTTGCTGGGAATATATATCTTTGTTATTAAGATGTTCCATGCAGGTTGTTTTCTGGAAAGAACCTGTTCAGATGGGAAAAGGAAGGATTACGTAAAAATCTCAAACCGGAAATCTCCCTTACAAAATTACCTATCAACATGAATCATCCAGTTTTACGTGTATATTTTAATTGCAAACGGAATTGAAGATATTCAACGACGGAATTCAATTCAATGGACTGAAATGTCAGAAATAGGCGTTCTCACTGACGTCATTGATGAGATTCATGAAGCAGAAAGGCTGTTGAATCCAGGGGATATTCCAGATAGGGCCCTTTTTAAACACGTGAGGATACTATGGCAACTCCTTCTTGGAATAGATGAGACACGGTTTGATTCACATAACTACGAAGTTTTTGAACTTAAATTTACAAATGATGGAAGGAGATTTATGGGACTTACTTATCTTGGCTCAGACAGGAATTTAGTGAACGAGAATTTGGGAAATGCGGTGGGCTTCGCATCAAAATCGTTAGAGATAGTACAGCTGTTAGACGAAGAGGATAGTGATGATGGCCAAGAAACATCGGTAAGCTTCAAATTATCGTTACTGAACAAGATCCGATATATTTTGTTTGAACATCATATGATGGTTAGAGAGTTTTTCAATGACGATGAGGTCAAATCTCACATTGCGTCGTTCATTCGTGATGATATCCCTTATAGTACCAACGAGTTGAGGGTATCAATGAACTCGAACAATCACGTTTTGAACACCTGTTATCAAGAATGCCTTGAATCTCTTCTACTTCAAAAAGATTATACGATAGATGAGGTAGCTAAAGGTGTGTTCCAGCTGTTCAAACACAAAGCCGGAGTTGCCTACTTTTTTGACTTCAACATGGTATCCAAGTTTCACAACCAGATGATTGCTCTTTTGAAGAGATCTTTCCGTGGCCATGATTTTGTCAACGAAGAAATCGAGGATTTTTTTAGGCATAATCCTATTCTTCCGGTTCTGAAACCATTATACAGAAACTTTGCGCTACAAGTTATCAACAATGATATGAAGGACAAACCATCACAAATTGAGAAAAATGATGATAAGTTGATAGTGAAGCTGAACATCGAGTTGCTAAAGCAGATCTTGCATGAAGTGACACAAAAAAATAACAGCGAGCTTGAAGACTGTCCCATAACTATGAAGTGGTTTCCCCAAATCATCCAGTATTATTCTGACTCATTAATGAGCGAAGGAGTCACGAATGTTGAGAATGATCTTTACATTACAATGATAAAGAAAGCCGCAATACGGTGGATCGATAATGAAATAGACACTGGCTTGTTTGTTGCACAACTCAGCGATTTGTCATTGATTCCAACAGCCATGCCTTATTTATTTCAGGGAGTTCTGTTTCCTACAGTCCATATGCGAATGGCACTATACACGGTTAAAGAAAACATTCGGTTATATGAAAAATATTTTGATCTCTGGCATGCTTGTACAATACAAAAGACTTCTCTTGAAATGAAATTTGATCAATGGCTGAATATTGTTGCCAAAACTTACATTGGGAAATGGAGAACGAAGCTGACTTTGAAACAACAAATAAAGAAAATAGATACGTATCCATTACGCATGACCAGATTGCGTGGTTTTTATGAAACGTGGAAACTGAAAACGATATGCTTGAAGAATAACGAGAAAGTTGCAGAACTCAAACGTTGTAAGAAGTATTTTTTGTTATGGCGAACATCAACGAAGAGTTATCAAAAGCAATTGAACATGGCACAAAAGTACAATGATAAAATTTTGACTAAAAGGTTTTTAACTTTGTGGATGGCCGCTAAAGTTTGTAGATTTCCTGAAGTCCTGAACAAATTTGCTGTGATTCGAAGATCATTGTATTTTAAATTATGGATCTTATTCCAATCAGAATTGAAACATAATGTTTCTAAAGCTGCTCAGTTTGAAAAAAGCCATATCTTTACTAGGTATTTTCAGCTATGGAAGACAAGGTCGGCAAGTTCGATCAGCAGGTTGCAAGATTTAAAGAGGGCTGAGTATGAGTTCACACTGAAAAAGTCTTTTCAAAAATGGAAATTGCAGATACATTTCCTAGTTTTTGAAAGAGACTTTCAAGTCCACTCCAACGAGATGTTACTACAACGCTATTTTTCTCAGTGGAGGAACTTCAAGAAACTGGTAGATAACGAAAACTTGGCCCTAATTCGTTCTAATTCAAATAAATTGCTATCTTTTTTTATTACTTGGAAGCGGGCGTTCATTATGAATCAGCAAGCCACAAAATACTATGAAGAGAAAGTCACTCAAAGCATGATGAAGAAATGGAAACTAGAATATTATGAGAAAATAGTGGAAAAGAAATGCAGCTCTGTTTTCATGAAAGGTCTTTGGAGGAAATGGATATTGAAAACAACAATTTCTCAGTACGAGATGAGAAAGTATGATCTTTTATTAAGGAACAACTTTTCAAGGTGGTTTGAAAAGTCTATTACTTTGAAAAAAAGATTAGAAAACTGCGAAAAAACCTATCCTATTCTTAAAACTGCCAGCTATTTTGACTTCTGGAGAAAAGTTTGTTTGAAGAATCGGAAAGATGAGAAGTTTGCAGATGACTTTAGGAGACGGAAATTGGAAGAAAGTAAGAACCTTGTTATGAAATGGGCTTTCAGAGCTATTGTTGCAAAGTACGATAAGATACAGAAAAGTATTTTAGATTTACACAGTTTTGAAAGTTTTTACAGAAATCGTGAACTCAAGAAGTACTTTTCAATGCTTAAAATGAGAAAGAAAAGCCACGATTTCCATGTTGCAGATGCTGACGACTTTTACAAGGTGATTACCCTAACCAATTACTATAATATTTGGCTGTCTGAATTTGATCGGGTATCTAATTTACAAGATGTGCTTATCTCCAAGCAGGATACCGATAATGTCCATTTATTGATGCAGATATTATCTAAACTGCAGCTCAAAATGATGAAAGTTCAAACCGATTTGACCAATGCAAAAAAGTTCAGCGACCGTTGGAACAAAATCAAAACTAAGACGTTCTTTGAACTTTGGAAGCTGAAACAGAGTGCACGTAACTCACCAACGCCCACAGCTCGTGCTGGAGGTAATCAAGGTGCTACTAATAACGGGAACTCAGATTTCAAGTTAATTCCAGAGTTGAATCCTTACATTGATCTAGCTCCTCGTGATAGAGGTTCACCTGTGAACAGGCCTCCATATTTGTCGAGAATGCAATCTGTGCTGACTGGTGATGTTTCACAATACGAGATTGAGCAACAAGTGGATGGGAGAGACGAAAGTAAGGCGGAACCAACATTGCTTTTCGGATCTCTCAGTCAAACTCCTGCAAGGTTCCGCACTCCATCAGTAAGGAAGACCAGCAGTAGGATCTTGACAAATTCAGCGTTAAAGAGTTCGCCTGATACCAGTAGTATATTTACCTCTGCAGAACGTGTTCGGAAAAGAAATTTAGAGGAGAGAGTGAGTAGATATAGGTTGCTGCGGTCTCCTCCGAAAACTGGACACTATCAACTTGAAAGTGTTGAGGAATCACTTCATGAAGAACGTATTTCTCAAGACAGTTCTATATTTGATACGTCTTCTGAAAGTATTGGAAGTAGTACCCCGATCAAAAAGCTTGATATCATTGAGCTGTAGGGGAGTAGGTTTAAAATACGATAGAACATTTGATACCATTACAAAGTATATGATGTAATATATAGCTAATTAATATATATGTGATATTTAGAAATCGAAAGAGTCGAAAGGAACCTTGTAAATGATAATCTTTTGAGAGTTTGGCGTTTTGAAAATGACAAATCTATAATCTTCTTCACCACCTTCATGTTCGATGATGTCAATGAAAGACTTGACGATACCCCAACCGTTGTTAATGGATAACTTGAGTTGTTGACATAGAATGTCAACGTTGGAGGTCATTGTACCAGCAACCAGGTGGGCAGCGTTAGATTTTGGATTTTCTCTGGTGATGAAACCGAGCTTGATCTGGTTGAGTCCTCCCAGCAAAGATTGCATGGTCCATTGTGACAGTTTGTTGTTGTTTTTCTTCATTTCGTCAACGAAAATGTTACCCTGAGAACCACCGTTGAACTTTGTTCTCCAATCATTGGACTCGTATTGTAGCAGAGAGTGGATTGCGACGTTCGATGAGGCAGTATAGGTGTATGCATCGAGAGCAACACGGACGAGGATAGAAACAGAGCCTTGAGAATCGTCGTCAGTGGAGGCGCCGTTTGGAAGTTCGAACTTCACGTACTTATAACCCTTTGGAATGGCTGCAGTAGAGCTGATTGGAGAGGCTCCGCCCAAGTTGACGGAGTTCTTAGCAAGCGAACCGTCCACAAACGCGTTGGACACCTCGATGTCTTCCAATTCGAGCTTGGTTGGGTGGTTGATGTCGGACTCCTTGACGTCTGTGATTGGGGAGTTTTCATTCACTGGTATGTGGAACGTACTTTCACGCTTGTCGAAAAAGATGTTGCCACCCTTCTTGGTGACGATGACGTCCCATGAGGCTGCTGACCGTGGGGCGCACATCAATTGCGAGATGATTGCGTCGGTGATGAAGACCTTGGCCTCACCCTTGTTGGCGTAGGACTTCACGTTTGGATCGTTGCTGGTGGTCTGGTTGAAGGTGGTCTTGATGGATGGCTCAAGCGGAGTGGCGGTGTTTGTCTCGTATTTCTTGAGGTACTGGTGGATGGTGCCGTTGGAGGAGAGAACCTCTGGCTTGCCAACATCCAAGTTCAACTTGGTGAGCTTGTTGAACTCGATTTCGGCGACGGAAGTCCATGTCTCGTCCACCGTGATGGAGGCGTCTCTCAACTTCACGTCCTCGTTGTTCCACCTGTTACCCCACCTGTTGTTCCCCCATCTGGCTGCGTTCTTGACAATCGGCTGTTTCTTGGCCGATGGGTTCGATCCTACCTTCTTCTTGATTGTTGGCACCTGGTTTGGCGCAGCAGTCTGGCCTGGCACCTTCTTCACCGTGTTCGCGTTCTGGAACGGACGCTTTCTGTTTCCCTTCAAGACCGCTTGCTTGTTTCCGGCCGACGAGGCGGCGTTCTCAACGAGCGAGAAGCCCTTCTCTTCGGTTTCTGCGCCGAACAGCTTGGCTGCAGACGCCCCGTACGCGTGGTACTGGTCTCTCTTTTTCTGCAAATTGCTGTTCTTCATGGACAGCTGTTCGTCCTCCCTGGCAGACTGCCAGTCCGCAATCTTGCCCAACTTGTCGCTCTTGATGAATGGAGCGTACGGGACCCCGTTGAACTGGAGCGAGTTTGGTGTGTAGCTGCCCGGACCCCATGGGTCCTCGATCGAAGGCAATTTCGAAACGTCAAAATCCAATGGCGACATGATTGCTGTGTGTTCTTGACTTTCCAGAAGCTCTATTCCCTCTTTTGTCGTCTCTTTCGGTCTCCTCATCCTCTGTTTTTCCTCTGCTTTGATCCCAGCTGGTGAAAAATTTTAACCAACGGCCTCAGATTCATGACGGGACCCTCACCTGCAGCGCGCCCGTGCACCGGGATGGGGGGCACGCCCTCGCAGAAGCGGCAGACAGAGAGACCGGGGTGGCAAACGGCTTCTTGAGGCCTGGCACAGGAAAGCAGGAGCAGAAGAGGGTCCCAGAACGGGGGCTGAGGGTTTGAACGGATCGGTAGAGAGTGCAAAAGAGCAGACGAGAAGCCAATTGGAAGAATGGACTCGATAAATGTGGACATCACGCACTTGAAGAAGGGAGAGGTCTCGATGGGAACGTCGATCATGGCGGTGACCTTCCAGGACGGAGTTATCTTGGGCGCCGACTCGAGAACGACGACGGGGACGTACATCGCCAACCGGGTGACAGACAAATTGACGCAGATCCAGGGCAAGATATGGTGCTGCCGGTCTGGGTCGGCTGCGGACACGCAGGCGGTGGCGGACATCGTGAAGTACCACCTCGATCTCTACAAGGCGACGAACGGGAGAGAGCCGACGCCCCACCTAGCGGCGTCGATCTTCCAGGAGATCTGCTACTCAAACAAGGACGGGCTCAGTGCGGGGATCATCTGCGCCGGGTACGACGAGAAGAAGGGTGGCGAGGTGTACAACATCCCGATCGGCGGCTCGCTCCACAAGCAGGACTACATCATCGCCGGGTCCGGGTCGGCGTTCATCTACGGGTACTGCAAGAAGAACTACCGCAAGGAGATGAGCCGGGACGAGACCGTTGCGTTCATCAAGAGCTCGCTCTCGCAGGCGATCCGGTGGGACGGCTCGTCTGGTGGTGTCATCCGGATGATCGTGCTCACGAAGGAGGGCGTCGAGAGACTCATTTTCTACCCGGACGAGTACGTCGACGCGTGAGCAGCTGCGCCGCCCGGGCGTGCCCGTGCAACCTGCCTCCGCTATAATTACAGCATTAATGTATCGATCGTTAACACAGCTTTGTAGAGATAAACCGAAGAACCGGCGTGGAACACCGAAACGACGACATGAAACCGCGGCCTCGGGGGGTGGCGATTACGTAAAAGGTGTTGAGCTTTTTGGCGTGTTTCACTTCTCTGAAACACACACGCCAGCTTCCGACGGTGGCAGAACTGTTACCGGAAGTTGACCAGCAGAGGTACGGAAATGACTGTACAGCATAGTATCGATGATGACGGTGCTGTGAGGCAGCGTGCTGGAGGGCTCTTTGATAGACTTGCGCCGCACTTGAAATCACCCGGGAAATACGTTCTCTTCAACGTGTTCTCCACAAAACCGTGCGTGCCTGTGGTGCACAAACCGAAACCATTGCGCCCCTTGCTTGTGACCAGAACAACACACTACTGCGTCTTGTTTTCGCCGGATAATGTCCCGCTGGTTGCTGTTGAGATTTTCACATACTGCACCTTTTATAAGGACACCATCAATAAGCTTGTCTACGTGAGTAAGGCAGATACCACGGGGCTGGCCGGGTCTGCAGACGTGAACGTGGGCGCGTTTGTCACAGAGTATCTCAAATGGGTATGCCAGATGCCGGTCGAAGATCTTGTCAAAGGAGTGAAGCTGAAGAAAGGGCAAAAACAGAGAGATGCTGACTCCGCACAGCACGGTGCAGAGAACGGCGATGTTCCTGGCAGGATGTTTGTCTCAGAAACTGCACACGCTCTTTACGTTTTGCAGAGGCGGGCATCAGGAGACATTGACTATCGTATGCCGGCTTCTTCTCGGAAAATCGACGCTCTGGAATATCTTGCAGCGCTCGGAATAGAACCCGCTGCCCTGGCAAATGAGAACGTGCAGACCAGGCTAGTCCTGTTCACTCGTTCTGAAGGACAGTACCTCTTTCCGGAGTCGATGAGGAACCCAGACAAGCACGTACTTGATGGGAGAGCGTTGCTGAAGTGGTGGCTCAAGAATGTGGACCGTATAGCGGATGATTGGACAGGACCTGCAAAGTACCTTAACATCTTGAACTCCGAAAGCAGAGACATAATGCGTTATTTTCCTTCTTCAAGCTGGAAAATAGGCAACGTCTACGACTCTCACGGCAATACAAATGAGCCGGCAATCTACGCCATTCCACTACTACCTGACGATCCGAAGGGGAGATTTTTGGAGCACTTGGTAGTAGAAGGCCGGGCCAAAAAGGTAGAGGGTAAACAGTTCTGGCAAGAACTTGCCATTCGCCAAGAGTTTAGTTTTGGTGCTGTGGTGGGCTTGATCGGCATTTCGGGGCTGCCCAGCTACAACCTGCCCAACTGCGACCAAAACGAATACAACCTCCTTTCCCCCACGAGTTTGAACCATTTCAAGGAACTAGTCACTACTAAGGACTATTCCGACAGAAGCGACTGGGGAACGCTTCTCGAAGAGTTGCTACTAACACCAAAGTTGAAACAGTATGATATCCACGGACGCTGGGAAGGCAGACAGAGCGCAAAAAGGAAGGCTGAAACTGTTAAGCCCGTGATAAACACTTTGATGTGCGTCAGGTCCAAGAAGAAACAGAAGAGTTGAGCACGCAAACTTCAAGTCTGTTTCAATAATATTTGAACGTCTAAACCATGCTGAAAAATTACCTTTGAATTGCCTATTTTGGAAAGCAAAGGAAAATGGTGTAACCCTTGGGATCCCTCTTTTTCTCATCAGCATTTCTTTCCCAACTCTGCCTGGAAGTTTTACATCTAAGATTCCCACCCACTGGAGACTTGAACTTCTTTATAAAATTGCGACAGTTTCCTAGAATGTGTCTAGAATAATTCTGATCTTGAGTTCATCGTTTTGGATTCCCCGAGTACAATTATAACGAAATCAAGATATATACCTCAAATGAAGTTTCAAATTACAGTTCTCTCATCTCTTGTCCTCCTTCTCTCCGAGTCCGCCTCAGCGGTCACCTTGTCACACCCGCTTCCTGCTTCTACTCTCAGTACTGTTTTTGTTTCATCAACTGCTTCTTTCGCACCTTCTGATGGAGGAAGTGGGTATAGCACCGGTGAGGAGCCGATTGGTTTCAAGGTCCTTGTAGATGAAAGTGATAAAGATGCCAAACCAATTGCTTTCATCCCCATTTATGAGAATGATACCACATCCGAGGATCTCGATATTCTCTCCAAGAGAGATCCCGAAGCTGCAGCCTGGAGATGGCACAAATGGGTTCCAAACCAAGCCATCTATAAAAGGGAAGCCGTAGCTGAAGCAGCGGCAGATGCTTTTGCCAAATACCACCAGTACTTCAAAAACATTGGCGTTTTCAAAAGAGACGCCGAGGCTGATGCCAACGCCAAAGCCAGTGCCTGGAGGTGGCACAAATGGGTACCTAACCAGGCGATTTACTAAATTGCACCACCTTTCTGTTGCACTCTCAAGATATCTCTCTTTTTACATACATAAGTAGCTTCTAAACACCCATGCCCAACCTTTTCTGTATTCAGGTATCTACTCAACAAGCTTGATACATGAAACTCCTCCACGAGCTTATATTACATAAGCCAACAACCCCTCCTAGGACTAAGCCAAACTTGTTTGCTCGCCTCGCCCCTTCTTGGGAGGGACACTTTATGCCGGAAGGCCCACCACACAGATTCATCTACCGTGGATCATTGGAAGACCAGAAGCTTCGGTTGGGCTTAGTAGTAAACAAGGCGGTTTGAGGATTAAAGCGTCGACTTGGTACTTGGCTGAAACACTATAACCACGATGGCCGCGTTACAAGAATTGATTCCCGTCGTCAACAAGCTCCAAGACATTGTGACGAACACGTCCCTCACTGATTTGGACTTGCCTCTGTTGACTGTCATTGGTTCCCAGTCTGCAGGTAAATCATCGGTGTTAGAGAACATTGTTGGAAAGGATTTCTTGCCAAGAGGCACCGGTATTGTTACCAGACGGCCGTTGATCTTGCAGTTAATCCATTTGGATGACGATGATCCATTGTTAAGTAGAGCAGACTACGTTGCAGATGAGCCAAGCGAACCCTCCGAGATGACCCTTGAACAGCATCTGAGGAGCCAATCAAGCTCAAATGAGATCAACGGTAAAGCAGCAGGAAGCCCACCACCTGCTGAATGGGGTGAATTTTTGCACATTCCTGGGAAAAGGTTCTACAACTTTGATAACATTAGAAAGGAGATTGAAAACGAAACATCGAGAATTGCCGGAAAGAACAAAGGTATAAGCAGAATCCCGATCAATTTGAAAATCTACTCTCCCAATGTCCTGAACTTGACACTAGTAGATTTGCCAGGTTTGACGAAAATCCCAATTGCGGATCAACCAGTGGATATTGAGAGACAGATTAGAAATTTGATCTTGGAATACATTTCAAAGCCAAACTCCATTATTCTGGCAGTGACTCCTGCCAACCAGGACTTGGTTAACTCTGAAGCTTTAAAACTCGCAAGACAAGTGGATCCACAGGGTAAAAGAACCATTGGTATCTTATCAAAATTGGACTTGATGGATCATGGTACAAATGCCTTAGACATTTTGACCGGTAAAGTATATCCCTTGAAATTGGGTTTTATTGGTGTTGTAAACAGATCACAACAAGACATCATGTCCAGAAAGTCTTTAAATGATTCCCTAGCTGCAGAAATGGAGTTTTTCAACTCACATCCTGCGTACAAGACAATTTCTGCAAGGTGCGGTACTGCATATTTAGCAAAGGTTTTGAACAAAACTTTAATGAACCATATTAGAGAAAGATTACCAGATATCAAGGCAAAGTTGAATACTCTCATGGGACAAACCGAACAGGAGTTGGCATCCTATGGAAATTTGAACATTGTTTCCAAAGAAAACAGAAGCGGTTTGATTTTGCAGATGATGAACAAGTTTGCCACCAGTTTCATGAACTCGATCGAAGGTAACTCAAGTGAGATCTCGACCAAGGAGCTCTGCGGTGGTGCAAGAATATACTATATTTACAATGAAGTGTTGGGCAATTCTCTCATGTCAATCAATCCTTTGCAAAACTTAACCGTCATTGACATCAGGACAGCAATAAGAAACTCCACTGGTCCGAGACCTTCTTTATTTGTGCCTGAACTAGCTTTTGATCTGCTGGTGAAGCCTCAAATTCAACTACTTGAAGGACCATCCCATAGATGCGTTGAGTTGGTTTACGAGGAATTGATGAAAATCTGCCATAATTGTGGCAGCCAAGAATTGGCAAGATATCCAAAATTACATGCTAAGTTAATTGAGGTTGTGTCAGATTTATTGAGAGAAAGGTTAGGCCCAACTACAAAATACGTTGAAAGCTTGATTGAAATCAATCGTGCTTATATAAATACCAATCATCCAAATTTTGTTGGTGCCGCTACTGCCATGGCAAGTGTCGTCGAAGAAAGACAAAAACAGAAGGAGCACGAGCGTGATCACGAAAAGCATCTTTTGTTAAAGAGAGAAGAAAGCGCAACCGCTCCTGCCAAGGTTGCCAAAGCTGCTGCTTCAACTGCTGCTGCTAATGCTGGAAACGGTAGTGCTTCTGCAGAGTCTAAAGAGCATTCTGCCAAATCGAACAATAAGCCAGAGTCATCTGTTCTGGATGCCATTTCTTCTTCATCACATTCTTTGACTTCCGAGTCTAGACCTGAAAAGGAAAATTTCTTGAACTTTTTCTTTGGTAAGAAGGAGGAAGTCCAAGGAAAAGTTGAGCACAATAAAATTGCACCATTCAGCTACCCTACAGAGACCGAAAGTAGCAATCTTCAATTTCATTTACCTATAGAGGATTCTATCCAGCATCAAATGGATCAATTCCACCTGAACGAGGAGCAACTGTCTGAAAGAGAGCAGCTAGAGTGTGAGCTCATCCGTAGGTTAATTGCTTCCTATTTTTCAATCGTTAGAGAAACCATCAGAGACCAGGTTCCTAAAGCTATCATGTGTTTACTTGTCAACTACACTAAAGAGAGTGTGCAAAACCAACTGGTACAAAAATTATATAAAGAATCTCTATTTGAAGATTTGTTGTATGAAGATGAAGCATTGATACAAGAGAGAGAGAAATGTGAAAAGTTGTTGGACACATATAGACAAGCTGCAACTGTCATCAGTGAAGTTATGTAGATAGTTAGACCACATTATATTTATAAATATGTAAAATGACAAGACATGTAGAAACAAAAAGACTTATTTAAATCTTTTTCCTTCTCTGTTTTTATCAAACTCAAGGCTGTGCTGCGTATTTTCAAATCGGGGCTGTTTGTTATTTGGATCAAACATGATGGTGCAAAACATGATCAAGATAAGTAACTTATCAGGCTTTAAAGAGTTTTACAAGAAGTCGGGAATATTTTTCCTTTACCAATGACCATAGACGGGTTTTGGAAAGAAGTTAATGAGAAGATACCGCTAGAACAATACCGGGTTTCGTTTCCGGATTATATATACAGTCACTACAGCCGAAGGAGGAAATTCTTGACCGTTGGAATAGATATATTCCAGTGGATCTTTGAACACGCTAGTTTTGCAGAATCGCAATCTTACAACGGATTTCCGGAATCAGAGAAATCGGTAGCGGTGGTGATTGCCGGAATCGCAAGTAAATTGAGATATCTTATATCTTTGCCCTTGAATTTCGTGATAGTTTTTGATGGGAAAATTAAGTTTGATAAACATAGATGGGATATAGAAAACGAATCATCTAATGATATAATATTTGAGGAGAGATACAAGGATGACTTGGATAGAATACGAAAGGATGAACATATCATGAACGGGAGGTGTATAACATCATTACTGGAGCTATTGGATGCATGGAACATCAGTTATGTACACGCTCCTGGTGACGCAGAAATAGAGCTCGCTAGATTGAACAAAGCTGGAATCATTGATGCCATTATATCGAATGATGCAGATGGCTTTGCTTATGGGGCAAGTGTGATTCTCAGGAACTTCTCTAAATTTTCAAACGACAAACCCAGTACAGCAACAAAGGGTGGAATCAGAAAAGGCAATGATTACTTCGTTACACCTGTAGATGCAGAGCTCATGAAACAACTTAATCTTGACACAGACAAAATTATATTTATAGCATGTTGTCAAGGCGACGATTATTCAAAGGGTGTCAAAGGGTTGGGCATAAAGAAAGCCTGGGCTTTAGCCACAAACAAAAATGCAGATTTTGATGCCGTTCAAGGGTTGAAAGACATCTATGTCAGTAAGACTAATGATGAATACATAAAAGGAAATATGCCTTACCCTTACAGAAAGCGCTTGGTATTATTGAGTGAATATAAGACCAAGCTCATGGAACACATTGCCGATAACGGGAAAGCCTATTTTGGACGAGTCCATAGTTCTGATGTAGTACTTCCGGATGACTATGTTATTTCCAGCCATTTTTATCCACATTTTTCCAAATATTTATTTGAATTTGAGTCATTCGAGACAAACTTCAGTGAATATTCTGGTCTTTTGAACAACAAATGTTATTTTCCTTCATTACCTCAACCTCTCAGCATTGCAAAATCCATTGGCAATCGGTACGAGGTATATCGTGGAAATAGTTTAAAAGGTTTCATGTGCTTTACGGTGTTTAAAGAGCAAATAGGCTTAACTTCAGAACGGGTCAAATATACTTCTTTCCATTGGTTCCAAAGCCTCAATTATGGGAGCTTGTTGAAGTGGACCAAAACTGGAAGATCTCAAAGGGAAGGAATGGAATTTTTGGCTGAATCTTTAGGCAGGTGCTACTTATGGCGTGCTATTGTGAATACCAAAGAGTTAAACCTCAAAGCAGGGGATATTTTTATTAAGAACCAAAAAAGTGTGCAGATCAACTGTGAAGGACGAGAGTTCGAACAGGCCTTTTATCAAGTCAAGTTCAAGCCACGTGAGATTTTCAAATCAATACTTGGTTTGGAAGAAAACATGGTGGACGTAAATTTGAATGACATTGAAGAAGAACATATCCATGTGTGGCTTTCCAGTTATCTCTTTTTTGTTGATGACAATGGGAGAAAGCTAGTGGAGATCTACAATGACGAAAAGACTAATAAAGCAAATACACCAAAGACTACACCAAAACGGACCCCGAGAAAGAACAGGACCCCTTTGCAAAAGACAACTTTAGATCTGCTTTCTGGTTCCTCAAAGTCACCAATAAAAATTTTGACTCTGAAGCCTGGCTTGCTAGAGATTTCGGAAGCCAGCAAAAGCGTTACCGTCAAAAGGAGTGTTCTAGATGTGGATACGTCCAATATTTTATCTTCTCCCAAGAAAAAGATCAAACACATCATTATTGATGATGATGAGCCTGCGCCTAACCCAATTTTGCTGGAGCCTTTTGAGGAAGATGCTGAAATTTCTAGAGTTTTAGAAAATTCAGACTATGTTGGCGGGAACTCATTTATTGATAACAATAGCAACATAAATGACAACGATAGCAACAAAGACAGTAATATGAACGAAGACATATTTTTTGATTCTCATGAGAACCTTAACTCATTTATGGTTGAATCACATCAACCAGGGGTCGAGCGCTCAGAACAAAAAGATAACATTATTGATTCTGGCGGGAAAGATATATACACAAGCTCACCCGGCCCATTCAATAAGTCGACAGGGCTTATCCCTGCTCGAAAAGAGCTGAAGAAGGACAAATTGACGATACATAGAGGCGTCAGTAATCTGGACGAGATGACACGGCTTCCAGAACTTCCACTCGGTCCAGAAAATCGGGGAAGTCATGAAGATGAAGGAGGAGACCCTTTGCTCGGTATCCATTGCGAGATATTAGACGATACTTTTTCATCAACTGACTCCATCGAAAAGTTGTTTGCCAAAGAAAACAAGAATGATGGTGATGTGTCAAATAAGGTGACAGCGGTCTGTGGACAGGCTGAGAAAATAACCTTAGATGATACGTCTTCTTTCACGGACACCATCGGAGGGATATTCGGCCTACAGCACCATGCTACACACGAAACCCATGGAACCCCAGAAGAGATGCCTGCTACCGTCAGCATAGATCTCACTCCCAACTATAGATCAGAAAACAACTCTGACGTGGAGACACTGGAAGAAGCCACATCCACGCCGGTCAAGAAATTGCAAGCTTCTGGACCAGTAAAAAGTGGCTCCCTTTTGCAAAATGCTCTCCACCAGGAACATCAGCAGGAAAACAGCTACAGTTTGCCCATCGGCTTTGACGGTAAGGAGATCCTTCTCGCCGAAAGCACAGATGACGAAAGCATGTGGGTGGTGCCCGAGAAGAACCAACCTTCCGTCTTTGACGAGGACATCTTGGAACTGTAACCTCCACTTGTCAGCACCATTTGTCGGCCCCGCTTCCCTATCGCCGCCCCAATGAAGCATCGCTTTGATGATTGGAACGTGCTGGTCCCACATGGCGTAAAGTGTTACGATAATATCTGCTCACTCTGGGCGGCCCGGCCGAGGCATCAGCCGACGTTTTTCCCAAAGCGGTAACAAAAGGATGCGACGGATAGAAGATCGCCACGAGTTTGTGTAGGGAACCATCGTCCGAGGTTAGAGTTTCGGTCTCGGCGGCAATCTAGAAGCGACGGTTACTGTCAGACCATTCCGTCCGGTGGTTATCGAGTGGGGATAGCACGGTTGGGATTCAAGACGGGTCTATTGTTTCGACTAGGCAGCGTGCAGCGGATGTATAAAGAGCCCATGGTGCCACTTTCCGTCTTTAGAGGATTTATGTAAAGCGGTGTCGAAGAATGTAGAAAGAAAGAGGGAGAGCTTTAAATGCCAACTGGACGTATACATGAACAGCCATGAACCAGGATAACAGACATTTTCGGACAAGGCAGTTGTGGACACGCAACGACATTGAGTTCTTCTCCGCAGAGACAGGGTTCGACCAAGACGACGACTGCGACTGCGAATGCGACAAGCGACTGTCTCCAGCACACACACAAGGTTTGGTGTCGTGCAACAACATGAATCGAAACGTGTTGTACCAGGTTTCTCCAGCACAGGTAGAACGCATGAAGATGTACAGGGCCGTCCGGCTGCCCTCGTCGAGCAGAATCCGGAATTACGAGTTGGTGAAAAGACTTGAAGCTGTTGCTGCGAGCCATAGCACTAGCGTTCCTGTAGTGATACGGGCATGGGGAAAGGAGAGGGGCTATGTAAGCTGGCATTCGGAAGACGAAGAGGTCTTTGACGACGAAGAAGATTACGACTACAAGGAGGAGGAAGAGGAGGAGTATGGCTACTACCGCGATGCTGATGCCGACACCGAAGTCGTCGACATGCTGGACACTTTGCAGATTGCGGTTCGTCTCAGCAGGGCCGAGGTCATGTTGTTGAACAAGACACTCACAGGGGAGTTATAGTGTTCGTACACATGTAATTTTCTTCTCTTTCTTTTCATATACACTATATTCATCTAACGGCGCACGGATACTCTAGAACTTGGCCTTGAGCTCCTTGTAAAAGTCGATCTCCGAGACATCCGGGTATTCGCTCTGGACTCTCCAGCTGCACTTCGCTGGGTCAAAGCCACTGCCGTTCTTCCACCGCCAGAGGCGTGTCAATACAGGATCCAGCTCGCCCTTTACTCTCTGCAGGATGTATTTACCGATGTTGGGCAAGAACTTGAACGCGTGGCCGGAGTCGCCTGATGCCACAAACAGGTTTGTAAACCCAGGAACTCGGTCGATGATGAAGTTGGAATCGTCTGTGTCTCCAATCCAGCAGATCTTCGAGTGCAGCAGCTCGTGATAGGCAAGCTCAGGGACATATTTGGCCAAGAGCAGCTTTGCCTCCCGCTCGCCATGTACAGGCATTGTGTCGGTCGGATTGAGGTTCTTGAACCGGGGCAACGAGATCTTTCTGTCTTCAGAAACTGCGGCGTGAGGGTCGTGGACTTTGTGACACGTTCCAGAGCCTGGCAACGCCACCTTCAAGAGCTTCGTCTCCGGATCCGGTGGGAAGAAATAGCCCATCTTGGCGTCGAAGAGAATCGAACAGTCTTTGTATCTCTCGTACTCCGCATCCGTGAGCTTGATGAAGGTGACAAACAAGCCTGTGGCGGATTGCTGGCCATTCAGGTTGACAAGACGGCCCGTATTGGAGCCGAGACTGACAATGACGGTACCAGCAGTGCGTCTCTGACCGCTCTTGGTGACAATGACCACCTTGTTCCCGTCACCACGCTCAACCTCGACGGCGTGGCCGTCGTCTCCAAAGACAAACTGCACTCCGTGATCCTTCGCCTCCTTGTACACCGCCACCATCGCATTCGACGAATGTCCTAGACCTCCATACGGGTTGAACTTCGACTGCTCTCCTTTCTGCAGACCGTTGTACTTCAAGAAGGGGAACTTTCTGGCGAGCTCTTCACCGCCGTCAAAGTACTCGATGTCCAGGGCCTTTCCGTGTTTTTGCAGGTTTTCGATCCCAACACGCTCAAACTCCTGTCTCGCCTTGTAATCGGTCGGCGTGATCATCACTCTCCCACAGTCCTTGTAAATGCCTTTGAATCTAGGTTCGTTTTTCCACATCTCTATTGCCTCAACACTCAGCTTTGTGTACTCCTCAACATCGTACTCGCCACGGATGATCTTGTTATAGTCGCACGAGGCAGACCACGGCGAAGGAGGCTCGTATGCATCCATTGCAGTCACCTTGTATCCGGCCTTGGCAAAGTCCAACGCAGAGGCTAGACCAAAAATGCCACATCCAACAATCAACACTGTTTTATCTTCGGCACTCATTTTTGCACTCCAGTACAGGCTCTTTGTTATCTGCTCCGGTATAGTTCTTGCACTGTAGCATCCACAGAACGACACACTCTCATAGTGGCAACGGACTTGTTGTTTGCGAACCGCTCTCCTATATATATCGTGTTCTCCAGACGTCACCTTCTCTCTATCAGCCTTCCCCGGACTAAGACCGAAGAAGTCGGAGACCTCTACAGGTAAAAATGGCAACCCGATCCGCGCGGGTTCAGTTGCCGTTTTACTGGCCCGCTGCAGAAAGAGTTGGGGTTCTCAGCCGCGGAGCGGTTTGTTCTCCGACAAGACATATATAAACTCTGACATTTTCGAAAGGTTACTGGAACCGCCATAAGGACTCCAGCTCTAAACCTGGTATGGAGTGGGGTATGCAGTGTATAAATTGACACATAAGAATATTGCAACTCACCTAAATGGCAAGGTCAAAAGTTGAGAAATCTAAAGAGACCACATCATCACTATTATCGCTACCAGTATTTTCATCCTCACTGAAAGGTCGGAAGAAAAGTCGGAACGGTTGCTTCATGTGTAAAAGACGAAAGAAGAAATGTGATGAGAAAAAACCGGTTTGCAGCACCTGCCGAAGACTAAATATTCAATGTAGCTACAAGTTGCGCTTGAGTTGGCAGGCAGTGAATCAGCGCTTCGTAGAACAGGAATCACATTTTGTGAACCCCGAATCCACCACAGCGAATGGTTATCACTTCATCATTTTCTCGATCTGGGATGTTCTCGTCAGCTACAAGCTGCGTCAGCCAGCCTCTTCCGGCACATTGTACATTTTGGAACCCTTTTCGTTGGAAAAGTACGAGAACGACACAAAGACCGAAGAGGAGTGGCGGTATGAGGTCAGTAAGATTAATTCATCTGTCATCCCGAGGTCGGAGCTTGAGAGAATACAGAACGACCTCACGTATGGCCCCAGAACCAGCGAGCAGTTTCTTTTCAACCTTTATACCAAGGTCCTTAGTCGAACAAAAAGTTTTGCTAGAAGTGAATTCATCCCCAACGATTTCATACATATCGTGATTCCAGGATGTCAGAAGTTTCCAGCTCTTTACCGCTCAGTTTTGGCGTTGTCGGCCTTAGATTTGATCAAGGGAGAGCTGTGCAAGAAAAACTCGCCCCATGATGAGTATTTAATAACCATATACAACTCTCTCTTCATTGGCTACAAAAATGACGCTTTAAACTACTTGCACGACATTCTAGACGGGTTTGACATCGAAGTTGTGGAAATGCTCGAGGAATTGGTCATCACGATCCTAATTTTATGTAACATCGAAATCACAAATAAGGGGAACAAGGAATGGGTGCGATATCTGACTGAAGCCAGTCTAATATTTGGAGCTCTTACAACGGAGAAAATATTGGACAGTGACATCTTCAAATTTGCATACAAGTACTTTTCACTTAGATATATCTTGTTGCTGACTACTCTTGACCACATAACCCTGAAACGCTTTCTTGATACCACTCCGTGGCCCTTGATTGAAAGTCTATTTGTCGACAACACTATCGAGCCGATGTTTGGCTGCTCCCCATACTTGCTCCACGTGATATACAAGCTCACCATTTTTAGCTATCTTTACGAAGGTAAAAAGATGCAAATGCATGAATTTGTTGCGAAGCTCACTAAAATGTGGTACATACTCAATACGATAACGCAAGACGAAATAGATGGCTGCCACGAATTGACGATTAGCGCAAGCTGTTATTTCTATGCAACCAAAATATATCTTTACACGATATTGATAAGACACAAACTTGAGCATTTTTTGGATGACGGATACCAAGCCTACGTCCCCAAGTTATGGGATCAGCTCACAGAATTGAGCTTGAGCCAGAACTCGCTTTTCTTTCCCAACTGGTGTTTTCTCATCATTACCACCAGTGATTTATTGGAGAACGAAGAGGCGAAGAGGATTAAGGCGCTTCGATTGTTTACATCGCTAGAAATCAATTGGCCGTTGAGCAGCGTTGTACAGATAAGGAAAGCAATTGAAAGCATATGGAAGGTATACGATTTAGTTTACGTCGGCGGCAGCGGCGGAAGCGGCGGTAAGTCCCCGCTGGATCGGGACAAACCAGATCCTTTTGATTGTCGTCAGGTCTTGAAGGAGTACGAGTACATGCTAGCGCTAACGTAGACATCTGACTCAACCAGATAACATTTTTCCTCTATAATATATCTCTAGGTCACGGCGCATTAGCGTCTCCGAAAATATACTCAACCCGATAGATAAGCAAATGTGTCAATCGCTACACGGCGCATTCAGTTGCCCTCTCAACCGCTGCGGGGGTTTCGGGGTCGGCGCATCCGGTTGCCGTTTATTTTCGAGGTCGATAAGCCGAAGATAAATCGGGTTGGACGAAACAAGTCTTTATTATAAATATCAGCCTGGTGGGCACAACAGGGTGATGTGGGGTCATAGCAAGAGTTTGAAAGAAGATAGAGTCTTGCTATCATTTATTATTCACCCTTCTTTCGAAAAGCTAGACATACCATGACCGGGGGGAAAGATAATAATGCCAACGTGGTCAGCCGTGACATCAACTCAGACTCGAAAGAGTCCAATTATGAGGTGTCCGTGAACCCACAACTCTCAACAATTCTCTCTCTCAATGATGAGGTGAACAATATGGATATCAAAGATATGGATGAGGCATACAAGTTTTTGGACGCCGAGACCGAAGCACTCGAGTTGGATCCGGCGTACGAGAAAAAACTAGTACGGAAGATTGACTTCCACATCATGACTATCATCTGCGGTTTGATGGCGGTGCAGATGATGGATAAAACAACTAATTCTTATGCGGTTTTGATGGGAATGAGAAAAGATTTGAAGATGACGTCTGAGGAATACAGCTGGGTTGGATCCTCTTTCTATTTGGGATATTTGGTCTTCGAGTATCCTGCCAACTTGCTTTTACAGAAGATGCCGCTATCGAAAACTTTAGGCTTGGCTATTGTTCTTTGGGGTGTTGTATTGATGTGCCATGCAGCATGCAAGACTGCAGCAACGTTCCTTCTTTGTAGAACAATTTTGGGTATTTTCGAAGGGTTTATGAACCCTTCTTACATCATCATGACCAGTCAGTGGTACAGGAAAGAAGAACAATTCATGAGAACGTGTTTGTGGTACGGCTTCCAAGGTCTGGGTACTTTGGTTGGTGCATCCATTGCTTATGGTCTACAAGTTCATAGGGCTGGGTATCATGCCTTTGCTTCTTGGAAATGTTTCTACATCATTACCGGTGCTATAACCGTTTTCCTCGGAGTCGTTTCGGCTTTGCATGTGCCTGATGTACCAGTGAAAGCATGGTTTTTGAACAAAAAAGATAAAATGTACGCCATAGAAAGATCCAAGTCAAATCAACAAGGTTTTGGTAACAGAAAGTTCAAGAAGTATCAGCTTGTTGAAGCCTTCACTGACCCTATTACTTACTGTATCTTTATCTATGCTATGTCATATGCAATTCCAAATGGTGGGTTGAACAATTTTGGTTCCATTCTACTCAACAAAGACTTTGGATTCTCCTCTCAACAATCAAGTTTAATGAACATGCCAGGTGGAGGTATCGATATCATTTTCCCTCCTGCAGTGGCGCTGATCAACCACTTTTGGTTGAAAGACTTTAAAATTATTTCCATGGTCATCATCAATTTGCTTTGTGTCGTTGGTACATGTTTACTTGCTTTCACTGACCATAGAGGCTCCAAGTTAACTGGATACTACACTTTGTACATTTCTACTACCAATATGGCCGGTGTTGCTTCGATAGTCTCGTCTAACGTGGCGGGCCATACCAAAAAGATTACTGCAAGTACAGTTTTCTTAGTCGGATACTGTGTTGGAAACATGATTGGGCCTCAAACATTCCGTGAATCTCAAGCGCCTGGATATGCTGGTGCCAAGACTGCCATGTTGGTATCTTACTGTGCAGGGGCTGTTGCGCTATTTGTCATTTACTGGATATATTTCAAAAGAAACAAAGACCGTGCAGCAGAGAGAAAACAAGCCGAGGAAGTCATTCCTGCTGATCGGATTGCTTTTGCAGATTTGACCGATCTTCAGAACCCTGAGTTTGTATATGATTTGTAGCTTCTTTACCATATTGCTAAATTTTTTATTTTACTCTCAAGCATATTACTCTCTTTGTCTCTTATTTTTTCTTGACTTTATTGTATATTTTTTGTTTCAGACACTAATAATGCTTAAGCGCTTACTAAAGTTACTTCGTTAAAACAAAAGAATATTTTATTAAATTATCCAAAAGAATCTATATGAACAAAATGCTCAATAGCAAGAAAAAGGGAATAAGTAAACAACAAAACAAAATTGAACACCATTAATGTCTATAGGTCATTTTTTCTTCCAAGATTTGAGCAATGATAAAACTGGTGTTATTGGATTAATCCTTCTAACTCTGAATATGTAGTAGAGAACAACCATAGCGCAACAATTAAATCCAATATAGACACAAAAGAAGCCGATATTACGCCATCTTTGACTATATTTGATTTCAATAGCTTCAAGATATTGATCACCAACAGAATACTTACATACAGCACAGTTGGAAGTATCATTCGGATTGTTGACATATCCAAAACTGTACATGAAGAAAGGCTCCAAGTATTCACCACAGGTAAGACCACTTGGTGGTTCCAAATAGTTGTATTCTTCCTTCGCACAACGAACTTTACGTCCGTGGAGAGAGGTTCCAAACAAGTTCCCGATAAAGTATGTCAATGGAGAAATTCTCCACATAAATTTCCAGAACCCTGGCATCAAGGCAGGGATTTGGAAAACGCCACAAAAAGCCATTGTAAAACTGAATATCAAACCCATGATAACATTTGCAGACGGCAAGTCCGGTGATGGATATAAGATGGCCAAGGCAAGAGCAGGATAATATAGGGAATAGAAGAAGCAGTAAGTGAACCACCAGAAACCACATCTTTCTGGCGAATTATTAAATTGAACAGGAAAGTACCAGCCGATGAAGTAGAATGTAGAAAAAACGATACAATAAGGAACTTCATTAACATATTGTGCAATCAATAAGCATGACCAGTGGAAAGTGTTTGACTTGGATTCACGAACCTCAAACAATTCTCTAGAAGCAATTGCATATGTTTGAATTTGATTCATAATTGGAGCACTAACAACCAAGGTAAGAAACGTGGCAAACATAACATCCTGCATACCAACAATAGTATGTGAGGCATTCCAGAAAGAAAAACCTGTGAACAAACTGCCAATAACGTACAAAAAAAGTTTTGGTGCAACGTAAGGAAGAGACCTGTAGAGCTGCAATGCAGTTCTTTTGTTGACTAGGTAAAGTTGATAGAAGTAGGGTGTTGCAAAAGTTTTCTTTAATTCTTCATCGACCTCAGCGGTGATATGACTGCCACTTTCAATGAGTTCATCAATTTTAGAAGCCACCTGAGCACATTCATCGCTCTCCAGCCATAATTGATGCCAGTCTTTAGAAACGGCCGAAGTCGCTCCTGCTCCAATTACCTCTAACATGTATTCAGCTGGGTTATCTGATTCTAAGCACTTTAAACCACTTCTTTTTTCAAGATAATCTAACAAAACTCTAGAATTTTGACCAATATCCCCAAAATAAACAGTCTGACCACCTCTTTTAAGCAAAAGTAGTCTATCAAATTGCTCGAACAAAACAGCTGAAGGTTGATGAATCGTACATAATATTGCTTGTCCTGCATTTGCTAGTTCCTTCAAAACTTGGACAATAGCCCATGACGATTGTGAATCTAAACCTGAGGTTGGTTCATCCAAAAACAATAAAAGAGAAGGTTTGGCAACTAATTCGGTGGCAATGGATAATTTCTTTCTCTGCTCAACATTTAATCCGTATCCTGGAACACCTGCAATGGAATCTGCGTAGTCTTCCATATGTAGGATTTTCATCACGGTCTCGACATATTCGAGTTTCTCAGCATCGGGAACACTTTTGGGTCTACGTAAACGAGCACTGAATAATAATGATTCTTTGACAGTTAATTCTGAGATGTGGAGATCTTGCTGTTGTACATAACCTGTTCTTCTTTCGAATGAAAGGTCAATAGGTTTACCATTGACCAACATATCACCTGTTACTACACCAACCTCTGTACGCCTTGATAGGACATTTAATAAAGTCGTTTTACCGGCACCAGACTCACCAATCAATGCCGTCATCGTGCCAGGTAAAACGTAACCTTGGATAGAGTCTAACAATTTTTTTTCTGTTCCATCGTATGGTACCACATAGTCAACATTTTTCCAGCAGAAGATATCACTTGAACCTAGTTGGTTGAATGCAGACTTAGCTGTCTCTGTTTGATTAATAGCATTACTATCATCAGCCAGATCAGCTCCCATTTTTTCAAGATCCTTTTGAAGCACATCATCATTACTTTCAAAGGATGTATCGCTTTCAATCACATGCTTGTGAATTTCATCATCGGCAGGGGCAATCTGCTTGAAATGATCAATTAAAGCCTTACTCACTCTGGCATTTTTAATCATAACTAATTTATCTGAAGAGGAGGGGATAGGATTGAATAGTTCAACTGCGATAGAATTGATAATCAAATAACCTGCTATGAAAATAAACATGAACCCAAAATTTCTCCAACAATGAGAAAATGCGTATGTGAAGGATAACTTGAGATATATATCACCATTAACGTCATTTGAGCCATTGTATAATATTTTTGAGTTTGCAGCACCAACAAATCCACATACTTGATTCAGTTTTGTATCAATTTGGGTGTAGAAAGGACCGTAGGGAATCAAGTTATTTATCGAACATGGCATTCTCAAGTTGTGAAATTGCATTGTGATCATTGACTCAAAAGCATATAGAATTGGATTTGTATAGGCAAACCATTTGAACCACCAGTACATCGAATTCATTTGAATCATGTATGATGAATACACGCCTAAACCTAATAATATGACACCACATATAGCCATAGCTGAAGATAAGTTGGGCATGAACGAGGAGAAAAGAGTGAATAATCCACTGACTGCCTGGACGACCAGGTTGGTCATCAACATAAACTGAAAAAATGGGCCAGGTTCTCTTTTCATGTTAGATAAGAAGTACATGATGATTGTAAAAATAACAATAGCAAATAGACGAACAGGAAATTGGACCAATTGTTTGGAGATCAACTCCGCGGAGGGATGATACATTGTATAAGCGTACTGTTTGTTCAATATCGGTTTATCTTGAAATAAAACAGGAGTTTCGGCCAACGTCATGATACTAAAGTAGAGACAGGCAAAAAAAATAATACCACTACGAGAGAAGGCACCAAGGGTGGAGGTTGGGGTGTTGTAGCCCAACGAACCGATAATGAGAGATTGAACCACAGATGCCGAAATAAAAGTTATCGTGTAAGCACGGTTGTTCAAAATACTTTGGGAACGTCTTTGGCAGCATATTTTTAGCTGTGAGAGATAATTCAAAGTGTAAAGAGAGTGTTTAGATGTTCCTTTTTCTTTTAATAATTTCCGGACTGATTGGATATCGTCAGAGGTTTGTTTGCTGCTATGGGCTTCCAATTTTTGGTCAATTTCTTGTTGTAACAGTGCGTATTCCGGGGAATTTTTCCAGTAGGATTCAAACTCGTCTGCCGATGAAGGTAAATTTTCCAGACCTGGTTTCGACTTTCTTGCCAAAGGATCGGTAACACTTGTCAAAAACTCGCAACTAGTCTGTCTACTTTCCTTAATGAAACCCATTTTTTCGAAATACATTACGGCCTTGTGGATTGGGCCAAAGTAGACCTGTCTGCCAAGATACAATATTGTGACGTAATCGAACAACTCGTAGATCCTCTCTGAAGCCTGGTATATGGTGACAACGGAAGTTGCTTTAGTGACGTTCGTAAACGTCCGCAAAGTTTGTGTGAATTCAAGGGCAGTGGAAGCATCCAACCCTCTCGTGGCGTTGTCAAAGCAGTAGACAGAGCCTTCAGATACCATTGCCTCGGCTATGGAAACCCTTTTCCGTTCACCGCCAGATATACCTCTGACAAAATCGTTTCCTACGATAGTCTTTTCGACGTGCTTGAGGCCAAACAAAATTTCGTAGAGGTTCATCATGTTTTCAATGTAAGTTTTGCGGGACTCATTATCGACCCTGATGTTGGGTGTTTTGCAGCCAATGGCAAACTTCAGGGTCTGGCCAACGGTCAAGTAGGGGAAGTGGACATCCAACTCTGGGTTGTAGATGAGCAAGTTTTTGAAAAATCTGAACATCTCCTTCTGGTCAATTCCGCTAAATGAAAGCTGGCCGTCGGTTCTAATGTACGTTTTCCGTTCCCCTGCAATGGTCTTTAGGAGCGTGGAGCAGCCTGCACCTGGTCTTCCCAAGACTAAGGTCATTGTTCCGGGAAGAGCATAGCCAGAGATGTCTTTGATAACTTTCCGCTTTTTTGCGAGCTTGGAGAAGTCAAACGTGTCTTTTTTGTCCTTGCGGAACTTGTCCACGAGGTAGACGATAGGGAAGAAGAAGATAGACACGTCTTTCAAAACGGAGGCAGACGCGTTTTTCCCCACGACAGTGAGGTCCCGGAAGACAACTTCGAGCTGTGGTTTTGGTACGTTACTTTTGGCGTTAAAGTTGACGATGTACTGGAGAATCTTCTGAAGGTCGAAGTCCTGTGGGTCCAACTGGAAGGTTTCCATCTCATTAGCGGTAAGCTTGGACATCTGCTTCGAGAGCGTTGACAAGCGGGTCATTACGTTCATGTGCTCGTCGTTGCCTGTCAACGACCCGGAAAGTGACCGGTGGATACTGGCATTGACACTGTCGTAGTACTCGGTGGTTCCTGGCTGAGGCCCGCAGATGCTATCGGCTTTCTCTTCAGCGTCGGCGGAAACGACGGGGTTCGACATGGGGCGCTGACTGGGAGTGTTCACTGGGGAAAGAGATGTCGCTGCAAGGTTCGAGACATACACAATTAGACTAGACAGCTTCACACAGCAGACAGGACGGTTCTATACTGCCCTGTCGTCCATCGTAGACCTCCTTCGTCCATGCTTTTCTCTGGCATCCCTTCTCCGGGGTAGAAAAACTACCCCGGGACGCAGCAACCACAAGTTCGTCCCGAAACGGAACACTGCACCGGCCACCTTCCGAGACGGTGGAACTGCTGTCGTCGTCTGCTGTCACTTGTGCCTCTGTGTGTCCTGTTATTGCTCCTGCAGTCACCCCGATCTGTTCTGCATCACCTGACCGCCCCGGTTCGGCACAACACACCTATCCCAATCGGGCAAGCCGCTGCCCCAGTTCCTCCGGCGTCAGCTGAAAATGCTTCGCCACACCACGACCGCCTGCGCCACCAGCGTGGGCGTAGAAAATCTTGTACGACGGAACAAGCGTCTTGCTGACGTCAGCGACCATCTGTTGGCGGAAGAAAGGTGGTACCTCCTTGCGACGGAAGGAAGCACACTGCTCCTCGAACCGGGTATTAAATTCGTCGATGAAACGGCCAAGCTCTTTGTTACCCATGCTGAGCTGGCCGCCCTGCTTGGTGCTGGCGGTCATAAGACGGGCGGCAAGCGTCGACCAGGGGGAGACGGCCTTGTCCATGGCCTTCTTCTTGAGTCGTTCGTAACGCTCGAGACCGCGTTTGCCAATGATCTGCTTGAGGACAGAAGTTCCCTCGAGGAGGTTCTGGAGGCCATCGAGGTTGAAAAGAAGCATGATGCCAATTGCCTCGTCGCTGCGGTGCTTCTCCTGGAAGCGGGAAGCAAGAGAGTAGAAGGAGTACTCGATGAGGTCGCTGTAGAATGTCCCGAGGAGGAACTGCGGGTCGCTGGACACGTCCTTCTCCGGAACAAAGCCGGTGGGCAGCGCTGTAGGAAGCCATTCGTTCATGGTCATGCCTGAAATGAAGTCAAGCTGGTACGACCGGAAAACGGTCATCTTGTGGATTCTTGTTGCCACAAGCATGAATGTGTTGTTCAACGTCTCTGGCGCAGCGGTGTCGCTGCTGACCACCATCTCGCTGTAGCGGCTGCGAACGTACTCGAAGAAGTCCTTGAAGGTGTTGCGAGCCTGGGTGTTGCACCGCTCGGAGAGCTGCTGAAGCGTGCTGGATGGCTCCAGCTGGCTCTCAAGCATCCAAGAAACCATCATCGAGGCGCCCGTGGCAACCTCATAGTACATCGTGTTGTACGAGAGCCGGCGCATCTCGATGAACTCCACCAGCCCACTGAGTTCGTAAATGTAGGCGTCTGTTATGGGACGGATCACCTTGGAAAGCAGCTTTGGCAGCGACCCGACAAGTCCCTGGAAAAGTTCTGTTACGAGCCGCATCTCCCGGGCAACCACTGTTTTCACCGTCTTCGTGTAGTCTGGGAAACTGCCTGTCGGCGTCCCATCGTAGATGTAGTTTTGGTCCTTGTTTGGAGTCGGCTTCACGGGCTTAATCTTTACCAATTCCCGCTTGAGGAAATTCGACCGATCCCTCAACAACGCGTCCTCCAACGCCATCTGTCTCACATCTGTAAGGTACGCGTAGATAAGCCTAATTTCTTCCACAAGCACCTGTACGCCCTGGCTGCTGGCAGCATCCCCTCGCTGCTGGAGCTCACCGATTTCTTTCATCTTGTTCATTAAAGCTGCCTTCAATGCCAACTCGCCGTCCAGAACCCCTTCTCCGAGACTTTCTTTCAACCCTTCAAAACCACCGAGACCCTGGCCCTTCAGCTCGGAGTCCACACTATCCAACCCGTCAAGGGCGTCGATGTATTTCTCAATGTCGCCGACCCCACGCAGTCCGGCACCCTGCTGCTTGTTCGCCAGTTCTAAAACGTCCAGCAGACGACGAACACGCCCAGCGTACGATTTCACCTCGCCAACCTTCTCGTCGACAGCATGTAAGTTCTTCTGTCTCAGCTTTAATTCATGGATTTTGTGCATTAGCGGCGTCACTGTGTAGACTGCCTGCTTGTTTATCCGGGCCAACATCGCTAGCTGTGCCGAGATGTCCGTCGAGACCTCATTGGTAGTCTTTATGTTCTCGTCCAAAATTGCTATCTGAACATCGTCCACGTCCATCAAAAAGCCTGCACTAGTCATGATGGTCTTTGCAGAAATAACAATGTATCTTGTGACCGTTACAATGGCATCCTCAACGGCGGGCTCTCCCTGCGCTGAGCTTCGTTTAGGTATGAAAAGAAGACACTCATCATTCTTTCCTATTCTCTCTACTCGCTCTCACTCTCGCTCCTTCCGTTTTCTCAGCCTTTCCGAATAAACATTGCTCTTAGAATAAAAAGCATTGTTCAAAATAGAAGACTACAACTGAGTAAACCCTAAACACACACTACATATCCATTCACTGCTTGTAACTTTTTCTCTGGTCTTAAAGATCGCATCCTTTTGTAAAACGTCCGGTGGTCAGCGCACAACTATGTATCCTTAAATACTTAATTACTTGGCTGGATCAATAATACAGCCGGGCTGGAAAAAAGGACTTTCTGTCAGCACTTTATTCAGAGGATATAGTGTGTAGTCCGACTGACATCGACTGAAAATGCTATTAGAACTCTCCATCAAACCTTTCATGTTTTTTTTATCCGGAAGTTGCCGCTATAATAATAGTTACATTTGCTAGATTCGACAATGTACGGAGAGGTAATAAAGTCTTGAACATCACAAAACGCTTAGTATCAAGCCTCTCCGCAAAAATGGTGGTCCCCACGAGCGTTTGTTGTAGTTGCTTCAGCACATCTTAAAGTTAGTTTGTGTCTTCATCTCTGTCAAACTACCCGTCAAACCCTCACATGCTCGATACTATAAACCAGGAACCCTATAACTACCACAATTTGTAGTACTGTAAAAAAGGCAAATATCTATGACTATGCCAGGTTAAGCTCTAGTATGCGCATATAACTTTTGTTAGATCTTGCTACTTATTTAGAAAACCATTTCACATAGTACAAACATACTATCAACTGCAACGAGAAAGATATTTAACCCGCACACTTCACCATCTCTTATGAGTGCGAACAGATTTTCATATAAATTTCATTAATTTTCGCATCTTTTTCTTCTACTTCTACTACCTCTTCTTCTTTTTAATCATCACATTTCACCTTTTTTCCTCTTTTCTTTTCCCATGGCAGACCTATTATATTCACTGCTGGTTTTAGCGGCAAATATAATTGGCAGTCTCCTTTAGTTACGCCTCTGGGTTGCATCCTGGCTCCGTTCTGGACTCTCAGCGTGTCCCGTAGCGTTACTTGGGATCAAAGACTGCTGATTTGTTTGTCTCTAGGGCAATAGCTGCTGATTCCACTTGGTTTGCCCATACTAGAGTTCACGCTGTGCCTTATTTCGCTAACACTAAGTTCAACCCATAATTTAGAGTTTGATAGTAGAAAGGCTTACATATATCTTTATTAATAAAAAGCAATGGGAAGGGAAAAGAAACATTATAGGATTTTTTTTCTTACCTTAGTAGTGTACAGGATTCTTTAAACCACCCTTGGATATTTTCTGTCTGTCAAAGGCACAGGGAAAAGACCATGTTCTGCTAGCGACGACATGCTCCATTCAATGGCATTTTCCGTTTTCCATGTCCAGAAGAAAAACCCATTCGTCTGATTGAAAATATCTAGCTGAGCTTCGACTATTCTTCGTGTATCAATTTTGTCTTGCTCTGTCATCTTGCTGTAGTCATTACTAAATCTACACTGACCAATAACGCCGTTCCCCTCAAAGGTATTATCTAACCTAGCACCTCGCCCAACACCATTTAACCATTTGGCACAATCGGTCATTGCGGCTGACCACTCGCCGACAACCTGAACTCTTGGAACATTCAAAAACTTCTCAGTGATTAGTCTGATTGAAGTGATGTGACCATCTACTGTTTCCTTTAACTGTGTAGTATGGAACACTTCGTATCTATGATGATCCAAAACTGTATCTTTGAACTGTGGTTCATCTATCTGTCTATGCCAGAATTCCGGAGGTAAAAATGCATCATGGAAAACAAAATAATTATCACTTTTCTCCCTAAACATATTATATGTTGTCCGATCAAACTCAACAATCATTGGGACTTCATAGCGGGTGTGCAAAGGTTCATTCAAGTTTTGATATCCAATTACAACATCTGCATACTTTTCACCACCATATTTGTCGTAGATATATTGCAATACTTGAATTCCCAAATTATAGTTTTGAGGATTTGCCCACATGTAAACATCTCGTCTACCGGAGTTATCGAATCCATTTTGTGATCCAGGAATTCCATGTAGATCAATCCACAATTTTAATCCATGTGTTCTACACCACTGGATAGTTTTATCCAAATAAAATTCTTGACCAAACACGTATGGATCATCGGGTAGTCTTGCAAATGCCCAGTATCCTATTGGCAAGCGAACTGCGTTGAAACCGTACGATTTGATCTTGACTATATCTGCCTCGGTGATCCAAGTATCCCAATGTTTCTTAAGGCGTTCACGGGCCACGCGTGGACCTAATTGTTGGCAAAATGTATATTCATCAACAGGCGTTTTTGCTTCTGTACCATCTGATGATGCTTGTTCGTATAGTGAAGGACTTATGAATGGCTCTGTAACCAACCACCCACCTAAATTCACACCATTTACCTTCTGTGTTTTGTAATTGAAGCTTTTTGATTTTCCAACTTCAATTCTATTATTCTCGTCGTTATCATCGGCAGTATTATCCGAATCTTTTTTATTTTTACCTAGATCTCCACTCTCCTCTTCATTATTATCATCGTCGTCATCACTGTCACCATCTTCTTCTGCCTCATCCTCATCTTTCTCATCTTTCTCATCTTTCTCATCTTCTTCCTCATCTTCATCATTAGCCTTATCCACTTCCTTTGACTCTTCTACTTCTTCATCGTCTTCTTCTTCTTTTTCTTCTTCCTTATCATCCTCTCCCTCTGAAGTCTCGCTCAGCTCATCGTCTGATGACTCGACAGGTACCTTGCTCTCAAGTACAGATTTATTATTGTACCCGTCATCAACTTCAACGTATTTAAGGCTGTTCTCATTATCATAATCTCCTGTTTCTTGTGAAAAGTTTGAAAAATGGAAAACTTCTGTGTTCTTCTTTTTTTTATAAAAAGCTAGCATTTGAGGCGAATATACTAGCTCGTTTGATAGTTGGAACTCTCTTTGTGGGGCATATTGGAGACAATTTACAGAATGAAGTAGTCCCAATCCTACAAATATTAGTTCTGATGCTACGGCTTTCATTTCACTATAGCTACACAGACTATTAAGTAAAATTCAAGTGATTGAAGAAGGAACATCACTAAACATTAGTAAAAATAATAAGAAACTATGTACATCTAACAAAATAAACAGGGCTTTTCTTATACATGTGTTCCCAAACAGGAAAGTGATTCCTCTAACTTCATGTCGCTCATGTTTTTTCTCCTTCCTTTACTTATCCCAATTTTCTCTCTACCTAAAAGTTAGCAGATAAATTTCAAGACTTTGGAGCTCAGAAAGGAAATCACTAGGACCGCAAACATGATTCCTTCGAATATACTAGGTGTGCTAACCCCTGCTGAAGGTTCAAGAAAAATACCTGATGAAGAAAAGTGTCTTGCTTGTCAGTTAATGGGATCAGCATTATGTCTTGCCGGAGGTATATATTTCATGTCCGAAATTCCATTTCAAGGGTCCAATGCCTCTACCAAAAAGAATCCTCTATGGTGGAAAAATTCGGTGAAATCAGCCGGTTTAGGGTTGTTTGGGTATGGTATTTACCGTGGTGGCGAGGGCTGGCTATGGAATAAAGACATAAAATACAAAGATACGCTTTTTTAAGCTCATGAACTGTACATAATTAAAACAATATATATGCATGTATACATCTCATAATAAGTGGAGAAATAACAAGGCGGAATGGCTGCAAGACTTTTATTTTAAGAGAGTAGGAAAGTTTTTCCACTACTGTTACCTCCAACAACCCAATTCTCTGTTGGATGAAAACTGCAAACGGCAGGAACAGAGGTCATGCGTTCATCACCAAAGTGCGCTAGCATTACACCATCTCGGCTATAGATATCAAAATATCTCTTCATGTTGGCAATAACAAATTTTTCGACACCATCTTTTGGATTTTCTTGCCATCTGGATTTCAAGATCGAAACCCATCGTCCCGATTGACAGTTATGCTTTATTGTAACATCCGGCTCCAAATTTTCTGCAATGTCTCCCTCTTCTGGTTTGGCCAGTTTGCTAATATTTGATGAAATCCCTTTTCCATCATCCATATGAAAAATCCGGATACTGTCATCATATCCGTTACAAACAATATCACCATGTTTGTTCCAATCGGTGCAACTAACACTTAATCTACTTCTATATGCTGCAACACATTGTGGACCTTTAACATCTTCGTAATCAGACCATACCTGATCTCTTATCATTCTCAGATCCCATATTCGCATTGTTCTATCTAAGCTTGCAGTGGCAATCATTTTCTCATCAGTGGGACAAACTGAAAAGTATCCAATTTTTTTATCGTGTAATCTATAAACTTTGCAGTTTTCTCTTCTCACATTTGGTTCCCTCAAATCAAAGGTTGCGAATTCGCCATTGAGAGTTGTCAAATATCCAGCATTTTGGTCGATAAATTTAAAATCGGATACACCGGAAGCATCGCCCCACTGATCATCAAACTCGACAATACACTTAGAGAGGTTCTTTTGTAGATCCATCGTTCTAATGGATCCATCATAGGAAGAGCTTATAACCTCTTCAGGAACTCCCGGGCGAACAGCAATTCGTGCAATGTTTTTTCTATGTGGATTAAACCTGGTGATAGCAGGTTCATCTTCCGAGTCATCATCAACCGACCATATGCCTAACATACCGTTGGTGTCGCCACCTAATACCACTTTTCTTTTGGCCGATGGATGAAATTCAATGGTGGTCATACGTGCAGTAGTAAGCATTATCTGGTTGGGGTGGAAATCCTCGTATAATTCCAATTTATCTAACTCTTCTCTAGCTTGTTCTTCTGTTTTCGATGTCAACGGTTTGTTTTTGATTTCCTCGTAAAAGTCTCCCATTGAGAATGATTTTCCTAATCTATTAAGCACAGACGGATCACTGATGACTTCGGATAATTTCAGATCATCGCTGAGGCGTACAGATGCAAGCTCCTTGAGTCTCTCCTTCTCTAACTTATCTTCATCTAACTTATCTAGTGCATCGTTTGCGCTAGAATCTTCAATGTTTACACCAGCAATTCGACGTGATCGACGCAATGGTAGTACAGGATCCTTTTCTACCTTTACTTTTGGACTTTGGTTTTTGCTCTTAGATTTGGGTTTCAGTTTGTTTTTCCCATTTTCAGTTTTCCCAAATTCGTTTGCGAGTTCAGTGAGATTGAGTTTACGTAAAAGCTCCTTGTTCCTAGCAATATTTGCCTGTCTCTGCTTTTCAAATTCTGAAATCGCCATAGCCCTCTCTTCAGATGATTTTAGTATATATAAATAAAGTTTTATTACTTTGTGATTTCAAAGAGTACTTTAGATTCAAAGTCTACCGACATGAAAGTTGAGTCTGAAATGATGACGCGTAAAAAAAACGTTTGCTTTTTTTCCTGCCGGACCAAAGAAAACGTGAACTCGAATTCACAACATTTTACTTTCGGGTACATTTCGAGCTCAACTGTACAAACTTCTACTTCATTTCATGAAGATAACACATTATGGGTCCGAAGCAGGGTATAAAGAAGCGACCATCTGCAAAGACTCGTGTACATAAAATCAACAAAGATATCCTTGCGTCTCAATTCTCACAATCTCAAACCTTATCACAATCCGAGACAAACCTTAAAAGTGGGCAGCAAACACCAAAACGTCGAAGGAAGGCAACAAACTCTTTGGTAAAACCACATCAGTCTATATTTTCACCGAAGAAACAAACAGGTGAAGCTGAAGATGACGATTTACATTCTAAACGTGACGATGATGATGAGAATAAAGATGACGGAAAGAAGGAGGAGGAAGCTAGTGAACTAAATACCTCCTCCTCTGCAGAAGACGTCGAAAAGAAAACCGAAACCAACTCCGAAAGCCCTCGACCGGACCAGAAAAATGGATGGAAGCCATTAACAACCTACACGATCCCACTTAATACAAAAAAATGGCAGCCATTACCTCATCAAGTTCATTCGGAGTTATCCACATTACTTCAACTACTAGTGCCACCTTCACTATCTGAAATAGATAGTGTCTATCAAGAAATGTTGGAAAAGAATGTGATACGACCTATTTCAGATAAATTTTCAACAATATATCTACCACCTATACATAAATACGCTTCTAAAAAAATGCAAAGGGAACCAGGATCTGGTGACTTTAATTTGAACATGTTACATCAGGATCAGAAACGCCTGATATCAGGGTATGACATAAATTCCAAGCAATTGGATACACTTGTTTTACAGTTGCTGAAGGAAAAAGAAATGGTTACCGTGGAACGCAAGTACCTCCGCCAACTGAAAGATAAGGTAAATCGATGGAAACAAAAGAAGGAGAAAAGGTTACAACGTTTGAAATCAACATTAGGCGATTCATTCCAAGAGGTAAGTAAATCTGTCGACGCAAGAAACAGCGGTGTTGATGGAGCCGACGACCTAGATATGATCAGCGATGCAGCTGGTGGTGAGTCGGATGAGGAAATTCTGGAGGATGAAGCACAGAGGAACAAATCTTCTTCAGGGGATGAGCGAGTTACTCGGTTGCTAAGTGAATTGAATGAGCAAATGAAACTAGCAGAAAAGTCTGTGGACTCTAAGGAAAAATTTCACTTGTCTTTAAAACAGCTGCTAAACCAATTGAATAAGTGAGCTATGTAGATTATTCCATGTACGATTTACTATTAATACAGCTATATACTATATTTTGTAATCAAGAGACAAAATCAATTCATGAATACGTACAACGGTAACCGGGTAAGAACTATCTCTTCAGATAACTTGATCTCTTGTATCTTGCTCACCTCTTTTTCATCACCATACAAATGTTTGAGCATGACTCCAGAAAGAACTGGTGGAAAATTTTTATCAATAGTCCCGATTGTTAGATGTGAAAAGTCGATACCACATGGAAGTTTTATTGGCTCATCTTTCAGCTGAAAGCCTAAAATCTTAACTTGTATACACATTGCTTTCGAGTCCCAGACTACCTTCTCTAATTGAATATCTGCACTGTACTCTCCTGACAAAAAACATCTTTTGTTTTGAGGTATGTCTGTTTTGGTATCTGCAAACCTCGAAATATCAGACTTAAATATGTTACTGTAAGTATCCCAAAATTCCTTTTTTGTATCATTTTGCTTTCTCATTGCGGAATGGACTAAGGTTACGTGGAAATCTTGCTGGACTCTTCTACCCTTAACTAATCTGTTAAAAAAATCAATGTTGAATGTATTCATCAAATTCATGATAATCTCCTTTTGGGGAACATCAATAGCAAAATAGACCGGTTTTCTCTTTGTTGCACTAATCTTCTTAGAAAAGGTTGGTTTGTAAAGCTTGGCTTTCTCAAAAGCTTTAACATAATCGGCTTCAGTTGGAGTTTTGAGATCTAAATCCTCAGTACAGCTTTGTAGGGCTGTCACGATTTTTTTCATGTTTTGCAAACTAGAATTATCTTGATGAACATCCAAGTCAATAATGTAGTCAAAATTACAATCTGGTTCAGTGGTCGTGTTGAGCGGTTGGAATCTACTAATGAATCCTCTCATGATTTTTTCAGCATTTCCAATTCCATCTTTTTCTACCTTAATCGATTGGTGAGAATCACCCCTGTTATAAACTCTCTCTCTAGTTAAGTCCCACAAATCTTTATCACCTTTAGGAGGTCTTTGAATGAAATTTAGACAGATGAATTTCAACTTTGATTTGGGAATAGTATTGTTTAGCCTTTGGAATCCGTCAAAAATTTGTTTCCGCTCAACAGTTTTGTGATTATTTTTATCCATAATAACCACAGGTTTTCTGCTCAAAACTTCCAATGCAGCGAGTACTAACTTATCTTTTCCAGGAGATTGAATATTGTCATTCTGAATATGTTCAATTATTTCAGGAAATAAATTGGATACTCCTACAGAAGTCGTAGTCTTACCGCAACCTATTGTAGACAACGTGACCAAAACGTATCTGTTTGGTTTCGATTTACCAAATTTAAGCTTTTTCATTTCCTCCTCGAGGTCAATCATGTCCAATTCATCATTTATTAATTGCATACTGGTTGTATTTTTGCTTTCAAAATATCTCTTGCGTAGCTCAATAATACCTTTATTCTCCAAATACTCTTGTTTTAACTTCTCATTTGTTACCAGATAAGGCATGATGTATTTCATGTAATCCATACAAATTAGCTTATGTTTCCCAAATTTCAAGTTTTCTGGACCTTGTGTTATAAATTGTTTTGTAATTTCACGCAGTTCCCTGTATAATAGATATGGTTCTTCAAACTTATACTTGAAGAAAAAATCGTTGGCTTTCTCATCAACCATCTTAGAACAACGTACAACAAATCCTTCAATCTCCTCACCTTCAAATTTTCCCGTTTTGTTTGAGTCTTTCAAAAACTGCAAGGTTTGGTCGAAGGTATCAAGCTTTCTAAACTTTGTTTCCCTGAATCCAAACATTTCAGCAAATTGTTGAACTTTTTCCATGGGATAAGTTTTGAATTCAACGGTGTTCATATTCAAGCCATGTAAATATAGGCCTGCCTTGTTCTCTTTGTATTCAAGAACATGTTCTTCGAACCGATCATCACAATATTCACAAACGGCAGTTATTCTATATTTGTGTAACAACTTACCCAAATCTTCCAGTGATTTACCATATTTTTTCAGTTGTACTTCCAAAGCTTCTTGAGCCACCATTGCGTGATTTCTTGAAAGGTCTGTTCTTGTGCCTGTTGAATGTTTAGAGCACACGACCAGTTTTCCATTTGCTAAACCGGAAATAAAAACAATACATCCGTTACTCTTCACTGTCACTGTGTATGGCCCCTTGGTGTTGTTCCGCAACTCCTCTTCCTTTACAGAAGAGAGTTCTTCAAAGTTAAAGAACTTGTCATATCCTCGACAAATGATAACGCCCTCTTTGGTGGTGAACAAACCTCTTGCCTGTGTTGGCAGTTCAATTTTCTTGCTGTAATAATCCCACTCACTGAATCTCCAACTGAGAATGGGTATATCTGTTCCACAAATAACATTTTCTATTTTTCGTATGTGGTTTATCTTTGCATCATGTACACTTTCTGTCAGCTCAAGTAAATGAGACACAAGCTCTCTGGCTTCGTTGTCCTGTTTTTGCTGCTCTTCGGCCGAGAACTGTATTGGCTCAAATTGTGTACTACTCATGACTATTTATACAGAGATGATAATATTAAAAAAACCTCAGACACAAGTTTTGACCATCTCTTTATGTCAAACTCCTTAGCAACATGACATATACCAGTCCAAAAAAAAAGATTTAAATAAATAATGGCGGAATGAAAAATGGAATTTATTACCAGGCGAGGCTCATCTTTTATTTGCATTTTCTAGGTGTTCTAGATGTTCAGATTGAAAACCTTTTCTAATAATAGTTTAGCAGTAAATACAGTACATTCTATATTCTCTATACAAGAGGCTCTATTTCAAGATCGTTGTAACCAAAGATGTATAATGCGTCTTTCAGGGAGCCAGAGTTGAGGCAACATGGTGCCTCAAGTTGGACTTTAGGTTTAGCGTTCCACGCTATACCATATCCAGCCCTATGCATCATTAAAAGATCATTGGCACCATCTCCAACAGCTACAGTCTTTTCCAATGGAATACCATTTTCCTCTGCAAGTTGTACAAGAAGATCTCTTTTCCTTGCTCCGTCCACAATTTCACCCAATGTTTTGCCACTGAGGATCTCAGTATTTTCTTGGTCTTTTTCTGTTTCTAGGAGGTTGGCAAAAGCGTAGTCCAATCCAAGTTGCTCCTTCACGTATTCTGCCAATGGCAAGAACCCACCAGAGCACACAGCAAGCTTACATCCGGCGTTTTTCATAACTTTGCATAATTCCTTGGTTCCCGGAGTAAGTGTAAGTTGTGGTTTGAGGTCTTGCCACAAAGTACTTGACTTAATTCCACGGAGAAGTGCGACGCGAGATGCAAGGGACTGCCTGAAATCAAGCTCGCCATTCATGGAACGGGTGGTAATGTCGGCAACTTGCTCCTCGACACCAGCTTGAGCAGCAATAAGTTCGATGACTTCTTGCATGATAAGCGTGGAGTCCATATCAAAAACAATTAACTTCTTGTCCTTTCTGTGTTGGTCGTTTTTTTGAAATATCAAGTCGACATTAGGAACTGAATATTCAGCGGTCTTTAGGTTTTTCCTGATTGAACTCTCAACATCTTTTAGAGTCGATTCGTCTGGCTTCCCGCTATGGTCCACCTTGGTTAAATCGATGTCAAAGATGAAGTCCGTAGCCTTGGATTGGGATAAAACTGAGAACGATCCCAATTTGATTGGAAGTTTCTTTAGCACTTCCGAAATAGCGGCGTTGTCAGCGGCAGAAAACTCGGTTCCTCTCGCAATAGCGGTAATAACGTAGTTCATTGTTCGCTTTATTGGAGATTCAAGTAAGTTCACCATGCAGGAGATACTGTCAGTGAATTCCAGTTCGATCAAGATAATACCAGAAACGTCAATTCTCATCATCTTTTTTTTCACTCACATTCGTTCACTTTCCATTTTTCATAAAGTAAGGAAATGAATCATCTGCATCACGTGCCCCGGCTCACAAGATTTTTTCTTTTTTTAAGATTTTTTTGTCTCTCTTTGTCCTTCTTGGGCACCCCAAAGGCTAAAACGGGGGAGGTGAAGAGGTGTTGAATTTCTTGCATTACAAGTCCGGAGCATTGTGTATTCGAAAACATAACATATAAGGTAGTGCAAAGATGGATCCGCTACCGACACCAAATGACAACACTGGCCTTTCGACGGCAATGTTTGGAGGGGCCATTTCTGGGATTGTTCAGACCGCTTTGACCTATCCTTTGGAATACTTCAAGACGATTTCACAAATTGAGAACAAGTCAATCATGCTCAAAGAGGCGGTAGTTCCTCATGATTCCATGCGGCCGTTATTTACCGGTTGTCTACCTCTTTCACTAGGAATGGCTTTGAAGTCTTCATCAAGAATGTTTATCTTCAACCAGTTTTCCAACTTCATGGCAGACGATGGTAAGACAAGTGCACCACGGGTGGTTGTTGCAGGTTTAATGACCGGTGTGTTGGAATCTTTTTGGTCGATTCCATTTGAAAACATCAAAGTTCGTATGATTGAGAACTCGATGATCAGATATGGTTTAAAAACGACACTGGATGAGGAAGTTCAACAACCGTCCAAGGTGAACACAGACAATGCCACTCAGAGTGCCAAAAAATCCATCAGAATATCAAACAGACCAAGCAGTTCAAACTCGGTAAAGGAAGTCGCAAAAGAGATGATCAAGCATCCGAGAATGAAGGCTTTGGAATACTATCATCACAATCCGTCATATACTTTCAGTAACATTGTACGTGAGATGTACGAGACGGGAGGCATATCTGCCTTCACGCAAGGTTCTACTATTACCTTACTTCGACAAGGTATGAACAGTATGGTTTGGTATAGCACGTATTCTTCTTTCCAGCAGCTAATAGATCCGAGTCGGGATTCCATCACCGAACTCGAGTTGTTGGCTATGGGGTTTGCATCCTCCATGGCAGTTGTTGGTGTGACACAGCCCATCGATGTGATCAAGACAAGAATGCAAACGAGAGATTACCGTATTGTCTACAAAGACTTGATGACATGCATAGCCTTAATTTTCTTCAAGGAGGGTGTTTCCAAATTTTGGAGTGGATCGGTGCCGAGGTTTGTCAAGGTCAGCTGTTCGTCAACTGTGACGTTGTTGACGTATGAGTATGTCACTAAGGCCGTCAACACCTTGTCCGAAATCAAGCCATTTGCGGCATAATAGAATGTACATATATAAAGAAGGTTTATAAGATCAATTTGGCCACCTTGATTCCCATCAAGCCATTCATGAGGAGAACATACTCACCATCCTGTAAATCTTTCACAGACACAACACCTTCGATGATGTGATTCTTGTCGATCAACCACTTCCTGATGACCCCATCCATGCATCCTGATGCAAGGTTGGGAGTTACCCACCTGAAGGAAACATCACCGGAAAGAGGATCTTTCTGTTGTCTCCAAAAGGCGACACTAGTGATAGATCCTTCGAGGACATTATTGTTATTATCTTGAAGTAAGACTTCCCTACGGTCACCGGGAACAATATTGAGCCTTGACCTAGCCATGTTGTACACATCTCTTTTAGTTGTCTTGAACGATGTGAAGGTCGAAGGTTGACTTTGTTCATGATCTAAGTAGAGGATCCATCCTGTCCAGGTTTGGAGGTAACCGGGTAAGGTTGAGGTGTGGTCTGTTGGGGCCTTTTGGAATTGGTGGTAATCAGGCACATCTGTTGTCAAGGTATTGGACTCTGGCAACGGAGCGTGCTCGATTCCATAGACTCCATCTTGGGAGACAATTATCTTAACCCTGTGAGCCAGCAATCGGTCTGCAGTTTCGAGTGCGTTTGTGAGATGTTCGAGCAGTACCGATGTTGTCAAATTGCCGGTGGGAAACTCAAAGTATTCTCCTGCTCTTCGGAGTTTGTCGACATGATATGACAGTAGGAAGAAGAAGGAGTGATGGAGTGGGGTTGCGTTGAGAGCGTCAAAGAGATCGAGTTTTCCCGTGTATGTGAGAGGGTCGTATCTGAGGGTGGTGAAGATGCTGAAACTGGAATCTTCCGAGAACGGCTTTGTCAGGTAACTCTGGGAGATTTCATCTGCGACAGATTCCAAGTGCTTGTGTGTTCCTCCAGACGTCATTGATATCTGTGGCTATGGTGGATATGTATGACAGGCCCCGTGCTGGAGTATGAAGGGGGCAGTGGTGATTGAGAAAGGTCCCGGAGGTTGGAGAGAAAAAGTGTGCGAGGGCACTAACGAGGGTACTGGGTAGAGATTGGTAGAGGGTGTTATCTATGACGTTACACATTACATAGGAGGTGGGACGGCCACCTCATGATACTTTGAGCTCTTGCTGTATCTGGGTGAGGATGTCGTGGAACGAGGCGAACTCCAAGTAGTTGATGCCATCCCGTTTGCAGATGTCTACGAGGTCGTGCCCCTGTTTTGCGAAGAGCAAGTCGCAGCTTCTGGCGGCGCTCACGTCGCTGACGCCGTCGCCGCAGTAGAAGAGGGTTCCCCTGGTAGCCGGGTCAGGGTAGTAGAGTGCTGCGGCATGCTGGATGCTCTGGTTCTTGTCGTGGCCGAAGCTGGAGTCGTCTCTGTAAACGATGTTCCAGGATCCGGCGCTGTTGGGGGACTCGACGTGGTTGGAGTAGACCTGGATGAACGGGTGGAGCTGTGGGCGGAGGAGCTTTTTGAGGAGCGTTTCGATGATGACGTCCATGCCGCTGGACACGACGATGAGCGGGATGTCGTTGGCGACGCACCACTCGATGGTGTCCGAGAAGCCCGGGTCGAGCTTGACGTTCTGGAGCAAGTACTCGATGCAGTGGGGCAGGGAGTGGCCGTTGGCGGCGACGGAGCCAAGCATGAGGGCAAACGCGTCCCGGAAGGAGAGGGAGCCGTCGAGGATCCTGTCGTTGAGCGCCATGCGCTGGGGGTGGCCCATGCCGAGGTTGTCGGTCAGAAGGTCGTTCGAGTCCTGGAGGGTGACGGTGCCGTCCCAGTCGGTGAAGACGATTGCACGGGGTGGGGTCATTGGCGGGTGTGTGGGTAGGTGGGTGTGTGGGTGGCTTGCGGTCGCTGGCCTGCGATCGGCGGCAGGAGTAGCCAAGGACAGGGCTGGGGCTGATAAGCGACGGCTGGAAAACATGTCAGGGCGAGGGGCGCACGCTTTTTCTGCGGCCGGGTTGCCACTGGACACGTCTACAACACCGAGCTGCGTGCCCGCCTGCCTGCTGGCCTGCTTGCCTGCTGGCCTGCTTGCTGGCTGCACCCTGGCACCACACCCCACACCATGAAGGACATCACCGTGATATCTGGCGGGACGGCAACCAACCACATCCTCGACGCGTTCCACCCCGACGACGGCTACACCGTCACCTACGTGCTGCCTGTGTCCGACAACGGCGGGTCCAGCTCAGAGATCCTCCGCGTGCTGGGCGGGTGTGCCATCGGTGACATCCGCTCCCGGCTTGTGCGCCTGATTCCCTCCGACCACCACGCCTGCGGCATCCGGGGGGTCCGCGACCTGCTCAGCTACCGCCTGCCGCTGGGCACCCACCAGGCCAAGTACGAGTGGTCCCAGCTGGTGGACGGCACGCACCCCATCTGGGGCCCCGTCGACAGCGCCCTCAAGGTGCTGCTGCTGTCCTTCCTCATCCACGTGGACATGGAGATCCACAAGCGCGCCCGCCTGGCCTTCCGCTTCGAGCTGGCCAGCGTGGGCAACCTGTTTCTCACGGGCGCCCGCCTGTTTTTCGGCGACCTGGACTCTGCCATCGAGCTCATCTGCCGCGTGTGCCGGCTCCACGAGCACGTCAGTGTGTGCGGCTGCCTCAACACCAACTTCACCTACCACATCGCCGCCATCCTCTGCAGCGGCGAAGTCATCCGCGGCCAGAGCCAGATCTCGCACCCGTCGCCGGCCCCGGCCGTGGGCCCGGCCGCAGACCCGGGCCAGCGGCCCCCCCGCGCGCAGCACAACCGCTCCGTGGAGGATCTCGTCGGCTCGTCGCTCGCGCACCCGGCCCCCGCCTCCGACGACCCCATCCACCCGTCCCTCGGCCGCTCCCAGCTCCACTTCGAGAAGGACGACCGCAACGTGCCCCCGCTCCCAAGCCCCATTGCGCGCCTCATCTACATCTCCCCCTACGGCGAGGAGATCCACCCGCGCGCCAGCCCGCGCACGCTTGCCGCCCTTGCCCGCAGCGACGCCATCGTCTACAGCATCGGCTCGCTCTGGACCAGCGTCGTGCCCGTGCTGCTGCTCCGCGGCGTGGGCGAGCAGGTGGTGCGCCGCCGCCCGCGCGGCCAGCCGCCCGTGCGCAAGGTGCTGCTGCTCAACAGCGACTCCGACCGTGAGACCCGCGGGCTCGACGGCGCGGGCTTCGTGCGCGTCGTGGTGGCCGCCGTCGAGTACTCGCTCGCGGGCGACACCGCCCGCGCGCCCGTCCCCGTCTCAGACGTCGTCTCGGACGTCGTCTACGCCGCCGACGGCGGCACCGCGCTCTCGCCCGCCGCCCGCGCCCAGCTCGAGCAGCTCGGCGTCGCGTGCCACGCTGTCCCCGGCACCCGCATGACCGCCCCCGCCGTCGCAGCGCTGCTGCGCGAGCTGCTCCCGGCATAGCGCCCGCCGGGGGGCCGGCCGGAGACCCGTCCGCGAACTTCTTTTACTGTGTAGAACAGAATGTCTTTCTATGTGCTCGCCGTCGGGACTGTCTCGCAAGAAAAACCCTCGCTCGCCCTCGTCCCCCTCTGTTGCGCTCCGCCGTCCCGCCGAGCCGCGGCCGCAGCTATAAAAGGAACGCCCCCCGCCCCTCCCCGCATCCCTCCTTCTCGGCCCCCGCCCGCCCCCCGCTCTGACAGTCTCTCCCTCTGCAACGCAAAATACACGGGCTGCACGCCCCCCACACAGCGCCGAGACGAGGCCGGCCCTCTGCTACGGCAGCGGGTCCGTGGCCCATGAAGTCTCTGGCACGGGGCGGCCGCCGCCGGGGCAACCCGGCGGCGCAGGAGCAGCCCCCGAAGAGCCACCGTCCGCCGGTCTTGGGTGCAGTGGGGTGTGATGGACCTGTCTTCGTGCAGCCACATGGGCCCGACTGCAAGGACCGCCGGCACATTCCTGTATCCGTAGTAGGCGTCTGCAGCCCTCGGCGGCCCCGGCCGCCGCCGCCGCCGCCGGGGCCCGGCCGATTGGAATTTCTCCACCCGTCATTCGGCGGCCGTTTCCCGTCAGCGCTCCGCTTTTTGCTCCACTCGTGCGATTTTCGTGCGCTTGTGTGCGGTTGCGTGAAAAAAATAGAAAAAGTGTCACTGTCAGGCCTCCTGGCTCGGGGACAAGGGTTCTGTAGGTGATCTGCCGCCCCTCTTGTTCGGAGCTCTCCGTCGTGTGCTTCTTGTTGCTCTTCTTCTCGTGTAGACGACTGCCTTCCTGGCTGCAGACCCACACACCACTGCTTTGCTCTTGGCTCCGTCCTTCCCGCCAGCCTCTGTCCTATACCCCAGCGTCCTTATCTCAGCGGAACCCTCCTAGCCCCGCCTCACACACTCCCGGAGCCGCAGAGCCGTACCAGCAGTCCCACCCACACACACACACACACACACACACATGACACTGGTTCTACGCAGATTCTTCTCCGTGGCACGGGCCGCAGCTGACGCTGCGGCCGCTCCGTCGCTAATCAAGCTCCACCCGGTCTCCCAGCTCAAGCAGAGACAGCTGCCGTCCTACGTCGGCCAGCCCAACTCGATAGTCAAGTCGCTCATCTGGACAACGCCGCCAAGCAACGTGCTCATTGTGAAAAAGCCGTGGCACTCCAAGGTTCTCGACGCAGCCATCACCTTCATCCAGCACCTCCACGAAAACTACCCCTCCGTCAACATCATCGTCGTTCCAGAGGTCGCAGAGGAACTCAACGCCATCGAGCAGACGGACACACGGCAAGGGGCGCCGGCGGCAGCATCAGCAGACGGCGCCGACAAGCAACCCATCAGCATCTTCACCGGCCCGCTCGACGACATCATCTCCAGAACAGACCTCATTGTCTCCCTTGGCGGCGACGGCACCATCCTCCGCGGTGTCTCCCTCTTCTCGAACACAACCGTCCCGCCGGTCCTGTCCTTCTCCCTCGGCACCTTGGGTTTCCTACTTCCCTTCGACTTCAACAACTACGCCGACGCATTCAAACAGGTGTTCGAGTCCCGCTCAAGCATCCTCAAGCGGGAGAGAATCGAGTGCCACATTGTCAAGTCGAACCCGGACTCGGCAGACCTCAGCCAGCAGCGCAAGGACCTCGAAACGTCCTACCAGAACACTCGCTCCCTTAATGCTCAAGAGGAAGTTGAACGTTTGAAACGCCTCTGCGCAGCCATGGACGCCCCCTTCGATAAGTTGACCGTATCCTCCGAGCTCAAGTCCTTGAAGAAGTTGAAAATCCATGCCATGAACGACATCGTCCTACACAGAGGCTCCCTACCGGGATTAGTCAACCTAGACGTCTACATCAACGGCAACTTCCTCACCCGCACAACTGCAGACGGTCTCATCTTCGCCACTCCAACAGGATCCACCGCCTACTCCCTCTCCGCAGGAGGATCCATAGTCCACCCAGTCGTCAAGTGCATCATGCTCACGCCCATCTGCCCAAGAAGTTTATCATTCCGGCCCTTGATTCTCCCTCTCAACTCGCATATATTGATCAAGGTCATTGGCAAAGAAAACGTCAAGATCGACTACTCCAAGTGCAACGCAAAGCTAAGCATAGATGGCATCCCGCAATTGAAAATGGTGCCTGGCGACGAGATTCACATCATCAGCGAAAGTGTCTCAAGACTCAATACCGTCAACGATGAGGATGATGACGTCGCCTCAGCCGCCACCATCTCTCCTCCTACCGTAGACGACTCTCCGGACACAGCAACTACCGGAAAAGACGTTCCAAGTAAGGTGAAGATCGTGGGCAGACGTTCCCCAAAGAGAACATCCGAAAGAAGCGGTGTTTGGTGTGTCGTCCAGAGCAAGGGCGACTGGGTGAATGGAATCAACGGAATGTTGGGATTCAACCTAGGCTTTAAATCTTCCAAATCGGATAAATGAGAAAAAAATCCACTTTTTTAGTTAAGCTATATTCTTTCCCGTTCTTATCAAATAGACTTTGCTCAGCTTTCACTTAATTCATTCTTTAGGTTACTTTTTTTTCGTTTCTTCTATTTTTATTATTTTTCCATTTCAAAAGGTTACGGATCATTTTTTTATGCTTCACGTTTTTTTCTAGCTCTTGACTCATATACATACAAACCGCATCATAAACGCTAACACACCTTAAAACACATCTCACGCACTATACTTAAATCAACAAACTTGTTTAAAACTAGAATATAGATATATACATATATATATGTTACACAAAATCAACAACCAAACAAAAAATTATGGATGAAAAGGAAAAACATTCATGGATCTGTATCCATTTTATCTTCGATGGGAACTTTAGCTTCGAATTTTTTTCCCTCAGCCGCCGTGACAGCAGCCGTATCGGTAATAGTAGTAGTATTCTCAGGTTCTGGCTTGCTTTCTGATTTTACACTTTCCTGCGTCACGTTTGCAACTGGGGCTATTGCAGGCGCCGTAGTTGTCTCCGTTGGAACCGCCGTCGTGGCAGCGGTAGTTGTCGTTGATTGCTCGAAAGCAGGTTCACTAGTAGTCATTGGAGTCGAATCCGATGTAGATAAAATCGCTGGCTTTGCATCAGTCATGTCAATGTCAATGTCCTTGTCCTTGACTTTGACAGCATCTTCATCGTGGTCAAAATATTCGTTTTCAGGCACCGTCATCTCATCCCGCCTCTTCTGACTTCCTCCTCTTGTGTCGATTGCCTCATTGCCATCTTCCTCAACGTCGTCTTCAAAATCCAAGATGTCTTTAGGCATTTCGTTCATCTGAACACTAGGTGCATGCTTCGCATTGTCCAAGTTGGTGAATATCTGGGTCATTATCCTGTTGAGGTATTCTGGTGTGTTCGCATTGTGCATGTTACTTGGACGCACCTCCAACTTGTAATCAGGTCCGTAGTACTCGAAGTAATCATTAAAAGGCAACTCAGGACCCAAGACTTTCTGGTTCAATAACCCGGTTTCGTAAGTCCACGTCCGTGAAACATTTCTCATTGTGTAACCACCACCTCCAAGAATCATCAGTGGCAATCCAAAAGATTTGATGTAGTTGATGCAGTTTGCATGGCCGTACATACTCAAATTAAAACATCCTAGACGGTCCCCAGAGAGAGAGTCTCCTCCACACTGGAAGACAATGGCACTAGGTTGATACCAATCGATGACACGCTTCATCACTGGCTCAAAGAGGTTCTTGTATGTTTGATCATCAATACCGTCTCTCAATGGAACGTTGATGGAATGGTACTTTCCTTTGCCGACACCAATATCACGTAGCTCACCAGTTCCTGGGAAGAACTCTCCATATTTGTGGAAAGACACAGTCATCACACGGTCGGTGGTGTAAAACGCCTCCTCAACACCGTCTCCATGGTGAACGTCGATGTCAATGTACAGGACTCTGGGGTGATATCTGAGGAGCTCAATGATACCGAGAACAATGTCATTCACGTAGCAGAATCCACTGGCTTCACTTTTCTTTGCATGATGCAACCCACCAGCATAGTTGATCGCAACATCGCACTTCCCCCTATTCAACCTGGCTGCTCCCTCCATCGATCCACCACCGGAAATCGAACAGTACTCAAACAACCCATCAAACACGGGACAATCGTCTCCGACGTTGAACTTCAACTGTTCCTTATTGAACATCTCTAAGTTGTCTGGTGTAACACGGGCAAGAAAGTCGACGTACTCATCCGTGTGGAACTGAGTCATCTCTTGTCTGGTGGCCGGTTTCGCCCGGTATATCTCCATCGACTTGTACAGCCCGTAGTTCATGATCAACGAGTGTGCCATTCTAATTCTGTGTGGCTTCATCGGATGTGCAGACCCATACGAGTAGTTCCCGACATCACTGTCGTAGAAGTACGCTATCCTCTTCTTGTCCTGTGGGTTCACCTTGATCTCGCCAAACGGCTTGTCTTCATACAACATGGATGCTAGATAAAAATTATATGTCGGTGTGTATGCGTGTGCGTGTGTGTTTTGTATATATATATATCTATATTGGTTGTGTCCTCCACTATATATGTCCGAATGCTCTATCTAGTTACACAAGGAAATGACTATCCCTTTCTTCTGCTTCTTTCGTATACATCATCCTTCATCAACACCTCAGAACAGAATCAACACCTCTCCTGGTCCTCCTCCTCAGCGTCTCAGCAGCCCGCGCTCGAGCTCGCCGCTCACTCTTTCGAGACGCTCCACAAGACGCAAGCCGCTGGCAACTTCGGTCTCGAGAGGGAAGCAGAGGCCGTTGGCATACAAATCGGCGTCCTCACATTGGCCCCCGACGTCGTAGCTATATGTGACCGGGAGTAGCCACTGCCACCAGTGCTGGCCCATCACGACCCGCCAATTTTCCCTCCAGCCTAAGTCGAAAACGTTTCCCACGTTGTGGCGACGACGGCGGTAACGCTGCATCTCGTAGCTCTCGATCGTAGTCTTATTGCGAAGCACCTGGTAGAGAGTGAAGCCAGTAAATAACGCCATGCTGAGGGTAAAGACCAGACCGAGACAGAAGACAAAGAGTACGTGGAAACTGAAGAGCTCCACGGACCATCTGTTGTTGACGAAGAACTGTACCAACACCCAGCAACTCACCCACGTCACCAGCACGAGATACACCTCGGAGTAAGCCAAAAACTGCATAAAGTACCTGTAGTTACGAAATCCGATGCATTCACCGAACCACGGACAGTGGTGGTCCATTCTCAAGATGCACCTCTCGCAGGCACTGCAGTGATGGCTCCGGTCGGGCTTCCAGCACTTGCACTTCGAACAAAACCTGAACCCGCCGTTACCCTTCACCATCATTGAATGAGACACAAACCGCTCCGGTGGGTGCATTGCTTCGCCCGCCATGTTCGAGTTTCCGTCCTCATCCTCACTGTACCCCGGCACAACAAGCATTGGAAACTCTGTCGGGCTTCCCGGACCAACGAATAACACACAGTAGTATGTCGTCAAGCACATTGCCCACACAAATGTAAGCACAATTCCAAAAAATACGCCGCTGCATCCTGCAAACGGCGGCAATAGAAGTATCACCTTGAACAAAACCGCCCAAAAAGACCATGTCACCAACAGCGTCACCGATACTCGGGGGAATACTTGAGAAACAACCCCCAAACAGTTGGTGAGCCTGCTCATTGTTCTCGTATAGCTAAGTAATTGTCCGATGCTAGCTTTCTATTGATGAAACAACCCTCTAAAGAATATTCACCAGCCTCTATTTGGCCTTCAGAGGGTGTGCTTACATACCTATCCATGTTGGAAAATCAACAATAGCTGAAAAGGGAAATTGTTATACGATGATTACATAATACATGCGATATTGTCTCTAAACATTGTAGAAGTTGCCCAAGATAAACTTCAGCAATCCGCCACTGAAAAACACTACCTCTCCGTCGAATGCTTTCACATCCATCTGATCCTCGTACTGCCAGATAAGAAGCTCGTCCAAGGTGACATTGAAAACGCCCTTCTCGCTGCTATTAGTCAGTTCTATAGTGAAATAGCCCGGTTTGTTGCAGCTAAAGACAACATTTACCCGGTTAAGCTTGGACGAACCAGTAAATCCAGTAAACCCTCCGCTGCTACCCATTGATTCAATACCATCTCCAACAGTTCTTATCACGCCTTTATCCATCAAATGTTTCAAGGTCATTTTATGTTGACCATAGAGAGCATTTCCAGATCCGTTCTTCGACTTGTGGAGAGCTTGGGCACGCTTTTTAATTCTCCGTCCAGATCTGCTGAACAACTTAGACAAAAATGCCTTACTCTGCTTACCACTCTCTTCGCTATCGGGATTATCTTCCTCATTTTGAACGCCCTTCATTAAATGCTCGTTCAATACTCCACGAATTGTATTTTCGTACTCCTCATACTTCTTTTGGTAGGTTCTGCTACGTCTCTTCAGTTCGGTCAACGTTTCAACAATCACAGCTTTTTCGGCATCACGGGATTCTTGCTGTTTCCTCTTATTACGAATTTCATTCGCAATATCATTGAGTAAATTCTGGTATCCATCTCTTTGCGAAATCATGCCGAGTTTCTCTAGCTCAAATATCAACTCTAGAGCATGCTTTTTCACCTGAGGAAAACTAGAGTTATGGATTTGATCAATCGACTTCTTTTCAAGTATTTGAACAGGTTGATCAGAATTGCGTTTTAATAATTTCTTTTCCTCTTTGACAATTTCTTTGAATTTCAGCTCATCTGCAGGTTCTATTTCACTAACTAGCAAATCAACCAAATCCTTACCATCTTGAACTTGGAGAATGTATATCATGTATTTCTTCACCTCAAGCATCATTGCCTCCCCGACAATTTTTTCGACTCCTTCCTCTTTGTCATCAACTAGCTTGATATTTGTGTAACCGTATTGATCGCAAGGCAACTTTCTGATACCCTTTTTCTTATCTATGCCTAGTGACTCTTCTATCTCCTTGATACTGTAATACAACAGATCACCATGGTCACCAAAAATCTCATTCAAAAATTCTTTCCAGATACATACCAATTCTCCAATGTCATCGTATTGTATTTTTAGAATCATATTCTCTTGGCTAGATTCAAGCATGATTTTTCTGTAACTAACATCAGTTAGTGGCACATCGATTAGCTCATTGATAAATTCTTTCATCTGGCCACTCAGCTCATCAATAAAAGGATTCAAGCTAATCAAATATGGGTATTGGTCGACATCAAAATGTCTCATCAAGACACATTGATTTAAAAGAATTGAAGCAAGTTCTATGTTTCTGGTTATGGTCTCGACAATAGCTAGATCATCACTGATTGCAAACAAATCGATTGAAAAATTTGCAGGGTTACGGAAAATGGGAAGCACATAACACTGAATGAATACTATTCCGACCATTTCTAAGTGATATGAGTCAGAAACATTTTTATTCGACTTCAATGCTTCATAAAATTCACGACATAGGCATTTGATGTAGATAGGAATACTAGAGACTATTTTCTTCAAATATTTAAAAATTTCGTAGACGGATGCTCTTAAATTTTGCATGTTCTTCACATATTCTTTTTCAACACATGAAATATCGAGCGGTTCAAGGTTTCCAACATCGACATTTATTTTCTGTGCCTCTGTAATTTTATCTGATGATTCTACCAAGTTGCTAAATATCTTCCAAGGATCGCATTCAAATGATACTTCATCATCAGAGGTTATTAAAAACACGGCATCACCTAGTAAGGTTTTTGTAAGTGTTCTTTGCGGAGGAAGATTGAGGTACGCATGTAATAAAAGTTCCCAGTACTTGACGTCAGAATTTTCTAATTCCCGCCTTCTCTTTATCATTCTTTTATAGCTATCATCAGATAACCTAGAAATGTGCAAATTGAAAGTGCAGATAATGAGCTTAACGTATAAACATTCTTCTCGAGTTTGTTCTGCAACAGCATTGGTATCATTATCACGATAGTTAAAACACTTCAAGATCCAATCCTCAATGTGGCCATGCGAAAACTCAACCAAGTCACCAGTCATTTCAATATAGTTCAAAACTCTAGCCCAATATTCTGGTTTTGCTTGGAGGATGTAGAAAAAGCTCCCAATACATTCGTTCAAAAGGTCAGATTCTCTCTTGGTTATCACCTCAGTATTGACATCATTACTGAACTTTGAGTTGTTACCCCCAATGATATCTTCCACATCAATTAGCTTTGTAAGAACAGCATTTCCTGCATTGACATTATTTTTCAATCCGCCTTCAACATTCTTAATGTTGATTCCATTCTTTCTCAAAATTTCTACCTTTGTTTTTAGTTTGGACAGCTTTTTAAGTTCTTCTTTGACATGGTTCTTTTCTGACTTGATCTCTTCCCTCAATTTCATGATATCTAGCTCTTCTCTTGTTGTTTTCTCAGCCTCGAGTCCTCCAAGTACCCCAATAAATTTCTTAACGGCCCTGACAGGTGGATTCTTTTCTTCAATCAAAGTCTTATAATCCTGTACACCATGCAATCCCCGGATAATAGCTTGTAAACGGCATATTTTGATTAGATTTTCAGGTTTTTGAAACCATGCTTCTCTGTCCCTTATACGTGTTCTAACAAGAAAACCACGAATTTCACTTTGTAAATTTATGACGGAACCAGCAGAATCACATATATCTTCAATCAAACAATCATGATCTACTCGGGATTCAATTCCCCGCAATATACTTTGAAGGGTGATGATCTCATTTTGAGAGTTTGATAGTTCTTTTCTCAACTCTTTGTAAGTTTTTCGGATCAGCACACCTTTTGCCAAAGCCACAAAGCTTAAGAATGTCTGTTCGTTATCATAAATTTTATCAATAAATTTATTCAAGCGCTTTCTAGTCAAAGCACCTCTAATATGAGATTGTAATTCAGTTACATCATCCTTGGCATTATCCAGTTCAGCCATTTGTTCAGTAGTAACAATATCATCCATATTTTGATTAGCCTTTGAATCTTTGAATAGCACAGTATTAGTTGAAGATACTCTGCTTTCAGATGGTATAACAAATTCACTCAAGCTAACCTTTGTTGGTGAATGCTGCAGTCTCGAGAGTGATTTTTTTTCTTTGGGTGGAGTCAAAGGTTCCTCAATTGGAAGGTTAGGTATGTACTTTGCGTTTTCTCTTCGTGTCTCTTTTCTTCTTGGTACTTTTCCGGGTTCAGGTAGTTCATAACGTTCCTGTAGTCCATATACAGGTTTTTTCCTCGGAGACTTTCTACTGCTTTCATGCAGGTCCTTTGATGAGTGTCTTCTTGATGGGGCAGTTGGAATATCGAACTGTTCAAATAATTCGTTCTCATCATATGGAGCAATTAGTGGGTTTTGGTCATCATTGGCATGGCTGACACGCTTTGGTTTGACCTTGGCTTTTTTTGTTGGTGAATCAAGTATATTAACATTCTTACGGGAAAATGTTTCATTATTGTCAGTTTTACTGGTGAACAATTTTTTCCTGAAATAGCTTTTGTCTTTAATCTTTGTTCTGGTCAAATCACCTCGTATGACTGATTGTAACTTTATGACTAAGTTCATTTCATGGAGTAAGAATTTTCTGATTTCCCAATATTTTTGCCTCATGAACATACCTCTAATAGATGACTGTAAATTTGAAATATCAGTTTGATTTTCACGGAGACTTGATAAGTTCTTGAGGAGCTCACCATGCCTCCTCTTGTTCTTCAGAATTGTTTTCATCATCTCTGAGTTCCCGTATTCATTTAAAGAAGACAAATCTAAAGCATCAATATCGATAAAAGCGTCAGTTGTCACAACCGTATTCTTCTTTCTAAGGTTGAGTTTTTGACGAACCATAATACCACGACATATTGATTGGAATGATATAACAGAACTAGTATTACCCTTCAAAATGGCTTTTGTAACAAACAGATCAAAACGTAAAAGATATCCACGGGCTAAGGATTGTAATCTAATTAAATCTTCATCTGGAGAGGATGGCTTATGGGAGTCTGCCGTTTGAGGAGGCGTTATTAACGAAGATTTTGCAAAGCCGTTATTGTACAAATGCACTTTCTCATTATTGAATGATACTTCTGTTAAGATACCACCTAAAAGCTCTCGTTCTTCCTCATCAATTAAAAACTGATATTTTTTTTGTATCTCTGAGATTGAATGAACTGAGGGCATTGATGGTATCATGGAGGATTTGTTGAAGAGGAGACGTGCATCACGCGTATACTCTTGGTCTTTTGCTGAAGGTGGAAGTATGATTGGAGAGGAGGGAGAGGAAGGAGAGGACATAGTTGAAGAAGAAAAGTTATCTCCTGAAGATCCATGCCCCCCCTCCTGGGTATCAGATAAGCCTAAATCTAGGTCAGTTTTATCAAAGTCAAGGCTCAATAGAGATTTGTCGTTATTGTCAGAGACTGACAAGAGAATCTCATCGGGCTCTTCAGCGGATGATTTAGGTTCAAATATCACATCTGAGGAAGCTTTTGAGGTATTCTCCACTTCAGGAGTTTTCTCCTTGTTGGACTTGTTTTGCGGTATCTGAACCAACTGGAGCTTTCTAATGTCATCACCAACATTTACCCTGACCGCTTCGTCAAAACCTTCCACATACTTCCGGCCTAAGGTACCTCCAAATCTGCCAACTTTATGTTTGATTTGTTTCAGCTTGTCAACGTTAACATTCAAAGCTAGCAACGTCTTTGACACTTCTTCGCCTTCTGCAAGCTTTTCCACTGGAGCAGACCTACCAAGCATGGCCATTAGACAGCTGAGCGCATGTAAGCAAGCAATTACTTTTGGTATATCCTTTTTTTCGTAGAGATCGTTAGTTTCGAAAATAAAGAGGGACGGAAGCTTTACTCGGCGAGAAAAGTCTAAAAACTGCACAATATTCTCAATGTACTTGAATTGTTTGGTGGTCATTTTGTAGTTTATAGGTTCATCCCCTGCACTTGAGGGCTTGAGACCTGTGTAAACTCTTTTGATGTGCTCGGGATCAAAGTGTTGAGCAATTTGCGCTAACAAGATACCATTGGAAAGATAGTCGGGAAATTGATCTATATCAGAGTTCTCCAACAGTAGGTCGACGCTCAATAAGTTTTCAATCCAATTTTTTATCTCAACCATTCGGCATACATATGCAGCCAATTTCAGGTTATCCCGATCAGTGTCAAGCCATGTTTTGATGGCAATGGAGGAAGGTGTTGTCAAATTCTTGTTTATATTTTTCGTGCTAAAGGTCTTGGGTAAGACGCTACTAGTCTTGGAGTTTGAGACTGCCTCTTTTTTGTTCGGCACAGGAGAAAAGTGTTCCAATCGGGATTGGATATCTTTCAATTTATTCAAATTCTTTTTCGATGGTGAATTGGACATTGCGTTATTTATGACCCCCATTCTGTTGATTTCACTCTTGGACAGTTTATCCGATTCGATGTTTGTCTCCTGCTGTTTAACGAAGACGTTTCTTCTGTCCTTGATAGATTTGTTATCAGGCCGTGGAGTAAAATCAAGAGCACGATTTTCCTTGGATTCCTGCTCCTTGGCCTTAATCATCTGCTGGACCGATGTAAGGGGTCTTTCGCTTTTTTTGATGGGAGAAGCGGTGGGAGAAACAAGAGTCTTTTTGGAAGCAGTCTCGTTGTCATTAATCTGTTTTGGTTTCAAAACCGGAATGACATCACCACCTTCATCGGCAGAAATGCTGTTTAAAAACGCAGCTGCCTTGGTGACCTTTGGCGACGACATAACAGGCTGTTTGAGAGCAAGTTCTGTGGTACAGGGAGGTTCTGTTGCCAGGCCGCTATCCCGTTATACAAGCATTACACAAAGAAGCTTTAGTCGTGTCTGAAACGAATGTTTGTTTACGTTTGGATCGATATGGCGACAAGCTCGAAAAACAAGAAAAAAACATAAAGGAGTCGATCGGCTCAAAATTTGGATTTTTGATCCTATATGGGAGCCGAGTGGAGCCAAGTGTGAGCTGTCGAGAAGAAGTAAAGGGAGTCTTTCTCTTTTACAACCGTGGTTGATGTGACAAAACCGTCGTGGTTATCACAAATGGTCAGTATCAGCAGACCATCAAAAATCAGCCTAGCTGCTTTTCCCTAGACACTTTCCCCCCATTCCCCCACGTGGATCTTTTCTCCCAGAGGTGCCTTTCTTGTACGCATCAAAGTTACTTGTTCACATATGTACACAAAGCCCGATAACTACGGAGAAAAGCAAACGGGATTAAGTGTCTCTGTAAAACATTAGCAGGGTTGTTATCAATACGTAACAAATTTTTGTATGCCCAAACGGTGGGCAGAGCCTATCAGCATGGCACATCACAATAGGGGTGTCGGAAATAGAATGGACATAAGCAGAGCGCCATGAAAATAATAAAGTCGGTCGGTGAATGTTAGACTCCGAGGTATAATGGAATTAACAGGGCTCTACCCCCGTTTATAATTAATAATGTATGGCTTTAAAATCGCAATATAAGAAGGGCACTTATCCGGGGTATAGCTGTTGTAGTAAGAGCAATGACCACGAGAACGTTTCATCATATTAAATCCTAATATTGTAGCATTGACCACTATAATTAAATACTATGGCAAACACTACTGTTTTAGTCACCGGCGGAACCGGTTTTATTGCAACACACGTTATTGACAAGCTCTTGGCTAAGAAGTACAATGTCATCAGCACTGCAAGATCTGAAGCAAAGTACTCTCCTTTGTTGAAAAACTTCAAAGCAAAGTATCCTGAGGGAACACTTATTTACGAGGTCGTCCCCGAAATTTCTGCCGATAATGCGTTTGACGAAGTTTTGAAGAAGCATCCCGAGATCACCATTGTCTTACACACTGCTTCTCCAGCTTCATTTGGTTATGACCTGCCTCTTGAAGACGCCTACTTGAAGCCGGCAGTCAATGGGACTTTGAGCATCTTGGAGGGGATCAAGAAGTATTCCCCTCAGGTCACCAATGTTGTGATCACCTCTTCTATTGTTGCGATGGCGGACACCAAAGCCAGTTTTTCGGGCCAGGACTGCTCTCATGTTACACTCACAACTGATATGTGGAACCCTCTTACCTGGGAAGAAGTTAAAGACCCAATGGAAGCATACGCTGCGTCGAAGAAGTATGCCGAAAAAGCTGCCAGAAAGTTTTACGAAGACGAAAAGCCAAGCTACAAATTTGCGACCGTCAACCCGCCATTGGTCGTCGGACCACAGGTCTTCGACGACTTGGTTACGAAGCAGATGAATTCTTCAAATGAGATGGTCAACATGGTAACAAAGCTTCCACCATCCACCGAACCTCAAACCTCTTTCCCAGCTATCACAGTTGATGTCAGGGACATCGCTGAATTCCACGTTCTAGCATTCGAAAAAGAAAAGCTAGCAGACGAAAGAATCGCCGTTGCGTCATCTGCTTGTATTGGCCAAAGATTCTTGAACATCCTAAACGATAACTTCCCTGAGTTGGACGGTAAGATCTGCAAGGGTGACTATGCCAGTGTTGACAAGTTGGAGGATAAAATGTGTCCTAGATACGACTATAGAAATATTATCGAAAAGGCCGGTGGCTACGATTTTATTCCATTAGAGACGTCCGTCATCGACTTGTTCAAGCAGTACTTAGCCAAGTATAGCATTCCTTAATTGACATTTTTGTACCACTTCGTCTTGTGTAATAATGTCCAATCTGAACTAACTTTCCAAAGTCCGATCTATAGTCTTTTGAAAACAGAAGAGCACGTGATTTGCTGACGTAAACGTAATTTTTTGCCTTCCTGTCCGGCCCCGTTTTTTCTAATTTCTTCCATGGAAGGTTCTAGTACAAAAAATCGGCCTCCCTGGAAATGAAATAAGGACGAGCCACCTCAAAAGTTCTCGATTTTTCCACCAACGCCAAAACCGCCATTTTTCTTCCACTTTTGCCCATGCCACCACCACCGGAGTGCTTAATTTATAAGTTGGCCTCTTGTCCACTTTCTTGGCCGATCTCAGCCCTCTTTCGCTTTGTTTGTTCTCTTCGCCCTTCTGTTTCTCCCTTTCAGGTAACGAAGAACAAACTTTTATTTCTTGGAATATAGTTTATACACTTCTTGTATATCACATCGACCCACATATACATCCATATAGCCAAAATGTCGAAAACTGAATCATATGAGTTCCAAGCTGAGATTTCTCAGCTTATGTCTCTTTTCATTAACACTGTTTACTCGAACAAGGAAATCTTTTTGAGAGAGTTGATCTCCAATGCATCCGATTCTCTTGATAAGATTCGTTATCAATCATTGTCTGATCCAAAGGTGTTGGAGTCTGAGCCAGAACTTTTCATCAGAATCACTCCTAAGCCAGAAGAAAAGGTTTTGGAAATCAGAGATTCCGGTATTGGTATGACCAAGGCGGAATTGGTCAAGAACTTGGGTACTATTGCAAAGTCTGGTACTAAGGCTTTCATGGAAGCTTTAACTGCAGGTGCTGATGTTTCGATGATTGGTCAGTTCGGTGTCGGTTTCTACTCTGTTTTCTTGGTTGCTGACAAGGTCCAAGTTATCTCCAAGTCCAACGACGACGAACAATACATCTGGGAATCCAACGCCGGTGGAAAGTTCACTGTCACCTTGGATGAAACCAATGAAAGAATTGGTAGAGGTTCCATCATCAGAATCTTTTTGAAGGAAGACCAGTTAGAATACTTGGAAGAAAAGAGAATCAAGGAGGTCGTCAAGAAGCACTCCGAGTTTGTCGCTTACCCAATCCAATTGGTTGTCACCAAGGAAGTTGAGAAGAAGGTTGAGGAAGAAGAAGAAAAGAAGGAAGAAGAAACTGAAGGCGACGACGAAAAGAAGCCAAAGGTTGAAGAAGTGAAGGATGAAGAAGACGAAAAGAAGGAGGAAAAGACTGTCAAGGAATTGGTTACTGAGACTGAAGAATTGAACAAGACCAAACCTCTTTGGACCAGAAACCCTTCTGAAATCACTCAAGATGAATACAACGCTTTTTACAAGTCCATCTCCAACGATTGGGAAGACCCATTGGCGGTTAAGCACTTCTCTGTTGAAGGTCAACTAGAATTCAAAGCTATCTTGTTTATTCCAAAGCGTGCTCCGTTCGACTTGTTCGAGTCTAAAAAGAAGAAGAGTAACATCAAGTTGTACGTTAGAAGAGTTTTCATCACCGATGATGCTGATGAGTTAATCCCAGAATGGTTATCTTTCGTCAGAGGTGTTGTTGATTCCGAAGATTTGCCATTGAACTTGTCTCGTGAAATGTTGCAACAAAACAAGATCTTAAAGGTCATCAGAAAGAACATTGTCAAGAAATGTATTGAAACTTTCAACGAAATCTCCGAAGATAAGGAACAATTCGACAAGTTCTACCAAGCCTTCTCTAAGAACATCAAATTAGGTATTCACGAAGACCCACAAAACAGATCATCTTTGGCTAAGTTGTTGAGATTTAACTCAACTAAGTCTTCCGAAGAAATGACTTCATTGTCTGACTACGTCACTAGAATGCCAGAACAACAAAAGAACATTTATTTCATTACTGGTGAATCATTAAAGGCTGTTGAAAAGTCTCCATTTTTGGATGCTCTAAAGGCTAAGGGTTTCGAGGTCTTGTTCCTTGTTGACCCAATTGATGAGTACGCTATGAACCAATTGAAGGAATTCGAAGACAAGAAGCTTGTTGATATCACTAAGGATTTCGAATTAGAAGAAACTGAAGATGAAAAGAAGAAGCGTGAAGAAGAAATCAAGGAGTTCGAACCATTAACTAAGGCATTAAAGGATATTCTTGGTGACCAAGTTGAAAAGGTTGTTGTTTCCCACAAATTGGTTGACTCTCCAGCTGCTATCCGTACTGCCCAATTTGGTTGGTCCGCTAACATGGAAAGAATCATGAAGGCACAAGCTTTAAGAGACACCTCAATGTCTTCTTACATGTCCTCTAAGAAGATTTTCGAAATCTCTCCATCTTCCCAAATCATCAAGGCATTAAAGACCAAGGTTGAAGAAAATGGTCCAGATGACAGAGTCGTGAAGAACTTGACCACTTTGTTGTACGACACTGCATTGTTGACCTCTGGTTTCTCACTTGAAGAACCAACATCATTCTCAAAGAGAGTTAACTCTTTAATTGCATTAGGTTTGAACATCGAAGACGATGACGAAGAGGCTGATGTCGATGCTGCTCCATCTGACAAGCCAGCTGCTGCTGAAGAAGCTGAATCTGCTATGGAAGAAGTCGATTAAAAAAGTACAGCACGGCTTTCATGTAGATTTATATCAGGGTAATCTAGTTAATGTTTGATAATAATTTAAATTCGTTTCAATTTTATAATAATGTTTATACAGTCATAAGAAAATCTGGCCTCGTTCAGATTATCGTGTTTCTCCGGATTGTCCATTCCGTCTGCTGATGATTTTTAGGACCATAATTTTCAATCATCATCGTTCAAGGGTCAATCTGGTAGCGCTAAATCCCCATTGCAGTGCATAAAAGTAGCATGCAATTCATGATTGTTCGTAGAGCAACATATATGCTGCTTTCCCATCGGCAAGTACGCTATTTTCAGAAACTTCGGTTACTTTACTATCACTAATCCTCCAATATGGTTTATTGATAACACTTAGCAACTTTTTATGTTTTCTCCTAATATTTTTTTGGCTATGAATTATTCTGCTGTTCTGAGATCTATCGTTTCCACAAACAATAGCTGGAGAATCATTCGAGTACTCTCCCTCCCGTACTTTATAAAACTGAGGCTTCTTTCGATAGCATTCGTAATGACCAAAAGAGGGAGTCCCCTTATGTCGAATCACGCTTCGCAAGGTATAGATAACCGGGTCAGAATTTTCTCTCGTTGTGAATTCTAGTGTAGGTGGGAATTCTATAGTGCATGCATTTCTCCAGGATTGAGAATCTTCAAACATCGATCTGGATAAATGGATGGGAAGGATTTGTGGAAACTCAATAAAATCAGTCTGTCTATGCACAGTTGTCTTTAAGTTTTCGTGTTGTAAGCCCAGATTAGAAAAGATTATTGCTTTGTAAGCCTGGTGCTCACTAAGCTCGTCATTGATTACAAGACTCCTCGTCATCAGTCGATCCTGTACCTCTAGCAGAAAGCTCTTTTGGTCTGGCGTCAACTGCAAATTACTCTGATTGAATAGTATGTGCTTTATCATGCATATAAAGCATGAAAAGCCTTCAATTACCTCAGAGTTACTTCTTTTAATCATTGTTTCCAAAGACGAGTGGGAGGACTGCGGCGTCGTCAATTCCAACATCATCATCGGGTTTTTGATCGGAAATGATGTTTCCTTGCAATTCATACAGCAAAGTTTAGACTCAATAACTGAGCTAAATGGGAATTGTGGTGGTTTCGTTATTGTTTTCTTTAGCTCATCGTCTGATGTTGAAATAAAAGAAAAGAACTTGAGATATTCTTCTTCAAGCGTATCGATGAGGAGCAACAACAATTCGTGAGAATCGTGCTGTGCTCTCGAAATTTTTCCCTGGTGTATTGTCTCAAGGAGGTGAAGCAACGTCCAAACTGACATGGTTGTCTTGCTATATACCGGTTTTTGAAGTTTTTCGAGTATGTCAATTAGAGCCAAGTGTAGGGGCATCGGATATCGTACTATGGACTGCGGAAGGGGATATTCAATCATTGCAGTAAAGTAAATGTTCAGTTTTTTCAGTGGAACAAGGGCTTGTATCGTAGAGTTAGCAAAACAGTCGTTGCCAGTATTAGAAAATCCGATAGTGTTTTTGTCGGGTCTTTTACATTTTTTCAGTAGTTTGTTGCCTTCAAACGAAGAGCTAAGAGCTAGTATTGTAGGACTCACTACATAAGTAGCTGTCAAAAATGCCAAGCATGAAATCAGGAAGGTTGGTTTTTTGTAATTTTCAGTAACGGCCAAAACTGTAATTTTTAATGTTTGAGTTGTAAATGAAAAAATGATGTCTATCCAACCAAATAATCTGTTTGAGCCAGCCCGACCCATCGTCCCAGCTCTAGTACCCAGTATCGAGTTGAATAATTCATTAACGTAGTTACCAATCATTATTATTATATCAAATCATCTAACTCACCTACAATAGTCTTCTCCGGAAGATCATATTGGATTATGGAATCTTATTTTTCAGTTTAAATGTATGGGCTACATATAAATCGGTCGCTCTTTTCAGAAATACTATACTTTTCTAAATCAGATTGGCTTCTTCGGTTAAAATGACCTGTTCCTCTTTTCCTCTGTTTTAAATGACTCCTTTCTTCCGGACATCCTGATAGGCTTTGAAAGTTCACCTTGAAATAGAATCGTTAATAATATATTGAAAAGCTTAAAAGTAAATGTATACAAATTCGATTATAGACCACAGCTAAATATCTAAAGCTCTCACCCCCTAAACATATGCTGAGAGTCTGTGACTGAATTTCTACTCATATTTATTGAACAACAACCACCAAATCGCCTGCTTCAACCATTTCACCATTAGTATGTATAACTTTCAACACTTTCCCGCTCTGCGTAGAACTAACAACCATTTCAGTTTTCATGGCTTCAATAACTACTAAGCTTTGGCCTTCTTTAACCTCATCGCCCACCTTGACGAGTGATTTCCAGAAACGGCCGGAATATTCAGAGTAAATCATTTCAGCATCTTCAGGATATTCTTCGACGTTTTCTTCAACCTTAGTGCCAGTCTTTGATAGTTCTTCATTGGCCACTTGAATCAAACGCTTGAATTCTTGCAACTTTTCACCATCTTGAGTTTCTTGGAACTTTTCAATGGATTCGGAATTGGCTTGGATCCAACTTAGGTATTTAGTGTGATCAAACACGGATTCTATGATGTCTACCTCAAATTTACCGTGTTTTGAATCTTCAACCATTTGTTCTAATTCTTCCTCGCTAACAGGGTAGAATGAAACTTGATCAAATGGTGTTAACAACCAAGGTTTACCATTGTTGAATTTTTTGGTGTACTCCCCTAGAGACAATTTGTCCCAAATTGGGATTGTTCTACCAACTAACTGGTAACCACCAGGAGACTCCATCGTGTAAATACACATGTACATTCCACCGATTCCAACAGTACCATTTGGAGTAAACGTTCTGGATGGATTGTATTTGGAGCCAAGGAATCTATGCCTAGGATCTAAAGGAACTGCGCATGGTGCACCAAGGAAAACATCACCCAAACCTAGAACCAAAAATCTAGCAGAATATAGCATATCTTTAACTTCAGATCTTTCAATGCCATTAACATTGGCAATGAAGTCAACGTTATTTGGTAACCATGGTGCATCTGATCTAATAGTTTCTTGGTATCTCTTAACAGCATCTAATGTTTTACTATCTTCAAACGCCATTGGTAGTCTAACAACACGCGATGGAACCGTCCACTTGTTAGTGAACGCAACTTCTGACTCATATGCAACTAAAGTTTCGACCAAAGTTTTCTGGTGAATTGCGAAACCATCATACTCAATCAAAACAGATCTGACACCTTGAGACATTTCAATGATACCGACAGTTTGATGTCTATCAACCATCTCGATCAATTTATGAACACGGTAAGAGTAGTTTAAATCCATGATATTCTCACCGTACTCAACCAAAATGTATCTATCACCAGCCTGTCTGTAAGTAACGATTGGGGAATGTTTATTAGCTTGGAAAACAGACAAGACTGGATTTTCTGGCTTGACAAGTGCTTTAGTAATGGAAGAAAATTCGCCTTCTAGTGCCGACAATGCCATATTCTGCTGTTCCTTCAAAGAAAGAGCATGGTCAAAGGAGATTGGCACAAAAGTAATTAAATCACCGGGTTTAACTTGACCAATCTTCCACATTTCTGCATCTGCAACAACAGCTTGACACACAAATCCACCAAGAGATGGACCATCACATGTCAAGATAACAGGTTCGTCACCTGTGAAGTTGATTGCACCTAGAGAGTAAACATAATCGTGAGCATTAGAAGGGTGCAAGCCACCTTCACCACCATCAGCTCTAGCCCATTTAGGTTTAGGACCGATGAGTCTGACACCAAATCTGTTCGAGTTGTAGTGAACCTTCCATTGATTAGAGAAAAAGTCTTCAATGGATTCAGGCTTAAAGAAATCTGGTGACCCATGAGGACCGCACGTAACACCGACTGTCCATTCTTTGTTAGTCGAGATGGTAGGAATTAATGATCTAGGAGCGGCTGCTGGCTCACAAATTGGAGCCGGTAAGCTGTTGGCACCCAATCCTGGTTGGCCAAGGAACAAAACGTCTCCCATTTTCAAAACTCTGCCGTTATATCCGCCTAAGTTACCCAACGCAAATGTGGATCTTGAACCTAAGTACTCGGTGACATCAATACCACCTCTAATTGCTAAGTATGATCTACAACCGGTAGTCAACTTACCAATCTGCAACTTGTCGCCACGTTTAACAACAATAGGTTCGTACATATTAATCTCTTCATTGTTGAGTTTCAATGGAACCTCACCACCCGTTACTGAAATGACCGTTTCGTGATGGAATAAAATCGATGGACCGTTCAACGTAATTTCAATAGCAGGAGCTTTATAGTGATTGCCCACAATTCTATTAGCCAATCTGAAAGAGTATGCGTCCATAGGGCCAGAGGGTGGGACGCCAATTCTCCAATAACCAACTCTGCCTGGGTAATCTTGAACAGTGGTGTAAGCACCCGGAGCAGTGATTTCAAATGCATTTGGTTTATAGTCATATGTATCCAAAATTTTAGTATGCATCTTAGCATCTTCGAACATGGCAGAATTAGCAACACTTCTTAAATAGTCAACGTTGGTAATACAACCGTAAACGACAGTCTGATCCAATGCCTTTCTCAACTTGGAAAGTGCATCAGCTCTGTCTTTACCATGGACAATAATTTTCGCCAAAGTAGGATCATATTCTGATGAAACAATGGAGCCTGTTTTGACCCAAGTGTCAACTCTGGCAAACTCTGGGAATTTCACTTCAATCAGTTGACCAGGGGATGGTTTGAAATCTTTAACTGGATTTTCGGCATACAATCTAGCTTCCATTGAGGCACCTTGAACTATGATTTCTTGATCAAAATTTGGTGCCATGTCTGCAGCAATGTAAAGCATCCATTCGACGAGATCCAAACCAGTGACCATTTCGGTAATTGGATGCTCGACTTGTAATCTAGTATTAACTTCCAAGAAATAAAATTCATCTCTCTTTTCATCGTAAATGAACTCGACAGTACCTGCACATTTATAGTTCATTGAGGCACCCAATTGCTCGGCAGCTTTTCTCATTTTGGCTCTAGTTATTTCTGGCAAATTTGGAGCAGGAGTTTCCTCGATAATCTTTTGGTTTCTTCTTTGAAGAGAGCAGTCTCTCTCACCAATGGCAATTGCCTTACCAAATCCATCTCCGAACATTTGAATTTCAACGTGTCTAGCGTTTTCAACGAATCTTTCCAAAAAGACACCAGAATCACCGAAGTAAGACTTACCTTGATGTTGAACAGTTTCAAAAACTCTTTCGATATCGTCTTCAGAGTCCACCTTTTGTAAACCAATACCACCACCACCAGCAGTAGATTTGACCATGATTGGGTATTCCAACTTAGCGGCAATCTCCTTAGCTTCGGCTGCACTTGAAACCAAACCAGAACCAGGTACAAGAGGAACACCTGCCTTTTCTGCGATTTCTCTAGCAGAGTGCTTCAATCCCAACTTCCTGATAGCATCTCCTGAAGGACCAACCCAAGTGATTCCTTCTGCAGCAAGTCTGTCAGCGAAGTCTGCGTTTTCTGAAAGAAAACCATAGCCAGGAATGACAGCTTCTGCACCTGAATCTTTGACTGCCTTGAGCATCTTCTCGATGTTGATGTAAGTTTCAGCAGCAGAGATGCCATGTAATGGAATTTTCTCATCTGCAATAAGAGCGTGTTCAGCATATTCGTCAGGGTCTGAATAAACTGCAACGGATTTGATACCCAATTTCTTTAAAGTTTTCATGATTCTGACTGCAATTTCACCTCTATTTGCAACCAAGACCTTGTTGAATGGTTTCTTGCCAGCCTGTTCTGCTTTCTCGGATTCTTGAGCAGCGATATAGTATCTCCAGCCACCAAATTTTGTGATGTCGACAGTACCGTTCTGTTTGTAACCAAACTCTTCACAGATAAATGATTTGACCCATTGACCATCTTCGGTTTCAACAGAGCCAATACCTAGAGGTTCAGGTACCATGGCAATAAAGTCACCGAATCTTTCGGTTGGGACGGCATAAATCTCGATTTCGATTTTAGAACCATCGGATTCCACTCTTCTTAATCCTGGTTTTTGAACAGGACCAGTGATTGGCAATGCATAAAGCTTGTAATTGGAAGAGGTTTTAGTTGTCTCTAATTTGGTTGCTTGAACCTTTTCTAATTGCCAATGCAAAGGTAAGTTTTCTAAATGGGCTCCGACAACAGCCAACTTGATGCACTTGGACAAGTTTGGTTGTGGAATGGAAGAGTTAAGGTTATCCTTGATACCTGCAACTTTACCCTTGACGTTACCGATACGTCTGTCGTTGGCAGGGTACAAAGTTTTCAAGAATCTCTTAGCTAAATCAAGCAATGCGTAATCCTCAAATGCCTTACCTAAAATGGTGACACCATTTGGTAAGCCGTCTGATCTGAACCCGGCAGGGATTGCCAAAGCGGAGAAATCCGCCAAGTTACAAAAGTTTGTCCATGTACCTTGGATGGAGTTGATCTTAACTGGTTCGTCGTTAACCTGCTTGATGGTAGGGTTTAGAGGGCATGTCGGGACGAGCATCACGTCGATACCCTTGAAGGATTCGTGGACCCGGTTCAAAATACCCTGTCTTTTGTATTCGTACTCGTAGGCAGTGGCAGCGTCGTATTTGGCACCACCTTTAATGATGGCGGTGACTGTTGGGTCAAGATCTTTTTCTGGAGGGTTGGTTGCATAAAAGTCTTTGACAGCAGAGTATCTCTCTGCGACCCAGGTGCCTTCGTACAAGCATTTGGCCAAGTCGAGGAGAGGGGAAAAGTCACATGGGACAATTTCTGCACCTAACTTGGTGAAGTTCTCAATAGCGGCTTGGAAAATCTTTGGATTTTCCTCATCACCATACCACAAGCCCTTGAAGTCGATTGGAACTGCAATCTTCAAGTTTGGAGGATAGGATTTTAAAGGGTTGTCTGGTAAAAGTCTGGAGTATTCGCAGTTGGAAAGGTCCTCCTTTGCACAGACATTGAAAGCCAGTTGGGCGTCGTCTAGGTTCAGGGCAAAGATGGAAGGACAGTCCAATGACTTGCATGCTGGCACGACACCAGCGGTGGAAAAAGCGCCGACGGTTGGCTTGAGGCCGATCAAGTTGTTCAAGGCTGCAGGGACTCTTCCCGAGCCGGCGGTGTCTGTGCCCAATGCCAAAGGCACCAAGCCTCTACCGACGACGGAGGCAGAACCTGCGGAGGAGCCACCGGAAACGTGCGAGTCGCTGAATGAGCATGGGGTGATGCCGTAGGGAGATCTGGTGCCGACCAAGCCCGTAGCAAACTGGTCCAAGTTGGTCTTACCGATCACAATGGCACCCTGGTCTCTGAGCAGGGCGACGACGGTGGAGTCCTTGGTTGGCTGGTAAGCAAAGGAAGGACACGCTGCCGTGGTTTCGAAGCCAAGAGCGTCGATGTTGTCCTTGACGGCAATAGGCACACCGTAGAGCTTCAGGTCGGACTTGTTCGATTTCGATTGCAGGATTTTCCACTGGTGGACGAGATTTTCCTCGGAGGCCAAGGAGATCCATGCTGGGTCGCTGCTGTGGGTGGCCTGCAAGTGGGCGAGAAGCGCCTTGAGGGTGTTGAGAGACTCAAAGGGAGACGTCTCTCTGTTGAAGGAGACCCAATCGGAGACGGACCAGCCGATTGTGTTCATGGTTGTCTGGGAGGCACAAGGGAGACAGCACTGACTGCAGAACGCGTGGAGCGGGTGTTAGTAGGCTCATTCGGAGAACGGAACGGCCGAGTGTTTGTCGGCTCTACGCCGACGGGCGATACATACGAGTTTCTAGATCACGGATGTGTGTGTGTCTGGCAGAGATAGCAGGAGGAGGAGAACCGGAGGTGTCAGCAAAGCGAGATATGTGAGAGAGGGCTTTGGCTGGCGGGCTGCGGCTGCACGAGTTTGGGTTGCGAAGGGTGTAGGGGAGACGGGGACGCAGCCGGAAAACGTGAAGAAGGTAGAAAGGTTGGCGCAAGGACAGAGGGCCTCGTGAGGTTTAAGTACCGTGAGGCAGCGGCGACGAGAACAATGGCAACGACCACGGCCCGAGCCGACGACGGGATCGTGAAAAGAGAGCAGTCGGAGAAGAACGAAGGGGCAGCGGTGGTGGTGATAAACGTCAAACACCAGCCGGGCGTCAGATTATGCACGATTGTGACGTTGCGGCGGCCTCAAGCCGCCGCCGCCGCCCGCCGCAACGCTGTTTCGGCGATGGCCATGCTGCGCAGCGTGTTCTTTCGAGCCGATAAGAGGCGTGCTGGGGCGGCCCGTGTCCTGCTGCGGGGGGCACACCCGGCGGGCCGAGTGGGGGGAGGGGCGCACTCGTCGGGCCGTGCAGGGAAGTGGCCGGAAACGGAAGGAGGGAGGCAGAAGGGAGAGAAAAAAGAGGGCAACTTCCAGGAAGGGAAAACACACACAAGGAGGGCAACTGCTGAGCATCTGGTGCACGGTTGTTTTTTCTCCCCCGCTGGTGCACGGGCGCTTCTCCACCTTCTGTCCCTTTCTCGTCCGCCCTGGCCTAACTCCTTCTAGGCGCTTCTCCCCCGGTTCCCGGCTCCCGGCGGCGGCGCAGGCGGCGCGGGCAACGAAAAAACAGGACCGACAAACACCGCCGGGCGCCGCCGCTAGCGGGGGCGGGCCTCGAGGCGTACCCCCGCCTGGCGCCGGCAAGAGAAATTCCCGCATCGTGCCGATACGCCAGGTTTTCTTCATCCTGCGGCCGGTTCCCCCTTTTCTGGAACAGACAAGGCGGCACTTGACGTGGTGGAGGGCCCGGAAGCCAGAGACAGCAGCAATGGGACCAGCAGCAGCAGCAGCAGCAGGTGCTAACGGAAGTGCAGGTGGGCTAGTTGTAGCAGATGTAGCAGTGGCGGTGCCTGCCTCCGAGGCCGCCGCTGGTCCCGCAGCCCCCTTTTCCTTGTAGTCGCAGCTTCCACCTGGTCCGAACGAAAGAACGAACGTTTTTGGGCTGTTTGACATTTTCCCTCTGCTCTCTTCTCCTGCGCCCGAGACACAGCTTACGCCTGCATCCTCGCCAGCAACAGCAACAAGACTCGTCCACATCCGCAAACACCACCACAGCTACTACCAGACCGTGCTATCCACGTCCGACAGCCATCTCTCCAACAGACTGCGTTTTTTTCTTTCGTCCTTCGTACGTCACCCCTCCAGCTCACCCACCCACCCCGGTATATGCACTAGGCGTCCGTTTCTTCACGTCGTATATGTCATTCCAATAGAGTGCTGATTCTGTCTTTCACCCCCAATCTCTAGTGTCAACAATTACCACCAGCCAGCCAGCCAGTCAGCCAGTCAGGACACTCGGTCACATATATACAATCATCTCACAACCCCTCCGATCCGTTTCAAAGCTACCTTTTCTAATCGTCGACTAGTATCACTTATTTCTCTTCTTTTCTTATCATATCAACTAATTTCTCGATTACTTGTTCGCCTGTGCACACAGATTGATTCTCACACGCCCACACAAGCAAGCATCTCTTTCTACTATACTATTCTACTACATTGCGGCTCGAACCGACTCAGAACAAAACAAAAGCTAGCTTTATCTCTTTTCTAGTCCTGCGCACAACAGTTTCATTCGAAAACCCCCAAAAGAAACTTTCCCAAAATGATCAAAAGAAGTTTCATCAACACGTTGCCTTTACAGCTAAAATCAATAATTCTGGACGACCCCCAGACCCAGACCTCTTCGAGCTCTGCCAGCATTTCAACAGCAAATGAAAAAGTTGACAAAGCAGAGCTCCAACCCCAATGTCGAGGTGATGTCGAAACAGACAACTTGACCGACGACCTCACCTCGCAGACAGAAAACCTCGATAACTCTTCAGACCTCTCTACAAGATCGCCCTCTATATTCTCCTTCGACTCGTCCATCCTTGACAATGCAAACGATAGCAGTCTCGGCAACAACGGTAATAACAATATCAAACTTGATGTGAAGGCAAAACAATTTTTAGTCAACAAGTTGTTAGAACAGAAAGGTATCATCTTCACAGAGTTTAACGACATCCAGTTGAAATTATTTGACGTAGACTCCACCTTGTGTCCCGAAGAATTTGATAAACTCGTCGCCAAATTGGACCCTCAAAGTAGAATTCTACTATGCGAAAAAATCAAATTGATTTATGGTTTCAACAGCTTGACCTCCTTCATCATCAGACTGATTAACATCTTGAACTTCAGTACCTTTTTCTCCATCTTCGACATTACCTCTAACATTAAATTATATGGTTTCTACAGTTTGACCTACATGAATCCCGTAGAAATCTTGGTCAAGCAAATTAGAAATGATTTGTTCATTGTCAAATCTTTCAAAGAATTCACCATTCAAGAAATGAAAAAGGAGCATGATTTCCATCTACCTTACAAGGAGTTCAAAAGATTGAACTTGAATGACGGGAATTTGGTCGTGGTGAAAATCTTATTCAAAAATGAACAAAAACCAATAGACCTCTCTCTAATCAAACCTTTGTTACCTAAAATCAAGATGTTGCATTTATCTCTTGAAAATGAGTCGAAGTTAAAACCTTTCAATGATCTGATTGATAAATATGGTACTTCTCTACGTTACTTGAAATTCGGTGTTAACAGAGGAACTTTCAAAAAGATCCCAAATAAAAACAACATAGATGTAATGAAGTTGGTCAACATTGACAACTTAAATTTTATCAATGACCTCAAAGACTGTTCATCCCTTGATGTATTCTTTGACAACTGGGAGTTGAGAAAAAATTGCGATATTAAATTTCAAGAGAATTTCATCATCAAATTTGAAATCATGCAAAGAATTGAGCATTTGAAAGTGTTGAACATTTTCCATACTTACATCGATTCGAAGGATTTAAACAAATTGAAATATTTTCCTAATTTAACACATTCCAAGATCAGTTACGTCATACTAGATAACGATGGTTTCGATATGAGTGAGTGTAAAAATTTACAAGAGTTGAAGATTCATTTCACATATCAAAAGTCAATAGAAGACATCTCTTTCAACGATGACGATAATGATAATGCCGTGAACTATGCTGAAAATATCCATTGGCCTGCAAACTTAAAAAAATTGTCCATTACCATCCACAATATAAAGAATCTGATCCAAAATTTTAGTATAAGATTGAACATTTTAAGAAAGATTGCCAAGCCTTTGCCTCCATCAATCATTGACTTGTGTATTGATATCAGTTATGATACTGGTGGCTCTGGCCCAGAATTGTATTCCATTTCAAGGGATGATATTCTCAAAATTTCTGGTTTGATCAACAAAATATTGACCAACAATTTGGAAAATTTGAAGTTGAAGGGTATATCCAGATATAATTACAAAATTGGTAAACCTTTGATTTTCTCTGCAATCAATTTCCCGACTTCTTTGAAATTACTTTCTTTGAATGATTTCATCTTAGATTATAATTTCATCAATCTTCCAAATTTGAAAAAGCTATATTTTGAGCATTCCCTGTTTGATTCAGACTTCAAACTGCCAGTTTCAGATGAGATTTTGATTGAGAAGTGTACATTCAAAGATCTTTCTTTCATTCCTTCCAGTAGTAGTAAGATTGAATTCAAAATGTGCACATTTAGGAAAGTTCCAAGCTACAATGGTGATGTCACCAACGTCGTTATTAACAATTGCAGAATCATGGAACAGCCAACCAATAACGTTTTCCAATTTCAGCAGCAACTGCAAATGAATACTCAGAGAAACAACAACAATCATAATGGCAATTCCAGCGCTAACGGAAATAACAACAACAATGGTAATGCTGGTTCAAGAAAATCCAATTTCTCCAATGTTGGGCATAACAATCATAATCAAAACAAACATCGCAAGCAGCAAATGGATCAGAACCAATCCAGTATGGATGATCTTCAAAATCATAACATCACCAATGCTTCACCACAGATTCTTCCACAGCGTTCACAAACTCTACCATTTAGCTCATCATCTGCTAATTCGTTATCGATGATAAATGAATACTCCAACAACATGTATCAAAATCCAGGTACTCCTCAATACTCTTTTGCTAATTTTACTGGAGGTTCGTTGAACCAAATTCCTGGTTTACAATCCTTTTCTATTCCGAAGCAACAAACTTTTGATTATGGAAGCGCAAACTCATTGAACAGAAATTCTACTGATGTTGTCAACTTATTAAACAAAGATCTAGAATTTCAGCTAGGTGGTTTGTCTTTGAATTCCTCCCAGTATTTAAATGGCTTTGCAAACTCTACCGGGACTCATACTCCTAGTTCTAATGGTTTCAATAATCGTATTCCAAGTCCTCAACCATTGAATGTCTCTATCTCCTCTCCCCCGGTTTCATCTTCTGAATCAATGGGCTCCAACTCTCACACTGGAGGGCACCTTCCAAAACGTTCCAATTCATTCCAACAGCATTCCCAATCGCAACATCAACAACACCAACAACAACAGCAGCAGCAGCAACAACAACAACAACAACAACACCAACAACACCAACAACACCAACAACAACATCAGCAGCTGCAACAACATCAACAACAACAACATCAGCAGCAGCAGCAGCAACAACAACAGCAGCAACAACAACAACAAAATTTTGGAATGTCTAATATGATGAATCAATTTAGCAAGTCAATGATGAGTCCATCTATGGGCTCTTTCAATTGTGATATTGATTCAGAGCTTGCTCGTTCTGGTCTTGGCAATTTATATGATAACCAAAACGGGGTTTCCTCACCAGGTACGAATAGTTATGGGTATTACAACCATACGTTGACTAATAATAACATGTCGGGCTTTTCTATGATGTCCAACGGAATGAATAACAGTGACAACGGTAATAGCAATAGCAATAACAACACGGGTGGTAGTAACAGCATACAGCATACTTCCCAGGCAGATGAGGAGCAATATATAATGTCCCCATCACCGAGTAACATGAGTGAGTCCAGAATGAGCATGAGTGGAGGAAGTGCATCCATGTTAATGTCTCAACATCGCCAACCTTCACTGCAACAACAACAGCAGCAGCAGCAGCAGCAACAGTTCATAGGTTCTCGTCCTGCTACACAATACTTCAATCCTAACCAACACTTGATGAATCCTGTTCTTGGAGCCATGAACAGTGGTGGTAACAGTACCAACAGCATATCCAGCTTGGGAGTCTTTAGTGGATTACCAATGAACTCTACATCATCTCAGAGAAATTCATTCATTGACAATGAGGGTGCAAGTAATCATAGCATGGATGTCAGTGGGACCCATCTTTCAAACTGATCAATAAACAGTTATGTTAGTCGTTGACCCCTTTTGTCACATCTTTTTCTTTTCTTTTCTTTTCTTTTCTTTTCTTTTCTTTTTTCTTCTTCATTCTACTTCATTCTTCTATTTCATTTTTCATTTAATCATCTTAAACTACATTATTCATAATTATTTGCCGTGAACTAGTGGCATCTTTTTAATTCATTATAAATTGTTGTTACCTTATGTATACATCCATTCAATTGTTTTTTGTTTCTTTTCTTCGTCACCGCAATTTATACATAAACTAATTATATCCATTTTCTAATACATTGTTCTGAAATATCAAATATTTTCTTTTTGGTTATTCAAAACCGCTTTGACAGCCAGTTTGATACATCCGAGTAGTGAACTCGCCCCAGCAATAAACCCTTGAGCATGTACAAACGTTGCGTCATCAACCCCAGCCACATCTCTCAACTCTCCGTCGGCTAGGCCACACCACTCCTGTGGTAACCTTTTCCTTGACTCAAATGAAGCTGGCAGGGTTGGCACTGCAGCTAACCTCCAGTTTTGGGTAGAGTCTGGATATATAGCATATAGAGAATTGCCCATTCTGTCCAAACTTCTCTCATACGCAAAAAGGTGCTCTTTCCAAGGTATAAATTCGGGAATGATCATGATTCTCTTCAATGCATCTTGCACGAGTTTCTTTGTAATCAATGAAGGGTCTTCAACTACAATCTCATCATGATATGTACCATAAGTTTCTCCGGAAAGTGAAGCATTATAGGCTTGTTGGAGTATAGACTCACCACGCATAAAAGAGAACGCAAAATATTTCACATAATTTTCAAAAGCAGATTTCAAAATATCTATTACAGTTTCAAGACGCTTCATACGAAGTGCATATATCTCGGTTTCATCGTAGTTCAACAATTCGTAGTCATGTAACTGCAAGTTATAAAACTTTACCATGTTTGGAAGCGTATGTTGGTCAGCGTTAAACCTTGGAACAGCGGGTCGTGTTGACTCATGTTTGTTCGAAAGACGTAAATTCCTTGTTTGTGCGTCTATGATTTCTATAAAATCATAATACGCTCGTTCATAGAGCCAGTTTATCTTAGAAGAATCTGAGAAATTGGTGATTTTTTTAAGTACTTCTTTCCCGTAAAATCTGTATACGAGTCCAACAGTTGCCAGCGGCACAACTTTGCCCCTTTTTGTATTATTGAAATAAAAGTTTTGTGGAGCAGAGTTTTGATTCTTAAGTCGGTGACCATTACCTTTCTTCTTTCTACCGTTCGAGTTACTATTGCTATTTTGCGGGTGGTTTGATTTGATTTCTGGAGTCCAATGGAAGACTCCCTGTTGCGGTACGTAATCTCCTCCGAGTCCAATCAAAATTGTGTTCTGTGTGTGTTTGTAGGTGTGTAGCATTTGCGAAAATTGCGTACTCGTTTCATCCAACGGCACAATGGTATGCTCCCGCAAGACAAAACTAAGTAATGCCAAGGCCATAGCAGTTTCTAGGGAGAAATCGCCGCATGGAATGATAACCTCCGTTGTGGATGGCATTTTTTTGGGGCGTTTATGTGTTTTCATCTGTAGCTGCTTTATTGGTAGGGAGGGTATATACGTTATCCATGCATTGGATAGAAGGTGCAGCAAAACAAGGTCGGAAAAAACAATTCATGTTTGGAAAGGCCGACTTCCCGATTGGGAAAAGCAAAATTTGGGATGAAAAAAAGTATCTTCAAAAGATTGTTTTGAAGAAACGTATATATTTCATTCAAATATACAGGAATATACAATAGCTTCGACGTCGATCCTTTGAAAACCGAACGCAGCACAAATGGTGGTTTAATAGTACAGATATTTATAAAAATAGGAAATGGAAGGGTCATAGGTGGATAGTGAGTAGGTCATAACGGCTGAACTGGGAGTTACAGCTAGGACATTTACGCATTCTAGCAGAAAGTCTATCATCAACGCAATCTTTGCAGAAACAGTGACCGCATGTTTTTAAAGCGACGTTTTTGAAGTTCTTACCGCATAGAGAGCATTTAGTCATACTGAGCAATGCCTGCTGTATTTCTGAGTCTGTGCCAACACTACCATTAATGGGTTTCTCTGCAGCCTTACCGTCTCTATATGAGGTGATAAGAGACTTGTAATTCTGTATTTTCCGCTGTTCGGAGCTGAGGTCCTGCTGGCACGACATAAGCTTTTTATCCAGCTGCTGAAGCTCAAACTGATACTTGCTGATTTGGGAGCGCAGTTCATTTTCCGTTTCTGCCTTGTCTCTGATGTTTTTCTCCATGGAGGATATTGTAATCTTGAGTTTGACGATATCGTTCTTGTAAAGCGTTTCAACCTTCTGCAGGTTTTCATACAATCGTTCTTCAATCGCGAGCTTCTTCTGGGTTTCTTCTTCATTAGACTTGAGGATTTCAATCAATTCCATTTGCTTTGTGAGGTTGGAGGACAACACTTTGTTCTGCGAGGAGAGGGAGTCTTTAGCCCTCATCGCTTGGAAATACTTTTCATCTGCCTTAGCTTTTTCTACCGAGAGTTTATTGATAAGAGTTTCCGAGTCGGATGCCTTCATGAGTTTGGCAACGGAGACCTCTCGTGTGGACTTAAAGGCCTGTTCAATCTGCTTCAACTCATTGATGATGATCTTGTTGTGCTCGTCGCTGGAAAGGTCGGAAAGGTTTGTTGCCTGGACCTCTTCCAGCTGTTCGATGCGCTGCTGCAAGGTGTCGATCAACTTCTGGAAGTTTGATATGAGTTCTGTTTTCCCCTTTTCATTTTTCAGCACCGCGATCTTGGCGTTGAGAGCGTCTCTGTCCGATCTGATTCGGTTGATGTCGGTTTCCAATTTGGAGATATAGTTGTTGCTGTTTTCCAACTCCACGTTGTATTTCGATTCCAATTTGGCTTTGTTGATGGAGAACTTCGACTCGAGCTCGAACATCTGGTTCTCGATCTTTGTCTTGCCGAGCTTGAGGTCCTCTGCGGACTTTTTCAGGCTCTTGTTCTCCTCGACAACGCTGCGGTAGTTTGAGGACAGCTTGAGAAGCTCGTCCTCGGACAAGTGTCTGGATTTCGGGTTGAGGTCTGCCACCTGTTTCTCGAGATCGAAAGAGAGCTTGATCTTCTCCTCCAACTGCTGCTGGAGAGTCTGGTTTTTCGCCTCTACGGCTGCTATCTGAAGTTTCAAGTCCTCTACCTCGGACCTCGTCTTTGCTGGGTCTATTGCGCCCGATCCGGCCGAGCCGTTGGCATGTTCTCCGTCCTTCGCTGTGTTGTTGTTGTGGTTGGACGTGCCGTTGGCGGCTTGGGGGTCCGGCACAGGCATGTCGCCGTTGACGTCTTCGCTGCTGCCGTTGCTCGTTCCGTTGTTGGCGGCCTCGGAGCGCGTCTTGGCGGGTTGCTCCTGCTTGACGCCGGAGGGGCTGTCCACAGACTCGTCCTTGATCCTCTCCAAGGCCTTGGAGTGCGAGCGGTCGCTCTGTCGGGTGAGGTCCTCGATCTGGGCGTTGAGCTTGGCGACGGACACCTTGAGGAGCGAGTTCTCGTTGTGCAGCGTGTTGCGCAGCACGGTCAAGGACGCCACCTGGTTCTGCAAGCCCAAGAACTGGTCCTGCGGGGCGGCGGCGGCGGTGCTGCTGCCGGCCGCCGGCTCCCTCCTGTTGAACACCGCGTCGAGCAGCTGGATGAGCCCGTCACGCAGCCGATCCAGGTTCGCCACAAGCGTCTCCGTCGACACGTCGCCGGCGCCGCCGGCGCCTGCCCCGGCCTCCCCGCCGCCGCACGCCGCCAACGACACGAGGATGTCGTCGTTCACCGCCGCCGGCGCCCTCTGCGCCACGTCCACGCCAAACAGCGTCCGCAGGCTGCCCAGGATCTGCGTCCACCACTGCGTCAGCACCGAGTTGTACAGCACGAGCCTCGAGCACCGGTCGTTCACGCACGAGAGCGTCTCCACGAGCGACACGTTCTTGCGGTACTGCAGGTGGAACATCCGGTACAGCGCCTGTTTCTGGAAGTACACCACGTCGTCCTGCGTCAGCGGGCAGTCTCGCGTCGTCACGTTGGGATCCAACGACACCGCCGACCGCTCCGTCGCCATCGCAGCACGAATCTTCTTGTTGAGTCTTCGCCACGACTGGACCGCCTCCGCTGCGTCCGCCGCCTTCCGCTTAGCACCACGCGGGGTCGTGTTCTCTGCCATCCTTGCTGCTCCTTGCTGTTCCTTGCTGCTGCTCCTGCTGCTCTTCCAGCTCCCACACCCTCTCCCCACGCCCGTCAGCCCTGTTCTTCTTTCCGTGACGGCTCATGCCCGTCTCCGTCCTCTTCTCCCTCTCTCCCTCCCTCCCCCTCCATCCTCACCACCTCGCCGGCGACCGGCAAGGCCAAAATCCCAAAAATCGGGACGATCGTCTCTGCCAACGGCGCGCACGGGTCAGTAGCAGCAGAGCGGGTAGGAGCCCGTGAGGGGAGGCGGCCGGGGAGAGACAGAGAGACGCTGAAGTGAAGAAGGGCGGCAGGCAGAGGAGCAGAGCAGGAACAGCAGGAGGAGGTGGAGGCAGACAAAAGCAACAGCAGCAGCAGCAGCAGCAGTAGACGACCGCAGACCACCAGATGTTCAGACAAACCGCAAGACTCGCCCTCAGACAGTCCGGGGCCCTCGGCAGACTCGCCGGGTCCGGGTACAGATTCCAGTCGACCCTGAGCGCCAACGAGGTGTTGAAGAGATCCGTGGCCGTGTTGAAGACGTTTGAAATCAAGACGCCGGAGCAGCCGATCACCATGACCACGCAGTTCGGCAAGGACTTGGGCATGGACTCGCTCGACTACAACGATGCGTTGGTTGCGCTCGAGGAGGAGTTCGACGTCGTTTTCGACGACAAGGTGGCCAACGAGATCACCACCGTCGGCGAGGCCGTGGACTACATTGCGAAGAACCACATGCCTGAGGAGGACATCTTGGACAAAGAGGTCCGTTAGAATGGCGGCGGCAGCGGCGGCGGCGGCGGCAAGCCCACGCACTGTCGGTGCCGCCCAGCGGGGGGGTGCTCTTCCCTGCTGGGTGGCCGTGAGCATGTGTATGGAAAATGTGTATATATATTGCCCCGGACGGGGCCGTCCTCGTCCGTGTCTGCCATGGCCGGACGGTCCTATTCCTTAACGATTATTCTTACTCTTATTGAAAGAAACCCCGTAGAGCGGCCCGGGCAGCGGTCCGCTGGAGCGACGCGTCGCTGGCCCGCCCGCAGGCCAGGCCGCCGTGAGGCTCGTACAAAAGACGGGGTGGTTCCGTTCTTCATGAGCCAACAGAGGACACGGCAGGGCGGACCAGGAAGGGGCCTGGCGGTGGCAAAGACAGACACAGCAGAGCAGACAGACGCAATGACCAGCAGCACAGACACGCCGGCGGCCCCAGCGGGGCCAGCGGGGCTTGAAACGGTGAACAAGGACCTCGAAGGGCTGAACCTCTCGAGCTCGAACTCGGAGGACGAGGACGAGGCGGAGGGCCACACGGACGGCATCGACGAGGAGCTCGACGAGGAGGAGCGCGTGCAGCGGGAGCAGCAGCAGCAGAAGGCAGACAAGATGGCGTACATCGAGAAGACGTACGGGCTCACGACGATCCCGGACACGAACGTCGACGTGTTGCCCGCGGACCAGGAGCTCACGACAGACATCCCGCTCGACACCACCTACATCGACCTCATCCACCTCAAGATCGGCTCGCTCGAAAACCTCCGACTCGAGCGCTTCACGCAGCTCGAGAGCATCAACCTCCGGGACAACCTCATTGTGCGGCTCAACGCGTTGAAACACATCGACCCGCAGTGCAAGCTGCGGATCAAGGAGCTCGACTTCTACGACAACCGCATCAAACACATCTCCAGCCACGTGAACGAGTTTACCAACCTCGAGATCCTCGACCTCAGCTTCAACAACATCAAGCACATCAAGCACGTCGAAAACCTCACCCGGCTCGAAAACCTCTACTTTGTCCAGAACAAGATCTCCAAGATCGAGAACCTCGACAGAATGACGCTCCTCCAGAACTTGGAGCTCGGCGGCAACCGCGTCGAGACCATCGAGAACCTCGACTCCCTCGTCAGCCTCCGCCAGTTGTGGCTCGGCCAGAACAGGATCTCCCGCCTCGAGGGCCTGGCCCGGCTCCGCAACCTCCGCGTCTTGAGCATCCAGAGCAACCGCATCGAGAAGATCGAGGGTCTCGACGGCCTCACCGCCCTCGAGGAGCTCTACCTCTCCAACAACCGCATCTCCAAGCTCGAGGGCCTCGACGCCCTCGTCAACCTCCAGGTGCTCGACGTCACCAGCAACGCCATCGCCAAGCTCGAGGGCCTCGACGCCCTCACCCAGCTTACCGATTTCTGGTGCTCCTACAACCAGGTCGCCGACTACTCCAACATCCACGACGCCCTGCAGCACGCCACCAGCCTCGAGACCGTCTACTTCGAAGGCAACCCCATCCAGCTCAAAGACCCGACCATGTACAGGACAAAGCTCCGGCTCTGTTTCGGAGACTCGTTGCAGAAGATCGACGCGTTGTACGTAAGCACCGGCCGCATGGTGGGCCAGTAGCCGAGGCGGGGGCGATACTCCGCAGTGGAGGGACAACGCCCTGAGATGGGCAGAGGCCTCTAGCTGAACAGTCACGGCGGCGTGTATAGGCCTGTAGCAGGCGGTAGAGGGCGGCAGAGGAGAAGGAGCAGTCGACATACAAACGTGGCCCCCTCAATTCTCTGCCTGTGTGCCTTTTTGCCGCCCCTTTTGTACCGAACACTAGCGAACCATCGAACCATCGAGCAATAAAAGAGACCACACGACATAGCAATGCTTGGAAGACACACGATTACGGCCCGCCGGCTCGGCAGCCGGGGGCTCTCCTTCTTCAGCGGAATCGAGCTGGCGCCACCAGACCCGATCTTGTCGTTGACGACGGCATACCACGCGGACCCGAAGCCCGAGGAGTACAAGATCAACCTCGGAGTCGGGGCGTACCGGGACGGCCAGGGCCGGCCGTGGGTGTTAGACTCTGTACGGCAGGCGGAGCAGCAGATTGCCGCAGACAAGAGGAACAACCACGAGTACGTGCCGATCCTCGGCACGAGCACGTACGTCGGGCTCGTGCAGCGGTTCCTCTTCCAGCAGGAGGGGATGCCGTTCTCGACGAGATTGCTCGTTGACGAGGACAGAATCGCCACGGGGCAGGGCATCTCCGGAACAGGAAGCTTGAAGGTGATGGCGGAGCTTCTTGCCAAGAAGGTCAAGAGCGACAGCGGCCGTGCCGGCGGCCGGGTGTTCATTCCAAACCCGAGCTGGGCCAACCATGCGTCGATCTTCGCCAGCTCGGGCATGGAGGTTGGCACGTACCGCTACTACGACCCGCAGACGCAGGGCTTGGCGTTGGACGCCCTGTTGGACGACCTGGCGGCCCTGCTGCCGGGAGATGCGGTGCTGCTGCACGTGTGCTGCCACAACCCGACAGGCGTCGATCCGAGCGACGCCGAGTGGGACCAGATCCTGCAGGTGGTGGAGGACAGACAGTTGCTGCCCATCTTCGATATGGCGTACCAGGGCTTCAGCCACGGGATTGCAGAGGACTTGGCGGTCGTCGAGAAGTTGGCCCGGCGCATGCTCTCGTCGGGACTCATCGAGAACGCCATGTTGAGCCAGAGTTTCGCCAAGAACCTGGGCTTGTACGGCGAGCGGGTCGGCTCCTTCTCCCTAATCACGGCCAGCCGGGAGGAGAAGGCCAAGGTGCAGTCGCAGCTCAAGCAGATTGTCCGCTCGATGTATTCGTCGCCGCCCTGCCACGGCTCCAAGATCGTCGAGCGGGTCTTGGGCGACGAGCAGCTCTACGCTCAGTGGTGTGGAGAGGTCGCTGTCATGAGAGACCGCTTGAAACAGATGCGTCTGCTACTCTTTGAACAGTTGCGCAACCTCCGCTGCCACGGACCGGGCACTACGGGACCCACCGGCTGGGAACACTTGGTCCAGCAGCAAGGCATGTTCTGCTTCACGGGGCTCTCGCCCGACCAGGTCAACGCCTTGCAGAAACAGAGCATCTACATGACCAGCAACGGCCGCATCAGCGTCGCCGGGATCAATGAGGCCAACGTCGAGCGCTTGTCCCGGGCCATTGCAGGCGTCTTTGCGTCCTGATCCGTACCTTATAGTAGCCTTATCTAGTCGCAATCCGCAATCTCCGTCCTTGTTCATTTACCGCCTCGTGCACACCTCCCCCTCCCCCTTCCTTTTCCCGTTTGTCCCCTCCCTGGTGGTGTCATCCCACCCCGGAGAAGCATGCCCGGCCCGCTTACACGAAAGATCAGCCTCCTCGTCACTGTCATCGCCGCTGTCACCCCGTGGGGAACTTTTTTTTTCCTTTCGAGCTCTTCTGATTTAAGCGTCCCATTTTCCTCCTCTCCCGGGCACTGTCTGGAATCGGTCGGAGATGCTTTGAAGGACCTAGTGTGCAATTGCAGAGCAGAAGGCTCCGGATCCAGCAGCAGCAGAGGTCAATTGTCTGAAGACCGGTACACGTGAAAACACGACTCGTACACAAATACATTTTACACAAACACACTGACAAAAAAACACAAACACTGCTGAAAAAAAGCTCAGCTAAAAAAAAGACAAAGACATAGACGGAAACAGCCAACCATGCCTGAGTACAAAATCACAGAGGTGCCTACGACCCCGTTTGATGGTCAGAAGCCAGGAACGTCCGGGTTGAGAAAGAAAACCACGGTGTTTCAGACAGAACACTACACGGAGAACTTCCTCCAGGCGGTGTTTGACTCGATTCCTGAGGGAAGTGCAAACGCCACCTTGGTTGTTGGAGGGGATGGCCGCTACTACAACGACCACTTTGTTAACTTGATTGCGAGGATTGGCGCAGCCAACGGCGTGAAGAAGTTGATCATTGGTGAAAACGGGATCTTGTCTACACCTGCGGCCTCGCATGTCATTAGGACCCTCAACGGGCCTGGCGGCATCACTGGCGGCATAATTCTTACTGCTTCCCACAACCCCGGTGGTCCTACAAATGATTGTGGAATCAAGTACAATCTCAGCAACGGTGGTCCGGCTCCGGAGTCGGTCACCAACAAGATGTACGAATGCTCCTTGCATCTTTCCCACTACAAAATTATTAGCGACTTGCCTGCAATCGACATTGGGAAGCTAGGAGTTACCAAGTACGGCCCGCTAGAAGTCGAGATCATTGACCCGACAGAAGCCTACGTGGCAATGCTGAAATCAATCTTTGACTTCGACCTCATCAAATCTTTCATTACCGGCCACAAGGAGTTCAAGTTTTTGTTTGATGCCTTGAATGGAGTCACTGGACCTTACGGTCGGGCCATTTTTGTGGACGAGTTGGGTTTCCCAGAGTCCTCCATACAAAACTGCACGCCCTTGGGCGACTTTGGTGGCTTACATCCGGATCCAAACTTGACATATGCCAAGACATTAGTCGACAAGGTCGACGCTGAGAAAATTACTTTCGGTGCAGCCTCGGATGGTGACGGTGATAGAAACATGATTTACGGTTACAAAGCCTTTGTCTCGCCAGGTGATTCCGTTGCTATCATCTCCGAACACGCCGAGTCAATCCCTTACTTTAAGAAAAGTGGAATTTATGGTCTTGCAAGATCCATGCCTACTTCTGCGGCCATTGACTTGGTCGCCAAGGAGAAGGGCTTGAACGTCTACGAAGTCCCAACAGGCTGGAAATTTTTCTGTGCCTTGTTTGACGCAAACAAATTGTCCATCTGCGGTGAAGAATCGTTCGGCACAGGGTCGAACCACATCCGAGAAAAAGATGGACTTTGGGCAATTGTTGCATGGCTCAACGTTTTGGCTGCCTTTGCTGCCGCCAACCCGGGTGCCGAGGTGTCAATAGGCAACATACAGCGTCTATTTTGGAAGAAATATGGACGTGTTTTCTTCACCAGATACGACTACGAAAATTGTGATTCTGAAGGTGCCACTAAAATTATAGACTTCTTGCAATCCAAGGTTAACGACCCATCTTTTGTTGGTTCAACGTTCCCGACCGGAAGCAAGGTGAAGGAGGCCGCCAATTTCTCATACACAGATCTAGATGGCTCGGTGTCGAAAAACCAAGGCTTGTTTGTCAAACTCGAAGATGGTCTTCGTTTCGTTGTCAGATTATCAGGTACAGGATCGTCCGGTGCGACAATCAGACTTTACTTGGAAAAGCATTCCCTAAACAAAACGGATGAAACTTTTGCCCTCTCTGTCGAAGAATATTTGGCAGATGATATCCCTGAGGTCATTAAATTTTTGCAATTCCAAGAAAACATCGGTAGATCTAAGCCTGATGTTAAAACCTGATTACCTCCTCCTTCCATACATTCAGTAATACACAAAGTCATTGACGACACTCTAATGTCATTACTTTTTTACCTTTTTTTCTGCTCGTTTATATATATATCTTTCTACACGGATACTAGAAAATTATGGTAATATGTTATAACTTTTATATTTTTGCTACCCGGTCAACTGGTCCACAATCTCGCAACACCATCAGCACCTGCAGAGAATAACCATGCTTCTCTTGGATGCCAGCACACATCTAACACACCTAATGAGTTTACCACCTTGTGGCCTTGTAACTTCTTCAATGGCACCAATAATGGGTTGGTCACCAAATCATCATACACAGTGGCATGGAAAACATGGATGGAACCATCATCAGATGCAGAGCAGAACAATGGAAGAGTACCCTTGTGGAAGGCAACTGATCTAACTGCCTTTTCGTGATACCTCAATGTCTTATATGGAGTGGCAGCAAGGTCAAGGTCGTGCCACAACACTCTCTTATCGTATGAACCGGCAATAAGATGTTCTCCTCCACGTGGGTGAATGTCCAAACAAGATAACCATCTTGCTCCAGGTAGTAGCTTCTTCACAAGCTGTTGTAGTTGTAAGTTGTAGATTCTGATGTAACGCTGGGACATGACAAACAAGACAGGCTTAGTTGGGTGAAATTTGGCATCCATCAAAATACCCCTACTTTTACGGAACGGAGATTGGGATGCATGTTTGGATAGTTGATGGATCAGAATACTGGCCCTGTTACCACCATCTGGGGAAACAGAAAGTAGGTAATCACCACGACGATGCCAATTCAACTTTTTGATAGTGGACGCAGATGTACCTGCGCCTCTCGAAGTAGTTATCACTAAAGATATACCGCTCTCCGCTTGTACCTTCGTTGGCTTAAACCATTCTGCTGCACTCTTGTTCACGACGGCTGTTTCATCTTCATCGCTTGGTTTCTCACCGGCGGCTTCATCGTCTGAACCTACACCGGTGACTTCAGCCTTATCACTTTGTGCCTTAGTGTAGCCAAAACCGCTTTCAATTATCTTGTGCCCTTCGTTCTCAACCTCGTATCCAAAAATAGGTGGGACACATAGATAAACGTTTTCACCTGCTGAGATTGCTAAAATACCACATTCTGGATCAGGATTCCATTGAACAGCCTCAACATGGTCTTCGGTGTTCTCTTCCAAATCATCAATGATGACAATTTTGTGCACCTCTCTACCAGTTAAAACTTCCCAAATACGCACTGTACCGTCATCGGACCCAGTGGCAAGCCAGTTTCCTGTAGGATCGACGGATAGCGTACGGATTTTACCCTGGTGACCCTCATAAGTAGTGGACGTTCTGATTGGAAATGGTCTCAAGTCCTTTGGTGATGGTAACTCTGGAATCAAAGATTCTGGGTCGATGTTCAATTTGTTTTTGCGTACACGTGGAGCCAAGTAAAGATCAAGACATCTTTCAAATCTTTCACGAATGTTCTCACCATAGCCTGGCACCTTACGCAAAGAGCCGTATTTTTCTGGAATGAAATTTCTCTCACGTTCACTTGGATCCATCTGTTCCCATTCTTTACGTTCCTCCTCTGTCAGAAGGTACTCTTCGGGTGGGTTATATGATTCCTCGTTAGTCGGAGGTGGTACCTTAGGAGCACGTAATGTCATAATATGATCCTTGGTGATCTCATCATCCATCCCTTCCCAAAGATTGTAGTTAAGTTTTTCATCATCTTCTTCCTCTAACTTCTTACGCTGATCAGGAGGAATAATTCTTCCTTCTCTTATAGCCTTCACTATCTTCATTATTCTACGAGCTTCATGTTTGGATGGTGTGAAACGGCTCTTTGGTTCAGGTGCTGCACTAAGCGGCATTATTTCGGTTTTGCTGGTAAACCATTCAATTGTTGGCTCATAAGGATTGGTGTTGTCATCTGGATTTTCGTTCTTCTCGATCTTTCTAATCAACTCTAACTCTTCTTCACTGATATTCAAAGAAGAACCGGAATTCTTATCTAATAAACCGGTCCATCCTTCAGGTAAGTCGATGTTTTCAAGAAGTTGATCCAATGCACTACCCTTAGCTGGACGCATGATTCTTTTACCGTTTATATCATAACCAATGTGCGGATATTCGTCGTATGCAGATATTGGAATGTTACCAACAGTGTTGAAATCTTCACCATCGGAATCGTCAGAGTCGTAAACTGGGTTGATTTCAGGCCTGATGACCCTAGGGCGGCCATCTGCAAATTTCGTGTGGAGCTCATCCAATTTGGCTAGGGAGTCAGATGACAATGTGCGTAATTTAACATCAGACAAACGGTCAGTTAGGGATTTGGTAGTTTCTGCGTCGGATTCTTCCTCACTGAATGAACTTGGTTCGTCATCTGAGTTTTCATCTTCTCCGTCTTCAGCCAACATTTTGTTAAGCTCTGCATCTGAATCTGAATCTGAATCTTCTCCTTCTTCTCCTTCTTCATCGTCGCTCGCTTCTACGTCAATCAATCCTTTCAACTCAAAGTCTTCATCTTCACTGCTCTCATGTTCATCGTGGTTTCTCTTCTTCGAGATTTCTACCGCTGGAACGCTTGTAGCTGTTCCATTTTGGGCTTTCTTTTCTCCTCTGCTTCTCGTACTGATAGCCATATTGTCCCTTGTCTATAATGGTTAACAAATTCCCCGTACACATTAATAGCTGACATTTCATTCACATGGAAAAAAAAATGCAGATATAGGTTATGTGAAAAAAAAAAATATATTAAAAATGGAACAAAAAAATTTTATTTCTTCGAGATGCTGTGCACAGCCTCGAGCTTGTAGTTACATACAATTAAAGACCCCAAATACAAACTTTCCCGTCGTCTGAACCACTAGCCCATTCAACGCTGCCACCACTAGAAGCATAGCCGTCACCCCTCCAAGTGACGCAGTTGACTAGACCCTCGTGCCCGTTCAAACAACCAACTATATTTCCCTCGTAACCCCAGAGCCAGATCTCGCCGGATCTACCGCCACTGATTACTATGCCTGTATTTGCGTTTGTGTCTTTCCTATTAGGATTGTAGTTGCCACCTGCACATCCACGAATTATGAAGTTACTGGAGCTTGTAGATGGTAGGTGGAAAAAAGACTCGAGGTAAGGAAGCTTGTCGCCCCCAATCTTGTCTGTAGATTTGAGTGAGGAGGAAGACGCTGCCGATGAAGATGCAACAATCCCAGAAGTATTGATGAGGACCAACGAGCTTGGCTTCAAGTTCACCAACACAAATGTATTCTCGGGTTCATTCTTGGCGGGATTGTTGGGGATTATGCCCGGGAACGAGGAAGATACCGAAGAGATTGCCACCGGAATCTGGTTGAACTGCATTTTATAAATGAGCTTTAAGTCGGGTATCGAAAAGACGAGCAACTCGTTGGTCATGGTGATTGCCCATATGAAGTCGTTCTGGATCGTGAAGTCTTGTATCTGTGGAGATATTATGGATTTGCTGTATTTGGAGATCAATTCGGGAGTCGATCCAGTCTCGCTTAGTGCTATGATAAAAAGTTTGCCGTCATTGGAGGCTATCAAGATCCTGTTGGATGTTTCGTAATCGGGCAAAAATTTAGCCGCAGAGAGTCTTGCCTGTGTTACCAATGATTTCTTGTTATCGAGCTCTTTGATGCATTTCCCTGTGTCTATGGACCATACTCTCAAGGTTTGGTCGAACGACAACGAGAGGATCTCAGTCGAGGATGAGTTCCATGATATGTATGTAATTGCTTCTGTATGAAGCTGGAATACGCCGTGGAGTTTATAGTTTTTGGTGGCATCGTACACAATGATCTTGGTATCCTTTGAGCCGGTGGCAAGATATTTCCCGTCTGGTGAGTACTTGATAAACCACACTTCGTTTGAGTGGAAATTCAAAGTCTGCTTCAACTTTCTGGGCAAGTTATCGTTGCAAAGCAGGCTGTCATTTAGCGAAAGTGAGGAGGGGGACGTGGTGGCAGAGGAGTTGAATGATGGTATGGACAATTGTTGATAGTTCTGGGCATCTTTCATGATGGACTCGATGCCGTTTGGAAACAAGTACACCGGGGACGGCAACAACCTGAACAAGTTCTCCACCAAGATCTGTCTCGACTCGGCTATGGACTCCACGTTTTTCCAGTGGATCGAGGACAAAAACACGTTGGGGATGTCGTTTTGTAGCAGGAGTGACGAGAGATTTTGTCTGATCGACAGGTCTGTCTTCTCCGGCAACGACCTCAAGATCGACAACGCTTTGTTCGTGTTCTTCAAAAGGTACAACTCCTCCAAGAAGGCGATAGTCAAAATGGCGATCTCGATTTTGAACTCCAGCTCCTCCGAGTCGTAGTCCCGGCTCAAGCTTCTGAGCTGCTCCTCGACCTGGGAAATCAACGGCGAAGACAAGTCCGACGTCGTTATCAGCTTCGTCACCTCGTGCTTGACTTGCAAATAGTGTCTGTGGCTCTCGTTGAACTCGGGCAACTCCAGCACCTGCTGAGCTATGCCCGAATGGTTGTGCTGGAACAGGTACTGGGCAATCAACGTAAGCGTATCGTCCATTGTCGTTATTTCTTTCTCCGGGTGGGTGTTCTTGTGAATCTGGCTCTCCTGCAGTGTGTGCAGAAAGGAGAAACCGCCATTCCGCAGGCTGTTTCAAGGCCCTTTCTCCTACGCAGAGCTTATCGGGCAAGATGGTCCGGAAGTATGCACATCGTGAGACGGCCTTCCCCCGCCTGACGTAATCAGCGGCAATTTAAGTCGATCGGTCAATAATATGCTGCTTACCTAAGCTTTGCGACAGACTTTATGTTGCATTCCGGAATGAAAGGCTCATGTACAAGAACGGAGATCAGGGTCCAGTCCGGGGCCTAGAAAGCAGTCCCAGCAGATGAAGAGTAGCCACTTCAACTGCCTAGCAGTGCTATTGGCCATATAGAACACTCTTTCAGCAGCTGTGGTAAAAAGCTCAGAAACGTACTTGCAAAAGATTTGAAGAATTTAGATGTTTCTGTTTTGACATTAAAAAACAAAAATTTCTCCAAGAGAAAAAAAACTGGGAGAAGAGGGCATAAGGAGAAGGTTTGTCGCCCTCAAGATGGCAACCAGAAGAAAACTGTGGATGCTACGGGCTACAGCGTACGAAGTACACTACTACGTGTAAGAAGATGACATCACAAAGCGAATCGCAAATGCGTGGCATGCGCAGCAGAGCTGCGCATCAGACAAGTGCATATTATAAAAGTGATGAACCATACGATGATGGAAGTGATCTCCTGCCAGCCATTTTTATGATCTCTCGACGGATGCATTACAAGGATCACTGGTATTCCGGCAGTCGGTAATATGTATGGAGAAGGAGATAGGTCTGAAAAGGCCCAGCAGAGGAAGAAGAGCGGTGATGGTTTGGGGGAGAGAAGCTGGGGGAGCTGAAAAAAAAAGGCCAAGGGAAAGAGACGAGACAAGCGTGGGAGAGGGGCCGGCTGGCCAGAGCACGCCTGCCAGCCAAAAGAGGGCTTCTGAGAGCAGCAAAGACGAACAGAGGCCACCACGGGTGCACGATAGGTGCTGAGGGGCTCTGATTGCAGCAGAAGACTCACAGGAAACGCAATGTCGGACACCATCACCTTTGTGACAGGCAACGCCAACAAGTTGAGAGAGGTAACGGCCATTCTCTGCAACGGCCAGACGGAGGGAGCCACGGTCGGCAAGTACAGCATAACGAACCAGAAGATCGACCTCGATGAGATACAGGGGTCAATAGAGGAGATCACGATACACAAGGCGAAGCAGGCTGCGGCGACAGTCGGCGGCACTGTGCTGGTGGAGGACACGTGTCTGGGCTTCAACGCGTACAACAACCTCCCGGGCCCGTATATCAAGTGGTTTGTGAACAGCATCGGGCTCGGCGGGCTGGTGAAGATGCTTGACGGGTTCGAGGACAAGTCAGCGAACGCCATCACGACGTTCGGGTTTTGCGACGGCCCGGGAAAGGAGGTGCAGCTTCTCCAGGGCGTCACGACGGGCACGATTGTGGACTCGAGGGGTCCGACCGACTTTGGCTGGGACTCCATCTTCATGCCGGACGGCTTCGACACCACGTACGCGGAGATGAAAGGCGAGGCCAAGAACAAGATCAGCCAGCGGTCGAAGGCGCTAGCCAAGGTGAAGGCGTACCTCACGGGCGAGACTTGAAGATACAACTCGTTCCATCGCATATATATTCGTGTGTACAATGAGCCAGTCAGTTGATCGGTATAGAAATAAAAGTAGTGCTAGAAAAGTGGGGTGGGCACACACCCCGCAGAAATCGTAATGTGCCGCCTAAAACATAATCGTAAATAACAAACAAACCGTGAAACCTCAGGAAACCCTTTCCTTTTCGAAAACCTAGTGTAGCAGCGCAAACACAATTCTCTTTGCAATGTAGCAGATGAGCACAAGCAGCACGGAGATCGCCGCGTAGTACCCCTTGGTGAAGACGTGGTATCCGATGGTGCCCTTGATTCTCTGTAGATTGTGATTCTCGATCTCCTTGATGCCCTCGGCAGTCTCCTTGAAGATGTACTTGGACTCGTTGATGATCTCCTCCTTCTCCTCCTCGGTCAAGAAGTTTCTTGTCTGGAGCTCGTAGTCCCTCTTGTAGAGGATTCTGAGCACCTCCATGTCCTCCACGTCGAACTTGTAGAAGTTCGTGCCCTCGGCCACAATCTCGTCATACGACTTGCCCTCAACCTGAGGGAAGAGCCGTAGACTCTTGGTAACCTGCGAGGACATGATTCTTCCACCGGCAAAGAGCGCCAAGTAGAGCACGTGCATGTATGCCAGTAAAAGGTATGGGTGCTCTGCAGTCGTTTTGCGGATGTAGTCGGCAAACTCAATCTGCTTGGTGAGAATCGGCTTCTCGAACTTCTCCTCGTGCCCGTCGTAGAAGAACATCAAGTCCCGGTGCAACTTCGCTCTTCTAAGCATCTGGGGCTTGTAGATGGCTTTGAACATCTCTGTGTACTTGTTGTTGCCGCTCAACTCCCGCTCCAAGCAGTCTTCGATAGCGCTGAAGATGTGGTAGAACATCTGAATACCCTGTCTGTAGATTTTTGGGTCCCTGACAGCAAGAGCAAACTTGAGCGTGACCATCTTGTCGATCTGGTTGTGAAGACTCCTTGTCTCCGTGTTGATTCTGTTAGCCAATGCCCCGACGTCGTTCTTCGCAGGAATGATTTCCTGCTGGTTGATACGGGTAGTGTGCTGCGATGGAAGGGTCATCTTAGTAGTGTGTAATATAGTGTAGGTTGTTTTTTCTATCTTCTTTTTTTACTCCAGTTGTCTTTGATTAGCAAAAACCCGGACTCGTAATGTTTGCCACCCGTTCTGATGAAATACAGGCCCCAACAGCCCAGAGCAGGGCAAAACAAGCAAGAGAAGGGCGTCTTTAAGTACCAAGCCTGTTTGTTTCTCTGTACGGCTCATCTTATCACGGTCTGCACTCTGCACGCCTCGGAAAACACGCTTTTTTCTGCGTTGCTGATTTCCGAGCGGACGGACTTTTCGGCTGCCTTTATTTCCGGCATTACGTAAGCACTCCGCTCTTTTTCTTAATTGTTCAATCCGGCACAGCTCCCACGGACACGCGTACAGGTACACTTAAGGAAGAAAAAAATGTTGGAAAAATGCAAAAATAACAAGCAAAAGTTTTTACGTAATGTGCTTACGTAACCGGGTGCGCTTTTCTCTCTTCCCCGTTTCCTCGTCCACTCGAACTTTTTCACCATAAAGAAGTGGAAAAAATTCAAAAGGGCATAGAGAGTATAGGATCAGAAGACGTTCGAAGAAGTTACAAGAACAGGAAAACAGCGGTGTGCATCGCCTGTCTGTCATCTCTGTACATACAAGCATAGCTTTTTTTGCTAAATCCCATTGGGCTGCACAGAAATCTATCCCAAGAAGAACGAGAAACATGCAACATCGCATTATACGCCAGGCCTCCCGGTCGTTTGCAACGTCGGCTGCTGCGCTTTCCAACTCCACGCCAATAAAAGCCAGCCTGGTCCTTTCAAGAGCCCCAATAGTGACGCCAGATGTTCCGGAATTCGAAAAGCTTTTCTATAACTACCAGGAAGAACTCGAGAGAAGACTGATGTGGACGTTCCCAAAGTGGTTTTATTTCAAAAAGGGTACTGTTGCAGAGAGAGAGTTCACCGAGGCCCAGAAATATCCTGTTCCAGCGCAAAGAGGGGTGTGGTTCCCACAGGGTGTGCCAGATTTGAAGCACGGAAGGGACAGAAGATTCAAGCAAGAGGTAATACTACCTAAGAAGCACGCGGAGGTCGAGGCGCCGGAGGAGGGCTCCACCGACACTGCTGCAGCACTAGCAGATTTAGACGACATCGGCAGAGCAATCAAAGCAAATTCTAGAGTCACCCAGTTTGACAAAGCCAATGAGCAAACCTCTCTAGAAAGAAAACTCCCAAGAACACTATACTTGGTGGTCAAGGAGTCTGGGGCATGGAGATTCCCATCTTTTGAGGTGAAACCCGATGCGAGCGAGCCAAAGGGCCTTCATCAGATTGCAGAAGACGGTCTGCGTACTCTAGGGGGTGACAAGATCAATACCTGGTCTGTCTCGAACAGTCCTGCTGCGGTCATCAAGTATGATCCTAAGGGCCAAGTTGCCAACGTCAAGGCTTCCGACGCTTCTGCGCTCACGACAGAATTCTTGATGAAATCACATATAATTGCAGGGAAGTTCGATCTCCAGAAAGCCTCGAAAAACGTCTCCGAATACAAATGGCTAGTCAAGGAAGAAATCCAACAAGTGGTGGACAAGACTTACTTTGACCAAATAAGCCACCTCCTCAATGACAACTAAATTCTACATCGATGCATATTCCCACCGACACGTCATAAAGTGTCTTTGTGGTGGTGTATAACCGTTTTATATAAATATAACTACTGTACATACGTTATCTAATAACCTTCCCCCCCCCCCCCCCCCCCCACACACACATTGACCATGCCGCTAGAATTCGCAGCGGAGCTTAAACGGCATGAGCGCTCTGATTATTCAAAATTTCATGTCACACCCGAGCCGGCCCTCATGTGATCAAGGCGAAGATCACCAAACTGCCCCCCATTTCTTCGCATTTCTTACTGATTGCCTTACAGTGCCAAAGATGAGCAACACTGATAAAGTCCAGCATGTTAATACCCAGTCGTCTCAAAACTCCATTGGCGATATAGTGGCCGAAAGGCTCGTCCGGTTGGTCTCGGTGGGATTAAAGGAGGCTACCATGGATTCGCCGAGTTTCCGAGCCTCCATGAATTACATGCACGTATCGATATTACAATGTGCCCACCAAATGGAGAAGTCAATTGCAGTGATACAGAAGTTTGCCATAAGTTGGAACAATTTTGCACAAGTGAAAACCGAGATGGAAAACCTTTTCGGCCCTTACGTCAATGATTTTCAGTTCATCAGCAACGATATCTCTAAGCCGTGCATCAGGAAGTACTTAGAAGGACAGAGAATAATATTTGAAAGCGCCATGTCTTTATTGAGAATTGACGATCTTTCTTTTGTTAACATCGGCCACATCCTTGAAGTCGACATCCCGCATTATCTAGAAATACGTAGAAATTTTGAAAAGATCCAGAATAAGTATGATGTCATATCTGCCAAATATATGCAATTACCAAAAGGTTATGACCCAGTGAAGACAAGAGAAGATGCACTTCAGCTATTTGAGATCAGGAAGCAATATATTCATATGTCAATGACTCTTTGGATTTGTGTGAAAAATTTAGAGGGCAAGATTAGCAATGGCGTAACTGATTTTGCCAGTTCATTCCGAAATTCATTTGAAACCAGAAACACAAGCTATGGAGCCAAGCTATCAGATGCTATAGGCTTAACATCTATTGTGGAGGATATTGAACAATTGGTTAAATCTGCAGAATTGAAACAGACATCTTCAATGCTTCTAATGAAAGACTTAAATCGAGCTAGAGTTAATTCTGAAGATGGAGCCATAAAAATGTACACTCCCAGTCCAGATACCAAGGATTTTGATTCTTCTATTCTTAATGACAAGAATATATATTTAGAGAGTGAGAAAAACCTACTAGAAAAGCACGGATGGGTGTTTATCAAATCCCCGAAATTGAACGGCAGAGGCGATGTGTGGATCAAAAGATGGATGTTTGTAAAGAACGGAGTATTTGGATTTTTATCAATTTCTCAAGATGGTCAATATGTCCAGGAAAGTGATAAGATTGGTGTTCTGCTGACAACTATAAAATACATGCCAAGCGAAGATAGAAAATTTTGCTTTCAGATAAACAGTCAGCTTACGAACTTGGTGATTCAGGTCGAAACTTCTGTGGAACTCAAAAGTTGGCTCACTGTTTTCAGAAATGTGACTGAAGTTGCCAGTGCAAAAAAATCAGAAATTGCATTGAACAGATACTCACCCTGTTTGGATATGCTGAAACTCGTGCCTGTTGTGGCAAAGGATCTGGAATTGATTGATGTGAATCCAGTCGATCCTCAAATTGAAAAAACGTCGAAGTTAATTGAGTTGCAACTCTCAAATATGAAGTTTAACCTTTCCATTAATCCTCCCTTGAAAACAAGCATGACGGAGAAAATTTCAATGTCCCATCTTTATCTATCCTCGACCACAATTCCGTCGGCTACCACAGCTAATTTCTGGGGGTATGTTAACTGGGGATTATATTTTGTCCTTGACGAGGAAACCAAAATCTTAGTGTCAAATAATACTAAAACTCTGTCTCCTAGATCAGTCATCAACTTGAGATATCCTGATTTCTATCCCGAATCTTTAAGGGTTGCTGATGCTGAATTGAGATCGATTTTTGAGGTATGCATTGGAAATGACGAATGTACCTTGTTGAGGTTCAATGCATCTTGGTCTCCAAATTCTCAGCAAAACATTTTTTGTGCCTTGTACGTGACCACGGAATCTTTTTATGTCTACAGCCATACATATGGACTAATCTCAATTTTGCCAATTTCTTTATCGGACTTTCTTGAGGCCGATGTAGTTGAGAAGGCAAACTCTACCATTCTGAAAATTTATTTTGTTAGTGGGATCACAATCAAGATGCAATTGTACGATGACGATGTATATTCGATCAAAACTCAATTCAACTTCATTTTGAAAAATCGTAAGTCTTCCCATCCTAAAGATTTACAACATGTGGTTTCACAGCTTTCTCATATTCAACAAGCTTACAAGAAGATTAGAGACGAAAGACAAATGTCGATTACAACCTCTGCTATCAGACCCTCCAATTCAGACCAGCTTAAGCTGAAGGGTATAAAATTAGAATACCCAGCCGGTGAGGATTTGAACTGGATAGATAACACAACGGGAATTAGCGATTTAGATAGTGAAAATCGTATCAATTATACCTCGGAGATGGGGCTACTTTTAATCAAGAGGTTCAAGGTTCCAGCCAAGGCACTTTTTCATATTTTGTTTGGTGACGAATCTTTTTTGCTACAATGCACATTACCTTTGTCATCGAGTATTTTCAAAGAAGTTAACTCCAAGCATAGTTTGTGGAGATGTGACTCGAAGCAACGAATGACCAGAGTTGTATGGAACCCCGTATTTAACGTTCCATGTGCAATGCAGACTATCGAGCGCATAGTAAACAACAAATACTATAACATTGTCCAAGAAACTCCACATTTGAGATTTGTTTTCGGTATCAATAGGAAAATTTCCATGAGATTCATCATCTACAACTTAGATTCTAAATCTTGCAAGCTGATGGTTTACTATTCATTGGGAGGAGGAAGTAATGTTTTAAACTGGTTCTCAAGAAAAGTAATACACCAAATCATGATATTCCGGATGGAGGCGTTAGAAAGCAGACTGACAGAAGCTGTTAGCCAAATTGGAAACGATAACAGAAAAATTGCATCTGCTATTAGGACATATGGATCAATTACGAAGTACGACAGTGACGAAGCTACGAAAGATGAACTAACTTTTGACGATTCTGTGAGTTTCATTCCGCTTCAGTTATTTTCCTCATTCTACTACGAAAAGGTCAACTTTGAGATAGCGAGATTGATTTATAAAGGCATTAGAGCATTCACCAATACAATCAAAACGGTGATTAATTTCTTCAATACCAACATGGTTTTGGTGTTCCTCTTTGGGTCGTCTATCTTGATTAACATATGGCTGATAGGACGGACAAGCACTTCATATTGGAGAGAACGAAACGTCGATAGAAAAATGGATATGTTAGTTGGAGACCACTACTTGATGGAAAGATCAATAAGTATGAAGGAGATCACGGAGATGATAAACCCAAATACTACGGACTTATCATATGCGCCAAGCGGGACCGAATGCTATTGGCACTTTTTGGAACACGAGAATCTGGGAAGCATCAACCAGTACTCACGTATCGACAAAAATGATGAGATCATTGACATATATGAGCTCCATTCTTTGGAAGGTAAAAGAGAGGTCTCTCTTGCGCAGAAATTGACTGGGTTGCGCATCGAGCGTAACGGTTTACTGACTAAGCTAAATTTGTTGAACTATATCGAAAAGGAGTTTATTCTGAAAGAGTGGAAAAACTGGGTCAGCTCTGAGATCTCGAATTGCCAAAAGGTGCAAGACACTTTTCCTGGCTCGTATGAACCCATCAAGAGTTACTGCGAGGAGGTGGAGAAGGAGATGCTCAATCTATATGAGAACCTCCTGTAATAGTTATATTTTTGTTTCATGCTTGAATTACTAGAAAAACGTTAGGTACATATATAACGAGTTAATTTATTAGAGTCCGTTTTTAGCCAAATTGTCAGCGATTTCGAGATAGAAATACTTGGGGTTGAAGTTGGGTATTCCCAAGGCCATTTTCGTCTTCTTCACCAAGCCCATCCAGTTGATCAGGTCGGCGTGGTCGACATCATCCAAATAGCCCACGAAGTGGCCCCACTGGCAGGATTTGAGACTGACCATCCCGTCGTTGGGGCCTTCCCTGTCACTTATGATTTTCCACGATGCAAGAAAGATCGATCCTGGGTAAGGGTGCATTTGTGCGCCGTAGCTGAAGTACTTCACAGTGGGGTCATTTGTGACGACGGAGTTGAACTTGCCGGCGTACTTCGTAGAGAGCTGGAATATGGAGGGAAAGTTGCTGCGGATGAGGGAGGCCGGGAAGTAGCGTAGGGCGAAGTCTGCAGCCGACGTCCCTCTGTGCGGCGTGGAGATGGTTGTCAAGGACATAATCTTGTAGGGCGGCCGGGGCTCCGCGGAGTTCTGCTGCTGGAAGATAAGGTACCTGCAGTCCAAGCCACCCATCGAGTGTGCAACGAGGTTCAGCTTGACGGGCTCATCTTTCGGGATGTGGTGTCGGAGGCGGATCTGCGGCACAGACTTCCGGATGAACTTGTCTAGCATCGAGGCCCGGTGCTCGATCGACTCGAAGGGAGGCACCTTGGCGACTAGCACGGTACACCCGTGCGCCTCAAGGTTGCTCTTCACCCCGTTCCAGTACTCGATCAGGTACTTCCCCTTCTCGGCGATGGACCTGTTGTCGACGCCCATGTTCCGGGTGATCTTCTCCGTCTTCGAGGACGCCGACGCCGACGCCGAATCGGACGCCGGCACCGAGCTGCCCCCAAACAGCAGCTTGAAGCGGTCCGTAAAGGGCACCATACCTGCGACAGGCAGCTGCAGCATCTGGTCAAACCCAGAGAAGCCGTGGCACAAGACGAGCGGGTACCTCGGGGTGGCGTAATGTTCCCGCGGCGCCTCGCACGTAAGGATGTGCTGGTTATCGACAACCACGACGGGAACTACCGGCGGTGGAGACGACATGGCAGCAGTGCAGGCGTGCTGGAAACTCCAAAAAGAGCCAAACAGACCCACATAGAGCTAGTTCAAGAGCCTGTCCTCTGCTATCGTCTCTTCGGTTACCGCTTTCATCACAGGGCTCCCGGACGGGGCAAAAAACATGTCGCCGCTGGAAAATTACCCGATCGGGCCATTGCGTGCCCCGTGCGCGCGCCGGCCAATCAGAGGCGGCAGAGCAGCGGCCGTGCACAGGAATGGCAGACGCGGCCGCTGCGCTGCCAGCGAATTGTTTGCTGAGAGCCGAGCACTGCGATTTGCGTGCCGGGGCGGCGAGAGAAACGAGGCCGGCGCGGGTTGGCGCCAGCAGAACGGGTCGTCGGCGGCGGGTGGGAGAGCGGTGGTGGTGGGTGGTTGGTGGCAGCAGAGGCAGTGGCAGTGGTGGCAGAGGGAGAGGGGCAGCAGCAATGCTCAGCGATGGTGGCCGTAGAGGGGGTTTGCCCTTGTGTTCTCTTTTTCTTCTGTACTTGTTCTTGCTTGTGCTCTTCTTTCTTCTGGCCTGGCGCCTCCCTTGGGTCCTCACAGCACCCAGTGAATTGTTTGACACCTGTTCATCAACATAACAATGATTTCCGCTAGATCCATCAAAGCTGCTGCTAAGCAAGCCTTAGCTGTCAATGCTAGAATTGTCCCAAGACTTGTACGTGCACTTCACTAGAGAGCCGAGGATTAGGGAGGAGAGCAGCAGACGGCGGCTGCTGCCGCTGCTGCACGCCTGCAAGGGTTGCGCCGCCTTGGAACACGCCGCCTGCAATTGGAGGCTGCATCGTTAAGGCCGCCAACACTCGCCCAACCCTCCCCACCTGCTGGCTATTTTTTCCCATCCGCTGGAGAATTGTCATACTAACAACAGATCCACTTCTACCACCATTCCTACAGGCAAGACCATTAGCTGCAAGAACCTATGCTTCTGCTAAGGCACAACCAACCGAGGTCTCCTCCATCTTAGAATCCAAGATCAGAGGTGTCTCCGAAGAAGCTAACTTGGACGAAACCGGAAGAGTTTTAGCTGTCGGGTATGTACTACTTTCCCATTGATTATCCATTCATGTTCATGCCACCGCTCATTCACTGTGTTCAGTTGCGTGCGCCCGACGCACACGCTGACAACAATACTAGGATAGATCACAATTTTTCAAATTCCCTCACTTTTTTTTCTGAGGGGGGAATGAGCGAACGCTCCATTAAAGTGAGGCGTGCAACCACCAAGCGTTTTGTTCCCTCTATTTTCGCTACACTGGGCCGGCCGCTCTTTCTGTCCAGTGAAGACGCACAGGTGAATGAATGTGGCCTTTTTGATGATGAACATGCAGCACATGCTGAACCCATGGCGAACCCAATACTAACATTTTTGAACCCACACTCCACACATTTTTTTCTTTTCTAATACAGTGATGGTATTGCCAGAGTTTTCGGTTTGAACAACTGTCAAGCTGAAGAATTGGTCGAATTCGCCTCCGGTGTTAAGGGTATGGCTTTGAACTTGGAACCAGGGCAAGTCGGTATTGTCTTGTTCGGTTCTGACAGAGAAGTCGTTGAAGGTGAAATCGTCAAGAGAACTGGTAAGATTGTTGATGTCCCAGTTGGTCCAGCTATGTTGGGTAGAGTTGTTGACGCTTTGGGTGCCCCAATCGATGGTAAGGGACCAATCGAGGCTGTTGCCACTTCCAGAGCTCAATTGAAGGCTCCAGGTATTTTGCCAAGAATGTCCGTTTTTGAACCAATGCAAACCGGTTTGAAGGCTGTCGATGCTTTGGTCCCAGTCGGTAGAGGTCAAAGAGAGTTGATTATTGGTGATAGACAAACCGGTAAGACCGCTGTCGCTATAGACACCATCTTGAACCAAAAGAGATGGAACGACGGTGCTGACGAATCCAAGAAGTTATACTGTGTTTACGTTGCTGTTGGTCAAAAGAGATCCACTGTTGCTCAATTGGTCCAAACCTTAGAACAACATGATGCTATGAAGTACTCCATCATTGTTGCTGCAACTGCATCTGAAGCTGCTCCATTACAATACTTGGCTCCTTTCACTGCTTGTGCCATTTCCGAATGGTTCAGAGACAACGGTAAGCACGCTTTGATTATCTACGATGATTTATCCAAGCAAGCCGTTGCTTACAGACAATTGTCCTTATTATTGAGAAGACCACCAGGAAGAGAAGCTTACCCAGGTGATGTTTTCTACTTACATTCCAGATTATTAGAAAGAGCTGCTAAGATGTCTGTCGCTCACGGTGGTGGTTCTTTGACCGCTTTACCTGTCATTGAAACCCAAGGTGGTGATGTCTCTGCTTATATTCCAACCAACGTTATTTCCATTACTGATGGTCAAATTTTCTTGGAAGCTGAATTATTCTACAAGGGTATCAGACCAGCTATTAACGTCGGTTTGTCCGTTTCCAGAGTCGGTTCCGCTGCTCAAGTTAAGGCTATGAAGCAAGTTGCAGGTTCTTTGAAATTGTTCTTAGCCCAATACAGAGAAGTCGCCGCTTTCGCTCAATTCGGTTCCGATTTAGATGCTTCCACCAAGCAAACTTTGACCAGAGGTGAAAGATTGACTCTATTATTAAAACAAAAACAATACTCCCCATTGGCTGCTGAAGAACAAGTTCCAGTTATTTACGCAGGTGTCAACGGTTTCTTAGATAAATTACCATTAGACAAGATTGGTAAATTCGAAGTTGATTTCTTAGCTTACTTGAAGGCTAACGAAACCGAAATCTTGGATGCTATCAAGACCAAGGGTCAATTATCCAAGGAAGAATTGGGTAAATTAAAGACTGCAACCGAGAACTTCGTTGCCACTTTCTAAAAAAAATAATGAAACGTTTATGTTAAGCTAGTATACTGTTTTTTTTATTAAAAATTATTTATTCCATATTTATATTTATTTTATGATGAAATGATAAGAAGTTGATACTTCTTTTCACTGTTGAAGCTGAAGAAAAATATCACTTTATTTATTTATATTTATATTCTTATATTCTTTTGACTTTTCTCTATTTAGATGCAAAGAATTTCAATTGAAGCAACATTTTCAACTGTTTCTCACATCTGAAGCTGAACCAGCTATTGAGCCAAACTTACGACTTGTTATCCATCTCTTCTTATTTATTCATCTATATTTTACACTTTCCGATTAATATAGAGTCTTTTAATTAAGCTCACGAAACAGCGCTCATGTTTTGATGCAGTTTGGAGCAACTTTTTGGGTCCCTCACATCCCCTGTTTAATATATTCGAGGCGAGAAAAGGTGGGACGAAAAAGTAAAGAGCGCTTTATGAAAAGTGTCATGGAATTCTTTATGTGGGCTAGTTTCGTGTGAGGAAGGGCCAATCTATGGTATTAAGCTATATATTAACCGATAATTTCGCAATACATATACACAAGAATGGTGGATAGTGATACGGAAAAGCAATTGACACCGAAGATGCACGGAGTGGTGGAAAAAGGCCCACATCGTGTAACCAACGATGAAATATACAGGAGGTCTACTCAATACAGATTTTGGTCGTTTGATGAAGACAAAATTGAAGACCTCAGAGTAACTGTGAATCGACGGGGGCAGGAGGTTTTTGAAAATCGAGTTTCTGAACTGGACGATGATGCAGATGCACTCATCAAAAAATATATCTCAGAAAGTTTCAGCCCGATAAGCGTCGAAGAGGAACGTTTGATTGTGGTTTACTACGCCCGAAAATGCAAAGATCTTGCCAACTTTTTCAAGTTTACCACACAGGTTCGGTTGACAGCCATATCCTTCCTGCTCAAATTCTATCTGGTTCATAGTATAATGGAGTACTACCCACAGCAGATAATGTACACCTGCTTATTCTTGAGTGCCAAAAGCGAGAACAACTTCATTGGAATCAACAACTTTTCGAAAACCATACCAAAAACAACACCAGAGAGTATATTGAAATACGAATATACCATTCTAGAGACGATGCGGTTTACTCTCATGTGTCACCATCCGATGAGGCCGTTATACGGGTTTTATCTCGATATTCAAAATGTCTTAACAAAACTTGACTTCAACCGTTTGTACAAGGACTACCTCGCATGCCGTGAGAGGATCAACGAGTCAGTGTTTAGTGACGTTCAATTTCTTTATACTCCTCCTCAGATAGCGCTTGCCGCGTTATATATTGTCGACGACGTGGTATGCATGAGATATTTGATGAGAAAGTTCGGTGTGAAAAGGAAGCAAATGTTGGAGAAAATGGGTCACGGAGACAAAGATAAGGAGAACCAAAAGACAGAAAATGGAGAAACTGTCGAGAAGAAAGAGCTATTAGCGGAGGTGATAAAAGAGGAGACCCCAGTCAACGAGCAAAAAGATGCTGCTACGATTGTTGATAAAGGAGAAGAAAACAGTCCCGACGAAGCTGAAGCTAAAAAGGTAGAAAAAAAGCACACACCGTTGGAACGTTATGAGAAGATGATTGAACTGATAAAAGAATGTTCAGTCAAGATGCAAGAAAAAGTCGATCCTACTGTTGAAGAAGCAAAGGTGATCTCATTACGTGCACACTTTTGTCTAGACCCTGTGAAATATTTTAAGAAACTAACCACTACACCACCTCCCGCTACTACAACCCCAGCGGAGGATGCTGGGGTGAAGAGAGAAAATCCAGATCAAGATGATGCTGAAAGAGAAGCAGTTAAAAGGGTTAAAGTGACGTGAATAGTCCACTAGTAATTAAATTGTACATTACATGTTTTCTTCATAAATATCCGGTATTAGCTGCATATAGAAGTGTGTGTATCTTAGAAGATGATTATAAAATTTTCGGTATAGCTGTGATTTTATCCTTGACATTACCAACATGGTAACAGGAACCCTTTTCCTTGTCTACAAGAACCACATCCTGTCTAAAGTCTGAAGAGCCACCTCGAAGAACTTCAAACTTGACTTTTCCAATATTCATAGTCATTTTTCCTGACTTGTGTATTCTAATTTTTCCAATCTGCCCGTCGAGTCCACCTTCAAAAACAGGCAATGAACAGGGTACCTGGAGGAAAAACATATTGTTCTCGAGATCCAGGCTTTTCAGGTTTTTAGACAATATGTTGTAGTCTTCCTCCATTTGCTTGGTTTCAAGCTGTTCCTGAAAATTATTCATATGTAAATTTGCGTCATCCTCATTGATTATTGCCCTAGATTTAGATGAGTCTCCCGAAACCGGTATCACATCGGCTGTAGGCTCTCTCGATGGAGTTTCGGAAGGAATAACTGACTTTTCACTGCGGAATTCTGTTTTTATAGTCTTATCGACCTTGGCCTCCTCTCCGTATTCTCTGTGTTCATTCCTTTCTGCGCGGACAGGAAACAAGTCTGTATCTATCTTTTCCATATCCAAATCTCCATCACCATCAACAAGATCGTCGCCTAACAAAGATTTCTTCCCCATATCTATAGCATTATCATCTATGTCAGAATCAGAGTCATCAAAAACTTTCAGATTCCTTTCACCATTTTCAGACTTGATTTTGGAGTTCTTGAGCGCTTTCGCCTGTGACTTCGACTTCAGCCTATCCAGAAGAGGGTTCATCGGATTTTTACCACCAGACCCTGATGAGGAGTTGTAAGTAGCCGATCCACCCAATGAAATGGCACCTTCGGACAAGGGACCTGAAATGACCAGCTGAGTGCCTGTCAGTTTTTTGTTTGTCCTGCCACCGGCAGCACCTGGACCCGGCTTCTTTGTCAATCTTCTGTTATTCTTTTCTACTATTTTATTCACACCTGGTGTACTTATCTTTCCAGCATTTTCTCTTTCTTCTTTTGTTTTTCTGGACACCACCTTTGGTTTGAATTTTAGTGCTGGTTTGGCACCTGTTGGAGTGCCCGAGGGTGCAGATGAACGGGTGATACTGTCCAATCGTTTTGACATTTCTCTACCTCTGTAATATCTTTCTTCAAATACGCTCAGAATACTTTGACGAAAGACGGATTTGGAAACGGGAAGAAAAAGGTAAAGCAATGTTAAGTTGATTTGATCGATTTTTTTCTCTTCATTCATTATAATGGTTTCATGGAAAAAAATATGAGATTACGTAAGTTCGAGGAACGTTTTGTATTTTTTTCGATTTTAATTTTTTTGCTAAATGAAAAATTTTTAGATACTTAAAGAATTCACCAAGTTTTGAAAGAGAGTAGAAAAGGTGATTCTTTACTGAAATTCGGTGATATAACCACAACAGCACGGAAATATGGCAAGGCGTGCAAGAAGTTTCGCCAGAGCGGAGGAGAAAAAGAATGAGGAAACAGGAATAGAGGAGTTTGGAATGGACGAAGTGGATGCATTTGCAGATGCCAGAGACAAATCATTAATGGAGAAGGCAGGACTAAACGAACAGCCCTATGATGCTAATAATTCCGAAGATGAAGAGGCAGTTGAAGGTGTAATGGATATTGACTCTGATGCCGAAGTGGAAAAGTATAAAAAGAAGTTTCAAGGACCAATTGACGAGTCAGATGAAGAGTATTTTCGTGCTGAGGACGACAGTGGAGCCGAAGGTGAAGATGCAGAGGGAAGAGAGAGATGGGGAGGCGATTACTATGGTGCAGATGAGGCCGAGGATGAAGAGGATGAAAAGCTGTTAGAAGAAGAGGCCCTCAGGTTACAGAAAAAGCACATGGAAGAGCTTAACGTGGAAGATTTCATGCTTGATGAAGTAGAGGATTGGGAAAGTGAGAAGGAGAAGAAAAGAAAACAGAAGCAAGTTGGAGCAGGCGATGAAGGTGATGAGCTACTTACCGAAAATGACGATAAGTTTGCGGAAATGCTAAAGAAGGGAGACAAACAGAGTCGAACAGAAATGATCAATAAAAAATACCCGGAATACCTGCCGTTAGTGTTAGAGTTGAAGGAGCTACAGGGAGTCTACGAAAGTCTGAAAAGTAGCAAATCTGAAAGTGTCATAAAAGAGGTGCAATTCAAGGCACTCAGTCTGTATCTTGGTTCGATTGTGTCATATCTCGCTGTGTTTGCAAGCAAGCTTCAAAGTGGCGATAAGTTTGACATGAAAGACGAAGATGTGATGGTGTCTATTTTGGGCAGCAGGGAGTTGTGGAGGCAAGCAAAGGGCTTGAGAAAGGCCTCACACATCACAGTAGAAGAAGACCAAGAATATGAGGAGGATGCAGAAGACCAAGAATCCGTGGAATCTGAATTTGCAGAAGAAAGCCTATCAAACAAGAAACCAAACAAGTTTGCAAAGGAAGATCTCAGAGGGTCCGACGTGTCAGAGGAAGAAGAGGAAGAGGAAGAGGAAGAGGAAGAGGAAGAAGAAGAAGAAGAAGAAGAAGAAGAAGAAGAAGAAGAAGAAGAAGAAGCAACAGTATCCAAGCCACAGGAAAAGACACCGGATTTCACGAAGTTGCGTAGCATCAAAAAGAGCACGAGGAAAAATCTTGAAGACATGGACGACCTTGATGTCGAAGACAAGCAAGGCCGCCGCAAGACGCTCGGGTTTTATACTTCCAAGATCGACAAGCGGGATATTGGAAAGGCTGCTGTCGACGGAGACGTCGACGCAGCATACGAGGAAGAGAGCAGCAACAAAAACAAACACTACGCACAAAAACGCCGCTCCCAACCATCCCAGAGGGGCAGACGCAGACGCCATTGAGACTTTTCCGGCAGTAGACGCCGAAGTTGTATATTTATGTCGTCAGTTATATATCATTAAAGCAGTGAATGCCAACAAGATGGAAGCTGTATCGCTAGAATTACCACATGCGGAAGGCGCGCTGGCCAAGTTTTTCTTATTTTCAGTTTCTCTCTTTTTTTCCTCTGCATGAAAAATTTTCAGAGGTTCTGATGTTTTTTACTCCTGGTCTTGAAAGCCAGAGGTAGACACAAAGAGGTTGTGAAGTCACACAGCAAAGAGCAGACCCCAGATTAGAAACAATGTCAAGCAACACAGAAATAGAGAGAAAGCCGGTGACGGTGGATAAGCCTGTTGCGGTGGAATATGATTTGGGACTTTTATGTGTCAACGATCCACAACCCTTAGAACATACGAAATTGACAGATGCAACAAAGAGAGAAGCGTACTTGAAGGAGACGACACGTGACAATGTGCAGCTTTTAGTGAATCAGATATTGTCTTTACCGCTACAGAAAAAAGACAGCATCACGCTGGTGGAGTTGCCAGGACCAATCTTTAAACTACCAAGAGAGAAGTCAATTCCTAAGCCAAGAGAGCCTACCAGATGGGAGAAATTTGCGTCCAAAAAGGGTATTCAGAAGAAGGGCAAGCAAGCCAAACTTGTGTATGACGAGGATACCAAGGAATGGGTCAACAAGTGGGGTTACAAGGGCGCAAACAAAAAGGTCGATAACCAATGGCTTGTCGAGGCCGAAGGCGGAGACGCTCCCGGTGCAGAAAACAGCGAGGCTGCTCTTCTAGATCCAAGAAAGCTCCAGAGAGACGAAAGAAAGAAGCTTCTTCAGAAAAACCTTCTCCAGCAGAAGAGAAACAGAGAACAAAAATCATCATAATGTGTATCATACAGTTATAAAGGTAAAATAGACTTTTTTACGTAAGCGTTTCAAATTTTTGTACGGCGATTTCAGTTGCATTTTGTAGAAAGAGAGGCTTCAAAACGATGGATGATCCAGCAACAGAGTAGACCACAGAATAAAAGTATACTTCGTCAGCCATGGACAGCACTTATACTCCCCTGATAGACTCTCTCATCCGCATAGGCGAGGGAAAAGTGCGATCGAGTCGGATAGTGAAACAGCTGGAATCGTTTCTGAACATCACGTTTGAAAAGTCTGTCAAGCACGACTTGAAAAGGCTGTCTGATAGTCGTATTGAACAGTACCACAAGAATTCCAAAAGGCAGGAGGAACTGCGCATGCTTGCGACTGCAAAGCGGTCCGAGTCAATGCACTTTTTGGTGGGAAATAAGCTGAAGACTAAAGCATGGTTGGAACTTTTGTACACACAAAACCTTGGCGTTGGCACGCAAGAGTCGATTCCAACGGCTGACGAAATACCCGTATTACCTGGAACCAAAGTTGAGGACGATGCCTCTTTTGACATTGCAGCGATGGCGACTCTCTATAGGAACAACATCACGCTGCTTTACAGGCTCGATCATGATCTTAACCCCTACTTTGTTGCACCCCAGAAAGACTTATTCAGAGCACGACGCCAGCTCGAAGCACGACGCAAAAAATCCCGTATGAAACATTCAACCTTTGAAAACTCCATCCAAACTACACAGTTATCTGCCTCTCAACACTTGTACACCTGGTCCGCAAACATTCAGAAGTTATTGAAAATAGAGCATCCGCTATCAATGAACGAAGTTATCTATTTGGTATTCCGTTATGCTAGGGAGAAAAAATTATACAGCCAATCTCTTTTCCATTCTAACGACCTGACCTCCTTTCTTTCTTCCCACGGGGAACCTCTCGATTCAAAAACGCTATTTCAAAGAGTGATCTCTAACAAACTACAGAGAGTCGGGTACATTACACAGAATGGAACACGCTACACTAGTTCCGACGGCTCTGCAGACTGTCACATCCCCACAGACGCCTACAACATACCGGAAGTGTTGCTTCAAAGGCATTTTGCAGCTGTATGTGCTCTGACAGACGTCCAGTCTTCCTTCCCGACTCTCTTCAAGTCCAATGCAAGCAGATCATCCCATCGCTGATGTAAGCGCTATATATATTTTTCATTATGTACTGTATGTATTTATACCTGTCAACAAAGGTACCATATACCTTCATTGCTGTTCGGTGCAAAAGGGTGCCAGAAACTTTGTCAAAAGCACTGAAACGTTTGTGTTACATAGGTGCCATGGAATACATAGGAACAGCGTTTGAGGACTATGCACTCAATGAGTTCATTAAAATTCAACTCCTTTTTGATCAGTCGTTTACTTATGTGAAAGTATCTCAGTTGAAGGAAATTCCAGCATCTCCTGCTATTGTCAATCAGAGCAAATCAATGTTCCATAAAAGTAGTTCATTAACAAAGAATCTTGCTGAGCACATCAACGAGATTTCCAACTTCAACCAAATCCCGCTAGATTCTGAATTCAAGAAGAATATAGTGAGGTTTTACTCACTGCATAAAGCTAACTTCAAATCATTTACTCCGGATGTTATTGTTTCGAGTTTCCAGACTTTTTTGAAAACACAAAAACATTTTGATGAAAAGAATCCTTTGTACTATATTCAGTCAGTAGAGCTGGTTGATCTGATGTTGGTCTGCAAATCTTCGAGCAGTGAAAATTCCCAGCTCATAGGTATACGTAATGACTTGTTGAACTGTTCATTTTTACAACTCCCTACCATCACAGATCAGAAATTCAAAAAGGCAATATGCACCTCGTTTGAAATTGATGATAATATTCTTGAAAGTAAAATTATTGAATTGCAAGCATCATTATCTAAGGAACAAGTAGTAAAGTTTTTCAACTCGGGACAAGTTCTTTCAAACTTTTACAAAGAATCCGATTTTGAAAACCCACAATATTACAGCAGCTGGTTGCTGAAATCTCAAAACTTGGAAAGCGATATGAAAACGCTATTTACAGAACCTTTTTCCTCGGGTAAAAGTGTTCCTGGTTCAATCCTACCCAATCAACTAGATGACGTTGTGCAGCTTTTGATTGCCATTTCGTTGAACTCTTCTGCTCATTTTTTTCAAGGCTTGATCAAATGCATGCAGCTTTGGCAAATAAACCCGTTCGACATCCAATTCAAATTTATTCACACAGCCGCTTTTGTAAATAACTCTACTGGGAAACAAAATAACATTATAAATCCCGAATTGGTCGAAAAAGCTTTCAATCTATCATATTTAGCAATGCCTTTTCAAATTCAGTTTCTTGAATGGCCTCTAGAGGAGAAAAAAAACTTTCTGAGATTAAGCATGAAAATCTATGACGAATCCATAGAGTCCATCAAACCGTTTTTTGGAATGTTTTTCCAGGATCAGGCTAGCTTTACCACCGTGTTGTCTTTCTTAAAACTTTTAAAGCTTAACTTGAAAAATGTAAAACAAGAGATAAAAAATCACTTAGTGGCAGTTATAGATAAAAGGCTGCAACAACATCGTTCGAAATGCTCCTTGAGTACCTCGGGAGGGGTGAAATTAGAATCGCTGGTTAAATATTTGACGTCTGTTTCTAGAGATATTAATTTGCTATACAACTGGAAGTTCAATAACAAAGATCTCAATTTGTCTTTCCAGGTATTTGAAATTGGTTCCAAAATTCTAATGAGTCCCACACTCGAACTGATAAAAAATTACATAAGTGATATAAAGTCGACCAACTTTAATCTAATCACAAACAAAGACACCAAGGTCAACTTTGGTACATTTATTGATTTAGTCAATAATTTAAAATCTAAGACAAATTTCAAGTACGACTTTCAAAACGAAATTTATCCTGATTTCTACAAAGTAGTTCAATCTTGGAGCACTGAAATGATAAACAAAACAAAAGTGATAATTGCAAACGATACTTTAGTTAGACTTGATGGTTGCTCATATTCGGCGAGTGTCCAAAACTTAATCTTACTTTTTGAAGGTTACATCAAATTACTAGAGAGCTTCAAATGGAGTGATGAATATCAATCATCCGAATTGAATATTTTGTTGTATAGAAATATCATCAACTCTGTCAAATATTATCATAATGCAATGAGCAAGAAACTGTCAGAATTGACGAAAATAAATGATATGGAAGACGACAGGAACGTTGATAGCTTAGTTTGCTTGAACAATATTTTCAACATAATGGAGTTTTTAGAGAAGAGAGAGAAAAATCCAAATGTTCTTAAGGTGTCTCAATATCTAATAGCAAATGGTTCCAACAAAAAACTCGCCAAATTACCGAATAAATACATTTCCGTCAACATAAAGAATGCTGAGAACATTGAGGATATGCGGGGAAAGCCATTGAGTCTTAAGGTTAGATTATCTGGATTGATAAGCGCTGAAACTAGAGCAATTGTAAAAGATTACAATCCTGATTGGATCGAAGAATTTAATGTTATTGTGCCAGGAAACACTAGTTCTGCTAACAATAGGGGTAACCTTAGAATTGAATTGATTGATGTGGATTCCAGCTCCACGTATAAGGCGGTCGACTACAGAGTCAATCTCAACTCTGAAAATTTGTTTAAGAATCAAACTGAGAAGATCCTTCTGAAACCCAAAAGCGGTTCGCTCAACATAAGTGTAAATGCAGAGTTTGAAAAGAACGACCCACTATTTTACATTATTCATTGCAAAAACGAGATTGAGAACTCGATAAAGCGTTCCATCAACTCTTTGATCGAAAAGTATTTGGTTGACTTCAAAAATATTTTCACTCTCCCCTACCTTACTCAGAGCTTAATCGATAACCCAATCAGATCGGAGAATAACTATATGAAATTACAGGATCCAGTCATAGATACGTTGATAGGAAATTTTAGGGTCAAAATCATACCTCAAATTTACAACAATATCGAAACCAAGCTATTCGACAGAATGATTGTTGAATTTTGGATGAAGATAATCAGCATCGCTGAAAATCTCCTACTACCTCGAATCTCCATCATAAACTATCGCATAAATTCCAAGCTCAACCGAAAAAGTGCAAACGCTTCTTCGACACCCTCCAGTCCTCTGGTGGATAATGGAAATCGTCACTCAAGCTCCCATCATTCTTCTTCACACTCAATCCACGAGACCACGAGGGAAGAATTAATTCGTGTGGTGGAATGGTGCTATAAGTTCAGGTCAATGCTCGATCTCCCAGATATGATCCTACAAGACGACTCCTTGAACAAGCCATTTGAGGAGTTCAACCAGATCAAACAGCTTTTCCACCTCTCCATTAAAGAGTTGCGAGCAAACTATTATCAAGACTGGAATTATCTCAACCGCAACATGCTGAACAAATTGAGCAAGGGGGTCAAGTACGAGCGTAGCCAATGGGGACAGGTGTCAAGAAACAAAGAGCTACTCCTGAGAATCCTACTTGCCAAGGGCGAACTCAAGTTTGTGAAAACCTCTCTAGAAATGGAGCAGCGTTTCGAAAAGACGGTCAAGACGGAAATTGAGGTTATTTATCTTCAACAGTTTTTATAAGCGGAGACGATCGGCTGTTTCCGTTCAACCTCGATTTGTGCGTAATTTGTGTCCAACTTATGTAAAGTTAACCTCCCATAGCACTCTCCGGTGTTTGTATATTCGTTCCGCATAGTAGAACCAACGACTGGGCGCCCCGAAGCAAAAAGCAACTCAAGCCAAACATCCCCCATGGAGAGTTATAGGAGAAGGAAGAAGTCTGAAATCATCCCAACATTGCCAGACGACGACTCCCAAGACATCATCACCACCATGCCCTCGTTATCAATGGAGGACAAGGGAAAATCCTTGCCGCCTCTACCAGGAGCTGCAAAGATCAGAAATGGAATGAGCCATGCTGATAGTGTCATAGAAATGAATTCAACAGCGAGCAAATCGTCAATCAGTCTGAATACCCCCATCAAATCCACACCAGTAGTATCCACAACCCCTACGAACGTCAATTCTTTGGACAACTTCAGCTCGAGGAAAAGAAGTTCCGAAGAGTCAAGTGCTCGAAGTAGTGGAGTCGAGCTTGGAAGTAATCTTGATTTGAACGAAGGGGGTTCCGAGAAGGAAAATGTCAGTTTCTTTGGCAGTATAGAGGAGGGAGCCAGTTCCGAAAACGCTGTGATGAGTTCTATAAACAAAAACATTGCAGATTATGGTGATCTGAGAACACAGCAGATAGCGGAAGATTTGGAGTTGAGCTCTTCGATGCCAGAAAGCTCTTCTGCATTGAGGTTAGGAGAAATGGAAAATGTTGATGGGGCTGGAAGTGAACTTGGTGACGGCATTAAATTTGAAAACGAAAATGGTACACAAATGTTGTCATACAGACGCTCCCGTGGGAAAGGCAAAAGTAAGTTGAACGTTGAAACAGATCTAGGATCTCAGAATAACAGCTCTTCAATGTTTCATTCCAAGAGTAAGTCCTTGAGTACGCCTATTATAGCAAGCGGTTCGAAAAATGATCAATCACCTTCACAATTAGCTTCCACGCCGGTTCCCGGCAACGGTCTGACGCCAGTAGTGGCCACCACACCTAAGATAGAGGTGGATTATAATCTTTATGTGGATGAGAAGTATTTGGACACACAATACAGGTATGCGTCAGATCGGAGAGATCTTGAGTTTCACCAGTTATTTACTAATGTTCCCAAGGACGACAGATTACTAGACGATTTTAGTTGTGCATTGAGCAGGGAAATACTTTTGCAGGGGCGAATTTACATTTCTGAGCACTACTTGTGTTTCAACTCAAGCTTGCTAGGCTGGGTCACGACTATGGTGATATCATTAGATGAGATTCAAAAGTTTGAGAGACGGTCCACTGTCGGATTATTTCCAAACGGTATCATTATAGAAACCAAAGAGGCTAGGCACACATTTGCAAGTTTCATAACACGAGATCAAACTTTAAACTTCATTGAAACTATTTGGTCCAAGTCTATTAGTCTCAGCAAGAAAAATAACGAAAAATCTAGGGATTTTGAGTCGGTGGAATCGAAAACTTCATTCGAAAATATGCACGATAAGAGTGTTAAACCTTTGTCTGAAAGTGACTTGTACACTATAGATGGCGATTCCTCGAGTGATAACTATAACAATACAGGAAAGACTGGAAACACTGATAGAAGTACAGACGACGATGAATACGAATCGTCAGTTGCCAGTGTAAACGATTTTGATGTTGCCAACGGCATAAACAATAACAACATGACAAAAGCTGAAAGTTTGGCCAGAAAAAAAGTGAAAGGCAACAAAAAACGTCCGTTCCCAGGTCCAAGAAGACATTTGCCTTCCAAACATGAATTCGATCAGGAAAAGATGAAAGGAACGATTGTTTTAGATAAAGAACTTGACTTACCTTTAGGCCTATTGTATGATATCTTTTTTGGAAAAGACATCACGTTTCACAAGAATATGATGGTGATGAATGATGGTTTGAATTTTACTGACTATTCTGGTTTTGAAAAACAGGGTAGTGAAAGATCATTCGAGTATGATAAAAAACTGAACTACCCAATCGGTCCAAGCTCAACTCGTGTTTACTGTACTGAGCGCCTTGAACACTTGGACTTTGACGACTATATTGAGATTCTGAATATATCTAAAACTCCCAATGTTCCGTCCGGCTCTGCCTTTGATTGCAGAACCAGATACATAGTGTCTTGGGGGGAGGAAAACCGGACCAGACTTGTAATTAGTTTCAGTTTAAATTGGACAGGAAGCTCATGGTTCAAAAGTATAATTGAGAGCTCCGCTCTCAGTGGACAGCAAAAGGCAGCCGACGATGTTGATAAGGAGCTTTTGAAACTAATTCCATCAAAAATCATTGAGTTCGGTCTCAATGAACCAGTTGAAGAAACAGATGCCGAGAACGAAATTAATGAGAATAAAGTAACGAAACTTTTGGATAATGAGACGTCTGGGAAAGCCAGTGTGGAGAATATCGAAACTGTCGGGTCAGGTACCAGTGGCAAAACATCTATTTCACCCGACACAGTTTTCCCACGCACAGAAGTGATAAAAACTCCATTTGGAGAGTGTCCAGTATCATATGTATTCACGATACTGATGCTTATTTCTATCTTTGTGTTGGTTATGACCTTGAAAATTTCGACTGACAATGACAAAATTAAAATTGAGTTACAGAAACAAGGCATATTGCTCAAGAGAATAAGCGATCAGCTCAAAGATTTCAAAAACTTGGAGAGAGCTTTAGGTTAAGAAAGGTTTTTATCTGTGAAGTAGTAACTATAAGCATTTGTAACGATTAAGTATATATATATATATATATATATATATATACATGCGCATCGAGTAGTATATCCTTTTTATATACAAGTGCCACCCTATTAGGCAAAATAAGATAACTAAAGCGAGAAAGATAAATGGTATATGAGCGGAAGGGTAATGAAAGGACAAATCCTTGGAGATTTGATGGAAAACTGTTAAAAATGAGCCTAAAATTGCATAACATTTAGGCCAAACATCCGTTCACAAAATTTGTTTGTTTGCTCTCCAAAATTTCCATATTATCAATAGTAAACACCATTATATGTTCATTTGGAGCGTCAAGCTCAAATACAAAAACTCCAGTAAGTATCCTTCCTACTGTTCTATTTTGGTTATTTGCGTTATCGGAGTCACCGGTTGATTGGCTTATGTTTTTTAAGGGATCTAGGGTTTTAGCTAGCCCCTCTATTGTTTTCTTGGCTTCTAACAACGAAATAGTTTGTAACGGATTAGGCGATTTTAGCAGCTTGGTCCAATCAAAATGGTCGAGGCTGTATGAACCCCACTTAGCGTCGGTTGTCTGTGCATCTTGTAAATGCTCACACCCCGAATAACATGTTCTCCATTTTACCTTTACTTTTGTTGTATATTTTGAAGTATCTTGGCGTGGTGCTGAGTTTTCAGATAATGATTCGTTCTCAAGATGATTAGAATCAATAGACAGGTTGATCAATTCGTCGGACGACATTGAGTTTGTAGGTTCTATGATTTTTATGTCGGAGATATGAATTTTTGAATCGGGATTCAAGTAAAACATTAGTAAAATTTTTTGAATTGCCTTCAATGTACTTGAATATAGAAGGTAACCTCTGAAAGTGGGGAGGTTAGGAAACTGATGAGGTAAAACTTTCAAAATAATTTTGTCGGATACAAAATCTGGAGGTAGTAAATCTGTTAGCATGTTAGGAATTTTAAACTGCAACATCTGGATGATTGTACCCAAATTTGCCTTTCTCTCTAGACGATTTTTATTTATCTCAGGGGCACGGTTTTCAGAAGAGCCTTCTCCATCATTGCCACCTCCTTCTTTCAAAATATTGTCCTTGGCAGAGTTATGCATAAAAATGCACTCGGATAATGGAACGGTCTTTTTATAAAGTCCTCTTGAATGTCGAACTTCGGGATAAAACGACGCAACGGAACTTTTTAAATGTAAAGTATCGCATAAACGTCTAGTTGTTCCAGTGCAGACTGTCTTTCCCTTTAACTCCAACGAAGTGACCGGTGTTCCGATAACCAGAGGGATGACTGTTCTACTCGGCCTTGAAAGCACCAGTTCGGGAACATGACTGCGTCCAATTGTTAGCGCCCCTTTTATCCTACCCATATGCGTGGTTATGGAAAATGTATCTTTTCGAAAGGAAAGCAATTAATCTCAGGAGGCTGAATACACAACGTGCTAAGAAGTTAGGAGAAAGGTATTAGTAAATAGATGTTAAGAAACTGTGAAGTGCTAGGAAAAATTACTTAGCGAGGAAGCCTCGGACCGGTCATGTCGCATTTTAACGGATTTACTACTGCTTCAAGAGTTCGTTTAAGATAACAAATATAAATTGGAGTAGTCAACTGCATTTAAAAATCAGTGTAGCTTTTCTATCATTGCCAGTAGACACACAAATAAAATAAGAACCAGGAGGCCTGGCCGATTCGCTGCTTCAACTAGTTAATCGGTCTCTTCACCTTTAATGACCATTAAAGATATAATCGAGTCTGCAACTTGTGCAGCAACTAGTGATGTGATTTCTGCAGTATCAAATGGAGGAGAAACTTCTACGACGTCACCTCCGACAACGTTCAAACCTTCTAAACCGTCAAGAACTGAAAGAAGTTCTCTGGAGGACCATCCACCAGGCTCAACAGTACCTGTAGCAGGAGTGAAGGCTGGATCCATGGAATCGACATCAACTGTAATATAAACTGGATCGGTGTTGCTGCCAATTCTTTCCTTGATTCTGTTAATAACACCGTCAATGCCGATTTTGTCGATATCTCTTGCCAATACTCTGTCAAAACCGCAATCATTGTCGTGTTGAACATCCCTTGGACCTGGATATGGGCCTCTAATAGCAGCGTGTATGGAATTGTCATTTAAATAACCTTGTTCATGTGCATAGTGCAAGTAGGTACCATGGTTTAAGGATTGATAGTCTGTGACGTTACCGCCGAAGTAGTAGGGGTCCCACGTGTCCAAGTGAGAATCAAAGTGGATAACTGTGATCTTACCGTACTTCTCATAGGCTGCCTTGATTGCAGGTAGCGTAATGGTATGGTCACCGCCAAGAGTGAACACCTTTGGGAACTTAGAAGGGTTTGCCTTAGTTGTGGTGTGCTTACCAATAGCTCTTTCTGCTCTATAAATTTGGTCTAGAGCAATTCTATTGTCAAGAGGGGTCACCGGGGGGTCACCACAATCCACAATCTTGGCCCATTTTTTGTATGGGTTGAAATTCCGTCTGTAAACAGAGTACGCTGGGGCTAATCTTCTGGCACCCAATCTGATACCACTTGGTCCAAATCTAGCACCTGGTCTATAAGAGACACCAGAGTCAAAAGGTGCACCTACAATGGCAATATCAAAGGTCTCTTCTTCAAACAAGTCTGGATTATAACAGTTGGCGTAAGGAAGGTGTGCAAAAGTGTCAATGCCACCAAACTCACCACCTCTGTATAAAACCGAAGTGCCATTGATATCTCTCAAGTCATCTGGGTCCGGAACCTGATACTCATCCTGCAGAACTAATTGTCTGAACTCGTCATCAAGTGCTACCGGTGTTTTTTTGTTTGTCATAACAGACACGTCTACGTCCTTTGTGGGGGTTAGCAGTGTGCCGAACATGTGGTCAAGCAAAGATTTGTGGCCACCATGAACCTGGGTGTGCAAATGCTTATTTTCCTTTTCAGGGGGGTAAACCATGCTATTAGCTTTTTCTTCCAGCTCGATAGTTAATTCAAATAAGTTCACGTTTGGAACAGTCATTGCTTGAGCAGCAATTGCCGACAAGATTCCAATGGCTAGGGAAAATGATAGTTGCATAATTATTCGGAAGATGTTCTGTGTTGTAGAAGATCGATGAGAATAGAGGACTCAAAGCTAGTATTAATTACTCATTTTATTTCATTGGAATAGTTCTACTTTTGTGGAGAAGTTGAGCATTTTTATACCTCAATTCAATGATCATCTAGCCAGATAACTGAGCTCATCAGAGCAACTCCAACTTTGCGCTCAAAAGCTCCCATTGGGGTAAATGAGGAACACTACGTAAACTACAAATTAGAACAAATTCCTGCGCAATTCGAGATACGGCAAAATCTGTTTAAGTTTATCATTTTTCCGAGTAATTGCAGAATCTAGGCTTCTGGTTCTTCTAGTTTTATGACATTTGCTGAGCTGTATGTCATCGGCCCCTGGTATTGTTAACTCAAAGTGCAACGGAAAGTTGCTTCGCAAATGAAAGATGCCTCGGAAACATGTATGCGTGAAGGACGAGCAATTCCGCGGAAACTTTTCAAGCATGTTTTCTTATCAGTTAACCGACTCGAAAACTGTAAACAATAGGCATTCGCAAAAGCGTAAAGCAAAACCATTTTTCAAGAAATCAACTTTGGGCAGGCCGGGGTACGCAATTAAAAGTCCGAAAGGAATTAAAGATAAGTCCTAAAAAGTAAAGTGCCTAAGCTGGGATAATTTCCTTTAGAAAATTTCGGCATTCTTTTCTCATCAGCCGTTTTCCGTTATCTCGCAACTTTCCGAGGATTTCACCCAGACTAGTTCCACTCAACTACTAGATACACTCAAGTCTAAATCACGCCTTCTGAGATTTTTTATATATAGTTCACTCATCCTACTAGGCAGAAAAGCACAAATTTTGTAAATTTCATTGCATTCAGGAAAAAGCCCTACTTTCAAGGAGGAGTATACAAATTACTAACTGCTATGACTCTTGCAGACAAACTAAGATGGCTTGAAGTGCCACACCCAGAAAAAAAAGTCCTCACGGTATTAAAGAATCCAGATTTAGAGCCTATGCCAGAGGATAGACGTCTTTGGGGATTTTGGGCTTATTTCGGTTATTGGTCAGTGCCTAACGTTTCAATCTTCACCTATTCGATTGGTTCATCACTATTAGTTCTTGGATTGAATATCCAGCAAACAATGGGCGCTGTTACTATTGGCAACATTCTAATCATTACCTATACAACGCTTAATTCAACGCCTGGTTCAAAGTTTAAAATTGGGTTCACCATGTGCCAGAGAATGATTTTTGGCATTTTTGGTTCTTACCTAGGAATCCTTATTAGAATACTGTTATCCATTGTGTACTACGCTTCCATGTCCTGGCTAGGGGCGTTGGGGGTTGTTGTCATGCTCTCTTCTTGGAGCAAAAGCTACATGAACATGGAAAATACCTTTCCAGAAGGACTTAACATGACCAAAAGAGACTTTACTGCATTTTTTTGCTTCAATGTGATTGAGTTTTTCTTCTTTTTCATAAAACCAGAAAAAATGGGGCCTTTAGTCAATGGGTCGTGCTTCATCACATTGGTAGCTATGCTTGGTGTTTTTGGTTACGAGTTGCACAAGTGTTATGTGCTAACAGGTGGACCGGGATCGATGTGGTATGAGCCCGTCTCGCTCCCTAAATCGGAAATTGGATGGGCATGGTTGGAGGCAGTGACCGTGTTCTATGGTGCAGTTTCGCCTAATTGTACCAACATGAGTGACTACTCTCGTTTTTCCAAGAACTCAAAGCAGATGTACCTTGGTATAATTTTATCTATTGCCATGACCGGCACATTGATTCCAATCATGGGAATGGTCACTGCATCAAATACTCTGGAAAACTATGGAACAGCCATGTGGCTTCCAACAGACGTGTGTTTGCAATGGATGGCAGACGATTATTCTGCAGGAACAAGGGCAGCTGCTTTCTTTTGTGGATTGGCATTTGCCTCTTCACAACTTACTTTCAATGTGCTAGCCAATGGGTTTGCCGGTGGCATGGATTTATCAGGAATCTTCCCACGATACATCAACATTTTTAGAGGGGCGGTGATAACCGCCCTTATCTCGTGGGCATGTCAGCCATGGAACTTTTATAACACTGCGTCAGTATTCAACAGCGTTATGGCATCCTTTGGTGTTGTCATGTCACCTATCATGGGGATCATTATATCAGACTTCCACTTGGTCAGAAAGCGGAGGATTAGAGTCAGTCACTTGTATTCTTTAGACAAAAGCAAAGACTTTTGGTACTCTTTTGGTTTCAATTGGAGGGCATATTTATGTTTTTTTGCAGCCATGGTTCCTGGACTACCAGGATTAGCGGCCGTGGTGAATCCAAGTATTTCTCTCCCTATTGGGCTTATCCACTACTTCGACAACAGCACGGTCTTCTCCTTCTTCTGTCCACTTATTTTATATTACGTCATTTGCCGTTTTTTCCCCGTGCAAGGTGCAGGTGAAACCGATGAGATTGACTACTTTGACGTGTTCACTGATAAAGAGTTACAAGAACTTTCCATGCGGCCCTATGAGGAGGGCTGTGAGTTTGAGGGTATGCTTCCTCTTGATCGGATGCATACAGGCAGCGACGCCAGTGATTTCATTGAAGGCATCGATGGCACTGATGCCGCTGGTTCAGAGAATGACAAGGACTGCGAAAAGGTGTCCTACATTTTTCAGCAAAAAAGGTGATCCCCTCCCCCCTTCTATTTCCGCCGTTTACCATTTACTTTTGATACCTTAAGTGTTTTTACTTTTCCGCTTTTCGTTTTTTCAATCTTTGTATCAAACATTTAAAATATATCCCTTTTGCGTGCCTCTGTCTGTCTTATCTCCATCGGGTAATCCACTTACATGCATTTCAAATCTGCCGTTACGGGACGTAAAAAGCAGAGTTTCGGTCCTAACAAACCCCATTTTTAGAACACGCTCCGGGAGGTTTTCTTCGGCTTTCTTATCATGCACCAAGCGCAATTTCCATTTTCCCGCGCAAATTGGTCGATGTGGAGAGGAAGTTGGAACCTATAAAGGCTGCAGCTGTTGAGAAAGACAATGTTGAAAGAAGGAACAGATAACCGCCTTGAAAAGCAGTATGGAGTCGAAATAGCAGCGGAATTTCCTTTACGCTAGCTTTTGAGAGTTCGTGACCGCTGACGGCCATCATAGTCTGTTTTTACTACTTTTCCTGGCCCTTTGGATACGTTTATAATGCATGATCTGCCACATCCTCTTCTTCCTTCATTTGTACCGCCCTCGTCTGCATCCAGATCTCTCTATTCCAATGAGGGTATTTGAAAACAAGATAGAGTAAGGTAGTGTGAGAAACATCAATTCGAGACAAAATGACTAGTGGACAGAACACTCTTGTTGACGTTAGACTCCACCATGAAAACTATGGCTCTACCGTAAGCCCGGCAATCGTCGATTTAGTGGGAGGTCTAGATGAAGAGCAAGGATTGCAGCCTGGAACAAAGCGGGAAAAATCAGACTCTCTTATGAACGAGATCAAGGTCATTTCTTTTAGCTCGGCACCACTGGCAGTGACGTTCTTTCTCCAGTATTCGTTAGCAGTGGTTTCCATCTTCACAATCAGTAAGATTGGGAAAAAAGAGCTAGCAGCTGTATCGTTAGCAACGATGACATTTAATATCACAAGTTCGATCTTCACGGGAATGTCAACGTGTTTGGAAACCTTATGCTCCCAGGCGTACGGCGCTAAGAACTATAGGCTAGTGGGGTTGTATTTTCAAAGATGTTTTGCGTTGATTGCGGTATTCAATATACCTCTTGTGCTGATTTGGTGGAAGTCCGGATACCTGCTAAAGTTCATTGTCCCCGATCCGGCTCTTGCAGATCTTGCACAGTCGTATCTTCGCGTTATGTCCTTTTCGACGCCTGCATATATCTTCTTTGAAACAGCCAAAAGATACTTGCAGGCACAAAACATTTTTGCAGCTGGACAATACGTTTTATTACTTGTTGCACCAATAAACATATTGCTAAACTATCTTCTTGTTTGGAGTGAGGTGATTGGTATTGGCTTTTTGGGTGCTCCGTTAGCTACTACCATTAGTTATTGGCTTTGTGCTGTACTGCTATTGATATATATTGTTGTTATTGACGGCAGTCAGTGCTGGTTTGGCTTCGATTTGAGAGGTTGCTTCCAGAATTGGAGCTCTATCCTCCCATTGGCTCTGAATGGTACCGCAATGTTGCTTTCCGAATTCGTTGCCTTTGAAATTCTAACTTTATCCTCCGCTAGATTTGGAACATCTACCTTAGCGGCTCAATCTATTGCCTCTACTATTGCAACACTGTGCTTTCAGATTCCTTTCTCTGCTTCGGTTGCAAGTGCCACCCGCATTGCAAGCTTAATAGGCGCAGGCAAACAATCCGAGGCAATTATATCAACAAACGCAGCCTACACGATTGGCCTTTTGTTGAGTGTATTCAACTTTTCGATTTTGTTTTTCCCAAGGACAAAAATAGCAGAGTTGTTTACAGACGATGAGAAAGTTATCAACATTGCAGTGACAATTCTTGGGGTGTTGTCTATCAATCAACTCTGGGATTGTCCGAATATCATAGGAGCAGGGATACTACGTGCTCAGGGCCGGCAAGCTGTTGGAAGCAAATTGAATATCGTTGCATATTACATCGTTGCCGTTCCAGTTGCACTTTACTTGGGCTTCAAGGTCAACATGCAGGCAAAAGGCTTGTGGATTGGGTTGGGTCTTGGTGTGTTTTGTCTAGCGCTCTCTGAATTTGCAATGGTTTTTATTTCCGACTGGAATGTTATCAGCATGGAAGCGGACAAAAGATCCAGATAATTAAGTGGCTTCAGAAATTATCTGGTGCTGTGTTGATGATCTCGAAAGTTTACTTTACTTTACTAATTGTTGAAAGAACAAAATCTCCTTTTCTTGACCTTGCCACCCGCAGATATACCCTTTGACGCTTGATTCACTTTTGATGTTTCTTTTTTACAGATTAGGTATATAAATAAACTATTTAGTGCAAATGCTTTGCGGAGGAGCCAAGTTCAAAGCTATGGCTACGTTGAACTGCACTTACAAAGATCAAACGTCATGATGAATAGCTCCTGAGAACAACGCTTGGCACACAATACAAGAGAGTTAGTAGCGGCATGTCTAAAGAGCAGATATATAGTAGAGAGAATGAACAACACGTATTTTCTTTTGATCGCGTACTTTTCTTATGGTAGACCTTGTTCCATATGGCGAAGGCGTAACACTCCAGCACTTTCGAAACTTCCGTGCGACAGTTGATTGCTTCAATTAATGTCATTGAAAATTACCACAGTTTCACCATCTGAAGCATCCTCATGCTGTTCAGCATTCATGCTGGTTACATTTTTGTCACTTACTTTGTGGTTTGAACAACTCTGTTTGGCAACAGTCAAGCTGTTGCCAAAACATTGTAAAGGCATTATGTGCGGACTTGTAAGAGTGGAAATTGAACTGTATTAGTATCCACATTTACTGTTCTGGCTTGTACTACCGAATAGATTGACCAGCTTTTTCTACAGTTCCAAACAGAACGTCTACAACCTCTTCTTGGGCTGTGAAAGCAACCGTAGAGGCTCAGCAAGTCGTTCAGAGCCAAAACTACAACAGGCTTTACCTAATGAAATGCAGCTCACTGAGTCAACTGAGCAGACCTCTGTTAAAAGCTGCCAAAAGACACATCAGACCTGGCGCCCTCTATCCCGCTAGAATCCAGACATCGCTTCTATTACAGACCATGCGGTCAAAAAAGCGGATCCGTCAACCACCAAACACTTTCACAAGAAAATAAACACGCAAAATTCTTAAAATAGTATTGCACGTGACTATTAAGGGTTTCGGTTCCCTTGCCTCATTTGGCAAGGGCTTATGTTCTCAGAAGCACGTGCATTCATGCCAGAAACGATGTGCACAGAAAGAGAAGAAAGAAGGCCATCGACAACCTCGGAAACAAGATTAAAACAGGCTTTCCTGCAAAACCTGTGCAAAAAGAGGCTTAGATACAACCTATTATTAGGAAGCCATTGATTTCATTTTGCTCCTGTATCTGATCACTCCTGTTCTCTGTGTCGGTGAAGAAGAATAGTGCTGGAAGAAGAGTTTTGAAATTAGTGGCCTGAAAATCAGCAACAGAAAAATCGGCAAAAACGTCGTCAGCCACAGACGCCTATGCAGCCCCAGGTCTACGACTCTGGAGATCCTAATCTTCCAAACTTGCCGGATAATGACCAGATACTGTGGTCCGACTACGATGACTATCTTTCGAATCGTCCTTCCTCGGACAGCTACTCCGAGTCTGAAAGTGATCACGAACACAGGAAAAACGATCGACATAAAATAAGGACAGCCCAGTCGCCGGCAAGTTCAAGCAAAAAGCACTCCTCGAGAAAGTCGGTTTCCTCTAGCAGGCGATCCTCCGAGAAATCACATTTGCACAAGCCGATGATCAGCATCTTCGGTCCACATGACGAGCACTTACCGGATGACTCCGGCAGCGACAGTGATGCTGGAAACTCTGGCAGCAAGACCGGCAAGAGTCGTAAACCAGGAAATATCGATGATATGCTCAATGAAAAAGAGACCATTCACTCCTTGCACAGTATAGGGAGAAGATCGCAACAAGGAAATAGCCGACTGAGAAGTAACAGTACAGGTGCAGGAAGTGCACATAGTTCAAGTGAAAGCTCACATGCCTCGGCTAGTAGTTCCACGGAAGATGCCAGTGACGGTGTGGACTCCGATCATAAGCAAAGGGAACGGTCTGGTTCGCTATTCAGCATGCTGCACATTCCACGGATAATGCACCGTACCCTGAGTTCAATGTCTAGAAGGAAGTCTGATATAGCCGGCCGGTCAGCCTATAATTTGACCCGAACTCATAGTGAGGTACATCCCCGGTCGACCGCCAGCTCACCGATCCTGCAACCAACGACATCACATGCCGTAGCAGCCGGCGCTGATCCAGACGATGCTGAAATTCGCCCCTTCACTTACTTGCCGTCAGGTGACTTCTATGACGAAGAAGCATGCAGACCGGAAGGTCCTGAGGCATATGTTGATAGAGATGTACGATATGACAAAGATCAGAATGACAATGAAACAGTACTGGACTCGAATAGTAGTGCGTTGAGTAGAATTACCAATCCAAATGTGGATGAGGACGGATACGACGATGCCAGTCTGTCTGACGTTGAAGATAATGTTGAGGCTGCAGACCACAAGGAAAGGAGAGGAAGCGAGAAAAGAGCTTATAAGACCTCAAGCCATCAGAAATCAGATGTTGCCAGTGGTGGCAGCATCAAACATATACAGTCAAGAATCTCGAGTAAGTCCGCCGGAAGCCGCCAAGTCGAAATTGATAGACGTAAGCATAAGGTGATTAAAACGGATACAGATGACGAATCAACTTTTCATATTCCATTTAATTCACAATACCAGCCTGAGTCAATCTTGAGGAGAGACCCAGGCCTAGCCAGAGTGAAAACAGGTCACACGAATATAACGGCTAAAAGCGAAAACGTCAATGATTATGACCAAAATTCGAGTGATGAAATCGAAGTTGGAGGCGTAAACCAGCCTCCTACTCAAAAAACTAGGAGGAAAAAGGCTGCGAGGCGAAGAAGAAGGAAGTCCAGAAAGTACGTTGGTTCTCAAAGTAAAAAGGAAAGAACCGCATGGGAACCTGGAATTGATTTAAGGACCACTAATGTCTTCTTGAATTCTCCAGGATCCATTATTACGATTACTGACTACTCTAAAGTCAGATATAGGATAAGTCACTATGATTTATATTCTGAAATGAACCCTAAATATAGCAAGTTCACGTCAGATGATACAATATTAAGTGCTCATGATTTCGATGAAGATGAAGACTACGATAATAACAATCCTGAATATACTGACTTCATAAACTACATGAACAAAGTGACTGACTCGCGTAAAGCAGTTGAAGATGCCATTCAGGAGAAGCCACCATGGTCACAAGTGCGTTGGATCAATATAAATGGTTTATCATGGGAAGCCATAAGCATCATTGGCAAGAAATATAACTTGCATCCCCTTTCGGTTGAAGATTTGGTCGATATACCGCAAAGAACTAAGATGGATATTTATCAACAGCATTTGTTTGTCGTTATGCCACTCATGAAGTTGTTGAAAGTGAAGAAAGTATCAGATGAATCCGATGCAACGTATTTTGAGAAAATTCGTAAAAATATTCGAGAGTTTGCAAGTGGAGAACCAAGCAAGAGTTTCAGTCCTTCTCCTACAAAAGTTTCGAACTCCCCAAAATTGAATAAAAACCCTTCAAAAGGCCCCGGCCAAACTACGGGCACCTCTACAGAAGTACCACCGAGCCTACCCAAAGTGGTTACTAAAACGATCGCTACAAAGGAACAGTTGAGTAGAGAGTTTTCAAGAACTTCGACCAAGTCTGTTGCGCCAGCCTTACTTGTTCCTCCAGCTCCTCTTACTCCGCCTTTATCTGCTGGAATACTACCACCTACAACGGGAAACTCGGCTTCGGTTTATAGAGCCCTGTCTGATTCTGCCTTAGGAGATGAAGAATATAACAGAATTGCCAATGACAGTAAAAATCGGAACAGCAATAGCAAAAAGTGCACTAGTGAAGATAATAATAGCAGTGAGAACCAAATAAGTCGTATTGGAAGTGGCTATGATGATAACATCCTACCACGATCCAACAGGACGTTCAAAAAACCGGTTGTCTATACCAGCGAGGAAGAATATCTGCTTGCGGTTGAAATTGAAAGAGCATCAAGTGGACGTCGGTTAACCGATTTGACCTTCATTACCCATTCCTCCACCAAGTATAAATCCCGTATGACTAGTTTGAATCGTATGAGGCCATTAATGTCGAAATCTTTGGCTGTTGGTGTCGAACAAGTAAGTATTTACTTGACTGCTGAAGGAACAGTTTTATCATTTTTTGAGCATTCAGCTATGGACATCGAACGTGCCATTTTGTCTAGGTTGAGTGCTGAATACACTATTCTACGTGAAACGTGTAACCCATCCATTCTTTTCCATTCTGTTCTTGATGCAAATGTTGATTTGCTGTATCCTGTCGTCACGGCATACAGTAGGATTCTCAATGAAAAGGAATTAGAGATTTTGACCGCTGCCCTGCCAGATCTACAACATACCCAAGAGTTGCACCTAATGTTGAACGAGTTGGCGATTTTGAAGAACTCGATACTGCCAATATCCTCGTTGATCACCCAGTTGAAAGATCTCAGTATAGATCCTACTTCTCAGTTTATTGATGAAAGCTGTAAACTTTACATGGCAGATATTGGAGATCACTTGCTTGCCTTCATTGACGAAATAGATAGTATGAGCTCTACAATTGAAAACTTGATTGATCTCATTTTCAACACTCTGAGTGTGGAGACTAACAATTCAATGCAAAGGTTGAGTTTGGTTTCGGTCTTATTCTTACCGTTAACATTTTGGGCGGGTTACTTTGGTATGAACTTCAAAAGTTTTGGTAATCTAGATTACAATGTCAACTTTTTCTGGAAGCTTGCGATTCCTTTCACTGCGGGAATGATGATTTTACTCATGCGAAACTCCTGTTATAAAATTGTGATTCATATTAAGCGTTTACTCGTTTCGTATTGGAATGGCCTACAACAGCTGAGGCGGGGCACAGAGAAGCTGTACACCCGAGAAAGCAGGTTCAATCCTGAGCGAAGTACGCGTTTGCGGACCAAATCTCGCAAACGTGATTAATAGACAGATAGTTAGAAAATAGATGTATATTATTCAATAAGAAACTAAAAAAGAATAAATAAATAAATAGAAAAATAGAAAAATTTGATTATAAAAATTTAGTAAATAAACGTCACCCGGGCACCTCCACAAAAAAACACCACCAAAACAAGAACAAAAAAAACAAGCGATTATAAAAGACAGAAATGCAAAGAGTCCAATGGGAGAAGCAAGAAAGAAAGAAATAAAGTTAAAAACAAAAATCCTGAGTAAAGAGTTAACTGATAAAAGGCAGCAATGAGATAAGTTTTCGGAGAAAATTTAATTTATTGGTCTTTTGTTTTTCTTTTTTATTGATATGAATAAAATATTAATTAATTGATAACTGTGTTTGGATAAATTTGATTTCTCATAAAACAAAAAAGAGTTTGTGCATTCCCTGATACTTGATACTAAAATTCACTCCATTATTGGAACTTAAATCTTAAATCTGAGATCTGTTCAGACCATGCATCATTTGTCATTTCAAAAGAGTTGATAAAAGAATTGTGGTTTTGAACATTTGAATCAAATAATGAAGATGGGTTATAAGTCGAGCTTGAATTCATCATTGAGCCAGCAATATTTGAAGATGTATTGGAGGTGAACTTTGGGATAGGGATTGAAATTGGGTTGACGTTCGAACTGTGAACGTAGTTGGAGTTTGATTTGGAGCCTGAGTTTAACTCATTGATGTTACACTCATTCAAGACGTGTTCATTAATGAAATCATCCTCATTCAAAGTGTCATAGTCGTCAAATAAGAAAACCTCATTCTCGTTTGATTCATTTTCAATCTTGGTATCGTTGAACGAGTCGACGATAGAATTGATGTAGTTATTTTGTTGCTTGGAAAAGCTGATTGAATATTCTTGATCGATGGTGAAGCCATTCTTCATTCCATTTTCAACCAAAAACTTTAAGCCATTCAAGTCTCTTTCAATCATCAATAAATCGACAATACCTCTGAAACTTACCGAGTTGATACTAGTAAAGAAGTCATAAATAAAGGACTTTGATTTCAAAAAGCTTGAATAGTTTGGGTCTGCATTCAGAGCTTTTCTGAAGGGACACTTGTTGAACAACGTGAACAAGAGGGTGATACCAATGGAATAAACATCAACCAGGTCAGAAAGATAGTAGTCGTTTGGGTCCGATTTGGCCAAAGCTTCTGGCGCCATGTACTTCTCTGTACCAACATTGTAATCGTTGCTCTTCAAGATTTTAGTGGACAAGCCCCAGTCACACAACTTGATGGTACCGTCATTCATCAACAAAATGTTTTCTGGCTTGATATCCCTGTGGTAAACACCCTTTGAGTGAGCATACGAAATCACTTCGTAGAGTTGGCTGCACAAATCTGCGAATGCCAAGTGATTTGTTTGGAAATTGATGCCCAGATTAGTCTTATTGTGGATTGCATCATATAAATCACCTGAATCGGCAAATTCCAGCACCAGGACATAATACTTCTTGGTTTCAAAAAAATCAATCAACTGGGTGATGTTCCTGTGGTACCCTAAAGATCTCATAATCGAGACTTCATGGTTTGCCATCAAAGAAACACCGGAGACAGACTTTTTGAGAGCCTTGATGGCGACCTTCTGATCCAGCTTAACGTCCAGTGCGCATGTCACCTTCCCAAAAGAGCCTGTCTGTAGGTTGCTGACAAACGAATATCTGTTGTTCAACAGAGCCAAGCCCTTTTGGTACTGGAGGTAGTTATCCAGAGACGACTTGAAGTCATTGGATAGGTGGGACAAGTTGTTGTTGAGATTGGTGGTAGTGTCGAACGTTGTGGCGGCCATACTCGGAAGCTTGGATGAATTGAGAGCTTAGAGATTGAGATCCTTGTATAATGAAGAGTAATAAATAGGTGAGGTAGTGTTTATCTGAAGTGTCTATGTTTGTTTTTTTTGGCTTTTTGTCTTTTTTTACTGTGGGTCAAGTTCTGGTTTCTATTTTTAGCTGTCCAAGGGTTTCTAGGTCAAGGGGATGCAGTGGGCCTGGATTGATCTAAGGAGTGTGGATGGTTTAGTGAAGGGCACTGCTATAGCTAGGTATAGTAGGAACGGGGTACTTTCTCTTGTTGGGAAGATAGGTCGATCAATTGAGAAGACACGCAAGCACGAGTTGTTTGAAGCGTTGGGGGCGTTGAAGGCTCTGATGGGAGTAGTGGATGGATTAGTGGATGGAATAGAACAACAGAGGGAAACAGCAAGATAGTAGAAGAGGGGAAGGATTAGAGCAGAGCCAGAGGAAAGAAAAGCAGCCAATCGCCAACAAAACCAGCTGAGCACGCAAACTGGAGGGTGGCAAACCGACAGGGAGCAGCGGGCCGTATCCGACTATTAGTAATTTTTGAAGGGTACGAGCGATAAGGGCGATAAGACTCATCGGACAATTGTGGGCAGCACTGGTCACACTATGTTCTGAGGGGAGGGGCGTGTGGCTGGTGTGGCTGGTGTGGTGGTGGTGGCAGAGGAGAAAAGAGGAGAAAGTTCTAGATTGCAAGTGTGGTGCACGGAAGGCAAGGGACCCGGGCGAGTGGTGGCGGCACGTGGGATTGCGCAAAATGTGGCATAGTCACGTGCTGCATGTCTCCGAGATGGTTCCTACTCGCCAGAAGGCCCGGCAGCCACCTGTTTTTGGGGGTATCTCCAGCTTGCTGAAGACACAGTGAGGTAGCCAGACGCCCAAGCAACAGTACATTAAGAAACACTTCCTCCATTCTACGTACCCCGTCAGTGGTCCCCTCCCTAGTTTAGCACTATCCACCGGAGCGCACACTGTACTAGCGAGACTGCTCCCGATCTCAGGATCTGTCTGCATCGCACGATTTGGAGATGAAAAACACCAAAAAAAACATCGTTTCTTGAATAGTTCAGTTGACGATACAAGGTTTAGCTCTGTTCCTGAGCACTCGGGTTCGAGTTGCAAAGACGGGGTCTACACAACAAGCCTGGTTAGCTCAATCGGTAGAGCGTTTGACTCTTAATTTGATAGCAATCAAAAGGCTGCGGGTTCGAGCCCCGCATCGGGCTTATATTTTTTCTTTCCTTGTCTCCTCTTTTCTTCACACGCGTAGACGGGAGGTCATTTTTTGAACGCGTTTTTCACTGCATCAGACAAATACACATACAGGGCGGACTTTGCCATCCTTCTTCAAGATTCAGCAGCCATTGGGACCCCCTGGAACGACCTAGCTAGAACACCCCCCAAGACAGTGATCGGCAGACAGCAGACATGAGCGGATTCAACCCTTACAGTGACGGAACAGGCTACGGCGGATACAACGGCGGGAGCTCGGGCGGCCATTTGGACGGTGGCTTCGACCACAACGGTGGCAACCACGGCGACAACAACGACTCCCAATTCGGCGGCGGCAGCCAGGGGAAACCCAACTATGCCAGACAGTTCATTGTTCCCGTAACCATCAAGATGCTCAACGAGGCGACCTTGGAAGGCGGCCACGACGGGAATTACTTCTCGCACGGCATCGAGCTCTCGTACGTGCGATTCATCGGCGTCATCAGAGAGGTGGATACCCAGAACACCACACACACAATGTACAAGTTGGAGGACGGAACCGGCACGGTGAGCATCCGGGCGTGGAACAACGACATGTCCGACAGTCAGAACGGGAACATGGACGTTGGGGACGACGACGACAACAACGACAACGGCCCTGGCTTCAAGCAGCCTCAGTTCTCCACAAACGACTACGTCGAGGTGGTGGCTACCATCAAGGAATTCAACAACAAGCTGCAGATCCAGACTCAGCGCTTGGCGAAAATAACAAACTTCAACTCCGTACCTTACCATTTGCTTAACGTGGCCAAGCACTTCTTTGTCACCAAGAACGCCAGCGCTCCAAACTCTGCCAACAGTAACGATCCCTTGAGTAAACCACAGGACTCGCTCTTTGTCTCGGAGGCCAGCAACGGCAATGCTGCCAAGTCTCTGTCTGATCGTTTGTTCGATTTCATCAAACAGCACAGCCAAACCATGAGTGACGGTGTGCCTATGCAATTCATGGCTCACGAGCTTGATATGTCTCTGGATAAAGTCGAGAACGGTATCTCTGAGTTGGTAGAGGAAGGCCGTATCTTCTCAACCACCGATGATACCCAATACTTGCCTTTGTAATTTAACCTTTTCTTAAAATTTGTCCTTCCTTCCTTCTTTCTTTCTCTCTGTCCTTTAGTTAAACTAGTTAGTTGTGTTTCATTCGATTAAATTTTACGTACCTTTCTCCTACACGGAAAATATATTATATTATACATTTTTGTCTTAATTATCAGTATACACGCTGCCAATCACCTTGACAGACCGGGCAGCAAAAAATGCTGCCCAGAGATCATCATCAGGAATCACCTCTCCATCTTTCCGGCTAGTATCGTTCACCTTAGTAAGCTCCTTAGCCTCTAGAACATCATCGTCAATCTCGTCGGCGCTTTCAGCAACTTCATTTCGCTCTTCTTGCTCCGTATTCATGACAGACTTGCGCACTTTGGCAGCTTGGATCCGCTTTTTAGTCCCCAAATACGCAATGCTCTCCTCAATTGTGCCTTCAATGATAAAATTCCAAACAGAGGTTTCCTTCGTTTGCCCAATTCTATGGATTCTATTTACAGCTTGGAGCTCAAATGATAAATTGATCATTGGCTCACATAGAAAAACATGAGATGCATTCGTGAATGTAAGCCCCGCCGCTTGTGCAATTGTGTTTAATAAAAAGCACGTGATAGAAGGGTCTCTTTTGAAATCAGTGATATCTTGATTGAGCTTACTATTTGAGCTGTTATTTTTCCGACTAGTCCTACCCATACCCGTCTCGTTCGACACTGCAGCTTTTTGGTTCATCCAGCTTTTAAATTTAACTCCTTCATAGTTCATGGCTCTACCCAATAACAACAAAAATGCGTTCCATTGAGAAAATACCAATATTTGAACAGAGGGGTCTTTTGTAACTAGGTATTTTGCTTGTCTTATGATCATATCAACTTTTGTACCGTAATTTCTTTTCAATCCTATATTTGAAATTTCTCGCAATTGAGCCGTCGGTAACCCTTGATAAACAAAGTCCATATCTTTCTCAAAAAGCCTCCTATTTTGCAAAAGCTTGAGTCTATCTAAATCATCGTCTGCAAGATTCTCTTCTTCATTTAAAGTACTATCCTCGTTCTTTACACTTTCACCTTTCGCTAAATGATTCTCATTCTCTTTGTCTTCAACAGGTGCTACCTCTTCCTTGTGATCATGCAAAGATTCAACAACATCACCCTTTAGCCCTCCTCTGGAGTATGTGAAATTGTATAGCTCATCTACCCTTAACTTCTTCTGACAAAGGGGACACACCTTCTTTGTTTTCATCCATTCCGTCAAACACTCACGGCAATATTTGTGCCCACAGGGAGTCAATGTTCCCACTAATATTCTGTATCTACAGATAACACAGGAATCCTCTTTTAAATTGTCATTTTCACCTTGGTTTCCCTCCGTTTGACGTTTTGAGTTCAAAGACCTCAAATAGTTCAGTCTCGCATTGAGTGATCTTAATTTGCTGTCGTCTTTAGCAAGCTCTTTCTTTACTGTCTCCAGCTCAACCAGAGCAGAATACTGAGGAGAATCGCCAATTTTTTCTGGAGTAAAATTCACCAAGGTATCGGATCTTACTTGTAAAGCCTTGAAATATGAAACCTTGGAATTGAAAGCATCATTTAAAACATCAAAAAGCTTAACTCTCATATGCTTTACATTTTTCATTTGCTTGGTCATCTCTGCTTTTAGCATTGCAATTAGCCCGCTAAGTTGAATATGTTTGTAGCTATCAAGAGTATAAGACTGCAACTCTCCAACTAATTCAAGAATGGCTGTGCGGTAAGAGTATCTTGGGTTTAGCGTACCCTGGGGTATATAATATTTGCGGAGTTTTTCAAGTTCTAGGCTTAATGGGCTTTTCGATGAAATACTATCATTGAAAATACGTTGCATCTTGAAATTGTTTGATTTATAGGCTAATGTATCCTCTGTCGAGTTAATTGCTTTCTCTCTGTCATCCAAAATCAATTGAAGCTGATCTATATACGCTTGTGATTCTTCTTGTGATATCAACGATAAGCCGTACTCTTCACCGGTTTTATCTGTTTCATCATTTTTAACTACTGGAATTTTTTGGTACTCAATGAGTTTTTTGAACCAAAAGTTTATTATAGTTGATTGTTCATTTAGTTGTTCCATTGCTTCCTGCGACCTGTTCAAAACAAAGGAGACCTCTAAAGAGGTAGCATGATTCTTCATGTCGGAGGTCAAATCTTCAAAATACTCGCAGATTAACGGTAGTTCATATTCTTCATGTTTTTCTGGCTTAATCTCGACTGAAAAAGTCTCATCTTCTTCAATAGGTTTAATCGTTGGTATTTCCTTCACTTTGTAGACTGAGAATTTGCTAAAAGTTTTTCCTAATTTTGTTATCATTTCATTAGTCTTTTTCAACGGTTCTTCCAACAGCTGATTTAAAATTTCATCGGCTTTAGCATAATATTCATTTTCAAGATGATAATGTTTTTTTTCCTCTTCGGACAAGGTCTCAACGTCGACAACTTCGACATCTTCCGCTTTCTCCTCCTTTTTTTCATCTAAAACTGATTCATTCAAGTCTCTGAAACTTTTCGGTAACGGTTTCATTGGACGGTAGTGCTGATAGTGAGCGGAGGCCAACATGAAGTAAGACTGATGTAAAAATTCAAGTAAGTTTCTTATCCTTACTGTCCAATTTTTCCTCCTATCGCTGGTTGCCTCAGAGTCATAGTATCGCTGATAACAGGAGAGCTTTTCCCTGACCACATCAATGACAGATAAAAACACTTCGATTGATTTTGCAGGATCTCTCAGGAACTCGTGAATTTTCCCCATTTTGATGTAGTTTTTAGCATACGAAAAAAAGCAATTATGTGACTCTGCTTCATTGCTGTTGACTAAATCCGATAGAACATCGCTCAAAGTACCTATAATCAAGTCGGCATCATTTTTGTTTTTACCCTTGGCACTTTTAGTGTTCCCACCGGCTGCATTGTCCAATGCCATATTTCTTCGAATTTGTGAACCATTCAAGAGAGCGTGACAACAAGCCATTCTAAGCTTGTTGCACCACACCGACATACCCATTCTACTTCTTTCAAGATCAAAGCCCTCGGCGATTGGTTCCCCATTGTCGTTCAATCCTACTTGCTCCAAAAACCTGTTAAATAGATCGTGGTAATTATCACTCTCAATGGTACTGAACGGAGAGCGTAGCATAATCCGATGTTGTTTCGGTAGCCGCACCTGACTTCCAACCATTTCCTTTGTATGCCTTAGACACACTCTGCTGAACAGTCTGTCAAAAAAATGCCTTGGTAGTTGATTCCATTGTTGGATGTTCAGATTATCCAGCGGATTCAACCGTTGAGACATGATCAACGAATGCAAATCCTCTAGGTTTTTCCTGATCAAGGTACCAGAAACACACCATGTATGTATTCTGGGTATGATTCTCGAGAAATGTGCAACTTTGGAGATCGATATCGATGCCAGCTGTGCTTCGTCCAGAACTAATCTGTAAAACTCCAAGAGCATCAACGGAGATGAGTAATCAATTCTATCATAGCTTGAGGTTTTCCTCTTTGGTCTGCTCGTTGGTATAAAGATGGCTCGACTTAGCTCCCTCGCTAGGGTATTATAGGATGTCAAGACAATGTCGTATGAGCTTAGCTCGTTGGCAATCATAGTAGGGGTCAATGAATCATCATATTCCTCCAATAAGGAAACTCCTTTGTACATGTTGACCGTAAGGTCGGAGCATATCGATGTGATCTCGCCATACCACTGGTTCAAAATTGTCTCGGGACACACGATCAAAGTTGTTTTCGACTGTTTGATCTTCCTGGATGGTTCTAACAAGTCGCTCTTCAGCCCCCCATCCACCAAAACCCTGGGGTTCGCCTTTATCAAGGTGGTGATTTCTAATGTTTTCCCGAGCCCCATCTCTTCGCAGAGAAACCCCTTTGCTGGCGGTCTGACGAAATGTATCGACTCGAGATACTTCTTCACAAAGGCACTTGTGCACAGGGAGCCGTTGTAGGGGTTATACCAGTAGAGCTTGGACTGGTCGGCATAGCTGCTCAGCCGGGTCCATCCAGGGATGATTGTGTCGAGGATCTCCGAGGTCGTTTCGTCGTTAGCGTCACGTGGGAAAGGTTTGCCTCGGGTCTTGATGCCCCCGTCACAGGAGGCCAACTCCACGCCCTCGTGCGAAAGCATCCATTTCAAAGAGTCCACTTGAAAGGGCATTAGAGTTTTGTACACCCCCGGCAGATTCAGCATCTGCGTCTCCAGCGTGTGGGCCCTCCGCGTGTGGTCTGTGATGAGCGAGTAGAACGACGACACAGAGGGTGCTGCAGAAAAGCTGTTGAAGGAGACCTGGTACGCGGTTGGCCTCGGAATGAAAAGCAACTCCGCCATCCTGTTCAGGCTTGAGAGCGTGTCCGGCGGCAAGAACGCATAGATCGACTCCCGCACAGAGATGGAGAAGCAGAGAGAGAACCGGATGTTAAACGTCCTCGTCGTGCGGTCGAGCGTCAGCTCGACGTTCCGCAGGTGGAACGGCACCGTCCTCACGTAGGGCGTGGACCTCAGCTTCGTCTGGTGGAGGAAGAAGTGGATGAGCAGCACGAGTTGCCGGTATTCCGGGCGGAACGAGAGAACCAGCAGTGGCTTCAGCGTCCGCTGCTGGAACTGCAGCAAAATACCGTCTGCCGCCTGCGACGGCTTTTTCGCCTTTACGGCGACGTCGTGAGAAATCCGGACCGTGTTGCTGCCAGCAAACATGCCTTCCACCTGTGCGTACTCCCCGTCATCGAGGATCTTCGGGTGTTTCAGCGATATTTCAGACCGGTACGAGACCAACTCGATTTCGTCCTCTCCAGACGCCGCCTCTACCGCCGGGCTCCTGCTGTCAAGGAGCAGCGGCAAATTTTCATAGCGGATGTCTTTCGCAAGAAGCACAAAGCTCACCGGCATCGTTTCGGCTACCGTCTACACTGTTTTGAGCCCTGAGCCTCTTGACGACGCCGCAAACAGGCTTCTCCTTCCCTCTTATCGCCCTCCTGCTCCAGTCATGTTGCCCTCCCGCACGAATTGCCCGATTCGGCCGCCCAAGCCGATCGGCTCTGCACAGCCTAGAAAAGGACAGCAGGGCTTTTTGCTACAATGGGGGAAGGCGGTACTACTGGGAAGAGGGGCAGCAGGCCGGGGGGCACGAGGGAGAGCCGGGGATGCCGGGGCTGGCGGACAGTACGGAACGCATAGACATGTAGCGGATTGCAGCCGTGGATGGGACTGGTGGTGGTAGCTGGAGCAGCGTGAGAAAGGAGGACGCGGACAGCGCTGGTGTTCGACAGAGCGGGTGCCAAGGCGTGGCGGCCTGCTGTACCTAATTACAATGTGCGATTGCTGATTCTGGCTGAGAGGGTCGATTTTTGCTGTAGATCTTCTGTTTTTCTCCTCCTGCATTACTTTTTGCCCCTTCTTTTCTTACGGACGCCATCTTGAAGATAGTATTTTGGCAACTGTGTACAGGTATATCTAAGAGTGGCCGTAATTGCAGTGCAGGAACTTTTCACTTGTTGTCCGCCTCCCATAATGTTCGAAGTAAGTGCCCGACAGAAAGGTGTGTGTGTCTTCCACACCTGGCTTGGTAGCGTGAATGGATACTAACAGACAAGCAGAACATCAGACACCTCATCCGGCACGGAAGGCAGGCTGCCGAGTCCGGCATGGGCACAAACCATGACGACACCGGCAGCACACACGATAAGATAAGCCACAAGGATTATGTGAATGCTAGCACGACACACGACGGTGAACGCTCGGACGCGAGCCAGCAGCCGCTCAGAAAGGAGAGAACACACACCACCCAGCATCAGCAGCATCAGAAACAACAGCAGCAACAACAGCAGCCATACCAGCAGCCACAGCAACAGAACAATCACTACCACGAACACCGTGAACACCATGCCGACGAGTTGAAGCCGGTGGCAAAGAACATTGTCATGCAGGAGTCTATCGACGAGAACAAGCGTCAAATCGCTAGTCGCAAGTCGATAGAGAGATACAAGATGGGTGGGGTGCTTGGCGAAGGGGCATTTTCGGTGGTCTACTCTGCCGTCGACCTCGTTTCGAAAGAGAAGGTGGCGATCAAAATCATCAAGAAGTACCAACTAGACCAAAAACAGAGAGACAACGTTTTGAAGGAGGTGAACTTGATGAAGCAGTTGAACCACCCGAACATCGTCAGGCTGATTGAATTTATCGAGAACGAGAACTACTTCTACCTTGTCCAAGAGGTGGTCAGCGGTGGGGAGATCTTCAACCAGATTGTGAAGTACACGTACTTCAGCGAGGACCTCTCGAGACACGTGATCATCCAGGTCGCCGAGGCATTGCTGTACATGCACGAGCAGGTAGGCATTGTGCATCGGGACTTGAAGCCGGAGAACATTTTTTTCAAACCGATCAAGGTGGTAAAAGAAGATCAAAAGACCCGATTACAAAAGCTCAGGAAATCTGATACAAACGCCAAGCTCGACGAGGGCAAGTTCGTGATGAACTACGGAGGTGGGGGGATTGGACTGATCAAGATTGGTGACTTCGGATTATCCAAGCAGATAGTGCTCAACGAAAACAACTCTCTCAAAACGCCGTGCGGAACTATTGGCTACACTGCCCCTGAGATTGTCCGAGACATGAAGTATTCCAAAGAAGTCGACATGTGGGCTTTAGGATGCGTGTTATACATTCTTTTGTGCGGGTTCCCACCTTTTTTTAACGATTCCATTGAAGAGTTGACTAAAACCGTTGCTAGAGGGGAGTTCAAATTTCTCTCGCCGTGGTGGGACGAGATTTCCAGCGGCGCCAAGAACTGTGTCTCCAAGTTACTCACTGTGAATCCAATACAGCGGTACACCGTGGAGCAGTTTTTGAAAGACCCATGGATCCTAGAGTTTTTGAATAAATCTGAAAATATCCAAGAGCAGGAGAAGTTGAAGAAGAAACAGAGTGCTGCTACTTCCAACGCTGCCGGGCGCCGGACTCACACCAACAATCCTAGCACCAGCACTACTACGAGTGCCACTACATTCACCCAAGGGTCTCGGTCGACTTCGAACGATGGGTCTCTCACGTTTTCGTCCAGAGACACGAGTGTGCCTGGTGGTACACTATTCTCTTCTGAAGATTCAACCATTCCTTGTATGAAGCGCACACCGTCCGGAATGCCTGGGTTTGAGCCCATTACTGACAGTGCTGCAACGAGCACGGACACGTCCAAAAATGTACCGCTCAATCCATTCCCGTCGGTGTACTCAGAGTCGTTATTGCACATCGATAAGGTCCACCACATGGATGTGGATGATAAGGGAGGCGATTCTCATGATGATCGCCATCATCGTGAGTATGCCGACGATAACTCAGGTGAATATGATAGCGATGTGGAAGTTGATGATTACGACGAAGACGATAATGACGACGAGGACACGCCATTGTCGAAGGACGACCAAAGCATGTACGATTACGAATACGACGGTGACTATGGTGTGAAGGGACAAGGGTTCGGTGTAGAGCTGACGCAGTTTCAACACAAGAACGGTTCGACTGCGGTGGATGCCATTCCGATGCTGGAACATCATCTCGATCCGGCGCCTGCGCAGTCAAGTTTGCGGGAGGAGCAGAGAAGCTCCGAGAAGGGCAGACATTCTCACCGCTATTCTCACCACCACCAGAACCAGCACCCTCGGGAGGGTGCTTCTAAAAGAGGCAAGAGGAAAGTAACGTCTGCGATGACGCCTGAGGTGAAGGCCATGAAGGAGATGTACGACATCTCCATTGCGGCACGAAGAATGCATGAGGAGGCGCAGTACACGCCTGGCGTGAACGCAATGAACGGGTTCAACGAGCTCAACATTGTCGAGGAGAATGAGGACAGCGACGGTGTCGTCCACGGGAGTCCCGTGGAGGTGAAGCCCAGCGGGGGCATGAACAAGAGCAAGACGCCGATGTTCCAGTTGAACATGAATGATGCGTCGATTCTAGCAAGAAGACAGAAGAAGAAGGGTGCTGTTGCTGCATGAGTGAATGTATTTATATGTTATTTTACTTTACTTTAGAACTGGTTGCTTGATGATAGATGGAGGTATCGCATAGGTATATTATAATAATTATATAAAGACAATAAAAGATAACCAAATATATATAGTATAGTTAAAGTATAAGATATATTAATTGATGGAGTAAAATATGAAACAAAATTATCTTTGTGCTAGTAGTAGTAGTCGTAGTATAAGAGTGACAGACTTTTTGATTTAGTTTAATTTTTTTTCTTTTCCCTCTAAGAGGCTCACGGGAAGAAGACGAGTGAATATGAAACAATAAATGGTATGGAGATATGGAGGTATTTATGCATGTGCCCGTGATTAGAAGGAGCAGTTCAAGGAGTACTTGAGGGAACGGTCGTCGGTGAAGATACCCCAGTAAGGTTCAACGGAGGAGCCGGAAGTTTCTGGCTTCCAGGACTCGTCGAAGGCCTCGAAGACAAAGGTGTTGATACCCCAGCCTCTCATGGCGCAGACACCGTCTTTCCAGAAGGTCTGTGCGTTTTCAACTGAAGGAACGGAGGCGCCGTAGTTGGAGCCCTCGGTTGGCCAGCCAGTCTCGCCGACCCAGAAGTTGATGTCAGTGGAGCCCTTGATGGTCTGGACGGTCTGCAAGGCCTGCATGATGTCGTCAAAGAAGGAGAACGTCGAGTTCTGTTGGGTCTGTCCTTGCCAGTAGGAGAAGGCGTTGGCAAAGATGATGTCCGAAGCGTTGATTGGAGCGTAAGCCTCGCCGCTGACGAGGATGTTCCACGAGTCGACGGTTCCGACTGGAACGCCGGCGTAGGACTTGCCGTCCTTGTCGTAGATGCCTGCAAGGAGCTCCTTCACCTCTGTGATGTAGGAGGCCAAGACGTCCCCGGTGAGGTCTCCTCTGTAGAGGGCCTCTGAGCCGACCAAGACCGACGAAATCGTCGATTTGGAGATCGTTGGCAAGTACTGTTGCAAAGTCTGCTTCTCCAATGTGTACTTCTCGTATGGGGTAGGCCAGACGCCCAACGTCAAGTTGAAACCGGCAGTCTCCGCAGCTGGTGCAATGAACTCCAACGTGTTACAGTCCGAGACAGAGTATACCTTCACGTGGTTCGAGTAAGGCTTCAAAGTCTCGAAGTCGGCGGCGTACTCCTCGCCCGTCTTGCATGCGCCTGAGTTGTCCTTGACACCCAAGTTGAAACCCAATGGAGCGATGGCCTGGGCGACAGGGGCGACGGTCAGGGTGATTGCGATGGACGCAAGAGCGGTGAACGAGAGCTTCATAGTGGTGTGGTCTGGTGTGGTCTGGTGTGTTGTGCTGCTTGCGGCTATACAGGACGATGCTTTAAGTATTCGTAGCCCCAACAGCAGCAGAATGATCACCCCAAACCATTTGAAGAAGAGCTTCCGTCGACGAACAAGGAAGAGTAGTTCCAGAGACGAGTCCAAAGGGGAACGGGGATGAGGCTGTCAGGCTGGCCGCTGCGTCTGCTGCGGGGCGCCGGCCAAACGGTCTCGGCTCTTTGCTATTTTCACGAGACGTCAACAAGCTATAAATAGCGACGAGGCAACTTCGGCAAGGCGCGGAAGCGGTGCACGGGTGAGTTAGGAGGCAGACCGGCAACATGAATCGGCCGCTGGCGGTTTCCCTTTTCGGACAGCCAGTGAAATTTTTTTTTGGGTCTTTTTTCCACCTTCTTCTTCTTTACGGGAAGACGTGGAGATCGGCAGACAGATTCCGGTACAGCCAGACAAGCCAGACACAGCACACGATGACAGACAAAGACGCGCCTGTGGTAGAGATTGAGATCAACCTCGATGCGGACACGCCGCTGTCGAAGAAGGAGCTAAGAAGAATCAAGAAGGGGAAGACCACTCTTGAAAAGATACAGAAGAAGAAGGCCAAGAAGCTTGCGTCAGCGGCCGCCGGTGCTCCAGCGGGGGCTGTCGAAGCAGCAGAAAAGGCGTCCGGCGAGGAGGGAGCAGCGGAAAGCGCTGCTGGCGAGGACGCAGGTCCGAAACAGCCCAAGAGATCCGACTTCGGGATCTGGATTGGGAACTTATCGTTCGACACGACCCGGGACGAGCTGGTGAACTTCATCACGGCGAAGGCCGGCGTGCTTGCCAAGAGCGACATTGCACGGGTCAACCTTCCTACGCGGGGGACGAAGAACAGAGGGTTTGCTTACGTGGATTTCCACACCGAGGAGCAGCTTGAGCACGCGCTCAAGCTCTCCGAGTCCGAGCTCAACGGCCGGAAGGTCTTGATCAAGAACTCCAAGTCCTACGAGGGTCGTCCAGAGAAGCCCGAAGGTGCCACCAGCGCCCTCAGCAAGAACCCGCCCTCGAGAATCTTGTTTGTCGGCAACCTATCTTTCGACACAACCCAAGACCTGTTGCAGGACCACTTCAAGCACTGCGGGGAGATTGTCAAGATCAGAATGGCCACCTTCGAAGACTCAGGCAAGTGCAAGGGCTTTGCCTTCATCGACTTCAAAGACGTAGACGGCCCCACCGCCGCCCTCAAAGACAGGACCTGCAAGAAACTCATCAACAGACCGCTCCGGCTTGAGTTCGGCGAGGACAGGTCCCAGCGGAAAGTCGTTCCGAACGCAAAGAGAGCCTTCGAGGAGTACGCAGCACCCGCCGTATCCTCCTCCGCCAGCGCCCCCGCAGCAGCCCAACAGCCTGTCGTAAGCAAGGGGTTCCAGGAGAAGCAAGACAGGCCAGCCAAGAGAATCCACCACTCCTCCGCCAGACCCGAGGGAAGAGTCACCTCCTCCGTTGCCTTGGCAAATGCTCAGAGACAGAGCGCAGCCGTTGTCAAATCAACGGGAAAGAAAATCACATTCTAGAACACCTATTCACTATATAAACGCTGCCCATAAACCGGTATATATCGATACATACATACTCGCTTAATCGTACCACATCTTGATCAACTCCTCCGAGACCGCAGACGGCGTCAACACTCCCAAGTCCGAGACCAACGCCGTTATGTACTGGTGTGGTGTGAAGTCAATATTGGCGTCCTCCAAGAGCCCAATCTCCGGATTCGTCGTGAACTCAAGCTTGTTTCCTGGAACATCGTCCGGCGACAATGGGAACATTCTCACAAACTTGTGAGATTCAGAAACAACATACAATGGCTTGTTAGCATTCTTCGCCAGCACCCCAATCTGGTACGACCCAACGTGGTTGATGATCCCTCCACTTTCACTGACACCTTCCGCACCCATAAACACCTTGTCCACTTTGTTCACCACAAACCCAACCTGGGAATCGTGAATAAAGCATGACGGAATGCCCAAGCTCTTTAGAGCATCCACCATGTCCTTCCCGTTCTTTCCGTCGTCAGAGCCAGGTCTAGCCTCCGTGACAAAAACACGAAATCGAACAAACTTCGACTTCGAGTATGCAAGCAATGACAAAACAACTCTCGAGTACGAGTGAATCAAAACAGTGTCGTCATCTTTAATCAAATGGAAACCAATCTTGGCTATCATATCCCTACTCTCTTTCGCCCTCGAAAGGAAAAGCTGACCGTTCTCCACAAGGTGCTTCTTACACGACTCCCAATCTGAGTAAAGATGTGTGTTTCTCAAGACAAACCGAGTAAACAAATCACACCCTGCACTCAAAGAGACACTGTTTTTCACTGATGCTTTAAGCTCTGTAGTGGCGTCGGATAAAAGCCTGATTAATTCAGATGATGTAGATGGTTGTTTCACCTTGAGCATAGTTAGCAATGACTCAATAGCCGCAACAGGCATGGTCATCTCCGGATCATCTTCCAAGAACTTGAGATACGTTTGCTTTATATCAAAGTCCGGCATCTTGTATAAAGCTTGTTTTCTGTTCTTGTCTAAGCTCCTATATAAAGTTAGATAGAATAAGGCACGATTTCTCCGATCATTAATCTGATGTGGAGTTTAAAAAACCACATCTTCATTAACTGAAAAATTTGTCTCGCTACATGAAATCTTTCATGTTATTAAAAGCTTCCTTCTCAGGACACGTTATTCTCTACCCTCTTCACATCAACTATATGTTCAGTAGCAGCAGCCCTAACTACAGTGAAGGCAAAAACTATTTTAACCATGCCTCCCATACTAAAATGCCTCCGTGGGAACTTGGCTGCTCTCAAGGGTATAAGGTTTATCCATTCATCTTTCATTCCGAAGATGGCAGCACCTGCGGCATCAAACTCGGGATCCTCTTCATCGTATGAATCCGATTTAATCTTGAAAACATCAATATCCGCAATTAGAAATATAGGAATAATTGCTCATATTGACGCAGGTAAAACTACGACCACAGAACGATTGTTATATTATTCAGGATTGACAAATAGAATCGGTAATGTTGATGAAGGTGATACAATTACAGATTATATGACCCAAGAAAAAGACCGTGGTATAACGATTCAGAGTGCAGCTGTTACACTACCTTGGAAAGACCACAAAATTAATGTTATCGATACCCCTGGCCATGCAGACTTTACTTTTGAAGTCACCCGTTCCCTCAGGGTCTTGGACGGTGCTGTAACCATTTTGGATGCCGTTGCAGGTGTTGAGGCACAGACTGAAAAAGTTTGGAAACAAGCTAAAGATTTGAATATTCCTATCATTGCATACATCAATAAAATGGATAGAGATGGAGCAGGTTACGGAAGGACCGTGAAGGAAATTGTGGGTAGATTGGGTACAAGAGCCATATTGCTCAATGTTCCTTATTTTGTCAAGGATTCATCACAGAATATGATCTTCAAAGGAATAGTGGATGTCATAAATAAAAAACTGATTATTTGGAAAGACGCCGATTTAGATGGGAAAGAGGTAGATGTCTTTGACATATCTAATTCTGCATGTGAATATCCTGAAGTGCACGAAGAAATGTTGAAGTGTAGAGAAGCCGTGGTAGAAACATTAGGTGAACTAGATGAATCTATTATAGACAATTTCTTAGAAACTGAGGACTACACCCAAGTATCCATTCCATTGTTGAAGAAGTCGATCCGTCATTTGACACTAGAAAGTAAGATTACTCCTATTCTATGTGGATCTAGCTTCAAAAATATTGGTGTACAGCCATTGATGGATGCAATTGTAGATTATCTTCCTTCACCAGTGGAAACAAACCCACCAGCTATTATCTCTAGTACATTAGGCTCTAAAGGCCACAGTCGTAAAACGAAGAATAAGAAGATAAAGGAAAATGCTGTTACCCAAAGCTCGTCAAATTCTGCTACTATGTCTGTTATCGATCCTAAATTGGGGTGTGTTATCAACAATAATAAAAACCTCACAACTGCTTTAGCTTTTAAAGTGATCAATCATCCAAACAGGGGTCTAATGGTGTTTGTGCGGGTATATAGTGGCAAGTTGCAACCTAATTCAACAATCATCAATTCGAGAACTGGGGAAAAGATTAAGATTGGAAAATTACTTGTTATGAACGGCGACTCTCCGTTGGAAGTAAAATACCTCTCAGCTGGAAATATTGGTGTTATCACAGGGACAGAAGAGATTTCTACGGGTGATACTATCATTGCACACTCATTAACTAGGAATGTCACACAGATATCCAAGGCTGAAACAGGATTGAAGTTGTTACCGATTGACATTCCTCCACCTGTTTTCTCCGTTTCTATCGAGCCTACTACTGTCGCCGATAAGAGAAAATTGGATACTTCATTAGATATTCTTTTGAAGGAAGATCCTTCTTTGAAGTTATCTTTCGATGAAGAATCGGGACAATCGATCCTATCAGGAATGGGAGAGCTACACCTGGAAATCACAAAAGATAGATTAGTGACTGATATGAAGGTAAAAGCAGATATCGGCGATGTTTGTGTGACTTACAAAGAAACTATTACAAAACCGGTGGGCCCTGTTACTATATATGAGAATGGTGCAGCTTCATTGAACGAAGTCTCAGAATCCCAGTTTGGAATTAGTTTATCAGTTTTGCCGTTTGACGGTGAAATCGATGATATGCTTGTTAACATGCATGAGTTCATGGGGAAGAAATTTGATGAAGAGACAGATGTACATTATCTGGACATGAATACTGCTGTTGTTTTCGACAAGGATTCTATGCCTCCAGTGATTAGAAAAGAGCTTTCACTCGAAAAGTGGACTTTAAATTTCAGTTATAGTAAAGTCATCAATTCCATGCTATCAGGGGCAACGGGTGCATTACAAATGGGTGGTCGTTTAGCTAGAATGCCAATACAAAATATAATTGTTTATGTGGACAAGTGGTATCTCCCTGAGGTGAAAGACGTGAGTAGTGTCAGCCCAATGATTAAAGTTACCAGAGAAGCGATAAAATCCGCATTGAGTCAACTCAAGGACGAAGATTTCACAATACTCGAACCTATAATGAATGTTCGCACATATGTCTTAGAGGCTGATATTGGTAATGTATCACAAGATTTGATGAGTGTGCGTAATGCAAAAATCATGGGGATTGAGAATGAAAGTGAAGTTGGCACCAATAATGATGCACAAGATCTACACTGGTGCAAGAAGCAGATGACAGAGACATACGTGCCATTTGACGCAACCATGCAATATCTTCAAAATAACAATGGAGTGAGCAAGATGGTTATTAGTAGTGAGGCGCCGCTACGAGAGATGATTGGATACTTGAGCAAGTTACGTTCCTTAACAAAGGGGCGTGGTCTGTACGATATGGAATTGAAGGGCATGGAAAGGGCCAGTTTGGATCGTGTCAGACAAATTCTTGATAATTGATCAAAGATGTATATAAAACTTGTATATAATATATAACAGAGAAACTGAAGATAATGATTATGATATGATTATGATATGATATGATATGATATGATATGATATATTATATGATGACTAGGGTAGTAAGGGTGACGAAGGGAAAAAAAGTAGTAGGCATTATTCATGTGAAAAAAGACTAGAATTTCTTCTTTTTCTCATCGATTGACAACTCACCTGCACCGGTGTTGACAATCAATAAGAGTCCACCGACGATGCTCAAGGTCTGGAAGAACTCGTATCTGAGGTAATCTCTTCTTGTGTCTTTGTAGGAGTAAGTCCAGTAGTGGTTGGTCCAGCAATTGTGAACACCCAAGAGGAACGTCAATATGATGGCGGCAAACTTGGTTTTGTAGCCGATGGCGATCGAGACACAGGAGAGAAAACCGATCAGGATGATCAACGAGTTCATGAAGGACCAGGAGATGGTCATGGTGAAGGTCAAGAATAGGACTAGCAACATGATTCTGCCTGCCAAGAGGAAGTATTTCTTGTTGTAATCCTTTGTTTCGAGCATTGGGAGTCCCGGCATTGACAAGGCTCTCTTGTCAATGACCAACGAGTCGGACAAGGACAAAAACAAGCCCCCGATGACACTGATGTTTCTCAAGAAGAAGGAAGGATCAAAGAACAAGCCGTAGGCCAACCCTTGAAGCAAGACGATTGAGATCAAGATCAAGGAGGAGATCATTGGCTGTTTACGTAAGATGACCAAGATTGAGCCCGAAACCATGCCAACGATGTTGAGGAAGAGGAAGAGCTTGACTACCCATTCGTATAGGTGGCGGTAGGTGGCAAGATAGTAGACCTGCTCCTTCCACTGCGAGGTGATTCTCAAGGAGTCCTCGAGGAAGGTTGCCACGATCAAAAAGCGGCCGATCGCTGGCACGTAGGGTTTGGCAAAGGACAGATAGTGATCTAGGAAGTCATCCAAATCGTCCGTCAGCTTCTCGAACCGCTTCACTGCCGGATGGTCTGACGGAATCAGGTTGTTGATCACGTCGAGAGGCGATGACGACTTCTTCACGGAGTGCGGGATGTGGTGGTTTTGCATTGCAGGCAGTCCATTCTGTGGTTGGTAAGGATTTCTGCCGCCCAGATTGTTACTGTTGGGGTTGTTGTTGTTCGGGAACTGGCTTCCTCTGAAAGACATATTGATGGTGGCGTACGCTTTGTGCAGTACTTTTACGCAGCAAAAGGATGTTCGAGCGGCCCTTCACAACCCTTTTTCAGCGGTGCAGGTAAGAGAGTCTGGCAGAGAGAGTGGCATCTGAGACGGCTTTTTGTTATTGTCCAGCTGCTCGATCTGGTAATTTGACAGCTGTTCGTGTGGAAACTTCAACCACGACATCCTCCGTTGTTGTATCCAGCGTGGGCCGATCGGCCCCGGCCACCTTTTTTTCTTTTTTTTTCTCCGTCAGCTTCTTGCCTGTTGCTTTTTTTCCGTGCATGTCCTTGCGCCCGTGGGCTCAGTAGCGTCGTTGCTTTTTTTGGCCCGCCGTCTTCCATGCGCAAAAGTTGCGTGCAGCGAAGAAAAACGGTGCCTTTAGCCCTGGCGAGGGCCTGTCACCTGCTGTTTTGGGCAAGTTCCCGGCTTCTGCGTGTGCCTGGCGGCGTGGGAACAGGGAGCTAGTTGGCACGCCAGGGTGCTGCATGGGCCGGCGTTGACGTCAATTCCCCGTTGCTACTCGTCTGGGCACTGGAGATCATGCACAGCGAGAAGCTATACGCAGATTATATATAGCCGGACTAGATCCCTTAACGTTCCTGGTGTTTCGGACAAGCAAGCTTAGGGTGTTTCTTTGCCGCAGGGGAGCCCGTACAAGGCCATACACACACACATTGACAACAGAGGTGCATACTGCAGGATCTGAGCTGCAATCACAGGTGTCCGATATATGTCCAGTTGCATGCAATCGAAAGTGCGTGTGCTTTTATCTACAGAGTCGTCTGATTGCGAGAATACAAAAGAACAAACCAGGCGGACGCTCACATGCTAGCGAGCCTGCTCAACCCGGTGGATGGAGACGGCGGAAACGAGAGCTCCGAAGACCACACGAGAGAGACAGAACATGGACGCAAGGATAACGGCGACGGCAGCAGCAGCAGCAACAGCGCCAACACAGAACACAGCAACAGCATCGAAGAAGCGGCAGAAAGCAAGACAAAGACCCATCCAGTGCACACGCCCAAGTCAACGCCAAGGGGCAGCAGGAAGAGAAGACACGGGAAGCGATCCAGGTCAGGGTGTCTGACATGTAGGCGAAGGAAGAAGAAGTGCGCCGAGGAGCGTCCCGTGTGCCGCCACTGCCACAGGTTGGGTCTGGCGTGCGTTTGGGAAAACGCCCCGGCATCTGTTCTGCCCCCCTTGTCGACACTCTCGCTGCACAGCCTCCCGCCATCGACGTCCTCTTCCTTCTCCTCCACAGCGTCTCTCTCCCCCGTGTCTGTTCCGTCAACAGACTTGTCGTCTCACGGTCCCGCGAGCCTGCACATGTCTTCTTTCAGCTACATTCCACCCCCGCCCCCGCCCGCGCCCCCTAGATACACTACCGTCGACCAGTTCAGAGGCTCACCGGAGGAGACATATGTGGAAGGTATCGGGTACGTGAAGATTTTGAGAGGGAAAGTCGAGAGCCGCAGAAGAGACAGATAGAAGACATGTAGAACCAGACACAGCAAGTACAGCGCAGAACACAGCACAGCAGAAGTCACAGCAGAAGTAGCTGTAGCTAGTGAAACTGCTCTGCCTCTTCTCCTTCTTTAAACTCATAACTACCCAGTGGCAGTTAAACTATACCGGTAATGCTAGAGATAGCGATAATAGAGTCGATCGATTCTGAGCATGTTTACGTAATGGCTGGCCTGCCAGCCGGGCTGGCGCTCCCATCTCCCGTGCACCACTTTCCACCTCCTTCCTTTTTAGAATCACAACCACCCTCAATGGGGCAAATGATGAAGGAGAAACGATTGTTGAAGTATAACAACAGATGATAAAGGCGTGCATTGTTTGCAACATCGGTAATTGATTGTCAAGCAGTGACGGTCGTTGAAACAGAACAATGTCGTCCGTTTCCATACCTTCTTACGCCTCATCCCGCAAGCGATCCTCTTCGAAGACACAACAAAACTTCCATCCAATGAATTCAACCTCGATATCAGAGTTAACTTCACTTTCATCCCTAGAAGACAACAATCACAATGGTTTGAGCAATGGGAAGGGAAGCCATGTCGGTAATGGTGACATTCAAGAATCGCAAATATCGTTGAACTTGAACTCAAACCTAAGCCCTCAGTTGTCAAACCCATCCTCTATCTCTTCATCAAGTGATGTCTCGAGTTTCCCATCCTCAACCGCTTCGGAATCGCAACGATCCTCCAAGCCTCCTAAGCCTCTTTCTTTGATAACAGATATCAATCAAAAAGATCATAGTAATGTAGTCACCCCAATCGTGACACAGAAGCTAATACCGGCAAACCAACAGCCGCCCAAATCCATCCTATCGAGAAAACCACTACCTACAGACAATACGTCGCTGTCAAAGCCAAAAATCATCACAAACAACAATAATAATATCACAAGCAGCAGCAGTAGTGCCTCAAAGTCAAGCAGCAGCAGCTCACCAGTCCCCAACCTAAAGAAGTTTGTTCACGTTGTCCGGTTAATTTCTCCAGAACAGCCTGATGAATACCTCAAAGTGTTGAATATACCTATATACCCAGACACTTTGAAGATTGGACGGCAGAATACTCCTAAGACCAGTAACAAGATCACTGATGGGTATTTTGATTCTAGGGTTTTGAGTAGAAATCATGCTGAATTGTTCATAAAAGACAATCAGCTATATATCAGAGATTTAAAATCCTCAAACGGCACATTCATCAACGATTCAAAACTGGAACCATACAAGGACTACAAGCTGTCAATTAACGATAAAATTGACCTAGGTACTACTTTGGAAAGTCAAATGGCACATAAAAAGATCACGTGCATAATTAAAGAGTTTGATTATATTAGTTTGAAAAAATTCGATAATATGGTTGAGGAAATAAATAACAAGGATGACTTGATTACCAAAAAGATGGAGTTGTTCAATAATACGTTTGATGCTCTATTGTTTGGTGAAATAGTTGACGATATTGTCTTAGGTATTGATGACTCAAACTCGTGCGATTTGAATTTGAACGATGACTTGTTAGATCTGATCATATCTGATAAAAGCAGAAGTCATACTGACAGTAAAGCAGACACTAAGACAAAACTGAAGTCTTCTTCCAAGCAGTCGAAGTTGGATACTAAATTTGTTCAAGGCTTAGATCTCAAGCCATCACAAACACCACAAGATGTTGTCAAAAAATTAATAACCGCGGTTAATAATGAATACATTCAGCAACAAAGATTGAAAGAAATGAACATGTTTCTGAAAAACTATAATAACTCAGTGGCTGGCTCCCACAGCACTTCTGTTTTCAAGCTGTATGATAAACTTCTCAAAAACGAAAAAGGCAACACTGATAATGTCAATGGTGATAGAATTAGTAATGACAATAGGAATAACACAGGCAAACCTATGATCTCCACCCCTCCTTTGTCTCCCACTCAAAAACAACTAAAATACAGTCGTATGGAAGATCAGCTCAAAAATTCAATGGCTGAACTTGATATAGCACGTCAACATTTGTCGACTGCAAAGTCCAACGAATCGAAAATGAAAAAATTTGGAATTGAAAATGAAAATTTGAGGAAGCTTCTAGGATCATCTGAAAGCCGCATAAGTGACTTAGAGGAGAAGTTAAAGACAGTCTCTCAAACTAATGAAGTCAAGGATTCTCAGCTAGAAAGGCTGCAGGATGAACTTCAACAGCTCAAGAAAAAACAAGAACAAAAGGAGAAGCAAATGAAAACAGAAGATTTGGACTGCAAGGAAGATGTTGTATACGAAGAGCCTGAAGTTAGAAGTCGAGACGATGTCCGACATACGGTAGATGAAAGCACCGATAAAGAAGAGAGTATAACAAATAATGTAAAGCAATTGCTGCAGGAACTGTCGTCCGGTATTGTCAGGTATAGCGGCTGGATTATTCTCTCAGTAGCACTTGTCTACTGCACAGGTCCTATAAGCGTGAAAAGTATCACGGAGCTTGTTTCTCATTAGTTGTTCCCGCCGTCTGCACAAATTTCATCATTTATAGTTGGTATCCATCAACCTTTATCCACAGTCAACCTCATGATAAGAAGTTATTCTAACTATTGTCAAGTCTAATTTATTTTCTAGAAATTACAACACTCTATAATTAAGCCTATGTAAAAAAACAGGTGTAATGAATTCACATCCAGACATGTTTGCTAGTTATACATGTGCAATATCATCAATCATTTTATAAGCACTAGAAAGGGATATTCTTTGTAGGTCTATCACAGTCTTTTCAACGCGCATTTTATAATCGTCCTTACCTGGCAGGTTCATCATATAAGAGTCCATTCTCAATTTCACTGTATCGCACAAAATATCCGCAAGCCTTTCTACATCCAGATCAACTGGTAACCCATTAAGCTCCTTTTCTATACTTGTTTGGTGATAACCTTTAAGACCACACATGACAAATTCTGGATTGTTCAAGTATTTCAGATTAGTGGAAAGATTGATGCTTAGGCCATGAGAAGTTACATTTCTTTTTATGTTGAGTCCAATGCTTGATATTTTTTCTTCTGTTCCCTTCCCCTTACTCACCCACACTCCAGTGTTCTCTGTCCTGCATACATCTGCCACTCCGACATGGGAAATTGTGTTTATGCTGCATTGCTCGATATAGTTAACAAAGCATTTGGAGGACAATTTCCTCCAAAGCTTCAAGTCCCAGATGAAGTAAGCAACTAACTGCCCTGGACCATGATAAGTCACCTGGCCACCACGATCTGTTTGTATATACGGTACACCAGCACTAGTCATTGTGACTTCCTGAACATCATTTTTGTTTCCTGATAGGAATGGAATGTTGGTAGCCTTTTTCGAGTCACGTTCCCTCTTCCCACCCGTATAAACCGATGAGAATTCGAACGTCAGAATCGTAGGATATGCCTGAAAAATAGCCCTTGAACTTTTCTCTGCTAGTTTGAAGTGAATGTGTTGGTCCAGAAGATAGTTTTGAATCTTGTTTCCATCTCTGTAATCTGTAATACCCTTGAAATGTATGTGTTTAACTGTTGTCGCCTGTGAAAGTTTTTCGAGGTTAGGAGGGAACCTAGCGACACAAGACTCCGCTAACCTTACAGAACATGTCGAAAAGTATGCTGACTGGATGAGCAGTCCATCTGAAATACATTTGTTGGACCTGATAATAAAATTGCTTATGAGCATTTCTTTGTCAACTAAACCATAGCAATAACGTGATATTGGTTATCCAGAAGCTTCCAAAAGCTCTTTTGTCAAATGAAAGTACAGCAAGAAATGCCGACGCGTCTTCACTCAAAAGCATAAACTGATCCCTCAATTTCTCTGTATGTTATTCCTCGAATTGGATGTGTGAATAACATACATGTCTTGGGCAATGAGATTCTTAGTATTGTCACCTCAATGAAAGTCTTATGTGTTGCTGAGAAGAACAAAATTTCCAAGAGTGTTTCGGCTTCCCTTTCACGAAACAACTTCCAATCAAGAAATACAAAAAGTAAATATGTCAAGAATTACAGCTTCAGGTTCAACTTTCCTCAATGGGATGACTGCGACGTAGTGATGACAGCTGTTTCAGGCCATATCATGCAGAAGGAAATTCCTAGTGATTATGGTTGGGGAAAAGTACCTAACGATTCATTGTTTAGATGTCCCATAGTCACAAGATATGGTGATGATAACGCCAAAAAGATCGCCGAAAACATCTCAGATCTTGCAAAGAATTCAGATATTTTGATGATCTGGACAGATTGTGATAGGGAAGGTGAATATATCGGCTGGGAAATACTGAAAGCCGCTCAAGAAGGGAATCCTTCTTTCACTCTCGACAATACATATCGTGCAAGGTTTTCCCATCTCGAAGGTAAGCATATCTATAGTGCTGCATGTAATCCTGTTCGATTGGATAAGCTGGCAATAGACGCTGTTGATACGAGAATGGAAATCGATTTAAGAACAGGGTACTGTTTTACACGACTTTTGACTGACTCTTTTCGAAATGTGATAAAGCCTAATATTGCTAATGACGACAATAGCAATGGAAACTCCGCAAAAGGTAAGAAGAAAAATGACAAAATGATAAGTTATGGTAACTGTCAGTTTCCAACTTTAGGTTTCGTTGTCGATCGATTTCGGAGGATAAAGTACTTTAAAGAAGAAGAATTTTGGGGAATAGATCTCAATTTGAAAAAAGATCGTAAAAAGTTCCCTTTTATCTGGGAACGAAATCGTTTGTACGATAGATTACAGATTGTATGCATCTACCAAAACTGCATAAACGAGCAGAGTGATCATGTCGTTGTGAAACATGTTTCGACAAATCCAACTTCTCGATATGCACCTCTCCCATTGACCACAGTTGAGCTACAGAAGGATTGTTCAAGGTATTTCAAGTTTAGTGCTAAGGACACATTGCAAGTAGCAGAAAATCTGTATACTAAGGGGTTGATTTCGTATCCACGTACGGAAACCGATAGTTTCCCACGCAGTATGGACTTCAAGCATTTTATTTCTATGCAGACTGCTTCCTCGGAATGGGGGGAATATTCATCATCACTTCTGGACGAATCAAACCATAAATTTCGGGTACCAAGGCGTGGTAAGCATGATGATGAGGCACATCCTCCAATTCATCCTGTTGGTTATGCTGATAATCTGACAGGTAAAGAAAAAACCGTTTACGAATATGTTGTCAGGCGATTTCTTGCGTCTTGTTCGTTGGATGCCACTGGTTCGATGACCAGCATTAAAGTACAGTGGTCTACGGAAACTTTTCACAGTACTGGACTAGTTGTTTTGGAGCGTAATTATCTAGATGTTTTCAAGTGGGATCACTGGGACAGTTCTAAAAAAGGGTTACCCAGTGTGGCAGTTGGTGAACATATTCAAATTTCGGATGCAACAATATCTTCGGGTAAGACTGCACCTCCTCAGCCGTTAACTGAAACTGAGTTGATCTCGTTGATGGATGTGAATGGAATTGGGACAGATGCCACCATCGCTGATCATATTGACAAAATCTTAACAAGGGAATATATTATAAAGCAGAAATTAGGGTCAGGAAAATCGTCGAAAGAAGTTTTTCATCCAACTATCTTAGGTTACGGGCTTGCAGATGGATTTGGCAAGTTGGGTTTCAACAATATATCTTTAACGAAGCCTTTCATGAGGAAGGATATGGAGAATGATCTTGCTGACATCTGCCAGGGATCAAAACCAAAAGATCGGGTCTTGAAAGAAACTCTTGAAGTTTATCGAGATGCATACACTATCACCGATGAAAAAGTGTCAACCTTAGTAAATGCATACAAATCGGCATTAAACCACTCACGTTCATAGTTTAGAGAGAAAACTGCAGTCAACTTTTCTATTCAAAAATATATATTCGTACACATAATTGTTCGTTCCAGTAAAATAGATGTAAAACACTACTAGCAAAGTTCAACAGGTGGTGGGATATCGGGCACTCTACCTATTTGGAATATGTCTGACCTAAAAATTTCCAGTATCTCTTCACTGTTTATATCCTCCATCTTCGTATGCTCTTCTCCCAAATCACTTTGTTTAAACCCCGCACTTCCTTGGCCTCCAAATTTATTTGCACTCATTTCACCAAAAGGTGAAGCTTGTGAGTTGCCTTGAAACACGTTGTTTGAACTCAGCATTCCCCCGTTAGTATTCATAGGGTTGGTATTTCCAAATGGAGAATTATTGGATATCGATGGGCTGTTTCCAAATGGATTTGAGCTGCCGCTAGGCACTCCAGCTCCAAATGGATTAGCAATATTGGAAGGGCCAGAAGCAGAAGCGACTGGGGCAGTTGAGGTAGAAGTTGCAAACGAAGACTGTCCAAATCCAGAATTACCAAACCCAGATTGCCCAAAGCTCGAACTTCCAAAAGCAGAAGCTGTTGGTGCTGAGGTTGAAGTATTTGCAGGAGAAACAGATGCTCCAAATGGATTGGCTGTATTTGGGCTCGAAGATGAAAATGGAGATGCTCCAAAAGGGTTTGAGATAGCAGTTGACTCAAATCCAGAAGACCCAAACCCACCTGCCGGTGTACTGCCAAATCCAGTTTGGCCTAGGGTTGAGGATGTTTTGCCAAACGTGTTACTATTGATACCATTAGCGTTAGAAGTTGTTTTAAGAGTAGCAAACGGGGAGGAATTGAGACTTTGACTTCCAAAGGCGCCTCCACCCACAGTTGCAGGTTTGAAAGCACTACCAGATTGACTACTTGCCCCTCCTCCAAAGGGATTAGATTGCTGGCCAAATGGATTACTTGCAGCTGAGCTTACATTGCCAAATATGCTGTTAGATGTGGTGAACGTAGCAACTGGAGCATTGATATCGATTGGTGGTATTAAGGGTTTCGGATTAGAAGTAGGGTTTTGAACAGCGAGCTGCAAGTACCTTACAGCTCGTTGAGTATTGGATTTCAAATTATTAGTAGAGTCTGCCATATCTTTGCGTCTATTGCTGATTTGCTGTTCATATTGTGTAATAGAGTTATTGTTTCTGGCAATGTAGTATTGTAATCTGTCTTCTTCATACGAAAAATCCCTCTGTGGAAGAATATTGATCTGAACAGGAGGCTTTAAAGAATATGAGGTGAATATATGATTACTTGTCGAAAGCATCTCTTGTAATTCGTTCATGTCATTTCGGATTTCTGTTTCCCGTCTACCCATTGATCTTGGATCGCAAAATTGCTGAGGTGTCTCATTAGCGGGAGGATTGCTGCTGTTGTTGCTGTTGTTGTTGTTGGTGTTACTGCTACCACTATAATTATTGTTGCTGTAACCTGTGCTATAGTTACTGTTGTTATTTCCACGGTTGTTGTAATTATTGTAGCCACTGCTGTTGTTGTTGTTGTTGTTGTTGTTGTTTCTATAATTTCCATTGCTATTGCCGAAACCAGATTGTGGGGGATGGTAAAATCGACAGTTATTGCCATAAGAGCAATGGCCCTGCTTGTAAAATTTACACACAGCCGGCCTTCCCGACATTATACGTATCGGTTTGTATTTGTCTATGTAATTATCGTAGACTCGAGATAGGGTCACAATAAAACCTATAGGTTTTCTCAATCGTTGGCATTGGTTATTGCAGGTAACATGAATCTGACTTTTTTTTTGCGTACGAAAATGCGATGAATTTGTTCGAAGCCTCTGCGACAACACCGCAGCTTCTTTTGTTGTTATGTGGGGTCACTACGTAGGCTGATGCCAATTCCACTCACCGATGGTTCATGGAAACTATATCTGTATCCATTGCGGCTCATCTATACCTGCTCTATATGAGCGCTATGGAGGAGGACATATCCGACTTTCCTTATGTCAATATTGCAATAACGTTGCTGATAAATATGTTGAATACGACAATGTGCTTTTATTTATCGATTTAATTTTGATTAAGCCATGCGCCTATAGACATACAATATATAATGTGTTTTTGTCATCCTCATCTGAACAAGAGAGCTTCGAAAAAAAGAATAGAACTATCGGCTCATTAGTAAGTACTTCGAAAAGACAGAAAGTTTCTAGAGCTGTGACACCACAAATCTCATTGTCTTCATCGGTCGATGCATTGATGTCACCAGGTGAAGGTCAGAAATCTTTCAGGCCAGACACATCTTTGATCCCGCTCGTATTTCGATTAGGAATTCTCATGTTATTATTCGAAGTTTATGTCACTTGGGCCTATCATGAAAAAAGCTTCATGGAAAAGGCAGATCATACTTCGTTGATAATATCCTTAGTTCTCAAAGGGCCAATACAATACATATATTTCCTCTCAACCACTCTTTTGCAAAACATACTTCTGTGTGTCAGTTTATCATATTATGGCCTCAGATGGCTTCCGTTTCCAACATCTAAACCAGCTACCTCTGGTGATACGCCCACCTCTACAGATACTTCCGTCAATTCTACACCATTCTCGTCTAGATCTCCTTCACCATCTCCCGTATCACCCAAATTCAATAGTCCTCGAATGTCCCACTTGAGACTCCCACCACACCAGCCTCGTGAGAAACAATCGACAGCTTCATTTAATTCAACTTCTCAGCTGAAATCCAAGCAACCAACTATTGCTGGAGAGTATGTACCTCAGCAGTACCCAGATTCTCTTCTCATGAGCTCAAAGCCAATGTTTAGTAGGATTTGTGGGATCATGCTCACCACCGTCTTGATCTCCAATATCATAAAGCTCTTCCCTATAGTCATGCTTATATGGCCTTATGATCCTCCTATTTTGCATGCCACTCGTTTATTGGTACGGATCGTGCATATATTCTTACTAATAGAAGCCCTATATATTGTGCTCATAGACCCGAAGAACACGAAGAGGAAGTCAAGAAGAAGGTATTCTTCATCGAGCTCAAACGATTATTACAGGGTCACGGCTGTCGTTTTGGTAAGTGAGTTGACAAGAATCGTTGTTTCTCACATAATCATTGTATTTGTTGCTTCAGCGATTTGGGGGGTTTCTGTGAGAGAAATTGGACTGGATGACTGGAAGATGCTAAAAGTAGGTATACGCATGCTAGAAGAGCTTGGAGAATATATTCTGGGAGAAGTCTAAACTAGCCTAAAAAAGTTACGAATATAAATACGTGAGCTGAGTCAGAATTTCCTTTAAAGACCTGCTTGATTTATTTCACTCAATATTTTTTTGCGTTGAACACCGTCACTAGTCCATACTAGGATCCATGTATCGTCAACAGTCGCTGAACTTGCGTCGCCTTTTTCGATTCCGATCCATGGACCCTCAAGATTTCCGACCAGCGGAGGATACTCATAACTCTGGTTTTGCTCTCGTCTCTCATCAATAGTAGTTGGTGATTTGTTTTTTTTTGAGGGACTTTCCCTGGTTGCAGTGTTCCTGTTGAAACTATCATCACAAAAATTCTCATCCCATGCATTATCAGTTGGGTTGTCTCCTTCATTGAGAGACAATGGACTTCTACTGAATCCATTGTGTTGTCTCGCACTATGAAAATCGTGTCTGGCACCTGTTTCAATGTTGGAGTCGTTGGTATCATCAATTTCTATTGCTCTTAAAGCAATGAAAACACTCAACGGCTGTAATTTATCCTGAAAGTACCATAATATCATCAAAGTTATCAGCGGTAATGGAGCCAAACACATTGCCAAGACCCAAGACTTTTCTAAAACTAAGGATCCAGCAACAGTCAATTGGAATAGCAACAATCCCAGTATAACTCTACGGAATATGATAGGCATGACTTTACCTGTTGAATGTTGAGGATGAATATAGGTGTAGACCAAGTTGAATTTATAAACGTAATACCCTATAATGAAATATATCAATCCTGCGCTTACAATCTTTGTTGAAATAACAGAGTAGATTAGGGTGATCACGAGAGTCAGAAGAGGGTGGGGTAGTTGTAGCCCGAAGTTGAAAGATGGCGGCTGGAAAAGATAAGTCAGTTCACGTGCAGTTGGATTCCCCCTCCAAAACAATGAGTTGGAAGGTTTGAAGTTGTTGTGCGTTAGCCAGAAGAAAATAAACTGGAATATTCTACCAATAGGCAAAAGTTTAAAAGGCATCAATCCTACCCCCTGAAGAACTATTGTATCCACGTAAAAGGAAGAAAGTCCTCGTAAAGATTGAGCTAATTGCAAAGCTAGTTTTTTCGAGTCTGACAAGTAACCCCAGTAGTTGGATGCAGTTCCTGCCATTGTGAAGACAAGAAAAAGATTGACAAACACGTAGAAGAAGTTTTTGGAGACCACAGAAAGCTCTTCCTCGCCATGAGAAATGAATCCTTGCTTCGACGATAGCCAGACATACAAAAACGGAATCACTCCATTCAACAGCGTGTACAAATAAACCGGTAATAAGTCGATAACGATTTTGGATGCCCATTGGTGCTTCAGAAGGAAGCCCGCCAAATCAGGCCAAAATTTTTTGATCGATTTCATGTTAAGTAAAGTAGCAAGATAACCAACAGGAAAAATGAAGATAACACCCAAGATGCCTGTTATGACTGTTATGTAGTATATTTTCAACTTTCTGGAATGGCTGGGCAAAGTGGCGTTTTCCCATATGATGTCGGCGGGGGCCGGGGCTGGGCTTGAAATCAAGTAGCCAATTCTCGGATCCAAAACAGCCTGAGCTAGGGTCTGCGCTGTTGCCACGGAGTCCATCGTGACAAAGGCGGTTGGGGTTGCCGCATAGTGGTATTTCCTTGCATTCTTGATCTCCTCGTCGATGATCGAAAGCTGGTTCGTATAATGGTCTATTGCATCGACTTTCTTTCCAAATATGCCCATGAAGCCCAACTTCACGCTGGGACGGGTTTTCAAGGAGAGGGTTGAGGTGGCGCTGCTGAGTGTGCTGTTCAGCGTAGCCTGGGAGGCGCTCATGTTCCCGTCTTCCATGTTTTGGCTGTCGTTGAACGGGTTGTTGGAGTCTTCTGGAACGAGGTCACGGTAGCGCGTGGACTCGAGACGTATGCTGTCCTGGTTGCTCGTGTCACTGCTCGTCAAGTTGCCGGCGTCGAAGTAGTTTGACCAGTAGAACTCTAGGTTTTTGACGACACGGGCCCTGCGGTCAAAGAGAGAATCTAGCTTCTTCCACTCCTTGCATATCACAATCTTCTCCACCCTGCCGATGTGCAAGTTCTCGATCACCTCTTTCAAGATCCGCTCTGTCCGCATCTCGGGCGGGATCCCCGACAGTCGGATTGTTCTGTCCGTGATCGAGTTCTGCTTGCCGAGGATCTCCTGCCGCTTCTCGATGACGGTCCTTGCGTGCTGGACGAGGTAGTGGCACGTCACGTATGTGAAGAGGTACGTGAACACGACGTAGATCAGGAGGTACGTGCGGTACCACGACTCGACCGTTCCGTCGGGGTCCTTCGCCGGGCTGCCTGGCCCGCCCGCGTCCCCATCGCCCTGGTCGTACTGGCCGGTGAAGTAGAACCTGATCGGCGAGATGAGGAGCGTGGCAAACAGCCAGCAGATCGACAGAATCTTTATCGACATCTTGAAGAAGCCCAAGAACACGTACGCGTCCAACCCAGCGAACTCGATGATCTCATCGTCCGTGATCCGGTGCAATGTCGCCACCGACCGCACAAACGACTTGTTCGAGATGTTGAGAAACGCCTTCGTGAACACGCCGTGCCCGCCCGCACCACGCTCTGCCGCCGTTCCCAGCTTGTTCAAAAACGACAGCCGGGCCATGAAGATGTGTGGGAACCGGTTTCGCAAGAGCGCAAACCCCGTCACTGCAGAAAGCCCCAGACACGACGCCACGAGCAACTGCGTCGAAAGCAGCTGCGACGAGGGCGGGTCCCGCAGGTTCCCCGAAAGGGCGCTCCAGTCCGCCGTGTGCTGCATGTCTTTCGCTCTGTCGCTGTCTTCGCTCTGGCCCTTCTTCTGCCCTTCTTGCCCTGTCCTTCTTTCCTGTTCCGTCTTGCCTCCGTCATCCTGTTATCACCACTTTTGCGCCGATTCATGTCGCCCTCCTCCTCTGCTGACGTCAGCGGCGGCCCAGACGGCGGGCCGCAGACGCGTCGGCGTTTCCGAGTTTTTTCTTCTGCGGTAGTAGTGGTGATTTTCCTCAACGGCTCTCACCCGGAAGGCCTCTCTTTTTCTCTCCCTGTCTCTCTTCTCTGAAAGGTGTGCCTGTGGTATTGCAGTGGTATTGTTTGAGTGGTCTCTGTCGTCACTGTCGCCAGCCCGCACCGCCGTTGCTTCCAGCCCCGCTACCGTTGCACATTGAGTGTGTCTACAAGGTTCCCCACGTGTTCGAATATGGCCTCGGACCCCACCGTGATGAGGCGGGCGCTTGCACCAGCGCCTGAAGCCACGCAGACCATGTCAGTACAGGATATTGACTCGATCATCAACACACACAAGGCCAGCATCCGCGAGATCCTGGCCAGCACCAGCACTATGGCGGACCCGTCGCTGCTCCAGGGGGCGTTGTCGTTCTGTCACTCTAAGTTCACGGCGTACATAGTGGACAGTTTGGCAACGGAATACCGAGAGCAAGTGTCCGCTGCAGGCGAGGAGAAGGACAAGGACAGCGCCAGCGCCAGCGACAACGTGGAGCTGAACTTCAACCTCGAAAGCGCCCACTCGGTTGGCAATATCGTGGATCGAGTGTGGATCGAGATCCACCACCCTGCGATCAAGTACTTTCAGTCGACATTCTACCAGCTGAACAAAAACCTGAAGGACCACGGCAACAACGTCGCGAACACTAACAGCAGACAGTACTCGGGCAACAAGTCGTCGAAGTACAACTTAAGCGGCGGCAGCTCGCAGTCGTTTGTCGAGTACCGGAAGCTCTTCGACCGGTTTGTCAAGTTCATCGCCAAGGCGTACGAGTTCTACTTCTTCATCTTGAAGTCGATCCTCAACACCTACGACTTGACGATCTACATCCCGGTGAAGAAGCTCTGCTCGACCTTGAAAATCAGCCTGGACTCTGTCTCCGACGCCAAGGACACCAGGCTGCCCCTTCCCGACTCCAACCACCTGGTTTCTTCGATCGTTTACCTGACCCACAAGTGTGTGTTGTTCATTGGAGATTTGTCCAGATACCGGACCTTGATTGCGAAAACTTACCTACCCTCCACGTCCATTTCCAAGGAAGACAACAATAACTACTCGAAATCCATAGAACTTTATAAACTCTCGTTATTGATCCTTCCTTCCTTGGGCGACCCTTACAACCACATTGCAATCATTGACAACTTGAAAGACGATAAGTTCAACGTGGTCTACAACTTCATCAGGGCTTCCTTGACTTCCTCTCCGTTGACCATAGCCTACTCCAACCTCTTGAACCTTTTGAGTAAACATCCGAGAACGAACTCAATCCTAAGAAAGTTCGAGCACCTAAACTCTTTGGATAGAAACACCATCACCAAGAATGACAGGTTAGGTCTTTTGAAGGCCCAGTTTTTGATTTTGTTCAACTACAACTTACTGCCTAACAAGTGGAGGTTAAAACCTGGATACCTCATTTCGGGCCACTCCATCAGTCTCATTGAAAATGATTTCTACTACCTACTTTCCACGTTGGATTTCCACAAGCAGATTTTCAACGATTTTTATTTCAAGCAATTTGTAATCTTGACTGGTGGTTTCGAACTTTTGATAGATTCAAGCAACCTCGATGATCCAAAACTAGGACACTCGCCTGAAATCATATCAGATTATCTAAGCTTCATGTTCAGATACATGGAGACTTTCTTGAAAATCTGCATTTTCATCTGTGATGATAACAAGAAAGATTCAAAAGAGGCAAAAGACAGCAGCGACAATACTTCTGAAAAGGACGATATCACTCAAAATTTTTCCATGTCCTTTTCCACTTCTCTGCTCCCTGTAATCAGACTCCTGCTTTGTTGGTTCAACGAAAGAGAAATCGCTAGATTTTATCTACAAAACTCAAACGAAGTTTCGTATTTGTTGGCAACATTGATCAACCGATTGATCAAGTATTTTGACGAGCAAAAGGTGGATCTCGTTATGGAACTCATGTCGATGAGAAAGGAAGCGAATATCACTTTTGATTCAATCTTGACATTAAAACCCGTGCGTCAAAGACTATTCAAAGAAGACGTGGCTTTGAGAGAATTCAAACCTGTCAATTACCTGTTGACCGATTTCAATGATGCGCACTTGTATCGAAAGGACCCTGAGTCGGTATTGGCACTGATTGGTGAGCTACCAGAGTTTTCCACTGCAGTTGAAACTAAAGACAAAAAGGACAAAAACAGCTTGGTTGGGGTCAGTACCAAAATAAACGACAATTTGTTACGACTAGTAGCTATCATTGTTCTAGGAAAAAAATTGATCCTTGAAAATACTAATGATATCAAGTGGGTTGATGAAATAAACGATGCTGACATTGACAAGACTGAAAGTAAAAGTCACAAATTTTTGGGTTCACTGATTATTCCAAAACAAGTGAATCTAGAAATCATTGAGCAGGTTATCCCAAAAGTTAGCAATAGTAATAATGGTAGCAGCAGTGCTATCAATAGTAAGAGCAAGGATCAGAATCATAAGCAAACAAGAAAAAAGAAAAGTGATAACCCCCGCAGCAACAATACTCCAAATAATATGAGTTACGCTTATGCAGGCTCTTCATTCAGCACCTTCGGTGCAGCTCAGCCAGAGTCATTTGAAAGATTTGACAAGTTTAAAAGGAACAAATCAGCCAACAAAATTTCAGTCGGCAGATCTCAATCCAGTATGGCTAGTAGCTCTGATTCAATTGTCGCAGGTTTGGCGACTCCAGGTAACACCAATGATGATCTAGCTAAACTGAAACGTCCGCAAACTTCACCTGAGTTCAAAATAAAATTTGGTGATGATTCTCAATCGTCCCATTCCCAATATGTTGATATGGTTGCCTCAATTGTGAATGAGGAAAGTGATAGTAGAAACAAGACTTTTAAAAGTGACCGAAATAACCTCAAAAACAAAAGTAGAGAAGCTAGCTCACTTAACTCAAATGATTTAGCTGTTGGTAATATAGGTATCACCAAAGTTAACTCTGTGCCACCCACAGAAATGAGCGTGAATGAATACCCTGAAAATAACAACAATGGTCACACTAATGGTAACTACAGAGAAGGTAAACTCAGTAATGTAAACTTACCATTGGAACGCGATTATGAGAGGGGATATACTACTTATTTCAACCAATGGGATTCTGTGAAAGGTAAAGCTGCTTCACATGAACAAAATGCTGAGAATGGCACAGCTGACCAAAAGGCTGGAGAACCAATTGTGAACAAAGGCGGAAGTGGAAATGGAGATATGGATCAGATGAACTTGATCAGTCAAATGAGTCAAATAAACTTAATGAATCAGATCAACATGAATCAATTCTCTTTTAATCCAATGAACCAATACGGTCAAATTGGGGGACATTTCAATCCAATGGAGATGAATCCTGTGTCTTTACCTAATATCCATGAAGGGTTCAATATGAACAGTATGGGAGTCAATAATGTCAACATGAATAGATTGAACAACAATATCAATAGTATAGGCCACATGAACAATATGAACTCAATAAACGGGATGAATAACATGAGCCTGAATCATGTTAGTAACATGCCACCAGTCAGTTTAGATACCATGAATAATATTGGTATGAACAATATTGTTGGTATGGGCATGAGCAACATTGGCAATATGGGTATGAATATGAATGATATCCCGAGTATGAGCAATTTGCATACTTTTGGAAATTTGAGTAACTTGAATTCTTTGAATGGAAATTTGATGGGTTTGAACAACAACATGGCCATGCCACGAATTGGAGGTTTGGCCAACAATCTTGATATGAATAATATCAATTCTAGTTCAGTATTCAACGATAGTACTGAAAGCGATGGCTCCATTAACAATGGTAATAGCAAGAATAAGCAACAGAAGTAGAGAACAGAGATGGTGAAGTTTTGACAGTTCAACCTTATGTAGAATATGAATAAAATTAACTAAGTACGCCTTACAATAGTATGTGATAGTTCTTTTGCGGCTATTAAATTTTTGAACCTTTGTGTATCAAAAAAAAGTCTATTACTGGTCTATATATTAAATGTACATAAAATCTAAGGGTCGTCGTCGTGTATGTGAATTTCAGGGTATTGAGCACTCAAATTATCACAAACAAAATTATTGGATGGGGTTTTGACACCAACTTGCAAACCTAATTTGAAAATAAATCTGTTAGCTCTAGCTGGATTCCGGAAATGTGGTGATTCGGTTTTCTGTTGATCGTCATTCGTATAGTTTGAAAAACTTTCGTTCATCAACTGCTTATAGTGCTTCAAATTCGGTAAAGATGTATCATTTTGTAGTATGTTCAAGGTGAGATTGAATAGTCTTTCCCTAGATAGCACCGCGGTAAGCATTGGAGTTGTCTTTTCTAACTCCAGCACAGGCTCATGCTTTCTCAAAACAGCAATGCATTCGTCAATTATATTAAGGACTAAAGATTTTGCTGAAACACTATCTTCAACATCAGAATAGATATCATTATTCGAGGCAAAAGACCTAGACTTCGAGTGCGACCTTAATACCTCGTACTTAGAAGAATAGTCCGTGTATATTATTGAGCAAAGTGCAGCTTCTATTATAAGTTGCTCGAGGAGTAAAAGTTTTGTCTTTAAATATGGCTCATATTGGGGAGATAAAGTGGGTGTATTTAAAATTTGCTTCATCACGTCAGAAGAGTTGATCAATTCTATCTCCGTCCGAGAATCATTGGCAAACGGTAATATGGGTGACACTATAAACTCGCCTACCGATTGGTGTTTTATTCCCCATGAAGGTGCATCTGCTAGTAAATGTGTTGATACTATTGACCAAAATCTCGGCAGTGACCGTAAGTCGTAGGGTGATGAAGCGGATATCTGGAAATTTGACATCACTGAACTAACATATTTTTCAGCTTGACCAAAATGTGGATCCAGAATGATTATATCTGAATTTGGAGGCGGTATAAACTTAATAGATTCCGAGTTGAATATCGGCCTTATCTGTGATGAAGGTAATGCAATTGAAATCTGTGATGTTGCAGCGGCACTGATGCGTGAAATTGTTTCCAAGTACCTCGTAGAGGATGTTGGGTAGGTATGCTTTCTCTGAAAAGAATTCAGCGGTGATATCTCATTGATATATGTTATGGTTGACTCTGAAGTCAAAAACGGTTTCAAGAGATGCTTGGGTAAGAGGATGTTTGGGCGAAATGATTCTGAAGATAATTGAGTCGCCAAAAAGCGGGCAGTTGGTGAAAGTGGGACAACATGTATCGTCATGTCAATCGCTACTTTGAAACTATCAGTATTTTTGGAATTCAAGCTCTTGAATTCTTCCGGGGTCATCGAATCATGTCAGCAAACTCGAAAACTCTCAAATGGTATCTGAGATTTTCAGATTATCTCATTTTTTGAATTTATTATGCGCTTTCAGCTTTTGATTTTTTTCATGAGCGGAAAATTTTTCATACAAAATTCAAGTCTAACAGGTATTCTAGAAAGAGATTCAGAAAACAGAAGAAGTGGAAAAGGCAAGCAAAAACCACACGGAAAGCAATGAGTCGTGTTATGTTGATGCAGTCGTGGAATTCCACGTGTAGTAACATCTTAAGGAGATCTCTTTACCGTTCTCCAGCTGTTTTTCAAACTCATAGACACTATGCAACTGATATCAAAGACCATATTGAAGAAGTAGAAAATGTCAGTAAGGAAGAAGAATCAGCCAAGCCTGAACCACCGGTTACTGAATCTGACTCGTCTAGAATCATTACTTCCAATGTAATTGAGGACACAAAATTACATCCAGCTCTTAAAGCTGCTTTCATTAAGAGTGTTGGACCAACTTTAACTCCAGTTCAAGAGCAATGTATCAACGAGTTTTTAGAATCCAAGCATGGTATTGTTGTTCGTGCTAAGACTGGTACAGGTAAAACATTTGCATTCGGTATTCCTGTTATTCACTCTGTTTTGAAATTGAAGGATCAAAATATGAAGCAGGCTGACAGATATGTCAACTCTGTTGTTTTCTCTCCAACTCGTGATCTTGCCTACCAAACCCGTCAATCTTTATCTGATTTATGGAATGCCTCTCTCGCCAAATCAAATCATGCTCCAAGCAAAAGAGGCTCTTATCCTAAGAAGTCAAGATTACCGAACAGTGAAAAAAATTTGATTCCTTTAGTCATCGGCCAGACTCCTTATAAAGCTACTATGTCTCATTTTGTCAGTAAGGAAGTTCCACCAATTGTTGTTGCAACCCCGGGTAGATTCATGGATATGTTGCAAAATGAACCTAAATTCAGAACATCATTCAAGCACCTTCAAAATATCATCATTGACGAAGCTGATGAACTTTTAAATGGTAATTTCAAAGAAGATATCAACAAGATTATTGACGAATTGGTTTCAATCCGCGAGCCAATACCCGGTGTTGAAGCTGAAAGCCCAGATCTCAAGCCTAAAACCATGCTTTTTTCGGCTACCGTTAATGATGATGTCTTTTATCTTGCTGAACGTGCTATTAGTAATGACTTTCCATTTGTCGATGTCACTGGTAACAAAGCACAGGAAGTGAATGAGAACATTAGCCAAACCTTAGTGCAAACCGAATCCGTTTTTGATACCTACGTTGCGGCAGTTCAGTTCGTTCTAAGTCATGCTCACGAGAAGAATTTTAAACCAATTATTTTTTTGAGTACCACTTCATCGGTTGATTTCATTTCTAAATTGTTGATGGATGTTTTGAGAAATGAAAATTCTCGTCGTCGGGTCTTGGCATTCCACGGCAAACTAACTCAAGGAAAGCGTGATGCTTCTCAGAGAATATTCCGTGAAAAGGATAATGCAATTCTTGTTGCATCGGGTATTGGTGCTAGAGGTATGGATTTCCCTAATGTATCCCATGTTATTCAAATTGGTGTTTCCTCTGAGATTGATTCGCATACACATAAAATTGGACGTACTGGCCGTGCAGGTAAGCAAGGTGATGCTCTGCTCTTTACTTCCAAATTAGAAGAACCATTTGTGAAAGCTTTGAGAAAGAATGGTAACAAGTTTACTGAGACTATAGAATTTGACGGTGAGTCACCAGAGGCACAAGAAGTTGCAGAAACAATTGTTGGTCAAACCAGATCATACCTTGATTTGGACGACACTTTTTTCAAATCTATCACTCATTATCGTAACATTCCTAGCAAAGTCGCTAACTTGAATTTGACCGAACTTTCGATTGACGTTGCAAAAACCTATATGAAGTTAATGGGCACCGATGGTGTTCAAAGTGACGGTGAATCTGATGATGATAATTCTGGGAAACTTACAATGTCTTACAACATGGCAAAGAACCTCGGTTTGGACACTAGAAAAATTGAAGATTACTTTACTTTGACAGGTAGACGCCCTAACGATTCACGTTCTAATGGTAGTCGTGGCGGTCGTGGCGGATACAGCAATGACAGGAACTCAAAGAGAGGCTCTTGGTCAAACAATGACAGATCAAGCAATGACAGATCAAGCAACGATAGAGGTGGGTATAACAGAAATAGACAAAGTGGTAAGTCTAGCAGAGGTGGTAGAGAAGGAGACGCTGATAAAAGGTACTCACGCTGGTAAATTAAATGCACTGTACATAGCTACTAAAAAGCACTACACACAATTGTTAAGTAACATTTTGACTTTTCATTTATTTATATACTAAACAAGGAGTATTTCAATGGATGATTATTTTTTGAAGTCAAGAACCTTTTCTGATTCAAGTGTATGATGCACATTTTCTTTTTTTCAATTCATGTACATATTGTTCTGTTTTCGGTTATTCTAGTCGCTTTTTTTATCATTATCGGTACTTTTTTAATCTATATAATCTAATCAAATGAATTTAGCAAAAACTTTTGGTTTGAAAGCAAATTTTCCACAGCAACGTGTTCCACTGATCCCGCAGTATCCAGCTTGCTTAAAGCTTCAAGTTTGAGGCCTATCTCTTGTTTAATCTTAGCTAAGATTTTGTCAAGCAAAACTGCCTCAGTCTTTTTGTAGTATTCCCCATCATTAAAACCTTCATAAAACTTTCTTAGGTTTGGAGGACATTCGATGTTATCCTGTGAACTATCATAGTAAAAATCTTCATTTCGTTCAGTTAGAGATGCAAGTGCAATTCGTGTTCTGTAAGAAGGTTTTACAGAAATTTTAACTTTTCCATCTTTCGTCGATGAAATGTTTTCCACACCCAAAGTATAATCGTCATAATATCTAGTTTGCTTTAACCATGTATAAATTTTCTTTTTCGTCGTTGAGCATAATAGCTTCGTTATTATAGGGGACAAATCGATGGTGTTATACCTGTTGAAACTTGTATAATCCCAGGTCTTTTCAGTCATTTTAGATGTTGAGAAGCCATATTCAGATTGAAGAAACTCATCATTGTGCGGTCCATAAGTAAACCACAAATGAGTACCTATTGAAATATTTCCTGTGGCTAAAACTTCATAGCCAGATTTTGATACACGTGCCAAGCAGTTAGATTCATCACACCTGTGGTTTATGAAGTCTACAAATGGAACCAAGGTAATATTACTTGCTTCGCTCTCTGTCTTCTCTGTTATCGGTAAGTATTTTGGTAGCTTGTAGTATAAACATCTGGTATTTATTGCCAGCCAAGCCCACAAATATTCACTCTCAGTTAAAATCACATCTTGTTCTTTCAATACTGAACCAATGGTTTCAATATCGGAATAGAATTGATTGCTTTGGGACTTTGCATGGTTCAACACAGATCTAGGTAAAAGACCAAAAAGCTTAACGTGATGTTCCGAAGCAATTTTCAAATTCCATGTCATAGGAATGGCTTTGTATTCATTCAATTCTGGAAAACAAGAAAATAACGGGTACCAAAATGAAGATTCGTGTCTTTTTCTTTCTAAGCAAATGAAAAGGGTCAACAATTGATGAGATGTTAAACTTAAAAGTTTTTCACAATCAAGTTTGGAGTAGAGAAAAGTAATCTCATCTGCATTTGTGGCATATACTCTATTGTTGAACTGTAAAATCCTTTTTCTTAAAAACTGATCAATACCGTTATTACTATAAGATAAATGTTGAAGCACAGTTGTATAGTTCAAAAGAAACTGGTTCGGCACACTCAGTAAAAGTTCATTTTTCTTAACTGCTTCATCAGTGGTGATGCACCTTCCCAGTGATATTTCATCAACAACCCTTATACGAGCCGAGATCGAAGCCTTTTCTTTCGATGTGGATTTCAACCAATCAGTTAGTTGTTTAACTTTAGATAGATCCATTTAAGTTTAGTCGATCAAAACATAAGAATTTGGCCTTCGAAATGCCGAAGAAGGAAAATGCTTTGATAGAGAAAAATAAAAGTTAAAAAAATTCTGTGGCAACAACACTCTCCCCACCCTTTACACCCTTGGGACATTTTGGTTGGCTATTATTGAGCAGTTTTGACTAATTGAGCACTGAAAATGTTGATATTAGGACTCACTGGCGGTATTGCCACAGGAAAATCAACTGTTTCTGGTTTTTTGTCAGACAACTACCATATCCCCGTGATCGATGCTGATAAAATTGCAAGGGAGGTGGTGGAGCCGGGTACTTTAACCTATCAAGCTATCGTTGAGAAATTCCAGCCGCTAATACCTGAATTGATTGATAGCTCGAAAAAAGATGCTCCTTTAAACAGAGGAGCATTAGGGGCTTATGTTTTCACTCATAAAAAAGATCTAAAGAAGTTGAACGCCATTACTCATCCTGCAATCAGGAAGAAAATACTTTACTTACTATTTAAGAATTACTTGAATAAGGAGCCCGTGGTCATCCTTGACATACCTTTGCTTTTTGAAAGTGGAATGGATTGGTTATGCTCCCGTACACTGACTATCAGCTGTAATCCTGAACATCAACTTAAAAGGTTGCTTGAAAGAAACAAGGAGTTGAGCGAAATACAAGCCACTGATAGGATAAACTCACAAATGCAACTAGCTGAGAAAGTTAAACAAAGTGACTACTCCATTTTTAACGATGGCAATCTGGAAGATTTGAAAAGAAAGGTGGACGAGTTTGTTCATCAAAACTTGCCTGCGTTGCAGGTAAATCAAAATTGTGGATGGAGTTATACTATCAGTAGCTGGTGGAACTGGTTTCAGGTAATGTTTCCACCCTTCGCTATAGTCGGGGCAGTCTGTGCCTTAACTCGAAAAATGTTCAACAAGAGTTATGCTTGAAACTTACAATGAGACTTTTAGCCTTGATTTCTATTAGTAGGGTGTAATTATTAGGGTTAGGTTTTGAGTCTATATAGGAACGTAACATTAGTATATTAAACATATCCGGTTGGGTGAAGGTTGAGTTGGAATTCAGTCGGTGTCATCCTTCATAAGCATCATATTGCCAATCGTGGATCTCATTTTATTCTGTCTTTCTCTGCGTCTTAATACCGTGACTTCGTGCAACAACCCATCCAACATGGCCTTCATGTCTTCTCTTTCAAACAGAAATCGATCCTTATCAATTTTCCATTGCTCCTTCTCATTTTCTTTGGTGGCAAGGTTTTGTGACAAGATTTTATTCTGAGCCTCAACAGTGGATAATTTATCAACAACTTCATTATAAGAGTTGCATACGGAAAGGTAGTTTGCCCTAAGTATGGAGAAACACTTTAGAAACTTAGTTTCCTTTTGTGAAGACTGAGTTTTGGTTTCTTCAACCTTTCTCTTTTTAGTTCTGTCCAATGTGTCCTCAGTAGGTGTTCCCCTGACAACAGAGTAAGCTCGCTTGTGAGGATTGAGTTGTGCTTGGTTGTTGACTGCTAACCTTTCGTTTTCTGTCGAGTAGAGGCTATCTATTTGTACGTCTAGTGGTGCGGATATGATCTGTTCTATTTCTTTGTCCAATATATCATCATTTAACAGTATTTCGGGATCACTTGCAGTATTATCTGCGTTGCTGGTATTAATCTGAACGTTATAACGGTCGTCTAGGATGTGGATATCATCAAACAGTTCTGCTTTTATGTTTTTCGCTAGTTCGTTATCAATATTTGAGTCTGTTGTGCAAGATTCCAAGGAGTCTACCGGGGTGTAAGGAAAATTGGATTCAGGAGATGAGTCGTAGCTGCCGGTTGCGTGGGTTAAGTCCTGGTGATATGACCGAGAGGATATTACCGAATTAATGTTAAAGTTGGTTTTGGAATGAATGTCAGGGATGCTCTTTTGCGTTTGGTAATCTTGCTGAACTTGTTGGGTGTGCTGTTCCCTTCGTGTCCGATGCGACTGAATATCTTCAATTGAAAAATGTGTCGGGTGTATTTGAGCAGCGTTTAGATTCATTTGTTTCTCCAGATCTGAAAACAGCAAGTTTTCCTTCGGTTGGCTGAATTTCTGTGATGTATCCAGTATTTTGTAATCAGGCAGCAGCAATTTGTCGGGGAGTGGGTTTGTTGCTAGCAAGTTATCAAATTCAAGCATACCATCCTGAGTAAGAATATCTGGCATGTTATGTCAAGATCTTCCTTCTATGTAATTCCTGGTCGTTTTGCTGTTAATTGAAAAAATTGCAAAGCACTCAAGCAAGATACGTCAGCTACTGGATTGGTATTGGAAGCCGGATTGGTACTAGGCTTGGAACCTGAACCCTTTGTTTCTGATCCACAAGAGTTTCCTTATGACCCAAAAAAAATTTCAAGAAATTTTCAAAGCTGAAAAATTCAGAAAAATTCAGCAGAAATGAGAAAATAGAAAAAAGTTTTAAGACGGAAACGGGGAGATGTAAACTCTCGAAATCAGTTGAGCTGTAGAACGATTGTGCCTGTCAAGTATAGTGGTGCACGGGTGTATGGTGGGCTACAAGACGACCATGAATCGACATTCAGGAATCGGTGGCTACTATTAAGATATATCCGTTAATTGTTGCTTTATTACATAAAGATCACCAACCTCTGCTAGACAATTTCTCTTCCTGTCTCAACGTAGATATGTTGACACCAAACATGCACTTTCCTAAGCCTGTGCTGCTTTTCAGCAACTCCTTACTATCATCATAGTGGTTCACGGCGTTGACAATTGCTCTGGCAACAAGTTCAGGATTCTCACTTTTGAAAATACCGCTCCCAACAAAAACTCCTTCACATCCGAGCTTCATGCAGATAGCTGCATCTGCAGGAGTGGCAATGCCGCCCGCTGCAAAGTTAACCACGGGCAATTTTCCGTTGTTTTCGATTATAGCCATCACGGTCTCAGGTTTGACTCTGTGGAGTTTGGCGAATTCAACTAGCTCTCCAGTCACTTTTTTTAAACCACCAAACTTCAACATCATGTCTTCGAGCTCCTTGTTGATCAGCTTGATGTGGTAGATGGCCTCACTGATGTCCCCAGTCCCAGCCTCACCCTTAGTTCTGATCATTGCTGCCCCTTCTTCAATTCTTCTCATTGTTTCACCCAAGTTCTTTGATCCACAAACAAATGGCACCTTGAAATCAGTTTTATTGATATGGTCGAATCTGTCTGCAACGCTTAAAACCTCACTTTCATCGATGTAGTCAACTGCCAACTCCTCTAACAATTCGGCCTCAACAAAATGGCCAATCCTGACCTTTGCCATTACCGGTATGGAAACTGAGTCCATAATCTTTTTGATCATCTGTGGGTCTGACATCCTCGCAACACCATTTTCCTTTCTAATATCAGCGGGAACTCGTTCTAATGCCATGACGGCAACTGCACCAGCTCTTTCGGCAATTATTGCCTCTTCTGGCGTTGTCACATCCATTATAACACCATTTTTAAGCATTTGTGCTAGGCCTGCTTTGATTTGGAACTTAGATAAAGTCATGCTAGATAATTTATTTTCTTTTGGTCTGGTTTACGTGTCTTACTATAACAAGCTACCACACTGACTTATTCAAATGCAAATATATTTATCAACTTTCATCTTGGCGTCCAAGGGCTCACATATTTATATATAAGTCTGCTGATCCTTCGAATCAGTAATTGACTTCAAACTGAATTACATCGCAGTTGAGTAGAATTATGTTACGGCCATGTTAAATAAAAGAAGAGTCATACCACAGGACAATTTGAATTGGCTTACCACCTCTACTGCCTAGAATTCTAATTCGGTGAATTTGGAGTTCTCTGAGCGTGTTTTTGGAATAGCACTCTGGGGACTTAGAGGAGAAGTCTTTCAAACCCGATAACGGATCTCACACAAGTTGTTGGAGTATCAGTTTTGAGGTTCGCGGTCTTGTCAAATCTGATACTTTGAGAGATCCTTAATTTTTTGGCATAGTTTAGACGATATTCATTTTGCCAAACATTGATGGAAGTAAGTTAATGCAAATTCCGATTTGATTAGATTTTACACTTGCTTAGCTTAACTCAAAAATTGAATTTGGCTATATATAGAAAGCAATTCTGAGGATGCGATGCCATAGAGGTCTTAAAGCTTGCAACAAATCTTTTGGTTCCTATAACCATCTACCAGATAGTTGATTTGATATTAAGGTTTCAAAATGTCGCAGATTAACACAGAGTCCATGCCTAATGAAAAACAAGTCATAACTGTTGGAGTTTTAGCTCTTCAAGGTTCGTATCACGAACATATTGCTCACCTCACCTCACTATTCCAGGAGTTGTCCGATGATGAGCGATATTGTTCTAAATTTGAGTTCAGGTCCAGAGAGGTGAAAAAAGTAGAAGATTTACATACTCTAGATGGGCTTATTTTGCCGGGCGGGGAGAGTACTACAATGTCTATTCTACTACAACGTAATGGGCTGTTAGAAACATTAAAGAAGGTGATTCAAGTAGAAAAATTACCATGCTGGGGTTCATGCGCTGGTTTGATTCTTCTGTGTAATGAAATTACAAACACCAGCGTAGATATGAGTGGTAGAAACGTTGAGAAATCTATGAAATACAGGTCAATTGGTGGTTTAGACGTCCGAGTTGATAGAAATTCCTTTGGTCGCCAGCTTGATTCGTTTTCTGAAAACTTCATTCTCGAAGATTTTGATGGTGAATTACATAATGCCAAATTTACATGTGTTTTCATACGGGCCCCTATCATCAGGGAGGTTCTCTCACCAAAAACTTGCTACCTCAAAGAGGATCCTCATTCTGATTTCGAAAACAAGATCGTGCGGTCAACTTATATAGGTGATGAAGTCGATAGAGCTAAACCTGAAGTTTTGTTGAGGCTAGGCTTGAACGAAAAAAATTCTATGATTGTGGCTGTTAAGCAGGGCAATTTGCTCGGAACATCCTTTCATCCCGAACTGGTTAGCGGTGATTACAGAATGCATAAATGGTTCATAGATAGGTTCATAATTGAGAGCAATTATCTATGCCACTAATACTGTGATTATATCTTTGATACAATCAACTTACAGACGTCTCTGTAATGTTAAGCATACTTGATGCAACTAGAGGCAATCAGGAATTAGCTGACCTATTCGATTTTGAATTCCAACACTGCTCTGTATCATCTTTCGCATAATAGTGCTCAATATTTACAATAAGTAATTAGCGGAGCCACCTGTAAGAATTTTTTAACGCCATAGTAAAAGCCGACCATTCACTAGCAAAATAGTTTTCAGTATACTGAACTTTGAAGAATCAATAGCTTGCACTATAGGTTATCTTGTAGCTTCTGTTATTGGAAACGCCCGTGTAGCGTAATGGTTAACGCGTTTGACTTCTAATCAAAAGATTCTGGGTTCGACTCCCAGCATGGGTGCAGGCGTATTCTCTCATATATTTTTTTATCTCTGAAACTGTTTGCCAGCCACAATCAAAAACTAGATGTTTTTTAAAAAAACTATTATCGCTGGTTCCAACTCTGAAGAAAAAAATACTTTTCAATTAAAATAAAAACATTGATATAATCACCTAACTAATTATATATTACTTATTTTAACTTCAAAGTAGTGTGACACTTACCACAGTATTGTCTGTTCTCCATGTTTGCCATGAAGATACCTGGACCACACTTTGGACATTCGTTTCTCAACTTAGTGACCTTTCCATCACCATCAACTTGGTAATAGTGCAAGACAGCTAACTTGACAGACTTGTGCTTGTGCTTGATCTTCTTTGGGGTGGTGTAAACCTTCTTCTTTCTCTTCTTACCACCACCTCTCAATCTCAAGACCAAGTGCAAAGTGGATTCCTTTTGGATGTTGTAGTCGGATAAAGTTCTACCATCTTCCAATTGCTTACCAGCAAAAATCAATCTTTGCTGGTCAGGTGGAATACCTTCCTTGTCTTGGATCTTTTGCTTGACATTGTCAATAGTGTCGGAAGACTCTACCTCAAGGGTAATAGTCTTACCGGTAAGGGTTTTGACGAAAATTTGCATCTTAGGACCGTCTGCAAAAAATGCTTCTTTCTTACCTAGAATGGGTGTTTGAAGGAAATAAAATAAGATTTAATATACTATAGTAAGGATAAGATGAAACGAAGAAGAATGCATTTTTTTCAGCAAGTCAAAAGAGAATAAGATGTACTGGAGAGGAGGAGTGTGTGGAGAGGCAACCATCGCCAAAGGCGCTAGCAGTGAAAACTTTGCTCGCGCAAGGGAAAAAAGTTTTCAGGGTTTTGTTCAGACCTGTAGTTAAGCACGTGACCTAAAATGTAACACGCAAAAATTTTATTCCGATACCGGGAATCGAACCCGGGTTTGCCCGGTGAAAGCGGACCGTGATAGCCATTACACTATATCGGAATTTTGTATATTTAGTGGCTGTAAGTTTACTGTGACTAACGATAGAGTTTCTATGTCAAAATTCTCACACAGACGACAGCCTTGCGATGTGTCTAATTGTTGACGTCTATGTTGAGATAAGATGCCGAAGTCAATAGGTATCAATAAATTGGAAAAAGAGGCTTATAAAAGACAAGGCATTAGAAAAGAGCCTTGTAATGGCAAGGCATCCGATAAGAGGCTTAGAATGACAAGGCATCAAGTAATCTAACACTGGAAAGATTAGCCGACGTCATGAGTGTATAAACAGGAGAGGTTTTGTTTCCTAACTGTGTTTAGAATTATTAATTATTAGAAGTTATATAAGTTGTTTTTAAATAAGCAACAAGTATAAGAAAAAGTGAACAATATACAATGGATATTCATAACAGAATAGCTAGACTTCAACACCTTGTCATTACAAGGCTCTTCTCTAATGCCTTGTCTTTTATAAGCCTCTTTCTTTAATTTATTGATACTTATTGATTTCGGCATCTTATCTCAACACCCCACCATAATCTAAACACTTGTAGATATGTTCGACATTCCAGCTAGACCAACAAACTTCTTGAATTTAATCTTGGCTAAATTTTTAGTCAACATATCAGCAACCATATTTTCAGTGTTGATTGAAACTATCTCACAGTTTCCTTCTGAAATATGATGTCTAACAAAATGATGTTTAATATCAATGTGTTTGGTTCTCTGGTGATGGACCGGATGCGTTGACAACATCCTGCACCCTTCGTTGTCTTCAAAGATGCAGGGGACTTTGTTCATTTTAAGTCCAATGTGTTTCAACAGTTGTGTTAACCATAGTAACTCTTTAACTGCATCGCCCAGTGCCATATACTCAGCCTCAGTAGATGATAGTGCCACCGTCTGCTGTTTCGTGGATTTCCATGTTATTGCAGTATTTCCTAACATGTAAACATAACCGGTAATCGACTTTCTGTCCACCTTATCACCAGCCCAATCGGAATCGCAGTAACCAACTAAATTGAAACTCGTGGTCTTCTTAAATACTAGTCCTAAACCGAGAGTACCTTTTATGTACCGAAGAACATGTTTAGCAGCAGCATAATGATTTGCATACGGGGTTTTGATAAACCTTGACAGGACCGAGGCCGCATATGCCAAATCGGTCTTCACTGTATTCGCAGCAAACAATAATTTCCCCACCATGTTGCGATACAGGGAAGCATCTTCGTCTGACAGCGGCTTACCCTCAGGGGCCAAGGACGAACCAGCAGCAAGGGGAGTCTGAACTGTATTACAGTCAGACATATTGAAATAACCCAAGAATCAAGTACTGAGCGAGATGCATGGAAACCACACCAGGACGTTGGCAAACTTGCATCCCTAAGAACCTAGAAACTGCACCAAGATCCTTCATTTTGAAATGTGCAGACAGAACGTCTTTGACGGAATCAATTGAAGAAGGAGCGTTGGAGAGGATCAATAGATCGTCAACATATAGGGCAACAAGGGTAACTGACTTCTCAATAACTAACGAATAGACCCCAAACTCAGTCAACGACCGCACAAAGCCAAAATCTAATAGTACCTGATTGATTTTAACATTCCAGCAGAGGGGTGCTTGTTTCAAGCCATAAAGACTTTTATTAAGATGACACACTTTGGAACCAGCAGCCGGAGATCCAGGGGGAGGCTGCAAATAGAGTTCCTCATGCAAATCACCATTCAGGAATGCGGTGGTTTCGTCCATTTAATGAATGAGATCAAACTGAGCCGTTAACGCAAATAACACCCGAATGTTTTCATACCTAACAACAGGACTAAAGGTTTCCAATACCATGCACTTGACGAAAACCTTGAGCAACAAGCCTGGCTTTGTAAGTGGGTGGGGTGGTATTGTCCTTGACAGTAAACGAGAATGTCTGATGGCAGACTGTTCGAGCTATCCTCATCCAGGACAGTGGGCATTTTCAAACACGAAAAGACATTATCATTAAATTTCACGTTTTGTGAAGTCACAATATCTTTCAGAGCCGCAACATAACAGCGGTAAGCTTTATGGCCGGACTATAACCCACAAGGATAGCATCTGAGGATACCGGAGAAAACACCGATGTACGTTTGGCCGGAGGTATCAACGCACGACACTGGACACCAAACGGATGCAGCACAGAATATAAGGGGTCATATCCATACCAACGAAAGAAAGGTGACTTCCCGTCCAATAAAGATGACGAGTACCTGTTCACTGGAAATTCAGCCGTCTTGACTGCCTCAAACCAAAAAAGTCGAGGGAAGACCTGATGAAAGAACACGAGCCGTTTCTTTGAGCGTGCGATGTTTCCGTCCGGCAACACCATTTTGGGACGAATTGTACGGAACTGTCAACTGATGACTGATTCCTTTTTCAAAGTAGAATTGGTTGATCGCTTGTTGTCAAACTCAGTTCCGTTATCAGTACGAGCTTGCGAAACTTTCAACCACGTGAGCTAAAGTGGTTTTCTGCAGTCAAGATAAAATTCCTGAAGTATGCGTTAGTTTCATCCTTCGTATTGAGAGGAATCATTTGAGGCCATCTCGAAAAATCATCAACAATGGTCAGAACATATTTCTCACCAGCAAAACATGGAGTTGAGAAAGGTCCGCTCACATCAGCGTGAAGTAGTTGGAGCGGTGAGGAAGCTTGCTTGGGAAAGACTTGAGTCATCTTTCCTGCAGCACATGAGGCACATTCAACCATCTTGGGACCACAAGGGACTCCCATCTGAGACATAACTGCTGGCGAAGGGTGACTGAGGGCCGCATGACTGATATCACCAGGAAATGCAAGTGCATCACCAACTACCGGAGTATAATCAAACTCGTACAGGTCTGGCCCGCAAGCGGTCGCAATCTTACTAGCTGTATCATCAGAAGATGAGAGATAGTGGACCGCTTCATGAGAAAATGTAAATGAACCAGTTTTGATGCCTTATCATGATAAGGCATCTTAGTAATCCAAAACCGGAAAGTTAGCCGCCGTGATATGAATAATGGAAAGTTTAACCGAAGGTATAAGTGTATGAATACAAGAGGTTTGTTCCTTGTATTTATGTTTGAGAGTATTAGTTTGTAGGTTATTTATATTAGTTATATCCAAATAAGCAACAAACATAATACTAAGATATGCTACAAACAATGAATATTCAATCTAGAATAAACAGACTTCAACAATAGTTAAGGAGATAGTAAGTTGTTGAAAGTAAAGCAAAACTAACTCTTGCTTCGGCGGCATTGACTTTATGAATTTTCCACCCAGCCCACTTCATGACAGCAAAGATTTTCTAGAATAAGTAGTCTTATTACACGTAGTATGAATTGGCAGATATCAAAGTGAAGCTGAGTATCAAGGATATCTACTAGGAAAT